GAAATGGCTCTTCTGCTCGTCGTCTAGTGCTGTTAGTTTGGTATCCATAAAATAATAAGGAGGAATAGAAACTGAGATAGGTATATGACTGGATACAAGGACATTAAAAGGTAAATTATATGTATTTTTATCTACAAGCTGCCAATCTTTTGAATCAACGGATATCACATAAGTATCATCTATAATCGTCTTTACTACTTTATTCATCCTTTCTTCGCCAATTAATCGCATATATGTCCATGAGGTTACTATAGATGACTGGATTTTACCAAATAGATTCGACTCTGCTTGTTGCCTATTCAACATAAATGATTCTTTATCTAATTTAATCGATACATTGTATATAGTGTTATTCATGTTTCGTAATAATATCTACTCTAGCAATAGAATTTTAATATGTATATGTATATATGTTTTTATGTACGCGTATAGCAATATATATTATTATTATTTTGGGTTTTAGTGAATAATTATTATTTATTACAAATAAAGCAATAGAAAGGAAAGAAGAAAAAGAAGAAAAAGATAACTATTTATATATATAATACATATATTTATACAAACTACTTTCCCCTTCCCTTCCCTTCCCTTCCCTCCTCCCCCCAAACCCCCCCGAGTGAGCGAGAAAAAGAGAAGAAGGAAAGAACAAGCAAGAGAAGGAACAAGGACAAGAGTCATTTTTTTTTTTTTTTTTCACATGAAGCGAAACACTATTATTATTTTGAGCCATTTGTGTATGATTAAATAACTTTATATTTTTTATAACCGGATTTATACAATAAAATAATAATATCAACACTTTATCGAGTTATATTTTATTTATTTGTTTATTTATTATTTATTTATTTATTTTATTTTATTTTTTATTTTTTTTTCTTTTTTAATAAAAATAAGGGTATAACAATAATGAGGTATTTTGCGCTATCATTATATTCAGTCTATATAGTTATAAAACGCATTATCTTCATTTAGTATTGTCATGGAGAATAACGGTTATTTTTTGTGTCCTTGTTGTTCCATCATATATAATTTGGCTTCTTCTTCAGACATGTCCAAAAGCCTTGCAGCTTTATTCATATTAGATGTTCGTAGCACTTTGTTTCCTTCCGTCATTTCAAGAACAGTTAAATCTAACCCCATATGATCTTTGTAATTAATCTTATTATCTTCATCTTCACTTAATCTAATAATGGGTCGTATCGTTTTAATTGCAAAGAGGTCTTCATTCTTATTATGTTCAATATGTATGTCTTGGTTCTTTTTTAATAAAGGTCTTTTTCTTATCAATACAGAACAACAGGAACTTGTTCTTTTTAACCTATAGCCTGGGATCATGATACGTGCTATTAAAATCCAGGTACGTCTCAATTTACGTGTCACCAAAAGATAGAGACGATACGTCTTCCAATGATGATAATGTCTGAACGATCTTTTCCTTACACCATTGCTATAATAATCAAAATAACAATCTGAGTCTGAGTCGTACATTTCATCCTCCTCCTCCTCCTCCTCCTCCTCTTCTTCTTCTTCCTCATCTGAAAAGAAATTGTTATGTTTGTATGCGTCATTTAACATAGCAGAAGTTAGATATTCAATCGTTGTTAAATTGAGCTTAGCTAAATATATATTTTGTGGAATGAGGCATTAATTATATATAGTTTCAAATATGATCTGTTTTCTTTTTGTTATCTCTCTCTCTCTTTTTATATATCTTACTTACCAAGCTTTATATGGAATAATAAGAGTCTTGTAATAGAAACAAATGAAATAAAAGCTATTAGAGTAATCAATACTGTAATTGAGATGCAGAGTAAATAAAGTTGGTTTAAATTATTATAATCATATGTAAACTGCTGTTGCTTCTCTTTTATCGTTATATTAAATACTTCGAATGCTAAGCAAGCAATATGTAAAGGCCGTTAACTTATATTATCTTTCAATACATCATTCTCTATTACATTACCATGAATTATAAAAATATGTTTATCATAAAAGCAAGTCCATAAAACATGGAATGCTATACATGTATACCATAATAAAGCAAGAAATGCAGAAACGATTAGAGTTAAGAATATCCTATTCACCATGTTAGAAAAAAAAAGGGATCTCCCATCTTATTCATGTATATAAATAAAACTCACTTGTAGTTGTTCTTTCCTATACAGCAGTTTAACCATTTGCAGTGATGATCCATTTGATCTACACATTTATTACACACCTTACAATGTCGAGTACTTTTTGATCTATTAAACGTATACATATATATATGTATGTATGTGTGTTTTTTAAGTGAGCTTTAAAATGTTTCAAGTTTAAATACATTGTTAGTCTATTTACACTTTAATACGGCATATATTGCAAATACTGGTAACACTATCTATAACTGGTATACCGTATCTTCTAACATAAGATTGACTTCGATTCACATGTGTACGTTGATTAGCTACAATTGGATCTTCTGTTTCAATTATTGATGTACATATGCTGAGAATCTTTACCATTGTGGTAAGTCCGAACATAATGTAATGGCATTGAGTTAAGGTTATATTTTCATGCCAGAATGACAATGAAATGTATAATGATCTTATTTTATATATAAATGGTTATTTTTTTTTATAAAAAAAAAAGGATATAATACTCTTCCAAGAGGTTAATGGATTCTCGTATGGAACATTTAAATCAATCCAGCTTTTATAAATGTCTTTTATAGGCATGTCGTTTGTTATATTAATATCAGCATATTTTGTTGTTGTAAAATAAATCAAGAAAAAGAAAAAAACACCATCGAACATGATTAAACAGATCCATTGCAAGATTAGGTATGTATCGATAGGCACTTGATAACCATGCCTTCTATACCAATCATTTCTTTCCCAAGCATATGTGATACCTGAGGTACGTTTAATATTGAATAGTGAAAATATGCCCATTAATAGTCCCTAAAAAAAAAAAAAAAAAAAGGAAAGGAGAGGAAAAAAAAAAAAAAAGATCAAATAATAAGCTTACAAGCAGAGAGATCTGCTTATTATTTAAGGAGATAATAATAATAATAATAATAAAAATATAAAAGGGATTGTGTGAAAGTGATTTGATAGAATAAGGGGTAAAGATGGAAATAAGCTACTGTTTTTTTTTTTTTTTTTTTTCCGAGTTGTGTAAAGTGAATAGTCACACAAAAGAAATAGCCATTTAAGCTTTTGAGAAGATATTATCTCAATGATTCTAACTACCGATAATAGTAACGATCCTATTTAAAACTACATTTACACCATAATATAGAATTATCATCTTTTATCTTTATTTTATTTCTTGAAGAAAAGACATATAACCTACAGATAGGTATAATGCTATATCAACAAAATACCTTTCTTTGGTAATAAATATTTCAGAGGATTAAAAAAAAAAATTGAATTTTAGTATATATATAAAATAGTTGTCTGGCTTAGAACAAGTAAAATAGACAGCAGTAACTATTATGTCTGAATATAAACTAAAGTGATATAATAGTCCAAATTATAGCTGTAGACTCTTTTCTCTTTTATAAAATAGTGCATACCAATAATCAAAATGGTAAAATATATACCAAAAGGAGAATACTCATTACTCATTGTTGCGATAAAATAAAATGTCACCTCTTCTTTCATAGTGGATTTATGATATAATTAATATAAAGAGAAAACAATATATAAAACGAAACAATATATTTATAACCAGTAGTTAAAATGCAGCTTTTTTTTTTTTTTTTTTTTATCTTTCAAAATTCGCTTGTTTCAACTAAAGTATATGTTAAAAATGAATGTAAATAATAAAAATACTAAGAAATATTATCAATCTATGTAATAGTAGCATTAATAGTAAAATAATCCAATTCATAAATAATATAAAAGTGAGATAAATATTACATATAATATCTCTCGGTATGAATTATACAAAGTCTATTAGTAAGGATACTTCTAAAGGGTTTTATATTGTTGTATATATCTTTTAATAAAAATCCATTTGGTACGGGTAATTGTTATAATAATTTCCGAATTTGCCTATTCCTGGTAATACCAATTTGTTTTATCTTGTTTCTCTATAAAGTCAGTTAATGAATTATATACTACGCCTCTCCTAAAAAAATAAATCACGAGCAGCTGCTGTTGTCACATATTATAAATAGATAGTTACGACTCTTTTATCTTTTAAGAGATTAACCAATCATATAGCATAATAAATGAAACCTATTAAATATGGTGGTCGGAATAATGCAAACAATCGTACAGTCAGGCTTATGGAAATTGGCCTCAAGTCAAAAATAAATGTCTGCTTTTGATTTTTTTTTTTTTGTCTCGAGTTTAGATTATTTTTGGCGGTTTGTCTAAGAAAAGAAAAAAGAAAAAAGGCACAACTTTTCCAATTAAAATTAGCTGGAATATCATATTTACAGTCATTTCAGAAAGTGAAGTCGCTGATTTTGAGTTCAATGTCGTGTGCAAAAAAATTGTGCATCCAACAATAATGTCGATTAATTCAAAAATAAGGTTGTGCTCACGTGCCATGAACCTCGTTTATTTTTAGTTGTCACTTAGTAATTATCCAATTAAATTTCTTAAAATAAAGGGGGGGGGAAACGAATTTCTGTGTCTATTTTACTTCTTATTTTACAGATATTGAAGATGAATACACAATTTTTTTTTATAAAGATGGACAAGGGCACGTTATTAATGAGGAGCTATTCGCTATTGAAACAATAAGTTCTCGTACTCAGTTTCTAATGGATAAACCCTCGGAAAGACCTAACCCTGTAATGCATCCAGTGATGGATAAGAAGAATAGTGAAGATATTGATATGAAACTATGCAACAAGCGATGCTATACGATTTACTCTGATAAAGACAAGATTAAATTTTTTTCATTTATTTTTCATCAAATGCTTGAAAGTTTCTGCTGCTGCAAGGCAATTAGGTATTCATATCCGAGCAGCACAAAGATGGGTCAAACGTTATTACGAGGGTCCTGAAAGCATCTTTGAAAAGAAAAATAAGTCAGATCGGCGTTGTATTCTTGGAGGGGGGGGAAGAGCATAAACAGTTTCTTTTAAATTATATTGATGAGAACCCTTCTACTGTTGTCAATGAAGTGGTGGAAAGTTTGAAACAAAAAAAAACTTTGAAGGCCTCAATGTTTCTTGTAATACTAATTACAACTTCATGACAGCTCGGTGTAATCTGTCAATTAAGCGAGCATAGCTTCATCCTGTGGAAAGGAACAGTGAGGAAAGATATGACTGGGTCCAAAAGTGGCAGCAAACTGACCTGGATTTCACAACAAATTGTGTTTTTCTTGATGAATCAGCTTTTCACATTAATTTGAAACGAGGTATGGCTTGGTCAAAGAAAAGCGCTCCTGCAATAGCTACAGTGCCTACAACGAAAGCAAACGCATCATCGATTTTAGGTGGAATATCTGCAAATGGCTTAATTAATGTTAGCTTGTGAGTTCCAAAGCGTATCAAAAAGAGAAAGCTTGAATGTGCGCCTGATGGTTATAGCATAGTGACAGTGACAGGCCATTATCTAAGCTTTGTAAAGGTTACTCTTGACTAAATGAACAAGTGTCCCAAAATGAAGGAACATTACCTTGTCATGGATAATGCTCCTATTCACAACTCAGCAGACATGAGTAAGTATATCAATTCACGAGGATACAGATTCGTATATCTTCCTCCATATTCTCCTGAACTAAATCCAATTGTGCAGTTCTGGTCAGTTATCAAAACTAAAGTTAAGCGAAATAAATTTTTGAAAAAAGAAACGCAAATGACTAGAATTAGTGAAGCATGCGATAGTTTGTATTTGAGTGATTTCAAAGGCTTTGTTTCTCATTCTGTCAAATGCTTTGATATATGTTTAAATAAGGAGAGATTGTGAAGGGTTTTCTTTTTTTTTTTTTTTTTTTTTTTTTTTTTTTTTTTTTACGTAGACTGTTTATTTCTTATTGTCATCTTTTTCTTTAACGTTATTTTCCTATCATGATTACTATCAGTAGAGAACAAGCAATCTGTATGTTTTACTGTCAGCCCTATAATGAATCAAATATCTCTAAACTTTCCAAGTTAATTGATAACGTGGAGAATATTGAAATCTGCTATTCCTATGACCCCACTGAGCCAATGCTTATTTCTCTCAAAACCCTTCACACTAAGTCCTTCAAATACCATCAATATCCTGCTTTTCTGGAAGATTGCAAAAGGGGTAAGGATAGCAATCAAGCTAATAGATTAGAAAAAAAAAAGAACAATTTATATAAATAATTTTTATTACAAATAATAAACTTTTTATTTTGATCGTTGAGCCGACTTGCTCTTACATTCAAACTTCTTTAATGTATCCCTTTCATTTAACACCTGACTTCTTTTGTATGTCTATACATTGTTGTCAGCTGCTATATTATCTATTATTATTAATTCTAGGTTTGGATGCAGCCTATTGCAAAAAATAGATAGTTAATGAGCTATTCTGCTTTCATATAGATTTGTAACTATCCGCTTACTTTAGGAATTCATACAGATCATTACAGTTTGTTGTCAAACCAGCATAATTCAATGCGACTAAACAACTTTCTCAGTATTTGTGATGAATTTTATCATGTCTATATAGTCAAAATAAGTAATCTATTAATTTAGATATATACCAAGTGTCACTGATTTGCTTACCCTGAGTGTCTCCTTCTGCATGCAGATTTTTATATATTTCACTCCTTTTTTTTTAATCCCTTTTTGTTAACTGGTCGTTAGCTTGAGAAATATAAGGAATGAAAACACGATTAACTAGTGATCTCTCCTTCAAACGTTTATACATGAGGTTTGGTTTAGTAGCCTGGTTCTAGTTTCATCATCTTCATCACCCTTCGACTTTCTAGCATAGCCTATCATTGTAAATCCCTGCTCCTTCAATGTTCAAATCTCTGTTTGATGGTCATTCAACAAGAACACTATTCTTTCAATCATTTTCACTATATAGTTTTTTTATTTTTTTTTTTTTTTTTTTTTTTTTTGGAAAATTAATTTCTTAAATTTTCTTATCTAACATTTGTCTTATCTTACCAAAGTATTCTTTTTTTTTAAGACAGATAAGCGTCTCACAGAGGTTGTAGTGTTACTGACAGAGTGTTTTTCTTTTTGGTTGAACACCAGTTTCCAAACCAAATGGCACTCTTGTCCTTGAATATTTCAGTATATTGTCATAGTACTGAAAATATATCACCGATTGCTAGACTTTTCGATTCATTATTGGGATCATAAGGGAGGAAGCAAGTATTCAAAAACTGAACGATATGTTGTTCTGTTGCTATATAAAAGACACAAAATTATAAGTATTAACACACACACACACACACATATATATATATATATCAGATTTTTTCTTTTTGTGATCTTTACTGAGAAGTATCTTATTTTCATGCAGTTCTTCCTGTTCAGCCTCAGATGAAATCACATCTCTGCTAATATATGTCTTGAATTTGATTGAATTTTGATTTATTCTTAACTGACAAATGAGCATTGGCTCGTCGATGTCATAGGAATGGCAAATATCAATATTCTCCATATCGTCAATCAACTTTGAGAATTTAGAGACGTTTGTCTCATTGTAGGGTTGACAATAAAACATACAGATCGCTTGTTCTCTGTCTATAATAATTTTAACCACATAGATATCAAGTATATTTACATTTGTATAAAAAAAAATAATTAATAAAATCCTACAACAAAAAATATATCTTCTTCTATTACTGTTCTGCTGAATGTAAATTTATAAAAAATAACTTTATACAAGTTAAACTGGGGTAAACTAAGAATAATAAAAATACGCGTAATAATTGATTTTACTCAAAGTAAACAAAAGACATGAATATTTCTAATTAAACTGTTATTCTCTTCCATGGTTGCGCCATCAGATATAATTTATCATCATTCTTATACACAAAATATATAAATACCCTTACAACTGGATTAGATTAATTCATCTTTAATCTTTATAAACCTTATTGACAACTCTCAACGTACTTCTTCTATCTGTTTTATTTTATTTCTTAATTACATTTTATCATATTCTTACCTGTAAACCACAACAAAACTACTACTTTATATAAAATATAGTATATGTTTTTTTCACGATAAATATTTTTTCTTTTACAATGATTAACGACTACTGCATTGTATATAATAAGTAGATTTGAAAAAAAAAAAAAAAAAAAAATTGTTGACAAGATAAGCTGAAAATATAAATTACTAATTTGATTCAAATACCTGAAAGAGACTGGAGAAACAAAATAAAATAAAATTGGCCCTGAACAAAGTCACTGAAAAAAAAAGGGTATTATATTCTCCTTGAAGCTCAATAGAAGAATGAATTTATAGTCGAACACAGCTCTCTATATACTTATTCTTTAAGTATCAATATAAAATCGATATTCTTAAAATTATGGTCACGCTAATTTGAATATTTGTCTAAAAGTATGAATTTATTAAATGTTTCAACACTTGAAATAAGTTAAATCTTTCACTTTTTTTTTTTAAGTGTGATCAATTATTAGTCTTCATAATTTTGTACTTTATACTTATCATTTCTCTTCAATTGTGATTTTTAAACATAGTATACAACTGAATATCCTTTTTCTATTTCATATTCATGACTATAATTTATGATTGTACTAAGCATAAGGGTAAATAAGAATAAATGCGGGTCCTTTCCAAAACAATTGAATGTTTAATATGCCTATTCCTGTTCTATTTTTTTTTCTATATAGGAAGATGTGTTTTGAAGATATCTATTTTTTTTTTTTTTTTTGTACACTATAAATAAAATAGCTGCTTTGATTTATTTAGCATGAGATTGATGTGCAAGTTGGCAGTACCAAGTATAATTTTCATACGCAATATTATTAGAAATAACTTCTGGTGAAAATGAGTAATTCATGAAACGTATAATTTGCATCCCAATTATTTTTAAGAAGCAGTTAAATGGAAAAATGAACTAAATGATATTGTTTTAAATAGTATCCTTTATTCAATTCTGACTTTACGTTGTAAATGCTCAGATGATGAAAAATACCAAAGTGATGATAAATATATTGTTTATGTGTATACAGATCAGAAATTAAATCTAAATAAAGGCGACTAGAGTTGGCTTTCAAGGTCTTCCAATTAACAAATACCTATTACATATAGTTATTTTTTTTTCCTTTTGTAATAAAGAAAGAAAGATGAGGCTCTTTCATACACTTCCAATAATTGCAGTTATATTGGACAACACATGAAACGTATAGTCTTCATGCCATATATACATATCATATCTGATCAGAATACACTTTAAGACGAAACGATTTGTACTCTTATAAAACAAAGGACAGTATTATTAAAATCCTTGTTTCAAACTTGAATCCATTATAGATGCATCTATTCTAGTATCATTCAAAATGTCTAACACAATCTAAACAGTTACGATTTAATACGATGCAATAGCACAACAAGATATAACCTAATAGTCTTTATCTAGACGATTTTTTTTTCTTAAGTAAGGAGAATATAATATCTTTTTTTTTTTTTTTCAGCGACTTTGTTCAGGGCCAATTTTATTTTATTTTGTTTCTCCAGTCTCTTTCAGGTATTTGAATCAAATTAGTAATTTATATTTTCAGCTTATCTTGTCAACAATTTTTTTTTTTTTTTTTTTTCAAATCTACTTATTATATACAATGCAGTAGTCGTTAATCATTGTAAAAGAAAAAATATCGAAAATACCTGCCAAATTTTAAATCTCAGTTCTTGTACCAAAAGTAGATTAAAAATCCATACCATCTAATTAAAGTTTCGGCCTTTAAACTGTAACAAATTACTGTCAAATCATTTAAAATGAGTCATGTGCTATATAAAACAATATATTTCACTTATTTTATAAAAAAAATCAAAACAAAAAAAACAAAAGCTTTTTTTTTGGTAGATAGCGTGCCATTTGTGAAATGCATACATAAAGCAAAGATAGATTTTATTATTCTTCTAATTCAAGTAACTTATACTAAAATGAATAATAAGTCTAAATGTGTAAATAATTATACACTTATAAAGTCACACATCAGCTTTATTGAGTTACTGTTTGATAGATAAAAACAACTCCTGTATACTTTAATTGGATTAAATTTCCTTATTGGGAAAGTCAATGTGGATCGTGCGAAAAGTAGGAACCATTGTGCGAAAAGAAATTTGATGATTCAATTGGCATATTTTTACCTCCGATAGTTAAATCAAAATAAATAAATAAATAAAGGTAATAAATATAATACAGAAGTATAATCATATTGTCAATAATATTAATACCGTTTTTTTTTTGAATAAATATATCTTTTAATTTTTATATATATATACTGTCATTAATAGGCGTATAAAGATATGCAGGAAGTACAAACACCTCCAGCATATAATGAAGATAAAGTAGAATATGAATTAAATACTGTCGAGAGTGATGTGAAATTGGATGATTTCACTATTCCACAGGATCCTATAGAAGAATATCATTTTACATGGAGAGCAAGTATTATCGGCTCTCTATTAGGCTGTTTAGTTGGTAAAAAAAAAAGAAAAAGAAAAAGAAAAAACTTTATAAATTGTGTTTATTTTTATTTTTCTTACTAATCTAGTTTAATACATATTGTGTGGACTTTTATTATTTTACTGATAAATAATAGCTGCATCAAATACTTATCTCGGGTTAAAAATTGGTTGGACCTTTGGTGCATCTCTTTTTGGCGCTATTTTCTCTTTTGCTATCATTAAACCTTTATCTCGTATTTTACCCCCTCGTTGGGGTGGAGGTTACTTTGGCCCAAAAGAAAATTGTACAGCACAATCAGCTGCAACGACCTCTGGCGGTCTTTCGGCCGGTTTTGTATCGGGTATCCCTGCCATGTACAAATTAGGTTTAATGAGATCACCTAAAGAAGATGCTGCTGCCCTCTTTCTTTTCACTATCTCTGCAGCCTTCTATGGTCTCTTTTTCGCTGTTCCTCTTCGTCAACATTTCGTAGTCAAGCAGGACTTGACTTTCCCTACCCCTCGTGCCTCTGCTACTACCATCCTATCCCTTCATAGTACGGTGGAGGGTGAAAAGGAAGCAATGAAGAAAGCGATATGGATGGGTATCTGGTTTGCTATCTCCTTTATTTGGTCTTTAATTTCTTATTGGATCCCATTCTTAGATACAATTCATATCCTTTGGTGGATCGGTCATTCTGCTAATTATATCCCTCTTATGAGCGCTGATGCCAATTGGGGTTGGAATTTCCGTTGGGATTTCCCTTTCTATGGTGCTGGCTTGATGACGCCTGGTTCAACCGTTCTTTCCTTCTTTATTTCTTCCCTCGTTATTTATGGTATCATCGGTCCCTGTTTAGTCTCTTCAGGTTATTTTGTACAACCGATGGGTATCACCAGTAAAGGTCCAACTACTCAATCTTTCTTTTTATGGCCAGGTATTGCTCTTATGGTCTTGACTTCATTCTCTGAACTCTTTGTCCGCTATGATACCCTATGGCGTGGTGTAAAAGGGGGCGCAGTCGGTCTTTATAATGGGTGTAAAAAGGGGTATTACTTTGTAAAGAAATATATCGTTGGAAGGAAGCTCTCTGAACATGAATTGAAGCAAATGAATCCTGATTTGGATGAAGATGAAATCTTCCAGGCGAATCAATTAGTACCTCAATCGTGGTGGATCACGGGCGTTTTTATCTCTATCATTTTCACTTGTGTTATTATGGGTGAATACTTTGGTATGACCGTCTATGAATCCATTATAGCTGTCCTTCTCGGTTTTATCTTGTCCTTTGTTGGTGTTCAAGCCGCTGGTGAAACGGATATTAACCCTACTGGTTCTATTGGTAAAATGTCTCAATTGGTCTTTTCTGGTATACCCGCTCACACAGTCGATCAACTTCGTAAGAACAACTTGATGGCTGGTAACATCTCTGCCTCTGCTGCCTCTCAGGCTGTCGATATGGTAGGCGATTTGAAGACAGGTCAATTAGTAGGTGCCTCCCCTCGTTCCCAATTCTGGGCTCAATTCGTTGCTTCCTTCTTTGCAATCGGTATTGCTGTAGGTCTCTTCATTCTTTTCGCTGAAGCATATCCTTGTGTCATTAGCCCTACATTTGAAGATAACTGTGAGTTTGGTATGGTTGCGGTGAAGGCTTGGTATAATGTCACACTCCTATTAACAGGAGGTGGTGAACCTCTTCCTCGTGCTAGTGTTATCGTTACCATCATTGCTGCTGTCGTCGGTGTCATTGCTCCCTTTATTCGTGAGTTCTTGGTTCCTAAGAAATATCATCCTTACTTCCCTTCTGTCTCCGCTATCGGTATCGCTATGATCAACACGAGCCCTGAGGTTCCCTTGTCTATGTTAATCGGTTGGATTGCAGGTCTGATTTGGAAACGTGTTGATAATAAAGCTTATGACAATTATATGTATAGTGCTGCTGGTGGTATGATCGCTGGCCAAGGTATTTCCGCTATCGTTCAAGCTGTCTTCAAATTGAGTAATGTTGCCCCTTATCCTTATACTGGTTCCTGCATAGAAGGACTCCTTGATAACTGTCCTTAATATAGACAAATAGATATAAATATACATATACATCTATTTGTGTATATAAAAGTATAACCCCCCTATTGTATTTCTATTCTATATATACTCTATTTTGATAATTACTTTTACTATTAATCGGTAATAAATAAATAAAAAAATATATATTTATTCCTACATAATACATTATGTACATGATTAATATTAAAAAATAAATAATTTATTGAAAAAGTGACAATTATAAAATGTATTTCAAATTCTTTTATTGTATTAGTAAAACAAAAAGATAATATTTAAAAAAAAAATTGTGTATATGTTGTATATTATTGTTATACGTCTTTTTATATTACTGCTGTTCCATCATCTATTAATATTATATACACAAATGAATATATAAAATTTATTTTAACGCAATAATGAATATTTAACTCACCTCTGGTGCTCCACCTTGTTGAGGAGCTGGTGCCTTATTCTTTGAAAGACCAGATACAATATCATCAACACGTAATAACAAGCATGCAGACTATATTTACAAATATTTAGAATCCTGATATATATATATATATATATGTATATATATTTACCTCAATAGCTGTCTTAATAGTTTGAACCTTAACAGCAGTAGGTTCCCAAACACCATAATCCTTCATATCCACTACTTTACCAGCTTCTCCATCAATACCAAATGAATGTTCACCTGCAGCATGTTTAGCTCTTAATTGTGTTAAAGTCTTGATAGCATTACCACCACAGTTTTGAACAAGAGTACGAGGAATCACTTCCATTGCTTCAGCAACAGATTTATAAGGCCATTGCTCAACACCTTCAATTAATTTAGCCTTTTCTTCAAGCTTAACAGAGACAGCCATTTCTGTAGCTCCACCACCAGGAGCTAATTTAGCACTAAAGAAGACATTACGAGCAACACACATAGCATCTTGAAGATTACGTTCAACTTCATTAATGATATCTTTACTGGGGCCACGCAAAATAATAGAACAAGCTTTAGGGTCTTCACATTTTGTCAAAAAGGTAAAGTATTCATCTCCAATTTTATCAATATGGAAAAGACCACACTTGGTACCTACATCAGATTCACGAAGATCATCAACACGATTCACAATCGTGGCTCCAACTGCACGAGCAATACGATTATTATCTGTTTTACGAACACGACGAATAGCTGTAATATTTGCCTTTACAAAATAATGTTGTGCAAGGTCTAGAATGAAATTTTAAATACATGTTATACATATACTTGTATATATATTTACCAGAAACACCCTTTTCAGTAAAGACCAAATCAGGCTTCAAAGCAATAATCTTATCACACATAGCCTTTACTTGTTCTTCTTCAATTTGAAGAATACGATTCCAATCAGCCTCCTTTGAGATTTCAATATTCGTTTGTGATTCACCCTTCTTATATTCGAGTGGGCAATCCAATAAAATAATTCTAGGATTTTCAATACGACGACGCATCTTGGGATGAGTTACATCCTTATTTAAAATAATACCATCCAAAACTTGTGATTCTTCAATTTCACCCCCTGGGATCTATATGTCATGTTAAAAGATATATTCATATAGACACTTTTTTTTTTTTTACCTTTTCAACACGAGCATATCTCTTAATATCAACTTCAGTTTTACCAGTACCTTCTTCCTTAATAGCAACACAACGAACAGCATCTAAAGCAAGTTTACACATTAAATCACTCCAAGTACTAACAAATTTTGTGCCAATAGAAGACTTGATAAGTGCCATCATTTCATCTGTATTGTCAACATCAACAGGATTAGAAATTTCTTCTACAATCTGTAAAGCATCTTCAAGTGCCTTTTTAAAAGCACTAATAATAACAATAGGGTGAATGTTATTCTGAATATGAGGCAAGGCACCGGCAAGTACTTCACCAGCTATGTAGATATAATAGATTAGTTTTTTTTTTGTTTGTTTCTATCGAAATGTGGTTTACATTATAAAACTAAAAAAAAAAAATTACCAAGAATAATAACACTGGTGGTTCCATCACCAACTTCTTCATCTTGTGTTCTGGATAACTCAATCATGCTTTTAGCAGCGGGATGATCAACTTCAATTTCACGCAAGATGGCATTACCATCATTGGTCAACAAAATGCCACCCATTGGATCAAGTAACATCTTGAGCATAGATCTAGGACCAAGACAAGTGCGAATTACATCAGCTACAGTCTAATGTTTTTTTTTTTTTGTTATTAATAAATCATTTTGCTTTCTATCAATCGTTGATGATACATATATATTTATATACCTTAGCAGCAGTAATATTTGAGAGTTGAGCTTTACGCCCAGACTCACGCTCCATATTAGTATCTAATAGTTAATTTTTTTTTTTTTTAAGATGACATTTCCTAATTTGCTTTACATGTTTATATATAAAACATACTCATAACAAGAACTGGTGCTTGCATCTTTGTTCTTCTTTCAAATTGATGGAGAAATGGGAAATAAAAAAATTTTTTTTTTTTTGAAAGACAAGCGCGTAAAAAAGTTAATTACACTCATATAAATAAATATACTTTTTTTTTTTTCTTTGACATTCTTTTCATTACCAGCAGCCAACAAAAAAAGGGGGGGCAGGTAGGTATGAGTAGGATCTATAGTAGTAAAATAATATGAACTCAGCCATATCCTCTTTTTGGGTGCTATAATAAGGACACTAAGAAATAATTCCAAAAGTCAATTGCTTTATTTATTCGATTCATTACTTATGCACCTGAATACAACAGGCCTATTTCTTTTTTGATTGAAAAATAAATTAAATAATAATATTTAGACTTGCATTTGTTATTTATAATGGAATGTACGACATCATTTTTTTTTTTTTCACTTAAAGTCATAAATACCTTGAAAAAGTATATAAATAAGTTGGAACCTACCTTCTTTTTTTTTTTTTGATATCACTAAATGAAGGACAATGAAGTCTGAAGAATGTTTCATCAATATCCATAATATCAAATCAAAATAGTGTCCACTACAAATTTATTGCTCTAGATTAATAAAAACTTGTAACTTTCTTTACTGCTTTTAATAAATTAGAATGATTATTATATTGTCTCTCCCCTGTTACACTTTGATTGTGATTAAAGAGGAAAAAAAAACAAAAAAACAAAAAAACAAAAGAAAAATAAAAAGGGTGAGTGAGGAGGGAAGGCCGACTACGTCGAATTAGAAATGTCAAAAGTAATGCCAACGTAACGTAACTTTTCAATTAAATCAGTTTCCCAGAAAGCTGTAGCAGGAGTCAAGACACCATTAGGAACAAATCCTTTATTTTTGTTATTCAAGATTGCCATAGCACATTGGAGAACAATACGAGGGGTAGCAACATATCCTGATTCAGGGCCACGGACAACCACTTTAATACATCGATTAGGAGGAACATTATAACCTGGCGTTAAAGCATGATCATAGCCTTTAGAGCGAAGTATAATTTCAAAGGAAGACTGGTCTAATTGAGCTTTTGTGGGATGTTCTTTAGAGAAAAGGCCATGTGAAAACAACTCGGGATGATTTAATAAAAGAGTACGTCCCCATGTATATGAAGCTAAGAAAGAAAAGATAAAACCGTAAATAACGTACAAAATAAGCACCCAGAGTGAAGGCAATAATAAATAGGCAGCAAATTGAATAGGTGGAGGAACGCCTACATCTGACTTTTGTTTCTCAGTATTAGCCAAGCCAGTTAAAAAGATTTTCTGAGAAAGACGAACAACTGAAGGGTCTGCAAATACAAATGGAACACGATAGCCAAATTCATCATCACGGCTTGCTCCTTTATGGAACACTATTTTTTGTCCTTGAGGATAAGGTAATTCTTTTAAAGTGCATGCTTTACGAATTTCTTTAAGAAGTTCAGCTGAACCAAATCCATGCACTTGCAAAAATATATATATGTATATATATATGTATATGAATATATGTATTTTTATGCGAATACATGTATTTATTCATACCTGCAGATTCGTATGTCGCATAACCTCCACGCATACCAGCTTCACCAATATGAAGTCTTAAAAACATTTCAATTTGAGTAGGAGTCCAGCCATGCTGAGTATAAAGATTTTTTGTATATACAACGCCCATATCAGTCGGTACCTTATAACAATACAATCAATATATCAAGTAAAAAAAAAAAAAAAAAAAAAAAAATACGTGTATTATTATTATTATTTACACTGTCAAATCCACAAGCATGAACAATAGTAACATTGTTAGCTACAGCTTTATCTTGATATGTATATTGCATACGTTCGATAAATTCAGGCTCACCTAAATTCAATTTTATCTTAGCGTATGTATTCAAATATAGAGCATATATATTTACCGGTGACATCAACATAATTACAACCATTCTCAATACACGATTGAACAACATGTTCACCCATAAAACGAAATGGCCCTACAGCATTGATGAGAACCTTACTTTGACTAGTCATAGAATCTAATTGTTCTTTTTGATGAACATTAGCAATTAAGATGGTCGGTTTGTTAATTGAAGCTTTAGGAAATCGACTGGCAAACTCATCCACAACCTCTTCAAGCTTTTCAGCGCTTCTACCAGCAATAGCCCATCGAAATTCAGATGGATAAAACTCGGGTCTATCAACAGAAAGTTCAAACACATGCTTAACAATTTGTTTACCAGTTAAGCCAGTGCCGCCAAAAATAGTTATATCAAATTTATTCATATTCATTCAAAAAAAAAAAAAAAAAAAAAAAAAGAAACAAAATTGAAAATGAAAATGAAAATGAAAATGAAATAAAATAAAACCTTTTTTCTAAAACATTTAATGTTATCATAAGACCAATAGCTGGTGTTATGCAATTGTAATAGGGCAAACAATGCTAAGCACAAGCATATGAATATTATATAAACATTCAATAGATATATAGTCTATATAAAAGGGTAGTATGATAATAGTTTATAGTACTTTTTACACCCTTTTACTAAAATAATGTTTTACTTTTTCAAAGAAAAGTATTGCGCAATTTAGAGAAACAATATAAATGCATATCATACGATTAAATATGTATTTTAGCACCTTTTTTTTTTTAAAAAAAAAAAAAAAAAAAAAAAAAAAAAAAACTAATAAACACGTAGTTATAAAAGCTGATTTGCTTCAGTCAATTTAAAAAAGTTTACAAAAACTAAAACGCCTTTTTAGACAAAGATAAAAGAGGAAAGACTAAAATTGATATATACATAAATCTAGTAAAAATAATAATAAATGGTTTCAGGGAAAGGTAAATTACGTTAGCCGCTCAGCTAAGAAGAAACCAATGTTGGAGAATGAAGAAAGAATAGAAGAATGAGTCAGGAAATCTATTTCTTGCAAAAGGAAGCATAGATGATCAATGAACAAAATAAGGGGATGCTGAGTTAAAGGACTTTAGGTCTTTTTTTTTTTTTTTTTGTAGGAAGGTTATTGAATAAAAGTGAAAGAGAATTGTCAGCTATTCAAGGCTATCGTAATATGCAGGATATATGTAGATAGTGAATGAACTAAGATCTATTAAATAATTAACCAGAATGAAAAGAACAGGGTGAAGGGCGACCATATAATAACTATCCGAAAAGTCGATAGATATAACGGCTGCAGCTTTAGTTTATCATTAGAAATCATAGTATAGAATTAATTGTCAAAGTATTATGATAAGCTAAAAAAGTGTTTAGAGCAACGAGTTGAGCATCTTTCAGTCAAATTGTTAAGAAAAAAGGATGATCGTATAGAATTAAAGACATGCAAGTCGAAAAAATATCAGTTAAAGGAATAGAGAGAAGATTTGGACAAACAGTACCATTAGACTGTGATTGATAGAGGATTGAGGATGAGGCAGCAACCAAGCGTGTAAAATATCCTTGATCATTTATAGCCATTATCCAAATATATTCATATCTACTATTCTAGGAAGGATAAGAAGGTGTCTTTCCTGATCCTAAAGCTTTCTCTACAGAAGTCTACTGTTTTTAGCTATTGTGTAGACTTCTATGCAGTGCAATTAATGATGATACATTTTGGTTTCGTGTAATAAAATCATTCCATATAATAATATAGAACAAGTAAAGCCTATTTGCGGTGTAATAGCTCAATCTTCGTTAATATACATACATATATATACTGTATAATCATTATCTAGTTTGACATAATTTTCATCTAAGAGTGTGTTCCTCCACTTAACACGCTTACAAAGTTCATCTTTTTGCATTATGAACTAAAAATATGATTGTTTAAATGTACTACAGAATGCGACATATAATATGGCTTTTTTCTTTTTTTCTTCTACACTTTAATTTTTTTTTCTTGTAATATCATGTTTGTTAAAGGTTTACTGCAGACACTTTTACAGCTTCATTATCTTTTGTATTTATATTTTGCTTTTTTTGTTGGTTCTTTTCCCATTTACTAGGATCTACTATCTTGTTTTTATTTTTAATTTTAGGCTTCTTGATCAATTCACCTTTATCACATAATAATTCTAATCCTTGATCCTTGGTCCACATAGGATACACTACTTCTTCTAATTTATCGATTTCATTTTGAGTGAATTTAGCTAATACAAATCCTGCTACTACTTCATAAGATCGATCATCAATTTCTGCTGGTGGACGACCTATGCCTATTCGCACACGTTTAAACTCATGTGTCTTCAGATTTTCAATGACAGATTTGATCCCATTATGTCCATTAGCAGATCCACCTTCTTTTAGATTTACTTTTCCAAGATCACGTTGCATGTCATCATGAAATACGTACAAGTTTTGTAAAGAAACACCCAAGTCTTTTACTGAACGAAAAGAGAAAAATAAAGACAGAAAATATGAGTCGATCATTTCAAGTGGATTCAAGATTAAAGATCTTTAATATACCTGCTTTAGCAACACAGGAACCACTAACATTCATCAATTTTCTTGGTTTTAAAAATGTTACTTGATATTCTCTTGTTTCGTCTTTTCTTTCAACTTTGATCGTCGTTTCAGTTGTATCTGATTTCCAATTTCGGTTCTGAGACCAGGTTAAATCCAAAGATTTTACAATTGAATCAAGTACCATCATTCCTACATTATGCCTTGTGTTCGGTAAGGTTTTATTACCGAGACCAACAAGCTGTTATATTGTAACATGTTATTAAAATATAAATTGACTAGCTGCATCTCTTTTATTTTTCTCAAATTTACCAATATTTTAGTATTATTCATACTTTAAAAATAATAATAATAAAAAACTTTTTTTTTTTTAACATTGGTAAAATATAAAAAGCGGAGAAGAAAGGAACAATAAGTACTTTTAAAATACAGTCATTTCAAAAAGTGAAGGCAAAAAATCTTGCTGTCCAACAATGATGTCACTTCACATAATATAAATCTCGTTATCACTTAGTGATTGCTAAATAAAAATCCTTGGTACTTTTATTATATGAACGACACAATATTTCTATGTTCCTTTTTTTTTTTTAATTTATTTACAGACATTCAAATGAGTATACATTTTTTTTAAGACATGTACCTTTTGACTTTTGAAAGTTATTTAAAGCCTAACTTTTTATATCTCATATAGATGCAAAAATTTGTTCTGTCCTAATGATTAAATACGCCATAATTTAAAGCAAAAAAAAAAAAAAGGGTGGGTGATAGCTCATGTCTTTGAAAGAAGGTAAGTAAGAGATGTTTCTATTCTAATAAGACATAGGTTTCATTAAGCGCATCAAGACGATTTAATCTGACTAAAGTTGTATATTTAACTGATATCAACAAGCTATAGATTTGAACATCTTTAAAGTGACAAGGATATATAAACATATATTGTATCACCGTATACATGTTGTATATGTCAGGACCTAAGTTACTCTTAATTATTTTCATAGTGTTGTAACTCATCAAAGCACACGTTAAATAATGATATTTGAATTTATATATAAATGCTCTTTAATAATAAAAATGAAGGGATAGTTAACTATCTTTAAATAGTTAGTATTTGACGAATCACTTATAGTCTTTAATTTTCTTATATGCATTTTCTACGCCTCAGAATAAAGAGAGCTCTAGATTTGTCTGCACGATACAAAATAGCACAAAGAATAAATGTATATATCTCTTTTGGTTACAATTAGCATTTACTCTACTGTTCCATTTCCCTTTATTTATTCAATGAATAAGTTGTTTACTGAGAAAAGATAATCTGATATCACAGCCTACAGCAAATAATTTATAATTTGATAAGAGGTAGCTAATAATTATAATAACTTCAAGAGATAAATAAATACTTTTTTACTTCAAACACTACTGTAGATAAAAAAAAGGTATACATATATACAAGCTACTCTCAGATATTACTTGTTAATGCTCTTCTATATACTCAAAGAATAGAGTCAATTATACTAAAGTCTATAAATGGACAAAATTTATATAAGCAGCAACAGAGGGGGAAAAAGCTCCGTTTAAATAAATAAATAAATAAAAAAAGGGGGAGAAAGGAGCTTGGCATTCAATATGTATGATGATCTACATCTAAAGTGTAACAAAGGTAAACAGAGTCATATCGTTAAATCTTTCTAATAGAAAACAATAAGCCACAATAAATTATTGTGCCTATTAGAAACCTTTTGTTTATGTGAAAAAAAAAATATAAATAGGGGAAGAAAAAATTTATTTTTGCTTTTCTTTTTCTTTTCTTTCTTTATGAAAGTGATATTCTGAGGATATTGGTCACTATAAACAATAAATCGTCAGTGATATTCTCCGGATAATGGTCACTCTAAATAATAAATCCCCCAGTGAAGTTATTTGGATGTATTGGTCACTTAAAATATTCAATCCCGAGAGTATCTTTCATTTGGAGTTTTCACGTCTCTCGTTAAATATGACTGTGAAAGGAAGCACATAATGATCAACCTCCACGATTGGTTGCTTCTGGAAACAGTAGTCTTTTTTATTATATAAAGAAGCTACTGGCTAATTGGATCATTACCCCTTTTTTATTATTAATTATAAATGAAAAAAAAAACTTTTATGTAATAACGACTTGTAGAAGATGATTCAATACTAACTAAATGTGCTTTGTAGTTGTTTATGTACTGTATTGATTATCATCTTTATAAGTTGGGGTAAGGATTAACAAACAGGATTGTTAAATTAGTAATATCAATAAAAAAAACCAGGTTTTAGCTGTGATTTTCTAATTAAAAAACAACGATGTAGACCCATCGTGATAATAGGCATTTTGCACTATGAAGTTGTTACTGAAATAAAACAAAAGAATCAAATCCAATGACTGAAGGTTATATCATATTACCAACAAAGTCTTTAAAAGGCATACTGGATAATTTTACCATTAAAAAATAAATAAAGGGATTAATTAAAAAGAGCATAACATTCAGGGTGATATCTCTATTAAGATATCAGAAAATAAATAAACATAAAATTATATTAAAAGATTGTAATAAATCAACGAGACTGAACAATATATTTTTACAAGGTGCATAGTTAAAAAAAAATTATTTCGCTTCTGGTTCCCCATCAATCTAAGCAAAGTCAAAAAAAAAAAATGCGTGTTTGCAGATAAAATTGAGTTTAGTTTGCATATAATTCAAAATAATGAATGGTCTAAAAAAGGTACATCCGTAAATGTTGAAGTCTATACATATATTCACTCCCGAGGGTATCAGTATGTATATCTTCCTCTATATTCCCCTGAACTGAATCCAATCGAACAGCTCTTGTTTTAAATGTAAAAGATAAGGAAAGAGAAAACGGAAGAAACAAATCTGTAAAAACTCTGTATAGTTTATTAAAAGAAAAATAATACAAAAATTGTATCCAGAAAAATAATATGGAAAAATGATAAGGGCTATTTACATATTTTTATGTAAGGTAAGTGATATTAACAGAAGCATAATTCGGATAAATGAATACTGGTATAATAAAGCATTATGTGTAAATATTGTCTCCCGAATAATTCTGATTGCAATAATATATATTTTTATCTTCCCCTCCCCCGGAACTGTCGCTGCTACCAAAAATATAACCAATTATTATTTTTGAGGCAAGCAACGCGTTAATACCAATTCACAGTAAATATTCAAGCTATAACGATAATACCTATTATTCATATTCTACTATCCTTCAAAATATCATTACATAACAAAATTATATAAATTATTGTATAATTGCATAACAGTCATAATCTTATTATTAGATAATGTAATGTAGTGGCTGTTATTAAAACTAAATGTAGAATAAATATTATAATGTGAAGTACAATACATTAGTTTTATTTGAATAACCTTTTTATTATTTAAATAAATGATGGTTTATTTCTATCAACTTAGTTGTAAAGACGACTACAATCATAATAGCCGCGGTTCTTTTTCATGTTGGAAGTGATCCACTTCATATAACAGAAGTTGGATAGTTGGCCAATGTAGAGTCCACTGACTGTAATTGTCATGATGCTTAGTAGGATGAATTGGTAGTAAACTTAATAAAAACGAAATAGTAAGTAGTTGAAGGTGGCAGAAAAATAACAAATAATTCAGTATTTGAACTTCAAATATTGTAGTTCCTAAATCAAGCACGCATACTTATAAATAATAATGCTTTTTTTTTTTAATTAAATTCTGTTTTTTTTTCTTTTCTTTTATAGTATAAAGATAAATATTCTATTATATGGAGTAAAATCTATCATAAATAAAAGATTCTTCATATATATATATATATATATATATGAAACCAGCTTAAAAACTGTTAGGAGAATGAACTAAAGGAACATATTCTGGAATATACATGGAGCTTTGAACAACATCGCTTAATAGTTCACCTTCTTTTAATACAGAAGTAGCAATCCCTTCTTTGTAAGCTATCTCACAAACACGAGTACCAACAGCCAAAGCTACATCACGCAAATGATGTACACCAGGGAAAAGAATACCTTGCTTTAATTGTTCAGGACTGGCCATATTGGCAATCGTCTTTGCTGTTTCCAAAAACATAGTTGGAGTCACCCGTGTGGCTCTTGAGACAGTAATACCTAAACCAAGACCAGGGAAACTATAAGAATTGTTACATTGATTTGTCTTTCCAATACGACCATTAGGTAAGATAACATCCTTGAATGGACTACCAGATGCAAAGATAGCACGACCCTCAGTCCATTTAAAGGCTTCCTCAGCACTACACTCAGCACGTGTATCAGGGTTACTTAGAGGGAAAACAACGGGTTTTTCTTGATAAGCTGTCATTGTTCGAATGGCCTTTTCTGTAAATACACCAGGGACGCCTGTGAGACCCAAGATGACTGTTGGCTTCACTTTCTCTACTACATCCTCAAGACTTAATCTGTCACACATATCAGCTTTAACATAGCATTGTTGACGTACATCTAATTTGCTCAATCTTTCACTGCCTCCTACTACGACTGATTGAGGATCCGTCCTTTTCAAGTTGGGATTGCCAAGAAGACCATACTGATCCAACATCCAAATACGAGAATAAGCTTCTTTACGAGATTTAACTTTGCCTTGATCTACCATGGCATCAATGATACCTTCACATACACCTACACCAGCAGATCCAGCACCAACACATACAATACGCTCTTCATGAAGTGAATCAATAGGTCGATTACGTGCTTTTAATGATGCAAGAATACCCGCTAAAGTGATAGCAGACGTTGATTGAATATCATCATTAAAGCAAGTGAATTTATCTTTATCTATAGAGACAGACAGGCAAATGAATAACAGTAAAATGATCATCAAGTGATTTTACTATACGTACATTTGTTTAATAAATCATAAGCATGTGGATATTTAAAATCTTCAAACTGAATAAGTGCATCTATTGATTATTATTATTATTTTTTTTTAAAAAAAAAAAAAAAATAAAATAAAAAAAAAACACGAAATAGCAAAATATACATAAACATAAATAATAACTTACTAGGCCATCTGCTTTGAATAGCAGTTATCCACTCATCAATAAAAGAATGATAGTCTTCACCATCTAATCTAGGATGACCCATACCAAGATAAAGTGGATCATTTAATAAATTTTCATTATTTGTACCAACATCCAAAACAACAGGGAGTACAGCACGAGGACGAATACCACCAGCAGCCACATACTAAATAACATTATGAAAAAAAAAAGTACAATAAATAAAATAATAAAAATAATCTAAATGGGTGTGTTACCAAACTTAGTTTCCCTATTGGGATTTGCATCCCATTAGCTCCTAAATCACCTAAACCTAAAACACGAGAGCCATCTGTAACAACGATAACATCAACTTCATCATGAGGCCAATTATATACCATAGCAGACATAGATCCTCTATCTTGAGTAGAGAAATACATTCCTCTAGAACGACGATAAATTGAATGTGATAATAAACATGCTTCTCCAACTGTATAAATGTATTTTTTTTTTCAAAAAAAAAAAAAAAAAAAAAAAAGAATAATTGAGTGAGGGTGTAACGGGAAAAGACGGATAAAATTCGATTCAGTAATTAAATTACCGTCTTTACTTTACCAGTGGGGGTATAAATAATACCAGCTAATTCATCCAGATAATTGATTAAAAGCTTATAAAATAATGTCTCGTTACGGTCTTGAAGTGAAATTAAGAAAACAAATTTTGCTAAAGGAGTTTCTAAAGCGTCTAAATTACGTTTAACTCTAAGTAATTGTCTTTCCATTTCTTGACAACGAGGAGGCACTAGTCCACGAATGGAAAGTCGTTCTCTTTCAGCAATACTAAATGCAGTACCTTTTTTTTTTTCGTTATTATTATGTAAATAATGATATATACATATATACATACATATAATTTACCTTTAGAAAGTAAAGGATCATGCAGTATATTAACACCTCTAAGTGGAGTTAAATGAACTGTTTTATCTTTTCTTGGATCTGATCCAAAATTTATTGCTGAAGCAGGATAACCATAAAAACGTCGACCAAGAATACGATTTTGTTTAATAAGACGTCTCATTGAATTTGACATGACATTTGAATGCAACATTTTTAACAAAAAGCTTTTTTTTCTTTTCGATGAAAAAAAAAAAAGGAAAAAAGAAGGGGAGAAAAGAAAAAGAGATTTAAATACAATAAATATAAGGTTTATAGTATTGATACTCTACATGGTGTATATTTTAAGCTCTTATTGTTGCCTTATTTAATACATAATCGTGGGTGATGAGCCAGTACCTTGTTCAGTAAATGCACACAGTAAAAAAAAACCAGTCAAATAATATTTCAAATGCCGAAAACATTTGTATTGTAAAGACTTTTCCTCGATTCAATCATTTTTATAAGCTATCAAAAACAGAATTATAGACCAAAAAAATAACAATAGTAAAGGAAAAGAAAAACAAACTTATTTTAAGATATAGTGGAAATGATTTACAATGTAAAATTACAACCTACAAGTACATAATTATTTATTTTTCATGTGTTGTAAAATATTTTTTTAACGTCTAAAAATATCTCAAAAAAAAAAAAGAAAGAAAGAAAAAGAAGGAAGGAGGGAAAACTGGTAGAAGCTTTAGTGTCTTTTAGTTTTTTTTTTTTTAATCCTAAATTTCAGTTAGGGGAGAATACCTTCTACTTTCATAACCAAACCAAAATTTTGACGTGTATATATTTTTTTTCGTTTATTTGTTAAAATCTATAAACTGAAAAACAGAACAAAAGACTACATCATAAAGTATTTCTATGGATATCATTAGGGCTTCAAATGGTAATAATGTCAGCTCTGAAAAAAAAATAATAATAATACAACAGATACCTATCAGTAACCTTCTCCCTTCCCTTTTTTAAGGTACATTTATAAAGAAAAACAATATAAGTACAAGAGTGCATGATGCTTAGCCTCTTTATGGCCACTTTTGAGCAACAACAACAGTAAAATATTGATGGCTAATGGAACTTTCTAAATGATTTTTTTTTTGGGGGGACGCAGGTACGAGTTCTCTTTATTTTTATTTTTATTTTTATTATTGCATATTCTTGAATGTATGAATTATTGAATTGTTATCATATTTCTTCATTTTTATTTTATCTTGAAAAAGAAAAATAGACGCGTTTTGTTTGTTTGCTAGTTTAATAAGAGAATATGAAGAAAATCTAAACTTACAATGATAATTCCTAACAGTATATTTTTTTTCACAATAGCATGTTTATTGAAAGCATGTATAAGTAATTGATGTATATTGCACTTTGGAAAGTCGAAAAGTTGTTTAGTACAAAATGGCTATATTGTAATAAATAAAAGCAACATAAAATATTATATAATTTTAGCATAGATCAACACATATTACAGTAAGTATATAAATATACACTTACATTTGTTATTGCTAAATGCTATTTATTGATTAAAATATGTTGATTCTTAGCTAGTACATTCAATACATTGCAACCTTCAGCTCATTCTTATAAGTGATAAGCAACAGCGTATGTCCATTAAATATAGTTATGATAATCCTTAGTTCATATCTATATTGCATTTAATCATTGTTATATTTTGAGATGTATATGTACTATCAGTTAGATGTTCCAAATATGCTTTTATATTATTTTTTTTTAAGGATACTAACACCTATTATTGACATAGTTAGTTCTTTTACCGTATTGTACTGCTACACACACTTAAATAACAAGATCTTAAAAAAAAAAAGAGAGAGAGATCTTTTGATCTACAAGAGGTTTAATAAACAAAGAGTAAATTGAATTAAACCAATGACTTGCAAATGATAGTCAATTTCAGGAACAAGTTTTTGGGAATATAAAATAACATTTCTCTTGTTGTAACCCCAAATTAAGAACCTTCAATTATTTTTGTATACCTTCCAATCTTTTTTTCTTGATGCTTTAACTACATATGATATGTATAAGAGAAAGAAATTATCAAGTTAATTGCCTACATTTCAATGATTTGTGCATAAATCTTTCTAGCATTTTCTTCTTTATCTTTATTTTTTTTTTTCATCAAAATATGAAAGAGAGAAAAATATTATAGAGAAATGAAGACAAACAAAGTTTCTAACGAAAGTAAAATAAGAAGGCCAAATACAGGAATTATAAATTCGTATCGTTAAACAATAATAGAAAAGCCAGACTTGCAGCTGATATTATTGTAATGAACTGAACAAATATGCGTTCAAAGATAAAAGTAAATAATGAACGCAACAACTTGGTGAGGTAATAAAAAGATTCTCACCAAACATACAGAATCTCTAAAGGGAAGAGAAAAAAAAAAGAATTAAATAATTATAATTTCGTTGAGTTTTTGGAGACAAGAGTTGCATTATAACCTAACTTCTCTATTTATTTATTTATTTTTTGACAGTTAACCATAATCATTCAACTATACTATCGTATCCTCATTTTGAGTTAACAAAAGGCAAGCTCTGTCTTTGATATGGAATAGTGATAATAGATAATGTATATTTATAGACACATCATCAATAGAAAAAGGATATTTGTAAAAGTCATTATTTGTATGGATAGAAGTTATTTCATTCCTATTTTAGACGCTATTCAAGAACAAGGGATTTTAGAATTAACATTGAGGAACCCAAGAGCAATTTCAGAAATAAAAAAAAAAAAAAAAAAAAAAAAAAAAAAAAAAAAAAAAAAAAAAAAAAAAAAAAAAAAGGCATGATCGGTGCATGAAATAAAAAGATGTTTGAATTGATTGAAAAAATAACAGTAAAATATTGACATAACTACAGACTCGAATATTGAATTGTACATATTCAATTTCAAGCGACATATATGAAAGTAGTAGCTATAGTAAAAAGATTAAAAAGGAAGCTTTTCAAATCAGTCGTTTAACAACAACAACAACAACCCCTTTTTTTTGTTGTTTTATAACCATGACAACATATTCTTCCTTTCATAACTTTCAAAATTGAAAGATATAAACGATATAATCGTGGAGATTAAAATATTTTAAACATGAAAAAAAAAATATGTATTTACTATAATAATGAAGCTAATTCTTTGATAAGGAAAGAAAAAAAAAAACCGCTTAACCTACATTCATGAATATTATTATATGTCTCATTCCTTTTGTTGCTTATTTTAGGATTAAGTCAATATTACTTTATTACATAATATGCTCATGCGTAATACATTAAAAAAAAGATCGCCCTATTAATATTATTTGTCCCTTAAAATTGTGACAAAAAGAGAGTAAGAAAAAGAGAAAGAAAAGCCATTATAATCTGTGCAACAGAATATTAATTATATAAGCAATATATATATATATATATATGTACATACATGTATTTATATATAACGTAAACCAAAGGAAAGAGAGAGGGGGGGAATATGTGATGGTTATATAATACAATTATTGTTATTATTACATGTCTTTTTGATTTGTTGTTGTTGTAGAAGATAGTTTTTTCTTGTTTGAACTACGAGGAGCAGTTAAATCTCTCCAAACGAAGCAGAAGTTACCTTCTAACTGCATTTTTGGTTTTCTGCCTCTTTTCTTTTTTGGTATACTTAATGTTGTATCCATAGTTGTATTTGTAAATATATTTTGTTGTTGTTGCTGCTGCTGTTGTTGTTGCCCATCTTTATTATCATTAATAGGCCAATGTAATACCATAAAATCATCATGATGATCTCCTACTTCACTTGTTAGTGATGTAGGTGTTCCTGGACTATCAATGATTGTGTCTTTATGCTTTACATCCCATACAGTGGGCGTCACAAATGTCCAATTCTCATTTTGTATTGTTTGACGTGAAGCATTCGATGGTCGACCACGCTTTCGTTTCACGGTAGTATTAGTAGAAATAGATGTTGTTTTTTCATCTTGACAATATACAGGTGGATCAGACAATCTTCGGTTTATAGTAAAATCAGTAGGAGAATTTGCTGAAGCATTAGAAAGTGATCTATATCTTCTAGTATTTACGGGAGGTGGTAATAAAAGATTACAATAAGGTGATATTTGAGGAGATGATAATTGAGGCGGAGAATCGAGTGATAAAGAGTTCATAAATGGTGATAAAGAAGGAGAAGAAGATGTGTCAGTATTAGGCTCAACTGGTTCTAAATATGAAAGAGATGGAGAAGGGATAATTATAGAAGGAAGATCGGCTATAGGTGATATAGGAATATCATCATCGTCATCATTTGGTTGCAATAATGTACTGACAGGTGGTAAAGTACAGCTACTTTGACTATCTTCTTCTAAACGCGGTGAAGGTGGATGTAAATAAAATTCTATATTTTGTGCCATTTTTACTATAAAAAGATATTTCTATATATATAAAAAAAAAGTAGAAAGAAGAAAAGGAGTAAAAAAAAAAAAAAAAAATAATAATAATTTATTTTTTTGTCTTATTTTACCATGTTTAGTAAAAAAAAAAATGGAAATCGAGGAAACTTCTTCTCAACGATTTCTTTTTATCAAATTCGAATTCAGTTGATAAATAGCACAAAATAATAAATCCACAGAAAAGAAAATAAAAATTATCAAAATTATTAGCTAATGCAATACGTTATATTTAAAGGAAAAAAAAATAAAAATAAAAAGACTTTCAAAAAGACAAACTGGAAAGTCATTTCAAGTCTTTAGTCATGCTTGTCTTGTTTTGAGTTGATTTTTAGGCTTTATTTATTTCGTACATCATTCCTAAAAATTTTAACCGTTACTAATACTGTTACAATCTATTATCCAACTCTTATTATGACATGCTTTAGTATGTATTTGGAGACCATTTTATATACATAAAATACTCAACTATTGCATTCCTGAAGTTTAAATATTTATCTTCTTATATATATTAAAATTCTTATTTACAGATATGTAATTCATAGTATTAATGAAGCCGTTCCTTCTTAATTTACTTTTCTCTCTCTCTCTCTCTTTTTTTTCCTTTCTTTCCAATAAAGATAAATTATTGAGTACAAACCCATTGATATCCTTCCTAGGAAAATCTCCAAATAATAACAGTACTCATTCTTATTCTGGTGCTATAAGTGAATAGTTTATACTATAATTTAAGTTATAATAACCTGAATCAAAGCTGCCAATTTCTAAATATTATATTTATATATGCATGCTATATAATCAAGAGAGACTATCTAGGGAAAAGAAAAAATATGTATTACCATCTTTACAGTCACTCATTTAACAGCTAAAGTCATTTTAGTATAAAAACAACGTGGTAAGAAAAAAAAAAAGTTTGACATCATAGAACGGGGTTATTACATGCTGATTTACAAATTACTATTAAACCAAGAATAATTGATAAATATCATAAGTCCGTTATTATTATAAACTGAATAAATACAAACAAGTGATAAAGATATTGTATAAAAAGTCCATTCGACATAACACAGTCAGCTGCTTTATATTTATCATTGATATATGATATTCATCTTATTTTATAAAATATGATTTCCCCAGAGTTGTCTATAATTTAGAAATTTATATTAATCATTTGAGACAGGTATTTTGTTTACTGTAAAGGTAATAATAGCCGCTCAAGTTTTATTCTAGTTCACTACTTGTTTGCTTACTTACTATACAATAAATTATTTCTACTTACATAGTAAATAATATTTTATTTATTTTCAAACGAAGGCAAATATGTTCTATTTTACTTGAGAAAAAACAAAGTAATATATAATTCTATATTTGGATAAATTATAAGGTTTCATACCTGTTATGGTACATAAATAGGTAAAATACTATATTATTGGCTAAGCTTGTCGATCACTTATCTAGAATCTCTGAAACTAAACTAATTTATTGTTGAAACTATATATACAAATATATATATGTATTTACAACCAATGAATACGTAGCTTTAAAAGCTGTTTTGCTCATCAGTTCAAAAATAAAAAGTTAACAGAAACTAAAAAATTCTTTCTAGACAAAAGGTTAAAAAGTAAAGGCTAAAATTAAGAGAAAAATACAAACACACATACATACACACATATATATATACATATAAGGAACGGGCTATTTAAATGGAAGAAGTGGTTTCATAAAGAGGTAGGCTGAGATAACCGCTCAGTCAAAAGTGAACCAGTAGCATTGGAGAGAGGAGAAAAGACAAAGGAAAGTTCAGGTTTTGATATCTTAATAGAGATATCACAATACTCAAATTGTAAGGGGGGAGTTAGTCTTGTAATTATCGTCAATATTTTCCAAAAATCGCAATTCTTTGATTTCTCGTTTTTAATTTTTCACCATTAAATAAACGCTTCAAGTATTTATTAAATCTTCAAGTTTAAAAAAGGTCCTATTTATTTTTTTTTTTCAAATCCTACTGCTTCGTTTACATTCTCATCAAAATTAGATATTGCTACATGTTGATGGAAATACTACAAGGAAACCGGAGAAGTTATTTACAAAAAGTCGCAAAGGAATTCAGATCGACCTAATTCATTTACTTCTAAGCATGAGCAGCACATTCAGCATATAGTGGAAAAAGACTTGCAGCTTTGTGCTGATGACATTACCAACCCCCTGACATCGCAATTTGAGAACTTCAAGATCTCGAGGTCTCAAATGAACCACCATTTGAGAAACAACATGCTCATTACAATCCAGAAGCCAACCTTCGACCCTAACGCAAGAAACTCTGAAAATAATTTGCAAACAAGATACGAGTGGTTCATGAAGTAGAAAGACTGAGATCTGGATAACATTAAGAACTGCGTCTTTATTGATGAGGCTGGATTTGACATCAACATGAGAAACAATTGGGCTAGGTTGGCTGTAGGAACACCTGTTCAAGTAGAGATTTAAAAGACTCGTACTAGTGTTATCCATGTTGTTATGAAAAAAAAAATGACCACCTAAAAAGCAGAGAGGCCCAAAAACCCAAACATCAAAGATGGCTAAAACCTAAAAAAGAAAAAAAAGGAAAGCTGATAGGAGGCAAAGAACAAAGAGCGGGTGATATTATCGTCGAAGAGCCTACTAATATCTTTTGTTAGCAACTAACCCAAAAATCATATCAAGCCATTGATAACCTACAAGTATCACACATTGATAATATGAAGAAAAAGGCTAGGAAGTTGGAGGGGCACGAAAAAGTAACAAATTTGTGTAACAACTTCAAAATAAATACCATAATCAAATTGCCACAGATTTACAAATGCAAATCAATAGCTCACCAATTAGGCCAGATAACAGTAGTTAGATAATTAGGGCATATCTATTGCTGGTTTTTCATTAAAATAACATAGTCTACTATATATGCTTAATACTTGGAATATTTCACAGTTATTTAATTAAAATATGCATGTCAACTTGTAGACCAAGTAGGGATAAATGGACTTATTATATAACAAATTTAATCCAATAGCCACTGATTAATTTAACTGAAGAGTTAGTGTCAAATCTGGAAAGACTCCAAGTTCAAAGGATTAAGCAAACGCAATTTATATTAAAAGAGCATCACGATTGGTATGGCGTAAAAAACTATTGTCCAATCAAAGCCCGAAGTACAGCAAAGCGAGTGTGGATAAATACATAGTAACGCCAATTTGAGTTAGCCCAAAACGACAATCATTTGCTAACAAACGGCTAATCATTTTCCAGCTACCGCCATTTATTTTTTCAAACCGGACAAATTTTACCAGCCACACTGTATATGTTTATTCATTTATAAGATTAAAGATACAAGTAATAGTCACTCGTGTAACATTCTATTATGAGAAAAAAGATATAAAAAGATATCCATTTTTAATTTCCCCCTTTTCTTTCTCTTTTTTTTTTAGAAAAAAATCAGCCAATCAGCCGCAGCCTTATTCGTCACGTTAAAAAGACGAACGTGAAGGCATCACGAGGAGCTGGCGGTGATACATGAATCGCCCAATCCATGTATTGTTTCTGTTATTAATTTTGTTCTAACACAGAAATAGCTTTACAATAGGACATCTCTGTGCTAACTTTTATCAGCACAGAATCATAGAATAGCAAGTTAATATTTATTGTTAATAAAAGTAGTCTAAAAAAAAACATTAACTACGAACAATATTAGTTTATCATAACTTCGTATACCACATGGAAGTTTCTAATATGGAAGAACTGGGGAATTTTTTTTTAAGAACATTTTGGGCAGTGAAACTTATTATCAAATTTAATAATCAAGCTTTTCTGAACTGCCCACCTCCCAAGCAACTAAAAAAATCTTTCTAAGGGACAAAAGGAAAGATTGTTAACCAGTTCAGCAGTTCTTGTCCTGGCTCATTAGATGCAGGAGTAAACTTATTAAGCATCAGACAATCCATTTCTTGAAAAATGATGCAGATAATAGGCCAATGATGAGACCAGTCAGAGACTTGTTGTGAATTTTTTGGTTTGCAGTAAGGTAGTATGTTGAGGAAAAAGGAAAGAGTAATGTTGATGATATAATCGAGAATATATGAGCAAACATTGAATAGCATGATGTTGGCTAAAATAGAAATAGAGATGAAAGGGACAGTTGCTAGTTTTACCACCCGATAGCCAACGTAGTATGTATGCATCGGCTGCGTTCGATAAATGATATCGGTAACCATAAGTTTGGGATCTATAGATATAGTAGTAAGTCTACAAAGAGAAAGGAGTGTAGAGTTGTTTGTGGGGGATCAGTTCTATGTACATTTAAATTGTCCTGTAAAAATTGTCTTTGGATTTTCTGAGACATACAAAGTCTTTACAGATTTATTCTGTCTTCTTTTTTTTTTAATCCTATTACCTAATCAACAAATATCAGATCATAATATGTATTATAACTGTTAATAATATCCTAAAGAATACAAGATCAATCAAATAGAGCATCTGTGGATATTCCCCAGCTTAATTATGAGCTGTACGAATAGCAATACCAGCTAATTTAGCCGTTTTTGTAAGATTAAATAACATGAATTTAAGATAATAAACAAAAAGGTTCTTCTGGCTGTATTTTTTTTTTTTTTTTTTTTTTTTTTTTTTTTCAACATACAAATTTTGACTTCTCTGATATTTAAATAAATAAATTGACATGACTGTTAGTAATAAGAAATAAGGTACCCTTTGATTTTTTTTTTTTTCCATTTTATGCTTTTGTCTCCACATAGAAAAAAAAAACATTAGCACTCATCTATCAAATGAACATGTAAGTATATTTTTTGTTTATGAAATTATGCAAAATTTTTAACAATAAAATATATAAGAAATGAGCTTTTTGAAGATAAAGATTTATTCCTAAAACGATTGATCCAAAGCCCATTTAAAGATGATGAGGTGACATTAAAGAACATTAGCCAACATGTAACCAGCCAGACGAGTGTATTCCACGAATTTGGATTAGTATACCTAGAACATCTAGTTACATTAGCATCTCCAGATAGAAATCTCATAAATTTAAATTGTCTAAATATTTATTTTGTTCAATATTTGGTTGATAAAGAAAATGATTTAAAAATTGTTAAAGAAGCATATTCCATGATATTTTCGTACTGCTTAAAGGTTTGCAAAAAGAAAAAAAAAGTTGAAACTATTATATGTGTAAGATACGATATTCTTTTCTTAGATATATAATATTGGACAGCAATTGAATAATATTGAAATATATCAAGTGTTATATTCGTTATTAGAGCAATGTGCCCCTTCCAATGTATCATCTTGGGAGAAAAAACTTAACGAATTGCCGATAAGAAAAACAAGACAAATGTAATAGAAAAAGAAAAAAAGCTTGTAAAAGTTTAACAAATATTCATTCATTTATTTATTTATTTTGTATGCGTTTTAGCTTACAATATTATGATGATATCATTAATGATTACATGTATAATCCAAGCATTTATCCTGACAAAATACCCATTTTAGATCCAACATTAACGCATAATATTAGTGCTAGGTAAGCATAGAAAGTTAACTTGTTAAAGTTTTTTTTTTTTTTTTTTTTTTTTTTTTTTTTCGCTAAATTTTCAAAGATTTACTTTGTTTAATATATTATTCGAGACTGAGATGAAGCCACTTCAGTTTGAATATCAAGAGAACTTTAGGGTAACGTAGCTCTTTTTTTTTTCCTTTAAGCATATCTAATTTGATAGTGTTTAGTTTTCAAATAGTTGGGTACATTTCCTAACTAAAATGAATAGCACATCCGCCATTAAGCTTTTTGATACTCGTATAAAATCAATCGAAAATAAGTTATGGGCTTTAAATGTATGTATAGTAAAATAAATATTAATAAACTAATCAATTAACTTTGTTAGGCTGAAAATATTAGAGTTCGATTTCATGAACTTTGTATAGAGTCATTCACATTTATAAGCCAAGAAGAATTTGAAACCACATTTAGAGAATGCCTTCAATCACTTAAAGTTGCTCACACAAGATATGTTGTAAAAATTGTTTACTGTCTTCTTCAATTATTATTATATGCTTCTACAGCTTACAATGAACAAGTAAGAACATATTTATAATCATGCAATTAAAGAAAATGAATATAACTTTAAATTAAAGTTCCAGAAATACATCCTTCAAGTTGGCCAAGCTACTTGGTTTGAAATCTTCCAGTGTTTATTAGATGATGCCGTATTTGAAGCAAGTCCCTGTGCAAAATCTATTTCCTTTCAACGATTGTTTAAAATGTTAGCCTGTTATACTCAATATAGACAGCTTCCATCAATCCCTTATGTTAAACTTCCTTTGTCTATTTGGGATCACTTTTATCTTCAAAGGTCTATCTTCCTTAAATCAATAGGTGAATTAGAAAATAATATTCCTGATTTAACCTTAATAGAAAAGGTACTCTTTACATGCACTTCAATATGAGCAATACTGCGTTATCACTTTCTCCTTATCATTACTAAAGTAGAATATAAGTACATGTATAAATAAATAAATAAAAATATACATATATACATATATAGATTAAATCAGAATATATGGATATTTATAGTCATCATATATCCTATATTTTTGTATGAACGTTATGAAACCTCCCCGTGCACAATGATATGCCTCTATCATAATATATGACATATAGTATTATTATTTGTTTTGTTTCATTAACTAATTGAATACTGTTGCCCTATATTTCAAACCGTCATTACCGTTTGCTGTCTTTGTTAAATATTTCAAACTTTATCGAGTTCCTTAATAATAATAATAAAAAAAAAAAACAATTAACATCATTCACAGATTAATCAAAAAGAATGGGAGAGAATAGAGAGTATTATACGCTTTTCTAACTGGAAAAAAAAAGTTTCGTAAAACTATTATTTATCGACTTCATTGAATGACTTTGCTAAATTAAGAAAGGCATAGTATTAATATATCTAAATAGATTGTTTACATGAGAAAAGACTCTCCCTCTCTCTCTCTCTTTCCTTGGCTGAATTCGTTTGTAATTGTATAAGTCAAGTGCATAACCTGTAAGAGACTGATTATGTAAGATAATAACCATTCAACAATGATTATTTTTAGTTAAAACTCATCCTATTATATAGATACATATTTATTGAAAAAAGAAAGAAATATTGCTTTCTGAGCATCGTGATATTTATATCAAAGCCTTTAAATACCTGTATCACAATAAGCTTTGCATAGCCACAGTGATGATCACAAAAAAATGGGCAAAAATTTGATTTTTAAATGCAAAAAAAACATTATATATAGTATTCCTTTTTCTTTTTTTCTTTTTTTTTTTAAGTTATTATTTCATACAGATATCTCATTGATCCATATTATGGTAAAGATCTCTGTATTAGGAGGTTCGAAAGGATGTTCTCGTGCCATGGTTGTTCAAGGGCTCGAAGAAGGCAAACATGATTTTAAACTTTTAATTCGAAATCCAGATCACATGGAGTATACAGAGGAACAAAAGGCAAAATTGAGTATTATAAGGGGAGACGCTTTAGATGAAAAAGCAGTAAAAGAAACAATTCAAGGTACAGATGTCGTTGTTTATTCTATTGGAAGTGTTGTGGATCTTAAAAGTGGGAAAATGGTTTCACCTGGTTTATGTCATGATACTATGACTGTATTAATCAGAGTCCTTGATCATCTTGATGAAAATGAACGACCTAAGCGTCTTGTTGTTGTCTCAACTACTGGGTTAGACGGCATGAAGGAAGTCCCTTATTTGTTTAGACCTCTTTATTATTTCCTTTTACATGAACCACACCAAGATAAGCAGAGATTAGAGGATTTAGTAGAGCATAAAAACAAATCGATTCATGATTGGATCATTGTACGACCCAGCTTATTAACAAATGGTAAACTTGTTGGTGATTATAAAGCAAACGTTGGTATTTCAGGATACACAATTTCTCGACAAGATGTTGGTCACTTTTTAATTAATCATTGTATTGAACCTACAACGTGGCTTAAGAAAAAAGTAGTTGTTACATATTAAAAAAAAAAAAAAAAAAAAAAAAAAGAAAGAAAATCTATTTATAAATAAAGCTTTTTTTTTATTAAACATCGCCACCAGATGATGATACTACCCATTGTTTAGAAGTTTGATAAAAAGTAAATAGCATCACTATTATTCCAAAACCTATCAAAATTATATCTATTACACGTTTTAAGCCTTTCGTAGTTGATAATGCCATATGAAATAAAGGAGGAAATATAAGACTTAAAGGGCCTTATATATATGCATAATGAATATTTAACTAGATTCTGTTATCTATATATTCATACATATTTATATACTTACAACAACAAATGGATCCAATTAAACTTATGAACTTATCTAAATCATTTGCACCAAATAAAGCAATCAAAGTTCCACAAATAACTACAGAGGCACGAAGTAGATTTTTTTGCCATTTAATGTACAAATTATGTTTACCAGTTCTTTCACCAAACAAGGCATGTTCAATGATACGTATAGTAGGAAATAAAGTTAGTGCATTAGATAAAAGAATAGCTGCAGCATAGCCTAATTGAATTGAATTAGGCAGTATACCAGGAGGTAAATTCAATAAAGCAATTGTTTGAACATTCTCACCAAATGCAAGATAGCCTAATGTACCAACGGAGCATAAAGTAATAGCTACAAGAAACATGACAAAAGTCAATACACTAGGAAATTTTTCAGGGGTTTTCATAGAATCACGAATTGGAATAATTAAACCTTTAAAGAAGTGTAAATGACCAGCATTAAATATTTATTCTATTTTTTTTTTTTTTTTTTTTTTTTTTTTTTTTTTTTTTTTTTAGGGGGAGGTTACCAATTCCTTCAAAAGAGTATACAGCAGTACCAATAAATACAGCGTAATCAGCCGAATTAAATAACCATTTTACATTGGGGCCAATTTTAGTTGAATGAGTAGTATTACTTTCATCTTTAAATATATCGATGATATCATAAACCAATAGTGTAATCAAACCACCTATGATTAGTGCATCTGATAGAAGCGCAGTTGGTGATAATTTGGTTATATTTCGAATTAACACTAAAGGTATTAATAGAATAGCTAATATGATAAAGACGGCAGTACTGTTCAAATGAATTATATTCCCACTAAGGGCCCGAACAGCTTCAGTTATGTTTTGTACTATAAAAATTGTCCCTCCACACATAAACCCCAACTATATGTGTATACTAAGACTAAGTTTTACATACACATTTACAAAAAAAAAAGTCAAATGCATATATACCTGAGAAATAGCAATAGAAAATAATACCATGGATCTCATCCATGATCCATATAATGCGCCACCAATATCACCATAACTACCTGATAAATGCTCTTTGCATTCTAATAATAATAGGAAACAATAGAGGGAGATGCCACCCATCAGCCACATGATAATGACTGAAAATAAAAGACCACCATTGGAAAAGGCCTTTGGTAAAAATAGAATACCACTCCCTATGAATGCTTTAAATAGCAAAAAAATCGTCTTGGTCGTATTTGCTTTCTTTTTATGATCAGTCTTTTGTAGCTGAGATTGTCGTTTTTTCTTTCCTGATAATAAATGTGTTTCTTCTGTTGCTATCTCTTCATTGTTCATATTACTTTCTTCTTCTTCTGAATCAGATAGATCTTCTCCTGCAAATTGATTCATTACAGATGTAATAGCCAGAAAATCTAAAAAATGACGTGTTCTATTACGCTTCTTGTAAGGACGATTATAATAATAATAAGCTGATGAAGAAACATTGTCAGTCATCCTCTTGTCATATTTTCTATTATGAAAAATTCCAGTGTTATAATCTTGACGGATATCAACTGAACATATTGAATCAGGACGAAATTGTTCCTGAAAAGCAGAGCTATCATTGCTATTACCATATTCTTGTTGAGCAGCTAATAATCGATGTTGCTGATGGACATGAAAACGTCTAAATCCACCTGGTTTATCAAGATTTTCGTATTCATTATCTATATCATTATCCTGAATAACAGTTGACTTCTTCCTCGAATATTTATGGTTAAGATCGTTTACAGATTTTGAACGATTCAAGGAATGAGATGCCATGACTAAACTATTAGCATGATTGTAAATGTCATGTGTAATTGCTGCACCTGGTAAATGATAAGGCACAGGTATTTCGACTTCCACTGGGGGTGAAGAGGTAAGAGCATCAGACTGTTCTCTTGTTATTAACGAAGAACTAGTTGTGCTTGTTCTACTGCTATTTGAGTCATGGATCAAGTGTTGCTGAACTAGACTAAAAATAGTTTCATCATCGATGTTTGTTTTAATATTATTACTCATATATATATGTATATATATATAGATGTCTTTTGCACAAGTATATGAGAGAAAGAGAGGAAAAAAAAAAAAAAAGAAAAAAAAAAGAATATTAAAAAAGAAACAGTAAATCATGCTATACCTTTTTTGGTTCTAAAATAATTTACAAGCAGCATAAAAAATTATGTTTGTTGTATGTTCAAAATCTATTTTCGTCTATAACAATGGGTGGTAAAGCTAATTTTGAAGAATCAAGTAGTTCTATTAATATCTATGTCAAATGAGTGAATATTTGAGGGCCATTATGAGAAAAATAAGCAGTTAATGATAGACAGGAACAAAAATGCCTTATTTGAACAAAAGAAGTATTTTAGACAGCAAAGGATAGTAGTAAAATTTGATATTACCAGTTATTCATAACTATTACCAAGTTAATTAAAACTAATGCTCTACCAGTATACTATATTCTATCGCAAATTAAAAAAAATTCAATATATGCAATTCCAATAACTGTACTATTGAATACTAATTCTAAAGAGATACAAACTAAAGTTTTATTTACAATTAAAAAAAAAAAGATTATTGATTGATAAGTCTACTACCTCTCATATAAAGAAAACAATAGATTAATATGAAGAATAAGGAAAAACGTACTGAATGCACAACTACCAATTTGAAGTCAAAACATCAGTACTTTTTTCAAGTCATATTCTGTCTTTATGGTATGATTAACATAGGAATGAGACGGCTAGTAGCACGTTTAAGATAATCAATAAAGCTGAGAAGTCTGTAGAAATAGTTACTGATTACTAATTTAATCTATTTCGAGTCGTACATACATTATTCATACTATATACGGTGAATAGCATATGCATAAAAATTAATATTTCGTTCGCTATAGAAGATGGTCAACTGAATTGAGTCATATAGCCTCCGATCTATTGTTTAATAAAATAAAATAAAATAATAATAATAAAAAAAACTGAATAGCAGAATCACTACTAATATTGGGAATAAGATTTTTTATAGTTATTTAAAGGTATTTTGCTATCATTCAGTTAATAAGTTTATAGTGGCTTAATAAAGAATCACTTTAAATAGTTGAGTAAAATGGGGGGGTTTTGTATTTGTGCAACGTTAAAAAAAAATGGAGAGAGAGCTTTCGAAGAGGTCTCTAAGGACTGCTTTTTTATTTTATGGATTCAATAAACTCAGAAATTAAACTCTTTAACCCACCCCCAGGGCAAAATTATAACATTTGTAGCAACTACTACTTTTTTCTTTTATTTTTATTTTTTTGGCTTTTATAACATTTGTGATCGATGCCTTTACCGTTTGGATTAAAAATGCCTTCCAAAGGCACACTTATTTTTAGTGGAATTGCTGGCGCCATTAGTGGCATCGTTTATGTTAGTAATAAGAATGCTGACGAAGCTAGAAAAAGAATAGCACAAAAAGTTTCATTCTTAGCAGATAGGCCTTGTGGGGTTCATGTTAGTCAATGCATCTTGTATTAATCAATAAAAATATTAAATCATTCTCTTTCTCTCTCTTTCTCTCTCTTTATCTTTTTTTTTTCTCTAACAGGAAATGCCTCGAAAGGTCCTTGTGTATATATCTGCTCCTCCAGGTGATAGTATTGAAAAAAGTCGAAACTGGTTTCGAGAATATGTTAAAGTAATTATCTATCATGTTAGGAACGAGATCCTTTATAAATACAATAGATTAAAATTATTTCTTTTTATTATTATTATAGCCTATTCTTGTTGCAGGTGCTGTTGATTATGAAGTAAAGGAAGCAAAATCTGCTGGACAAATTGAAAGCTCTGTTATTGAAGAAATTGTCAAACTTCATCGTGAAACGACAGAAGAAAAGGAGCCTATAAAGAATGATTCTGTAAGCAATAATCCATTTGCAACTTCTGCTATGGAAGAGATTATGCATAAGAAACAAGAAGGCAATACTAAGTTTGATGGTATTTTAGCTATTGGTAGAAATGCTTATCGTGAAGTTCTTAATGGTTATTCAAAAAGTTGTGATACTAGCCTTAAAGTGATAAAGGAGGAAAAGGAGTCGAATACAGATGTTAAAGAAACTGAACTAGACGAATTAAAGAACGATTTAGATGAAAGACAAACAATAGAAAATAATAATGAAGTCATGCTAGATCAACCACAACAGTTCATAGTAGAAGAAAAGGAGAATCATTTTTCATTACCGCCTTCCTTTTCACCAGTCATGTATATTCCGCATGTTAATATTATTGGGTGGAATAATATTCCTTATCGACTTTACATGTGGTATGCTGATTATAAAAGAATTGAAGAGGTTGGGAAACATGTCGTTGCTGTTGTATTGAACAATACAAGACCTATTGAGAAAAGTGATGCTGATTTAGGCCAAAATGAAAAAAAATATTGGATTGGAGATGAATCAGTGAAAGAATTAAAAGACAATGATAAACCTATAGTGATTGATGAAAGAATTATTGACAAACTTAAAACTTATACCACTGAAGATCTTCCTTAACGGAGTTTATTAAAAAAAATTTATAAATAAAGCTCCTGGAGACAATTTTTTTTTTTTTTTTCAAATTTTTTTTCTTTTTTTTTTTTCTCTCTAATCAAAACCATAAAATTTAAATCATGGCTCGCGGTGCACAAAAGGAACAAGCTAGGTAAAGTAAAGAAAAAAGAAATGAAATAACATTGTTAACATATAACGAAAATATTTATATTTGTATAAACTACAGACAAAGAGCTCAAAAGGAAGCTGCTAAGCGTAAGTCAAATGGTTCACAATTAGGTGCTCGAGCTGCTGGTCTTCAAGTAAGTTAACATAGAATGAAAAATGGTATATATAATTTATATCAATAAATTAGATCAAATGTCCTAAATGCTTTATTGCACTTCCCAACTATAACCTTTTAAAACAACATTTCGAGGTAAGAAAGAAAAAGAAAAAGAGAATCGGCCATTCTTTTCTTCTTCTTTTCTTAATATAAAATACATCATAATAGGCTAAACATCCAAAGGATCCTGTCCCACCTGAAAGTGATTTTCAAAAATAATTTCATGAATCTTAAATAATATATCAAATAGAATTTTTTTTTTAAAAAAAAAGAAAAAAAAAAACTATAGAGAATCCTTCTTTTGTATATCTGCTTTATTAAGTGATTAACTAGATATTATACGTCATATCCTATACACTGTCTATTGTAGATATTAAAGTATATATAAAGAATACTGAAACTCTCGGAGTTACCATAACTCTGTAATTGAATCAACATGTTTCCTCTTCACAGTATAGAGTAAAAAAAAAACAAAAAAAAATCCCTGTTAAACTACAGGTGTATATAATCCCTGAAGCTTGCTCTTATGTAATAATAGATTTAGTACAGATATATATGTATATTTTTTTTTGCATTTTATACTAAATAAACATTTGCAGCAATTGCTGTATTCGAAAAAAGGGCAAGTTATTGAATCGTACGACCTTGATACTGTTATTGAATCGCCACAAAAAAAAAAGTTTGTTTCTTTTTTTTTTTTAATATTTATTTTCGTGCGGCTTATTATGTTTTACTGTTGTTGTCTCAGTGATATTAACAAAGTCTGTACCTTTTGTAATATAAAAGAAAATATCGATTCAAGAATTGTATTTGAGGTATATTCCTGTCTGTACTTCTTTTGTTTTCCTGATATAATTTATACCATTAAATAGACAGATGAGCTAATTGCATTCAGAGATCGTTCTCCATCAGCGAAAACTCATTTACTTATTATACCCAAAAATCACATCGAAACAGTCAAACATCTTGATGGAGGTGACATAGTATTATGTAAGTTCTATTATAATATGTAGACATATGCTTCCACTAAAAAAAAAAAATGCTAGTACAGAAAATGATTATTCTAGGTAAAACACTATTGAAAGAACAAGGATATAATCCAGATGATACCACACAAGTTAGGTAGTGTCAATCTCTTAAAAGAGATCCTTTATTTATTTTATTTTATTTTTGTCTTCCTCATATTTGACGTGTTACTACTATTGCAGGTTAGGATTTCATGTCCCTCCTTTTAATTCAGTTAATCATTTGCATATGCATGTGATAGGTTTGCCTTTTAAAAATAAGTATAGGAGTTTTAAATATAGATCAGGCTATCCTTGGTATATTGATGCAAAGACTGTTCTTAATAGACTTGCTGAAGGAATGAATCCTGTTTAAAATAATAAAATTCTGATTGTTGTTGCTAAGTAACATAGAGTACCTGCCAATTATCACCAAAAATAAAAAATTAAATTGCAAAAATAAGTCGCTCAAAATACATTTTTGGAATATCAAATTATGGTTTTCATATAATAATATCACTTAATTGAAGTAACAACAAAAGATATGTTTTTATTTAAAAGAAGAATTTTTTTTATCAAATCAGTTAATAGAATGATATATAACAACTTTCATATGGTAAATGGAAACGTAGCTACAAATATCGAACATTTTTTTTTTAAAAAAAAGTCTTCATATTTAACTGTGCTTAGTTTTGCTTTTAACATTGGATCAGAATATTGAGAGTGAGTGACTATAGAGGGAAATAAACACTACTGTTGTCATTAATATATATATACTTCTATTATAATAATTATAAGTATATAATGAAGAGGTGGTATCCATGATTATATATTGGCTTATCAATTCTATAATAATTCATGGTTGTCAGGGGATCAAGATAATAATCAGGTACCATAATTCAATGTTACTTTAATAGCACTTTCAGCATTTTGCTTTTCAATAGCCGCTATAGCTCTTGAATAGTGTACATTAATAATGCTAAAGGATGAAAGTTAAGGACAATTGTTTTTTATACTCTTGTTTCTTTTTTTAATGATTTTTATTACTATTAAAACCTCAACTTTGGACTAAATGTATATGAACTTAAAATGTAGAGCACTTCTTTATCCTTAAAAAAGTATAGTTGTTTTTACTTATCTTTACACATTTATATTTAATTATAATTCTATTTCTGCCTATACTATTTACAGAGTAACGATAAGCGTTTTTTTTTCTTCTTCTTCCCAAGACTAACTCTTTTAAACTGTATTATGGTGTTCGTTTTAAAACCAGTAAAGGTTGCTCGTCCATATTAATAATAATAAGAAAAAAAAACTTGGTAATATTTAAGATTATTCTATTATAGAATAGATGGTATTTTACTTAAAGTAGCCATCATTTATAAATCATATCTACAGTAAACTTAGAAATTCCTGATACATGTATTTGTATTAATCAATCTATTACAATAAACCAAAAGAAGAGAGATACATTAAACTTAATAGGTAGGTTATATCGTAACAAGAATAGTACTAATAACTTCAAAATATCATCTGCTTTATTTAGAAGACTCAATTTCAAAAGTAGTACTATTAAGGAATTAATATAATTAGGTTGTTAAATGTTTCATAAAAAAAAAAGAACTTTTTTCTTATTTGTTATATTTTACTCTTACACCCAAGTTACCATAATTAGAAGGGAGAAGGAAGCGTTTTAATTACTAAAGGCATAATTAAGTTTCTAAAGTTATGACTGTGTATCAAGCTATAACTGATATACAGAACTTGATTGATTTGAACCCATTTTTTTTTTTCGTAATTGATAAACATAACTAATTTTCTATTGTAAAGTATAATAGAATAGACACGCTAGTTTATGGATGAAGCTTTAGCTATGAACATGAATCATATCTTGAATATAAAAGTTCCATTTAATCAAGCATAAAAAAAAAAAAGCTTTATTGTTACTATTTTATTATTCAGGTATCATTCAAGATTTTGACTTTGATTTTAGTTAATTAATGTAAACGATTGAGTTTTGAAGCAACATTAATTAGTGAAGAGGAAAAAAAATAAAAGGATTATGAACAGTTAACATAGACCAGCAATTTAATTATTAGTCTCACAAAATATTAGTTTATTTATTTGCATGTTAAAAATGCAGATTAATTATTTCAAATCCGTAATTATAATTTTTCTTTTCTGCTAATGATTGGCTACTTTGAAAACTGCTTTTTAACACTATGACTACTGCAGCAGATATGCTGATTTTTTTTTTTTTTTTAATAAGCATTTAGACTTTAACTATTGAGTTTCTTTTTATGGTTTGAGTCCCTTGATTTTTTGTATCAGGACACAAAAATTACATAAAAAGTTAAGATCATTTCTTAATGTTAGTCTAAAAAATCATCTTTGTTTATGCTTTTTCTTTTCATTTTTTTTTTTTTTTTTTTTTTTTGTATGTCTGTATTTAATCAATTTAAAAAGTTATTTGGTAGTGGTTCATTTCTTGGTCACTCTGAAGAAGCGCAAAGCATAAAGATAAGACAAGATAAAAATATTAAAAAATCAGAAGCATCTGTTTATAAAGGATTAGAACAATACACATTATTACACAAATTGGGAGAGTATGGTTCTTTTATTATTATTTATTTGTGTATATTATGTTGCTATATAACTAAATACTGTATATATGGCCCCATTATCATACATAGAGGAGCCTTTTCTAAGGTATATGAAGCAATTGATAATAGAACAAGCCAGCATGTAGCAATAAAAATAGTTAGAAAATTCGAACTAAATCAGATTAAGGTACATATCACGGGGCTTTTTTTTTTTTTTTTTTTTTTTTTTTTTTTTTTTTTTTAAAAAAAAAAAAGGTATAACATTTATATATAATTCATATGTAAAATATTTATAGAAAGCAAACGTCTTGAAAGAAGTTCAAATTATGCGTACATTAAATCATTCTTCAATTGTGAAGCTACTTAGTTTTATTGAAACCAAAAATGTAAGGAAAAAAAAAAAAAGCTTTTTAGATCAGAATATAATTTCCCCCTCTCCCCCACCAAAAAAAAAAGTATATAAAAATATAAAATGTATGTTATTCTAAAAAAAATATTTGTATCTAGTATTATTTCTTAGTTTTAGAATTAATGAATGGTGGAGAAGTATTTCATCAAATCGTTCATTTAACTTATTTTAGTGAAGAACTTGCTAGACATTGCATAAGACAAGTAGCTGAAGGTATTCGATATCTTCATGAAGAAAGAGGTGTTGTTCATAGAGATATTAAGCCTGAAAATATTTTATTTGAACCAATACCATTTATGGAACGAAGGATCCCGACTACACGATGGCAACAAAATGAAGATGAATCAAAGGAAGATGAAGGTGACTTCGTACCTGGTCTTGGAGGGGGTTGTATTGGGAAAGTAAAGATAGCTGATTTTGGCTTATCAAAAGTGATTTGGGATAAACATACAATGACTCCGTGTGGTACAGTTGGATATACTGCACCTGAAATAGTAAAGGATGAACGATACTCAAAGTCTGTTGATATGTGGGCTTTGGGTTGTGTACTCTATACTATGCTCTGCGGATTTCCTCCGTTTTATGACGAAAACATTGCTACACTAACTCGGAAAGTTGCAAAAGGAAAATATAGTTTCCTAAGCCCCTGGTGGGATCATATCTCTATCGATGCTAAGCATCTTGTTCAAAACTTACTGGTAATTAATCCAAAAAAGAGATATACAATAAATCAATTTTTAGCTCATCCATGGATGTTGAAACAGGTAAAGTTTTTTTTTATTAATATTAATATTTATATACAATATATAATATATATATTGATATGTATATACATATTTGTATGTATTAAGGATAAACTGAGTACTCCTATTTCTATTGTTAAAAGTGACATTGCATCATCGTATACTATCCCTAATATAAAAAGAGAAGATAATTATAGTATAAGAGCTGAAAATATAAAAAATGAACCTTGTGATAATAACACTCCATATTTGCTAAAGATATCAAATCCTGCAACGACTTCTGTGGCAGTTGAAACAATTTCAATAGCTCCATCATTACCTAGGGACATACCACCTCAATCTTCAAAAAAAAGAAAAGAACTTTTTCTATCTGGAATTACTACAATGAAGGAGATGTTTGATGTATCTTATGCAGTACACAGGCTGGAGGAAGAAGGAGTAAAACATAAAGAGAATAAAAATTCAGTTCAACAGCAAACATTTGAGAGTCATTATCGCATGTATCCATTTCGTGATCCACTATCACTTGTTTCAGATAGTGATAGTGATGAAGAAAATATCGATAAGTTTGTATCCTTCCTTTCTCTGTCAGTTAATGCCAATAAAGCTAAAAAAAAGGATAATTACCACCGACAAACTGGATCCTCATTAAATAAAACAACGGGCAGTAACTTATTAACTAAACAGCTATTAATGAACATGAAAGCCGATAATTTACCCGTCATCAGCCAACAAGTAACGCCATCATTTGATTTAAATATGAATAATGCTACTTTACTTGAGAGGAGAAAAAACTCACTGCTTGTACGTCAATCTGAATAACACTTACCCATTTTTTTTTTTTACACTGCCTGTAATACAGCACAACTCAGGTGATATTTATTTATAATAATGCTTAATGCTTTATTTATTTTAGCGTAAAACAATAAAATATTTAGCGTATTTTAATATAATTCTTTATTTATTGTACAGTAGTGATACATAATATACACTCATTTTCTCCGGTTAAATTCAGGGACATTAAAATAAAACAGCTGTTTATTAACATCATATAAAATCTTACACTACTAAGAAGGGAATAAACCTTTCGAAAGCTGGTATATAGATTATATTATTGAGCAAGTGTTGTAAGACAGAGTATATATACCTGGATGCTTAAAGATTCAATTGTATGTTGTTTTTTTCCCTTCAAGACAAAAACAATAAATAGACTAAACTCCTTTTTATTTAATAAACAATAACAAAGAAAACTGTCGTAGAATTAATTCTAGTACAATAGTAACAATATATAAAATAGGATCGCTTTATTTACATAAGAAATCTTCCGCACTGTTCTAAACCAGCATCTTGGGTGTTTGAAGAAAAACTCAAGTACACAGACGCATCATGATTAAACAAATCTAATTTTAATATGCTTATTAGTAAGAAATTTGTTTTTTTTTTCATACTTGAAACCAAGAATTCGATTCCTGTTAATTACCTGAAATTATCACTTTGAACATAATAATTGCCTGCTTGTTTCTCATCAGGCATTAAAATAAAAGTTTGTGAAAAATGTCTCTTTACTGGGTTATCACCATATTTAACTGTGCCGGTAGCGTTAATTAAAATACCACAAGTGCCTTGTGCATTCATAGTTGCAGGTAAAGGATGACAATCATAAACATCAACTTCGTGGTGGGACATTGGTAATCGACCCAAAAATTCAGAATATTGTTGAGCTCCTGAAAATGCATTGCCTAATCAGAAAAACAAAACATATTATTATTATTATTATTATTTTTTACTCTAATGATTATAACATTTTATCGTCTTACCATTCCATAATATAGCGGAATTATCACGATATAGATTTCCTAGATTCTTTGATAAAATCAGCATTAAAGCGAAAAAATAAAAAAAAACAAAAATGATCTTTTATGCATCACTGGAAAAAAAATGGTAATACCTGTCGTTGTGTATCATAATTAGGATAAAAGAATTGAATAAATTGCTCGCTGCTCTTTTCAGCAACATTTATTATGACATCCATCGTGTTGTGATTTGTTTGTCAAAAAGTAAGCGTTATAAATTTTGACTTTTTTTTTATTGTTTGTATGTGTTTACCAGATTTAATAAAGAGCGGTCACAGCATTTTTTTTTTCAAAGACAGTCGAAGTGTAGAAGCATATCATGAGTATTCGCGTTTTTGAAAGAAATGGTTGTTGTGCGAGTTTTCAAATTCAGATATAATGTACCTCTATTTTTCTTTTTCTTTTTTTTTAAAGAAAAATACATTTAAAAATATCTTTATTCTTACTAATCTACATAGATCATGAATAAATCAAAACTAATAAGGGAATCAGTAAATACAAACTCTTCGACAAATATACATATGAATATACATAAGCGTTTAAAAATAGGTACACTACTTATACCTTAAGATCGTCCTTTATTAATTGTATTTGAAAAAAAAAAATTCCACCGATCTATAGATCACCTTTCAGAACTAAATAAATCAGCAACTATTGATGATGATTCTATGTTTGGAGATGATATTGCTTTAGAAGAACTAGATATATCCGCAATTATTAAGGCAGAGAAAAAATTAGATCTATCATCCAGTGATATTTTTGATGATTTACCTTTAGAAGAGTTAGGTGAAGTGTTGAACAGAGCAGAAAATACCTTAAAAGCACCAACACAAAAAGTAAAATAAAAGTTTAATCTGACTTTTTTTTTTTTTTGCTTTTTTTTCTTTTGCTTCATCTTTAATCAAATGATTTTTGTTTTTATTTCTAGGCGAAACGGCAAAAATTTAATCGATATTTGGTTGCTAACGTAACACATGGAGCTTATACAATAGATGAAGATAAATATTCAGAAAAGGTTTTATTATTATCAATATTTCAACTACCTTAAGGACCTATCATTAATATATATATATGTGTGCGTATGTGTGTATGTATATAGATTTTATTATTAATAGAAGAAGATGCCAATTCCACAATTACAGCAAAATTACGACAAGAATGGGAACAGACGTTAGTAACTATAGGAGATATAGTTCATATACCTTACACAACAGATATACACGAAGTAATCATTGATAATCAAAAAAACTTTATTATTGTTCATCCCGATCAGTTGATTTCATGTACTGCAGTGGCCGATACCTTTTTGTGTCTTCGAAAATCAGTCTTACAAATGAAAATTAAAGGTGTTAGTGAATATACAGAAGCACTTGTTCATGGAAATATCATTCATAGAGTACTACAAAATGCATTGCAAACAAACGAATTTTCTGTTAAGAGCATCAAGGATGAAATAAAGCGTGTTATAGTAGATTCATTAGAAGATTTATATGCATTGGATCAGGATGAAGAAACTGCATTTAGTATTTTAAGCGGATATGCTGAGAGTATATATCAGTTCGGTACAACATTTGTAAACGAATATCCAAAGGCTACTGCTCGTCCAAGTACAGATATGGGGCCAAATGTATCAAAAGAATTAGGATGTAATACTATATCTATATGTAAAGTACTAGATATTGAAGAACATTTGTGGAGTCCAACTTATGGATTGAAAGGCATGGTGGATGCCTCTGTACAATTAAGATTAAGCCCAACTAATAAGATTTTGACTGTTCCTTTTGAACTAAAGACTGGAAAAGCATCAAGGTTTTTGACGAATCGAGCTCAAACTTTGCTTTATACCCTTTTAATGAGTGATAGATATGGTAAAATGAATTATAATATATATATATATATGTCTGCATTAAACTCATATATCGGATTTTTTTTTTATAGATATTGATATTGGTGCAGGTGTTCTGTATTATTCTAAAACAAATAGTCTATATTTAGTCCCATCTTCAAGAAACGATTTGAGATCCTTAATTATGTCTAGAAACTATTTGGCAATCACATGTAAAAATACTGAAACTTTACCACCTATGATAAAACATAATTATGCATGCCAAAATTGTTATATGAATGATGTATGTATGATATATCATAAAGCGATTGAAAATGGAACAGGAACCACAAGTGGATTACACAAGTTATTTGAAGAAAAAACAGATCATATAACTGAATCTATTTCATCCTTTTTTCAACATTGGTGGAAATTACTGGAGAAAGAAGAAACGAGCATTGATTATGTGCGTAAAGAAATTTGGCGTCAACCAGCTGAGATTCATGAGTTATCTGGAAGATGTTTGTCCAATATGATATTAAAGCTGTCAGCTTGTCAAATTGAGCCTGAGAATTCAATATGGAGATATTGTTTTGTTCGTAGTCCGGATACAGAACATAAAGGGCCAATCGTATCAAATATATCAATTGGTGATCCAATTGTTGTTTCTAGTATGGAAGGACATATTAGTTTATCTATGGGATTTGTTATAGGTTTGACCAATCATGAGATTGTACTTAGTTTAAATGAGCCACTTCGTAGCCCACCACAGAAAGATGTTGGATTTGATGCTTTAAGTAACCAATCATTTAAAACATTTGTTCGATTTAAAAATGACATAAAACATTATTATTCGCAGAATCGAATTGAATATCGTATAGACAAAGACGAAATGGCGACGGGTATGAATATGCTTCGCAATAATTTAGTCTTACTAGTCACAAAGAATGATGAAAACCCTAGAATGCAAAGATTAAGAGACTTAATTATTGATCTAGAGAAGCCAAATTTTGATACCACCGTACCTTATTTACCTCTTACGCCTAATATGAACCCAGATCAACGAAATGCACTTAAAAGAGTGCTCCAAGCAAAAGATTATAGTTTAATCCTAGGTATGCCTGGTACTGGCAAAACGACAACAATAGCAGAAATTGTAAAGTATTTAGTGGGACAAAACAAAACTGTGCTGGTTGCAGCATATACACATTTAGCCTTAGATAATGTTTTATGGAAAGTTCGACAGCATGGTATTGATGTTCTTCGACTTGGTAATATTGATAAAGTGATGCCTTCAATGAGAGATTGTGTGCCTTCAATAAATGATACCATTACTACTGTAAAAGCCATGAAAGCATATTATAATTCTAGAAAAGTGGTTGGTGTCACATGTTTAGGTGTCGGAGAGTAAGTTAAGACATGTTTACATATATGAATATATTCATATTAATATCTTGAATACTTTTTTTTTTTTTGAAGTGTGTTATTGCAAAAAAGGCAGTTTGATTATTGTATTATAGATGAAGCATCTCAAATTACATTACCTACATGCATTGGACCGCTTAGATATGCAAAGACATTTGTACTTGTTGGTGACCTGTATCAATTACCACCGATTGTACGTAAAGAATCAATGAATAGTGGATTAGAAAAATCATTATTCTCCATATTAGCAGAAGCGAGACCTGAGTCGATTAGTTATTTAAAATATCAATATCGTATGAATAGGGAAATTATGGATGTTTCCAATATGTTAATTTATGACGGTAAACTAAAATGTGGCAGTCATAAAGTAGCGTCCAAGTCACTTTATATTCCTAGATTGGATATAGGATTAAAATCGATACATAAATCAAAAGAAGAGTTATGTAAAGGTTTATCTGACTGTTGGTTAAAGACAGTATTAGATCCAAGGCAAGTATATTGATACTATTATTGAAAAAAAAAAGATTAACGCTAAATAATTGTAATAGTCGAAAAGTAATATTTGTCAATACAGATGCATTAGTCGGGAAAGAAGTAAGAGTTCTTGGTGGCCTCCTTCAAAATAAGTCAGAAGCAAATTTAATATATCAAGCTACAGAAACATTATTAGGATCAGGAGTAAATCAAGAACAACTAGCTATTATATCGGTTTATAGATCCCAATTACGTCTAATATCACAGGTTCTGAAAAATAGAAATGAAATTGAAATCTCTACAATTGATAAATATCAAGGACGTGATAAAGATTGTGTCTTGATTTCTCTTGTTCGTAACAATCCTCAGGGTAATGTAAGTATATACGGTTAATAGTAATTACAGTTATATATATTTATACGTATTACTTATAATATAATCAGCCAGGTGATTTATTAAGAGATTGGCGAAGATTGAATGTAGCAGTTACAAGAGCTAAAAGTAAATTAATTATATTTGGATCTTCTTCAACATTAAAGACCTCTGCTCTATATAAAAATTTAATAGATACTTTTGAACAGAGAGGATGGGTAAAGAAGTTAAATGATAAATAGTGAACTAAAAAAAAAAAAAAAGCTAATTTATTTATAAATAACAGGTATATCACATTTCAAGAGATACTGAGTTAATGCATCAAAACTTATTTATAGATGAAAATGCTTTACTCAAGGAGGAATCACAGCAGCCACAAAAAAAATCATTTTTACCAACAAATATAATTCTAAAGAAAAACGATATTTTAAAAGAGATTTATCAAAATACATTGTAACATTCTCCTAATTGTTTTAATCATTCTTCTCCTCTCTCCTTTTTTTTCCCTTTCCTTTCCTTTCCTTTACTTTTTTCTTCTTTTCTTTTTGTATATATATATATAATACATATATGAACCCATTACCAACTATTACTGAATATACTAATTGGATTTTAGAACAGTGTCATGATGTATTATCTTCTATAGAAAAAGGAAACATTGATGATACGAAAGATTTAATTCAAAAGATATATGATCATGTAATCACATTGATTCACTCAATAGACATATTTAAAGAAGATCAAATAATTTTACTAAATAAACTACAAAGCAACTCAGAAGATAATAAATATGATTTAAAACAAATAGTAAACAAGCCTTATCTCTTTATATAGCTTTACAATAGTGCTTATCCTCCCTTTATGTATATTAAACAGATACTAAATATGAAAGAAATCTGTTGTCAGATAACAGCTTGTAAACGAAAGAGTCTTTCATTAATAACAACATCCTCTCAATTTTATAAAGAGGAAGAAAGGGTAGTTTTGGATCGATTACAATATGCATCCTCATTTTATAAAGACCAAATTGATGAAAATGCATGTTGGTTTCGAAATTATTTTGTTGGAAAGCCATATATTACATTATTTGGTCCTATTTTAGATGATGAGAATGACTTGGCCATTATATCAATTGTAAAAGAAACAAGTGAACAGAGATCAACTTGTTCACAGTATAGAATAATTGTTCGTACATATCAGGTATTCTAGATATTCATATATGAGAGGTCTCTAGTCTTAATATATAAATGTAAATATATAAACAAGTTTCCCTTAAAATATGAATGATTTTTTGTTTTTGTTTTCTTAGGATGTCAATATGTACTTTATCATAAACGAATCAGATGCAACAGAATTAATGCTACAATTGGTATCTACCGGACAAGCTTATAAATTGAATTCAGAAAGTGAATCTACAACAACAATGGCAATAACTAGAAAATATCAAACTTTACGTAGATTTTCTTCTACTTTAATTTCAAGCCAAAATCAAGAAATATATTCAACTAATTTAATGAGAGCTGCACTTCTATTTTTATTTCAAGACATTGATCTTAAACTCTTTAAGGAATTGTCTGCTGAAATGACTATATTATCTGGATTAGAGAAAGAGTTTTTAAAATATGATGAAATTAGTGTAAGAATGATAACTATTTAAGGCTTGTATAAGTTTTATTAAGCCGACCTTCTCCTTCTCCTACTCCTTCTCCTTCTCTTACTCCTTCTCTTACTCCTTCTCCTACTCCTTTTATTTATTTATTTATTCCTAGATATCAAAATCTTATAAGTTTGGGTTAATAACAGTTAAAGATGGACAAACTACGGAAGAGGAATGGTTTTCAAATACTAATTTATCTGAATCATTAGAAAGATTTTTAAATATCATTGGGCATCCCATTAAATTAAAGGATTATAAAGGTTATGCAGCTGGACTGGATACAAAAAGTACAAGTCAATACATATACATATAAACACGTTATAAAACCCTTCTATTTTTCTTTTTTTTTTTTTTTTTATAGCTGGTGAATCAGGTGAAATATCATTTGTCTCTTCATGGAAAGGACGTGAGATAATGTATCATGTTGCTCCTCTTATGCCTTCAAGAAAAAATGATTTACAACAAATACATAGAAAAAGATATATAGGAAATGGTATATACGTATATACATGTTTAGCCTTAGTTTGACCCTCATATCTCCTTTATTAGATATTGTCTGTATTGTATTTATAGAAGGAAAAAATGAAAGGTTTGACCCTGACTCTATTCGTTCTCAATTCCTACATGTGTTTATCATTGTATATTTTGAAACAATAAATGACCAAGATTCATGGAGGTATTACAAGCATATCTAAACTGATAGATTTGCTAATTTACAATAATAATATATACATATATATATACACATATAGAATAGAAGTTGTTTATAATAAACAGGTTAGATCGTTCCCACCACCCATACCCAGTCCACCTATATTTTATAATGAAAATGAGTTGCGAACTTTTTTATTATCTAAGAGTATATATTTATATATGCATATAGATAAAGAGAGAACTAATTCATATATGTTTATATATATAGGTATAAGCGCAGAAAATCATTCATTGAAATCGGAAAAATTTACATCTCTTAACGACAAAGCTCGTTTGCAACTATTTGAAAACTTGATTACAATTGGTATACGATTTAGTCAAGTTGCTCAATCATTCGCTGGACATAACAGTGATAAAAAATCTGGAAACTGTATTAACACTGGAAGACCAAAATCAGCAGGTGCTCAACAAAGTTTTAGTCACCATAAAAAGTCTCAAGAGGTAATCGATCTTCCTCCACCTCCTCAATCACTGACTCCTGATCGTCCACCCATTTCCAAATCTAACATAAAGAATCTAACAAGAAGAAAAAATAACGGAGGACAGCACCCATGCTCTTCAACTAGTTTAACTACTTGTAAATATATTATATCTAATCAAAAACAGGAAACCCAGAGTAAGCAAATATTAGATAAAACAAAAGAAGGTAGTTAGTAGTAATACACAATGTATAATATATATAATTAACTTGTAAAAAAAAATAAATAAAAAAGATAACATTGAGGAAAAGAAGCATACAGAATATGATACAGAAGAATCTCATACTGCAGGTTCTGGAATAAATGCAGTCAGCAGTATTCGGTATAAAGCTCATAACTTAATGAATAGTATGATAGGTCGAAGAAAATATAGAACAAATACATTACATCGTTCATCTCCAATATAATACGACGCATATGGAAATATGAAATGGGATATGATCAGCGTGTAATAACTTCATATTATTATATAAATAAATAAAAATTAGGGATAATATATATTTTAAGCTTTTTCTATAGATATAAAGAAGCATATCACACATATATATTATAGGAGCAATTTATTATATATTTATATATTTTTAATGTCGATCAATATTGAGCCCTTATGTTTTACGATTGATATTAATGAAACAAGTAGTTTAACACTTCTTGTCTAGAATGGATATAATAAAATAGGATATAATAAAACGATATTTTTTATGGTAACATGTGTAGATATAACAAAGATGAAGTTTTACAATCAGAAATCAGGGGGGGTTTTCCTTTTCCTTTTCCTTTTTCTTTTATAAAAGGCCCACATTACGTAAGTTATCATGAACCACAATATCATTGACAGCATTCATCACGAATTTGATTTGTTTTGTATCCGTTGCACAAGTCAAATGAGTATAAATTTGCTTTGTATCAGCTCTGGTATTTAAAGATACAAATTTCTGTAAGAGATACTGACAGGCTGCATCATAATTTTCACCACCTCTATAATCATCAAAGTAATCACTTAATGGACTACGAGAGAGCTTTTCAGCAAACAAATCAATTTTGTTCAAAAATAAAATAATTGAAGTCTTTATAAACCATCTTGAATTACAAATAGAATCAAATAGAGTTAAAGATTCTTGTAAACGATTCACACTTTCATCTTCAAATAAGACTTGATCATATTCTGAAATAGCTACCAAGAATACCAAGGCTGTCACATTTTCAAAGCAATGAATCCATTTCTTTCGTTCTGACCTTTGACCCCCCACGTCAAACATACGATAAGTAAGTGATTCAATGACAAAGGTAGTTTCTGTAATGCCTGTAGATTTTACACGAGATCGTAGTACATCTTGATCACTGGGCATATAATTTGGTTGTCCGATACGGAGAATTGAATCAAAATAGCTATGATAACAAGATTAATTTTTTTTTTACTTCTTTTATAAATGTATAATACTTACTATCGTGCTGAATCATTTAGTTGAAATTCATTTGATCTATGAACACACTCTTGAACTCCTTTATCTGACCAAAGAGAGTCAATGGCTTCAACAAGTTCATGACCTAAATAATCAATTTGTGGAGGTGCTTCCATAATAAGTCGTTTATGTATTTCATTTTCTTGATTTTCAAATAAAACGCCCAAATTATTCATAGCCTCTAGAGTCACTCTCATGGATTGTAGAGTATTACTAAATATGACTTCTTTAAAACTTTCTCTTTCTTCAGGTGTATATCCACCATCATGAATCAATTTCATTTGCTTTAAAATAGTAGATTTGCCTGATTCTCCCGCGCCTAATACGGATAAAATTGGACTCATGTACTTTTTTTTTATTTTTATATTTATATAATTACCTAAAAGCAACATTTTTATTTCTTTTTTCAAATTGGCCCTATCTCGTTTAATTTGTGCATCAATTTCTTGGTTTCTTTGCTTCTCTTCAATTTGTTCAGTTGATTGACAGCAGCCCATGATGGATATATATATATATGTATTTATATGTATGTATGTATGTGTGTGTGTGTGTGTATACGTATATTAAAATAAATAAATATTTATGTATACGAAAATCTATAGTAGTTTTTTTTTTCTCTTGTATAAATAAGAAAAAAAGAAAGTAGAAAGAAAAAAAAAAAAAAGAAAAATAATACTATTATTATTTTTATTCAATTTTATTTTATTTTTTTCGTTAAATACAATCTTTAACATAAAGATGCTTTTACCATATTCAGTAGTTTATTACTGCCCCTTATTTTTTTTTATTTTTTTACTCCTTAAAAAAAAAAAAAAAAAAAAAAAAATATATAAACAACACGAAACAAGCCTCGAACATGTCATTTCAATAAGAATAAATATACAGAAACAGGTTTTTCACTAATTAAGGAATAAAGTGTAACCATCATGGATTATTTTACTCCTGAATAAACTTGTTTAACGAAAACAAACAAACAAATAAATAAATAAAAAGAGATAAACGACGAGCTATATAAATCTGACACGGACTCTGATCATCATGCCCTTCTTTTCTTTTAATTATATTAATGTGCTTATGATCATACATATATTAGGTAATAATGGTAATTATTATTTAAAATGTAGTAAGTAATAATAGAATTTTGGTATGACATATATTAAAAAGGATTAGGGTAAAGTAATGTATATATATTTTCCTTATATTGGTAAAGATGGTAATGGCTTTTCCCATTTTGTTAAAGTTTGACTGAGAACATGAAGTTTATTTTTCTCCATCCTGAGTGTCGATTTAACTAATCTTCGAATTGCTTTAATCATTATTTTCGGGTGAATATCTTGAAAATGAGCTAATTCATCTGATATTATTTTATGTGATTGTTGTATTTGACTGTCTAAGCTATTGAGCTCATTTATTTTCTTTTCCAAGAAAAAAAAAAAAGTGAGTATAAAGATAATTAGGATCTCTCGACTTGAATTGAATTTACCTTTATTATTTTATCTTTATCTAATTCTATTTGTCTTTTTCTATCATTTGTTGAAAATATATCATGCCAGCCTTTTGATTTGCCAAGTAATTCTTTTTGTACCTCTATACTCTCTTTTATAACATGTCTTTGCTTAATAAGTGTAAAGGGTCGTTGTAAAGAGAGCTATACATATAGTAGTAATGTTAATAAGCTAAATGTATCTATCAACAAATGTTAAATAGTTATTACAAGTATTCCATCCATGATTGTATATAACATTCGACACACTTTCATAAATTCGCTCCAAGGGGAAACATACTATATGTATACATATTTATATTTAGATCAGTGTATACAAAAGAAAGAAATCCCTACTATTACATTTTTTTCAAATATAACGTTACTGCAAACATAAATTGTCTCTAAAGCTAATGGATTAGAAGAGAACATATCTAATTGTTGAGAGGATGCCTCAAAGATGCTTCGCGAAAACAACTCAAACCCTTTCTCCAACTCTAATATAGATATTAATATATTAAGTTAAAATCAAGATCCTATACTTACCTAAACCAGAATAAATAAACTTTATACAATTTATCAATAAACTTAAAAAATGAGTTTTCAAAGGCATCAATAAGTCTTCAGTGTATTTCAAAAAATATTCTTCATCTTTACTATTCATCATGTTATTGTTTGAAAGAGGCGTATCATTCATTTTTTCCAGTAAAAGTTGTCTTCTAGAAAATGAATTATCAAGAAGGCTCGATTTTTCCACGTCTGAAGATGATCGAACAAAAGAAAGGACAAAATCATGTCTTTTAAGTAAAGGATGATATAGAAGCCAATCCATAAATGATTGAAGTTTGCCAAGAGTATCATCAATAAGTATACGAGGAGGAGGCTTAAAATCAATTAACTCGGGAGATGATATTTGTTGAAAAGTGGGTAAAAACAACTCTGGCATTTCATATAATAATCCTTTTCTTAATAACAGAAAATCTTGATATCTTCTTTTTACTATTTTCATCGTTTCTGGTTTACCTATCTATATATGTATATATATATATATATGCATTCATACATATAGAACAAGTACTTTAGTAAGAGACTTGTCAAGTAACATATACTTTTTGAATTGAATTACCTTACCACTTTTTATTATATAAAAAATGTCGGATTGTTGGTTATTAGGCTTTTTTTCTATACATGATCTTGTCACAGCCCAAGAATAGTCTTGTATGTCATTTTTAAAGTTTGCAGTTAAACAAATATCTTTTTGTAAATACAGTTCTTTTAAATTAAGGGAGAGAAAAAAAAACATACACACACATAAACACACACACACACACACACACATACAGTTATAAATCCATACCATATCATAAATACAATTTTATCTATTACCATCCATACATGTCACTAACTCAGACACTTTGCAAATATCTACAGGATGTTCACCCTTAAAGTTAACTGCATTTATCCATGCACCATTGTTTACTAGAGCTTTAATAAATAAGATGGCATTTACTATATTTTGCTTAGGTGCCCGAGTAGATATTCCAGCTATCAAGTGAAGAGGTGTATTACCGTAATTCCAGCTTCGAACGTTTACAATACCTTTCATTTGTTCTACTATATAATTTAAACTATTTTCACCAAACACCATCACTAAACCTTCACAAAGATGAGTTGCCAGTAAATGAAAAATTGTGTTGCCCTCTTTATCCACTTGAGAATAGGTATCCATCATAATATAGGGTATTAATGTTTCTATAAGATCTAATCGTCCTTTAGAGGCCCACATCATAAAAGGTGACCGACCCATGTGATCTACGTCGTTTACTAAATCATCTAATTGAAATGTAGGCTGTATCATCACATATTTTAATAGGTCTAAACTTTGAATCAAATGATAAAATGTTTCTCCCTTTTTATTTTTGCTTTTCCTCCACGAAAGATCTAATTGTTCCATCAAATAGGTTATAAATTCTAAGGAACTATTATTTTGAGCTGCAATATGAAGTACAGAGTCGTATGTTATAGAATTAACTTGATAGAGTCGATGTATGCCAACCTCTTTTAGTAGCAATTTAATTAGACTAAGATTATTCGTACCAGCAGCATACAAAATTGCACTGTTTCCGGTATAATCAAGCGAATTTATGGATTCTTTAACCATTTTGTGTTTCAATAATATCCTAACACTATCTAAAGAATTACTACACTTGATGGCACACATAAGAGGTGTACAATTATTATCATTTTGACTATAGTCAGATCGATGAATCAAATAATCAACAATATTCGCTTGTCCATACATACACGCTATCATCAGGCCATTATTACCATTTATATCGCGTACCTCAATTGTATCATTATAATAAGGATTCTTAATTTCTGTAATATCACCTGCCTTAATTGCTGACCAAAAAGACTTATTTTTCCTTGAAATATTGGATAATTCTAATTGAGCATCAAGAATATAATCTAAAACACCTTCAAGGGTACTAAGAGCATATCCATCTTTTCCAATTTTAACATTACGACTAAAATTGTATTCCTAACAAGCATATACATATATCTATTAAACTCTGTTTTTATCTCTCTCTCTCTCTCTTTCTCTGAAAATAAATAAAAAAAAAAGTCTTATGTAATCTACCTTTATATAAACCAAGTTTGCTATAAGATGAGGGATTCTACTTCTAATTACTATCATTAATAATAATGGTATCAAAGAATCTGAGTCCAGGAATGATATCTCTTCTTTTGATTCATCATCCTCTTTTGTTAATTCAGATATAGTATTTAACAAACAATTCAACTTATCAGCCGGAGTACGGAAAGAACCTATTCTTTCAAATTTAGAAATCGCAGCATAAACTCGTTTCCTTCCATCTTTAATTGAAGAAGGAAGTTCAATTTGAGAAAAGTCTAGATATTCTATTTCCTCGAGAACCTTGCTTAATTTTATATCCTTTGATAATAAAAATTGAGTAATCTTAAAGAATGTAACATCGTAAATTAAGTCCATAAAATAACTGTTGTATTATTTTATATTAATACATCTTTATCTTTATATTGTTTTCAATAAAAATAGAAATAAAAAAAAAACCTTTCAAAACTTTCATGTATTTGATCTATATTGAATGATAATTCTTCTTTAAAATGTTGACTGTTAACAAAATATTTATCTATCAGCTAAACAAAATTGTTAAAAGGAAAAAAAAAAACTAGACAAAAATAAATATGTTATTCAATAATTACTTGATATCCCTCATCGAATATCTTCTTTGTACATTCATGTAAACTTTCTAATGAATTACAGTCAATAGATGTATCACAAAACTTTAATATAAGCTTGTCTATTTTTTGTAATAATTCATCATTGTTGTTGGGAGTTGTTAAAAATATTTTTTGCATCATTTCTTTAAAGTTAAAATGTGGACAAAAAGAATTAATACATCTTTAAAAATAAAAAAATAAATAATAAAAATAAAAAAGAAAGAAAGACAATTAGAATTCCTTATTTCTTTCAATTATTACTGCACATTAAAAAAAAAAAAAAAAAAAAAAAAGGAATATTAAAGAAAAAGTCCGATATTAAAGTCACGCATAAATGACTGAATTACAATTTATGGATGTTTTTTGTGACCAATGAGCACAAAGTTATAAAAGTTGATTTGTCTTACTAATCAGTTTAAAAAGAAAACATTAACAGATACAGTAGCTCCAACATCAATGCTCGTTTTCCAGCGAACTAAATTCGCTTTGGTCTCTAATCAAAGTTCGTTTTTTTTGTTTTTGTTTTTGTTTTTGTTTTTTTTTTTTTTTTTATTAATAGGTCCTTATAGAAAACAAAAAATTTGTTGACTGGATAGAATTTTCAAATAAAGTCAAGTAAATAGGTATTAATATAATAACAACCGAAAGATTCCTAAGGTACTGCCTTCCTTACAAATTAATTTTACTTGAGGAAGAGGCAATAACAATCCAAGTACTGCTACTATAATCTCTAGAATGGATGATATAAATCGTCAAATCAAAGAGTTGAAAGCTGATTTGGGCTGGTTTTCAAGCTATGGCATCTTCAAATAAATATTTTCTCTTATCTCTGGAAATGACAATAATAAACTTCTGGAAACAGCAAAGGGGGTTTTTTTTTATTGATAAACTTGCAATAAGTGTAATTCTTATATGCAATTATAAGCTTTAATTGACGTTTATTATAACAGGACCCTTTTACAGATAATGATTCCAAGTATATTTCAATATTTGTCTTGGATTAAAATAATTAAAGATTGGAAAGCAAGAGCTACAAATGTAGATCAGCTTTATTCACAGGAGTAATTATAAAGAACTCGTTTATTCTTTTATTTGAATATTAAGCCAATCTAATCTTTTTGTATTATGATATTATTGATCTAACCAGTGCTGACAAAAATGATAGAACTTATGCTGTATTTGGTGCAAAACTTGAAGTTGAAATTGATATACTAACAAGTTATAAGCTTGTAAAAAAGTATGTATATATTGCAAAATTGACAGGTGAAATAGAGTGTAATACACGATGGTTACGTCCTGAATCGACCCCAATGTTGTTCTATTATAAACTCTTTTAATTTTCTCTAAAACTACTTTTCCTTTTCTTTGGGTTTAATTCTCTCAAAACCAACACATACACGATTAGGAAAAAGTAAGTATCTTATTTATTCTATTTTATAAATGAAACTCTTGTATATTATTAAACCAAATCTGTTAAAAATATCGCAAAATTGACAAGGCAATCATTGTAGAATTTGTTTATTTATTGTTTTAATGTATCTTTTATAAGTGAGTAAACTAAATATAAGTTATAGATATTAAATGCCACTTTACCTCATCCTAATTATGATTTTCAAAAAAAGATTAAAATCTACAAAAGTAAGTATAAATGCAATTGTCACTAGAAAAAAAAAAAAAAAAAAAAAAAAAAAAAAAAAAAAAAAAAAAAAAAACTTAACGAATTTGTGTAATAAATAATCACTTTTATACCAACTTTTTTTTTCTATTTTGCCTCCTTAAATACAAAAGTTATTAAAGTGATGTTTTTTCATCTTTTTCTTTTCTCCTTTTTATTTTTATTTATTTTATCTTTGTTTCTTAATAAATGGGGAACATATGTTGTAAAGAAGAACCAGTTGATTTATTAAGTGAAGGTTAGTTCATGTGTAAAATTAAATTGACTTATATACAAACAAATTTTTATTTTTTTTCCCTTTAGTTCAACTTTCACATTTTATCTTATTACGATCTGTTGGTAAGGGAGCATTTGGAAAAGTTAGAGTAGTGCAACATAAAGGCAACAAGAAATTATATGCTTTAAAATACATTAATAAGGACAAATGCATTCAAATGAAAGCAATTGATAATATTTTATCAGAAAGGAAATTGTTAGAGCACATCAATTTTAATTTAATTGTCAATTTACGATATGCTTTTCAAGACGATGAAAACCTTTTTATGGTACTTGATTTAATGTTAGGGGGTGATCTTCGTTTTCATCTTGATCGATTAGGTACTTTGCCTGAGAAATACGTTCAATTTTATGCTGCCGAAATTGCCTTGAGCATAAACTATCTACATAATAAGAATATAATTCATAGGTAGAATACAAGAACACACACACACACACACACACACACACACACACACACACAAACTACTACTAACAAACATACTAATTGTATTATTTAATTGAAAGAGATTTGAAGCCTGATAATATACTCTTGGATGAAAAGGGACATGCTCATTTATCAGATTTTAATATTGCGGTCGGAATAAATCAGAAAAGGATAAAACCACTAACAGCCATTGCTGGTAGTCTTGCTTATATTTCACCAGAAATTTTGAATAAACAGGGATACTCATTTTCAGTAGATTGGTGGTCTCTTGGTATTGTGATTTACGAGCTTTTATATGGTCAGGTAAAGATATAAATAATATGATACATCACCAAGTGATATTATTAATCGTTTTATTTTATAAAGAGGCCCTTTAAAGCCAAGTCAAATGAAGAACTACAAAAGTCAATTATGTCAGATCCTATCGAATTCCCTATAGAGCCTAAAGTGTCTCCTGAAGCTGTAAGCTTTATTCAAGGTTTATTAAACAGAAATATTTCACAACGTCTCGGAGTCGGGGAATTAGGTCTTCAACATTTAAAAGCTCATCCTTGGATGAAAAATATAGATTGGAATATTTTGGCCACAAAAACAATAAGTGCACCATTTATACCTGATGTATGCTATCTATACCCTCACTTTCCCCTTTTATTTTTTATTATTATTATTATCTTCCTTACACTTTTGGATTAAATATATAGGAAAAAAAATCGAATTTTGATCCAACTCATGAACTTGAAGAAGTTTTACTGGAAGGAAATCCGTTGAAAGTTAAAAAAAGAGCATTTCAGGCAAAGAGAAATATATCAGATGGTGCTATAATTGGTGAAAAACAAGTACTTGAAGAGAAATTTCTATCTTATGATTACACAAAGCCTGAATATTATTATAAAAGAGAAATTCATTCTTTACCAAAGTTATCTATGCCTTCCAGTCGATGCAAACGAAAAGTAAGGAAGATTTACATTATATAATTATCATTTATATATAACTTTGCTTCTCTTTCTATCTCTTTTTTTTTCTTCTTTAGGGAGAACACAAAAGTTCTATGGATGAAAATTTCCCTATGCTGCATAAAACACCATCTTTGTTGACACCTGAGTTTCTTTCAATAGGCCCAAATATGTTGCATAAACCTCCTACTGCAGCTCAAAATCCACATAGTAAAATCGCCTTTTAAGGAAACCATCTTAATATAAATTTGCTTCCGTTATTGTAATCAAAAAAAAAATATTCATATACACATATCTAACCTTAATAAACTATATTTCCTACATTTTTATTAATTACAAGTTTTTCTTTTCTTCTCTTTAACTATCAAAGAAATAGAAACATAATAGTTTTTTATATATATTTTTATTCTTCTTCTTCTTCTTTTGAAAGCTAAACTACATCATAATAAAAAAAATATTTTCGTGCTTAAAAATTTAATTTTAACTCTTGTCAATATTTAATATCTGAACGATATATTTCCTCCCTTCTCTTTGATATAGAATATTTCTAATGAAAATTACTAGTACAATTAAATATATTCTAATAAAACATTCAATGTAAAAAGAGTTTTGATAAAAATAGTAAATAGTCCAAGTAATTGGAGCTATCTAATCTTATATTTAAACACAATGTATATCATACATTACTGGAGCTTGATACATTTTACTTTCTCCTCAAAGATTATAACAATATATGTGTATACATATTGTTTAAAACTAGAGTAAAAGGGGTTAAACTAAAAGCAATATTTTATTTAACTTGCTACCATCATTAGTTTTCGTGTATCTGAATAAAAGCATAATCCTGAATAAGGTAAGTTCAAAAACAGAGACATAGCTGCTCGATATGAAGCAGAGTTCACCAATGCCCTACAACGGATGGACCACAACACTCAGCTAATACTATGGCTGCTTACCCCCAACTAACCTACTCTGGACGTCTTCTACCTGAACAACCATCCTATATGGAGCTAGTGGATTCTACACCTCGACCTATTAATAAATATACACTTACAGTATCTGACTTCCCTATAATACTCGAAAACGTCAAAGATGCCTTAAAAAATCTACCCTCAAAAAAAGCACCTGGAGTTGATCACATAAGACAAGAAATGCTCTCTCCAATAACGAATAAACTTGTTCCAACCCTTCTGTCTCCCTTTGAACTATGCTGGCGATGGTCCTATACTCCTCTATCTTGGCGAGTAGCTCAGATTGTCCCAATACATAAGAAAGGTGCACCTACCGAACCAGGAAATTATCGACCTGTCAGCCTAACATCAGTTTTTCGAAAGCTATTTGAACGATGCCTGTATCCTTATCTTATGACTTATAGTCCACCATTAGACATTGCCCAAGGGGGATTTTGTGAGGCTCGAAGTACACTTGATCAGGTCCTTTGTCTGACTGAAATCTGTAACTTACTTTGCAAAGCACAACATTTCAAACCAGCGCTTGCTTTCCTTGATATCAAATCAGCTTATGATACGGTAGACCGTGCCCACATCTGGCACTGTTTATCTGACTATGCCCCTGCTCCACTACTGAATATTCTGAAAAATCTTTTTGACAATGTCCATCTCGAAGTACTTCTAAATAATGTTATCTCATGTAGGTTTTCCACGGGAACTGGTGTTCTTTAAGGCTCAATTCTTTCTCCATTTTTGTACTCAATATACATAAACAATCTTCCTAGTATTCTACGTCTATCACCAATTTCAACAAATATACGTGATCAATCACTTCAATTTGTACAATCGATTCATTGCTTGTTGTATGCTGATGATGTTGTCCTCATCACGACACCTGAAAAGTTGCGCTCTTTATTATCGTTATGTGAAGAACACAGTAATTTATTAGGCTACCGCTGGAATCCTAGTAAATGTGTAATACTTGATTCTTCTGATAATCAGCAGCCATACACGTTATATGGTAACCCCATTCCAACCCGAAAATGTTTTTCTTATCTTGGTATCCCTATCAAGACAGGAGTATTCTTAGATACAACTCAACTCGTACAAAATAATACTAACAAAGCCCTACAAACAATGAATTAAACAGCATCTACTGGGGTTAACTCCAAGAGATTTGATCGTTTACTCGCTACTCACTTCTACACGCAGATAGTCCGAACACAACTCGAACATGGTCTAGCTATTAGTCTACCCGGTGCAAAGAATATCCAACAACTGGAATCGTGTCAAAACACTTGCATAAGACGGATATTTGATGGCTCTCATCGATCATCAGCATAGGTGATGCTTCATATGGTAAACCAACCATCGATGAAGATTAGGACGTCTATTCTATTCTGCAGGTACAATTCGTTTTTCATGCTATTGATTTACCGGGTGATACCTTGCTCGCTAAATTACTTCCTGAGCTTCAAGCCTCCACTTTTAACACTCAATGGTATAAACTCATTCAAACACCATGCTGGAGACTCTGTGCCGCCAACTCCATTCCGCCAAACCAACGCTCCTTTCAGAAACATCGTCAAGAATTTCTTGAAAAGATTTTTCAACAACTACGTGACGAGACACATTCTGTTTTGCTTTCCGCTTGCCGCCCCAATCTGATTATTGATTCGATACTTTGGTTACTCATGACACATAGTGGCGTCTTGGTTGGCTGCCGGGGGGAATACCTAAAGCCTGCCCATATCATCCTCATGTACACTTTAGTCGGTCACACGCCACCGAATGCTTGCGCACGCACACTCGTTTATTCTTGCCACGATCAATTGCAGATTCCCTTTTCCTTTCTTTTAAATCATCTCCCTCAGCATAAGCACCGAAATTCTCATGATGTTTCTGTCTGGTTCTATCGCTGGCCAGTTATGTGTACGATTCTACAGGAAATGAATTACTTAATACACGATAAACTACCCCCTCCACTTCTTGACCCAGACAAGAAATTACTCAACTGGTTGTCCCTTTAAACTTGTTAGCAATATTCCCTCCTTTCTTTCTCACCTTCTCTTCTTCTTCCTGTCCTTTACCTTTTTACCTCTTATCCCTTAAGAGAGTTTTTAAATACTTTTTTTTTCCACATAATTTGAATTAACCTGGGCAATTCAATATAACAAAGATATTATGTGCTCATAAGTCGCTTTATAAATTTTAATTTATAAATAAAAATGTTTAATTGTACGTTTAAAATTGAATTTTTATTATTATTATTATTTTTTTTTTTGACCAAATGAGCACATAGCATTTTTCATCTGCTGTATTGCCCTAGTCAGTTCTAGTAGTATATAAGTAAGAAAAACCCTCTTTTGAGACAAAAGGGAAAAGGATAAAAGTATATGTGTAAAAGGATAAAATAAATATAACGAGTTAGACAGAAATAAAGTAATTGGAAAAAAATAAGGTAAAATTCGCAGTACAACGATATTATCACTTTTTAGTTGAGTAACCATTTCACCAGTAGTAAACCAGGTTCGGAGGGAGGATCTGGAGGTAGTTTTTCATGAAAGAGATAATCTATTTCATGTAGGATGATACAAATAGCTGGCTAACAGATTGTCCAAGGAGCCACATCCTGTGAGCGTTTTAGCTTTTTAGTAGGTAGTTGGTTGAGCAGGAAGGAGAGTGGGTCAGTGACCGTTCTTGGCATTTGGAGTCGGTGGTGCATTTGTAGACACTCAATAGAATGAGTACGACCGAACGTTTGAGAAGGATGATAGGGGCATGGACGAGGTATACCGCCAGGTAGCCAGCTGAGGCGCCAGCTGAGGCGCCAGCGGAGGACTTGGCTTCTTTCCGTATTCGTCATGGGCAGCCAAAGAATTGGATCGATGATCATATTAGGACGACATGCACGAATCAGCTTAGAATTTAAACCCTGACAGAGGTTTTCATATTGAGTTTTTTGAAAACGCAGACGGAGCCGTTTGAAAACCTTTCTATCAAGTTCGTCCAAGATAGGGGCACATTCTCTCCAGAGTGGGTTGACTGTTAGTTTATACCATTGAGAATGGCTGCTGGACATTTGAAGATGAGGTAGAAGTTTGTTCAGTAATGTATCGTCGGGTAGTTTCATTGATCGAATAAGGTATTTGGCTTGCAGAATAGTAGCTCGGGTTGTCATTGAAGGTTGTTGTACTAGGTGCAGCATTACTTTGGTTGATGATCTAGCAGAACCACCAAAAATACGTCGAATGCATTCATTTTGACAAGCTTCAAGTTTAGTAAAGTGACTATTATTCAACGCGCAGATAGCAAGACCATATTCCATTGGTGATCGTATCATTTGGCTGTAGAAACGTACTGAGAGTAAGCGGTTAAACCCTTTGTGATTGACTCCAAGAGAAGAAATTTGATTCATAGAGGATCTAGCTTTTTTAGTGTTGAGATTGATGAGGGCAGCAGTGTCAATAAGTCCACCAGGTTTGATTGGAATTCCAAGATAGTTGAATGATGCTTCACTCGGTAGGGGCGTACTGTTTAATTGTACAGTATTCGCACTTCAAATCCAGACAAATCAAAAAAGGGAATTCGAACAAAACAAAAAATTGTTTCAGACTAATTCGTTTTCTTTTCAGACGCTTGTATTTTTTTTTTTTTTTTTTTTTTTTTTTTTTTTTTTTTTTTTTTAGATTATAATATGAACGAACATTGTAGAATAGCAAATGGAATTGTAATGAGTGACAACCGAGTCGAAGAGATTGTTGAAGAAATGGACATTGATGAGGATCCTGCTTTTACGTATGGCAAACTATTGCTTTTAGCTGATGGTATTTTTTATTAAAAACTAAAAAGTGAATAAATTTCTTTACAATATGAGGGGATTAATCATAGAATACATATGTGTAATACAGGAAGGTAAACCTTTAATGGCGAGGACGGTAAAATAGATTTTTGCGGTTCCTGTCTACTGATTTCTCCATAATTGCCTTGATTACCTTAGCATCTAAGGCGGGTTTAAATGATTCTTCGACACGGAATGCATTGCTAGTATAACATAATTTATGGATGACGTCTACAACATGGTACAATCTATCAAGATAGGGTACAAGTTGAGGTAATTCATCCAAGGAAAGGGGAAAACGAATGCAATCTAATTCTGCAACCATTAAAATATCTTCCATAGCCTCGCTGATGTTGAATTGAATGTTTGTACCAACGGCCATAATTTGAAACATATGTTTTCTGTTGAACTTAATGGTGCCAGCCTTTGAAAATGTGCATAATCTGTGAAGATCCATATTTATTTTTCTATGGTTTTTGGTATGCTTGATCGGCTTTACTTCGAAATATCCAATCGCCATCAGATCATTCTCAACGACTCCATCCGGACGGTTTTTGTTTGGATCTGCGTCTGCATCCAAAAAGCAATTCGTGTTCAACCACTTGAATATGAGCTGATCTTGATCACAGTCGAACAATTTTTGAAAACAGGGTTGCAGGTATCTTGTGCAAAGTTCAAATTCTTTGCTTTCTTTCTTTTGGTTTGTGAGGGGAAGCAACTCAACCATCGATTTGACACATTGTAACAACCTAATCATGATTTGATCTGTGTTATCGATAATCAGTGCTAATATTTTGCTTTCCACTTGAATCCTTGACATTGTACCACGGTTCAGATCATTGGTAATATTTATTAAAGTCATCATGGTATCGATTGGAAATTTTTGATTCAGTTGGTTGAAACCAAAGGTATTATAAATATTTTGGCGTATTGTCTCTATAGGCTCGTCGAAATAACTTTGCAATCCAGGATAAATTGATTTTTTCTCAATGTACATTATATCAGAGAGTGCAAGTAAATGTTGCAAGTGTGTCTCATAGGTAAGTGGAGCCTCCATTGATTCATATACGTCTCTTTTGAATCGTGACAAAGAATTTGAGTACATATTTGAGCTGTGTACAGTTCTCATATCTTCAGCTATGATTGCTTTGGCATCCTCAAAACTAATTGTTTCAATTCTTTCTACTGTGGATATTGAAGAACTAGCATTGTCACTTTCCTGAGGTTGAGGAAGAGAATTTTTATATTTCGATTGGCTCATTCCCAAATTTCTTTGCTTCCAGAAGTCTTTTGCAATTTTCGTCTTACGCCACTCGTTGTAATCATCTTTTAACTTTTTTTTCAAATTCTCATCCTCCACATAATCAATCACTGCTAAGAAGCGTATTTGTACTCTTCTTGTATCATACGTTTTGAAAAAGTTAAAAAAGTCGATGTGTGTTATGTTGTTGCCGTTGTTACGCAACCAATTAATTTCACTAGGAAGTCTTTTAGTGTGTTGTTTCTTCAACATGGCAATGAAAAGATATGAGGAAAAGATAAAATAATACTCCCAAAACGCCTTAAAAAATTATTAACAAATATTTTGTTACTGGTAGGTTGTGTGGTACAGACTTTACATGAAACACTTTAGGATGCCAATGATATTATAATGAAGCAGGTATCCAAGTGATCATCACTTACAAATAACGATGAAAAGTTAACATTTTGCCTTCTACGTTAGCAATATAGCTAATATATATAGCTAATATATATATTATATATATATACAATAAGTGAAAATGACGACTGCGGCAACTTTGATTTTGCAAAAATATACGTTTATACGTTTTTAGGATCAGTTAAAAGATGGTCCTTCTAACATTAAAGCATGAAAAAGGTTAAGTCTTATACATAAAGGGAATGAAACAATTGTATTTTAAGAAGTTAATAATTGAAAATATGTTTATTTATTAAAATGAATTATAATTATTATGAGCCATGGGTGTATTCGATGTGAATCTATATGAAAAAAAAAAAGTCAGTAAACCGCCTATTTCTAGTGTCAATAGCCACCAAGAAACAACAAGGCTTAGGCTGACGCGAGGGCCAGCGTGTCCGTTCGCCTACGACGTTGGCACGCGTACTATTGACCGTTTTACTGAGTAAGTAAACTTACCTTTTGTTTTGACTTGAATTGCACAATTAAAGAAGAAAGAAGAGGCGACAAAAAAAAAATCCTTGTATTAAATAGAGGTTCTTGTGGCTTATCCAAAAAAACAATTACGATTAAGAAGAATTTTATTTAAAAAATTAAAAATGACCAATGAGCACATAGCATTTATATATGCTGTTTTGCCCTGGTCAGATCGCTATGGAAAGAAAAACCCTTTTGGGATAAAAGGGAAAATGTTAAAGTATATGTATAAGTGATGATAATTAATTATCAGAAATTCGTTTTTGTATTGAAAGAAGATGATTGACAAAGGGTTCACCAAGATGGTCAGAGGGTTCAGGGATTTGGGAGTGAGCTAGATAGTCCATCTCAAATAGAATTGCACATATAGAAGGCCAGCGTATGAGCCAGGCATCAATTGATTTTTTCACTTTCTTCGTATGGAATGTTGATGGTAATAGATTCAAGAGATAAGAGAGTGGATCTTCAATAGATTTGGGCATCTGAAGGCGGTTGTGCATATGTAAACAAGAAAAACTATGTGAGCGTGTGAAGAGTTCATTTGGATGGAAGGGGCAGGCTTGGGGTTTACCAAGAGGTAACCAACCAAGTCGCCATCGCACGCAACGAAACCGTTGTCTTCTTGTCATTGGTATCGTAAGAATAGGGTCGACAATCAGATTATTACGGCAATGGGATAAAAGTTTCGAATGTTTTTCTTGTAGTTTTGAGTGGTAGCTGTCAAGTAGGAATTGTCTTCGGTTCCTACTAAAATCCTTATGAGACGTAGTGTTAAGATTTTCATTGCAAACTGATATCCATAGAGGAGATTTGGATAGTTGGGACCATTTTGATTTAGTTTGAGACTGTATGTATGGTAGCAATTTCGTCAATAATGCATCATTTGGTAAAAAGGAGGATCTAAAAAGAAATTGTGCTTGGAGTATTGAAATACGATCTTTCATGTTAGGTAAATTTGTTAGGTGTAATATTACTTTGGTTGAGGTGAAAGATCGTCCACCGAAGATTTGACGCATACATTGATTTTGGCAGTTTTCTAGAGAGCGGATTTCTCGTAGGTTGAAGGTTGTGATTGCTAATCCATATTCTAATTGTGGTCGAACTATTTGGGCGTAAAAACGAGCTGAAAGAAGGTGGTCAAAGCCATTTTTATTTACACCAAGGGTGGTAAGCTGTCTCATCGTTCCAAGTGCTTTATTGATGTTTTGTTGTAAAAGTGCTGATTTATGTACGACACCACCAGATTTAATAGGAACACCGAGGTACGGGAAGAAATCTTCATTGGGTAATTCATTATTGTAGAGGTAGTATTTTTGAGGTGTAGGATTGGAATTCACAATAACGCACTTTTTAGAGTTCCATCTGTAACCTAAAGAAAGGCTGTGTTCTTCGCATTTGGAAAGGAGGAACTGCATGGAATCAGCATCAGAAATGAGAACCACATCATCTGCATATAATAGGCAATTTAACTTTGGCGCCACAAGGGAAGGATCATTAAAGTCTGTTTCAAGGAGAGGTGCTGGTCGTAAGAAATTTGGAAGACTATTAATATATACTGAATATAAGTAAGGTGATAAGACAGAGCCTTGTAGAACGCCTGTTTTTGGATGGAAACGGGAGGATGTATGGTTGCTAAGAATTACTTCGACAGAAACTTCTTCAAACATGTTGTATAAGAGGGCTAAAAGAGGTGTTGAGACACTTGAAGAAAGCTCGTCCCAAATGATACTTCGATCAACCGTATCATAAGCTGAGCCTTTCTTCCGCTTTCCAACACTATTACTAAACTTGGAAAGACATTTACAACACTATATACACATTCAAAACTCTCAACACCTTGAAAAACATCGCAATAACTAGGTAAATGCCGCCTAATCGACATAAATATAATAAGACTCCTAGTCGTGTTTTATCTGAAGAAGAACTGGCAGCCCTTGCAAAAGGCTTCCTTGAACATCGCAAAGCGATACCATGTCCTGAATGCAAAAAAGTCACTACCTATCACAGTAAGGGTGATTCTCCTTCTAAAACGCACCACTACCAACCCTGTTACAAGTGTACCTTATGCTCTCATACTATGCATGCACCTGAAATGCTTGATATCATCACTGCTCCCTCAAGGATGGTAGAAGATATATCTAACAATGTACCCCCAACAGCAACTCCAACCCCTACCATTGTCGTCCCCGTAACCCAATTCGACAATAGTGCTACACCAGACGTACAAGCGCTTTTTAAAATGATTACCCAACTAACCACCCAGCTTGCAGAACAACAAAAAGTAATTGTGCAACTTACTGAAGAACTCCGTCTCTCTAGATCAGCTCCACTACAACTACCTCCTGCCGCCATTCAACCTAGCACTGACGAGGAAGACTTTCCTACTCTTCCAGATACACAATTTTCCTCGGCTCCCTGGCACCAACCAGAAAGAGTCTTAGCTCTCAAAAAGAATCTAGTCCAACACCATGCGAAACGCGAAGCTGCTGCTGCTCGTTTCTTTCAAGCCCCTTCAGCTACTCAAGGTTTCCAATACTTATATATACCTACCAAGGCACGTGTTCCCCTCGGTAAGTTAAGAACTACTTTCAAGAAACTAGGAGTCAACAATGGTCGTCTCCTAGATTTACACTACCCTGACCGCAACATTGTTGCAGTGCTCGTCCATAATGACTATGCTCCTGAACTCCAAGAACTGTTAACTAAACGAGGCATCAAACTCCATACTACTTTTGATCCCTGTAATGGAAGTGTACTCAAAGATCCCAAATATGCCAATGAATCAACTGAACAACGTCAACAGGTCGCTCGTGATCTTCATAATCAACGTCTCCAAAAAGCTCTTATTCATATCCGTGGTCCGGCTAAATATGCTGTGGCACGTTTCTTTGCCCATAAAACCTGGATTACCAAAGACCAACTTGCTGACATACTGACTACTGATCCCTACTCCAGTCGCCCCCAAGAGGACATCTTCGTGCTTGACGTTGCTGCTTCTGAATCTTCTAAATTTCACGCGAGTGCGATGGATGAAGATGATGTGAACTCCACCCATACTAATTTGAACCAATGAGTGGTCTTCCATTGAGAATATCACTTTTTACTGCTACTGGTCTCCCTAAACAATCTATTTATCCTGTATTAAATATTGCTAAAAATTCATCTCTACTCTTTATTACTGAAACATGGCTACTATCTCCCAACAAATATCCAATTCCCACTTGGAAACAATTCCATACCTACGGTATTCCGGTAAACTCCTATAACCAACATCGTGGTCAACTTGGTTTAGCTCTTCTTGTTAATCCGGACTTCAAACTTCCAATTCATCATATCAATCATGTCAATCCATTATTGGCTAAGTTTACATTATCAATCATTATAAATTCTAAATTACTAATTCACTGCTTATATCTTCCCCCCTCTTTAAAATCAGATCAAATATCAGAAATTCTCTCACTATTACCTATGGATTACCCTTCCACAACCAAGACTATTATATGTGGTGACCTCAATTCTCGTATTGGCGAGTTGGTTGGTGACAGTCGGTGGAACACAAGCGGACGTCTCTTTTACAATTGGATGGAAGCACACGGTTTGATTCTATGGAACCAACGGCTGGCTTTTGGATAACCGACTAGTTATACTTATCATGGTACAAGTATCATTGATTATTTCCTTAGCAATACTGACTTGGAGACACCTGACCTTAATATCCGCGACGATCTATCATTAAATTCTAACCACACTTTTATGACTTTCTCTTTTCATCTACCCCAAGTCCATTCTTCTCACAACCTTTCCGTTGAGGTCCATCGTCCACACTGGCGATTGAAAAAGCTGAAAAAATTAGATCACTATGAAAGGTACCAAGCTAAGTATGCAAATGATAGTGCTAAAAAGATGCGTATAGTCGACTCTTCAGCCCCAACGTTTCAAGATACAGATGCTGCTCGTACTTACATCGACCAATTCTCAACTTCACTATGCCAAACTATCTACGAATCGTTGGATCAAATCTGTGGAAAAAAGGATACTACTGCTGATGTATTTTTAAAACAGTTCTGGACCGCTGAAATGACATCTGCTTTCGAGCTTAAACAATTCTATTACAAGAAATGGCGAAAAGCAAATGGACTGAATTGCTTAACTTATTGGTTAAAACATCAAGAAACTACTGCTTTACTAAAACGACTAATCCAACAACGGCGTAGAGAAACTTGGAGACAATTTTGCGACAAGATGTCTAAAGGCGAGTATACTAAAGCAATTGCACGATTCAGCAGAATTCGTAAAAACAGATCGGTGAAGCCTTCCTTCTCACCAGATCCAGATATTAACCGTGCTCCGGCTGACGTTATGGCCGATCATCTTCAAAGTATCTATGCCGGGCAATTCCTCACTTCACCATCTAATTTGAGTTCATCTTCTCCTATAACTAGTGGTCTTCCTTTTAATTTAAATCTTTGTCCCTTCTCATCTGAACAAATTCATGAGACTCTAAAACAACTGCCTCGTAAAAAAGCTCCTGGTGTTGATCACATACAGACGGAAATGTTATTACCCCTAATTCACACTTTGGTTCCCCAGCTTCTACATCTCTTTCGTACCTGCTGGCAATGGTCCTATACTCCACTATCATGGCGAGTTGCGCAGGTAGTATCGATACACAAGAAAGGCTCCAAAAGTGACCCAGGGAACTTTAGACCAATTAGCTTGACATCTATTTTTCGTAAATTATTTGAAAAATGCTTGTACCCTAGCCTATTAGATCAATCCCCTACTCTTGATATTGCTCAAGGCGGATTTCGTGAATCTCGTAGCTCTCTTGATCAAGTTCATTGTCTTGTCGAGATCCGCTCTATTCTTCGGCGTAACCACAATTGTTTCCTACCCTTGCTTTTTTAGATATCAAATCAGCGTATGATACTGTTGATCGCTCCTATATTTGGGAAGTGCTTCAACCTCATCTCTGCCCGGCTTTGCTTGGAGTTCTCAAAAATCTCTTTGATCAGGTTCAAATTGAAGTTCTTCTTGATAATCATATATCGTATCGTTTCTCTCCTGTCACTGGCGTCTTACAAGGGTCTATTCTCTCTCCGTTCCTATATTCAATCTATATCAACCAACTTCCAGCTCGTTTGAGGTTACCACACCAACTCAATGACTCCTTCACTACTGATGTAGTTACTACATTTGTACCGTCCCTTAATTGTCTACTCTATGCTGATGATGTCGTCCTTATTGCCTCCCCTGAGAAACTCGCTTCTTTACTACACCAATGCAAAGTTCATAGTTACTCCTTAAGTTATCGGTGGAGCCCATTAAAATGTGTCATAGTCGCTCCTACCAATGGTCCTCAACCATATCAATTATATGGTACTGCTATTCCCAAAGAATCCTCCTTTTCTTATCTTGGTGTTCCTCTAAAACCTGGTGGTCTAATTGATTATGCTGCTCTAATCCAACATAATATCAATAAAGCCTCTCTCATTATGAATCAACTTGCTGCTATTGGTCTCAACTCCAAAGGTCTTCCACCTCTGCTTGCATGTCGTTTTTATAGTCAAATGGTTCGTTCTCAGTTAGATTATGGTCTTGCAATTAGTCCTCTCTCTGCTAAACTTACCAAAGCACTGGATACCTTTCAAAATTCATGTATTCGACGTATCTTTGGTGGTCACTCACGGTCTTCGGCGAAAGTCATGCTTCACCTTGTCAACCTACCATCCATGAAGACCCGTATTGCAGTCCTCCAAGTGCAATACCTCTTTCGAACTTCCCAATTACTAGCAGATACTCTTCTTGCCCATCTTTTGCCTCATGTTCAGCTCTCAAATAGCCATTCCCACTGGTATAAATTGGCTCAAACTACATTGTGGACACACCTATGCTCACCAAATATCTCAACGCTCGACCGAAAACAATTCTACACTCTTCGTGCTAAGTTTCTAGATGATCAATTTCAAAACCTTCGTCAAGATACTAACTTCCTCCTATTGTCTTCCTCACGCCCCACTCTTGAATTGGATCCCATCCTCTACTTACCAATGACTACCTCAGAACGTAGCCGAGTGCTTCGATGGCGACTTGGCTGGCTACCGGGTGGTAAACCTAAAGAGTGTGTCTTTCATCCGTCCCATAATTGGAGCCGGCAACATGCTATTGAGTGCTTACATGTACATCATCGTCTCTACATGCCTACTTCAGTCGAAGATCCCATCTCGTTCCTCCTCAACTTGCTTCCACTACATAAACCTCGTCGTCCTTCTGATTGTACGAGCTGGTATACTTTATGGCCTATTCTTTGTACAATTCTACATGAACTTGATTACTACTTCCATGATGAATTTCCTCCTGATCCTATCGACCCTGGTCTCAAGCTGTTGAAATGGTTATCCAAGTAATAGTGTGTATCTTCCTGGTCACTTTGGTCTTATTTGTATTTAAATTGTTTATTATCACTTTTTTCGCTTTATCCTTCTTATATTTTCTCTTAATTCCAAAATACTGCTCTTTTCTTTTTCCTTCTCGTTTTCCTTTTTCCCTTCCTGTCCTTTAGGAAGGTTTTTATTCTTATTTCCCCTCTATAACTGGCTCGGGCAATATTGCGCATTTATTTCGTTGCTACGTGCTCATTGCCAAAAAAATTTAAAAAAAAAAATCAAAATAATAATATTAATAAAACTCAGAATTTAATCGTATTCAACTATCATATCTTCTTTAAATAGTAGCTGTGTTTCAAAAAAAAAAGACAATAATTGTATATTGATATATAATAAATATTATTATAAATATTATTATTGTTTCTTTTTTTTTTTTTCTTTTACATACATATAATATCTATATAGTAACAAGAGTAAAAAAAAATACAAATATAAATGGGTATCTTATTTTTATCTTTATATTTCTTTAAAGTTTTTTTTTTCTTTTCATAATTGAAATTACATTATTCATTAATAAATAAAAATAGCCAAAATAGTTATTGCTCATCATCCGTATGAAGCAAGTAGAGACGACGAAATATCTTTTGTGAAAGACGAAGTTATTAAGGTAACAGATGACTCTGATCCTGACTGGTGGGTTGGTAAGAAGAAGGACGGTTCTTTAGGCTTCTTTCCTAGCAATGTAAGTTATTTGACATTTTAATTATGCATATTTATTTTATATTCATATATGTAAATACATGTATACATAGTTTGTTGACATTGTTGAAAATAATGCTACTGGAAAACCAAATGTCACTGCAACTTTGGAAGAGCAAGAAAATACACCTATAATTGAAAATAATGAAGAGTCAATTCAAAATAATCCTGAATTTATTGAAAACGACCAAGAAGAGACTCCACTCGTTCCTGAGGAAAAGAAAGGTAATAATGAAACGACACGCATAAAAATAATTGCCAAAAAAAAAAACTATGATATTAAATCACAAATGATATAATACTTGAACCTAGTTGACCAAATAATTGGTATGGCAAGAGTGATGGAGGATTACGCAATGCAAGAGCCTGGAGAAATTTCACTTTCACGGGGTGGAATTATCAATGTATATGAAATTATTGATGATGAATGGCAAAGAGGTGAATTAAATGGTAAAGTTGGAATATTTCCTTCCAAGGTAACTATTCAAGAATATGTATAAAGATATAATGTATATATGGCTTATATATATTTTGTATTTTGTATTTGTTTATAATCTTTAGTATGTCGAAGATATTGACATGCCTGGAAGACCTGATCTTGGTAGACAACAAATTGTTAATACTTCAGAAAATCCAAAGCCCTCTTTAAATGATGAAAATAACTCTGCACGTAAGTAGATAGTATTAAAATATGTTTGCATTCATGTTATTAAAGTCTTCATATTTTTTTTTCGTCACACATTTTTAAGGTGGTTTTAAATTGGCAGCTTATGGTGTTAAACAAGGTGGCATTGGTAGTTTGTTTGCTGGTGGACTTCCTGGATTAAAGAAAATAGGAATAACTCATAAACAAGGAGAAGAAGAAGAAGAAGAAGTATCTAAACCTAATATTGAGAACAAGAATGAAGCTACTACACCTCCTTCTGTACCCGAGAAAACAAAACCAAAGCCTTTTTTCTCAACGTCGGGTGTTCCTGCTGTTCCTGCTTTTACTGCTTATTCAGACGAACCTGCTGAACCATCTATCGATCCATCTGCTGTTCCACTTTCAGCTCCTCCTGCTATTCCATCTTTAGAAAATAAAGCACGTAAGTTATTTGTTTAATACACACATTCTATAACAAATTAAAACCCATACAAATTTTCTTACACATTCCGAATTTTATTTATAGTTGGGAAAGCTATTGTATTACATCCTTATGAAGCTGACAACGATGGTAAATTTTATTTAACTTTTCTTATTTGCGTCTTTATACTCACTTTTATTTCACCCTCTTTCCTTTATATATAGATGAATTAAACCTATTGAGAGGCGAATATGTTGATATTCTTGATCGCCATGCAGATGAAGGATGGTGGAAAGGAAAGAATGAAAGAGGATACATAGGCGTTTTTCCTTCTAATTTTGTTAAAGAAATTGAAAATGACATTGTTGCTCCTCCTATGCCATCTCGCTCTCGCAAATCAGTTATGTCTATTAATTCCGATAGTACTACAACTGAAAGCCGACCTACTTCTATCACTTCCAACATTGCTAGACCTCCTCTTACAGGTCCTAGGCCTTCTTCTGTTCAATCACCAAGTATGACTCAAAAACCCATTGTATTGAATCAAAGACCTTCTTCTGTTCAAGCATTATCATCTAATGTACGTTTACCCACACCTCCTAAGGCTTTTAGTCCTCCTATTCCTCAAGTTAACTCTCCATCACCTATTTCTGAAGAGTCTATTAAAGAAGAAGAACAATACGAAGCGGATGAGGAAAAACCTACTGTAAGTATAGTATTTTTATAAATAATGCACATAGAAATATATATATAAAAAAAAGACAGCTAATGGAAAATAAATTACAAGTCACCTGAAAGGTCCGAAGTTGAAGAATCTCCTGCATTTACTCCTATTATATCTGAACGTGCACTTTCATTTCCTACTGAAAAAGAAGAAAGCATTAAATCGCCTATTGTGGTTGAAGAAGAGCCCATTTCAGATGATGAAGTAAAAGAATCAGGAGTTGATGAGGAGCCTTTCAAACTCGAATCAGAAAAATTAGCAAAGACAGAAGAATCTAGAACAGCAGAGCTTATTTCACCAGTAGAAGGAGAACAGGTCAAGGAAAAAGAAGAGGAAGATGCTCCAAAGAAAGAAGATGAGCAACAACAGCTTCCAGAAGCTGAATCTATAGAAGATACTAATCATGCAGATGAGTCATCTGTCATTCAGGAAAAGAAGAATGAGGAAATAAATAATAAAAATGATTCGAAAGAACAAATGGCATCCTCTGATGAAGAATTTAAAGAGGCTTCTGAGGAACTTAAGTTGGATAAAAAGCAGCCTATCGAAGTAGATGATAAACTAACTGAAGAAGAAAAGGAAAACACAGAGAAGGAAATACCAAATGAAGTCGCTCAAGAAAATAGCAATAGCTTTAATAATATACCATCCGGACCCAAACTTGTCAATCCTACACGTATTCGTTTTGGAGGTGGTAGAGCACGTCGATTACCTCAAACACCTAGTCATGAGCCTAGTCAGATGGAGATTTTACAAAAAGAATTAGAATCAACACCTGAACCAGATAAAGAGGAAACAAAAGATAGATCTACTTCACCTGAAAAGCCCACTAAACCTATAAAACCTATTTTTGCAAAATTCCCTACGCCTTTTGCAGCTGGTGCACCAGAAGAAATCTTTAAACGTAATTTGAAACCTACACAAACACGTCGTTTATGGGAACAAAAGCCCGAAACAGAAGAAAACAATAAAAAGACGACAACGACGACGACACCCGAGGATGATGTACCTGTTCGTCCAACTGGAGTTAAAAATATCGCATCCCGTTTTAATTTCAATAATAACAGCAGTAGTAGTGGTCATGAAGTGCTTGAAACAAAATTAAAGAACCATACCAAGAATGAAATTGAAAAGGTACGAAAGGAATTTGAAAAGTTATTACAAGAGGAACGAGATAAGCGCATTCAATTAGAGACTATTGTTAATGAATTAATTGCTAAAATACAAGCTCTTGAAAATTAATATGTTTCTTTTTTCCTCTATAAAATAAAATAAAATAAAAAAAAAATATGTTTGAGATATAGTTTTTATTTATTGTCTAATAAAAACATGTATCTTTTAACGAGATTAGTGAAAAGAGAAAATACACCTTTTGTCAACATGATGCCTCAAAAAAAAAAAAAAAAAAAAAAAAAAAAAAAAACACTATAATGAAAATTAATTTATTTAATAGACAACTTGGATAATAGAGAAATTTATCCAATCATCTGTGAAAATAATAAAATAAATTTAACTTTTATTGATTCTTGATTTATCATCCTCTTGTTTAAATGTAGGGTTAGTAGGAGTATTATTGGGCCAATAACCTTGACCGGGTTGTTGCATGTAATGAGGATGTTGCTGTTGATTCCCATAATAATTGGGCCCAGAAAGATGACCATAATGTGCCTGTGGTGGTTGTGGTGGTTGCGGTGGCTGTGGTAGTTGTGGTTGAGTAGAACGATAAGCAGGATTTAAATAATTTGGAGGGCCATTGTAGTTTCCAGCACCTCCTAGACTTGGAATTGAAGAAGTATTACTTGTAGGTACAATGCTACCATAAGGATGCTGCTGCTGCTGCTGTTGTTGTTGTTGTTGTTGTTGTTGTTGTTGTTGGTGATGATGTTGCTGTTGATGATGTTGCTGTTGTTGCTGATAAGGGCTTGTCGTATTATTGTTATTATGACCGTAGCTTGTTGTTGATACCGCATTGGCAGGAGAGGGAGAAATAACAGATGGTTGAGACATAGAGTCCACAGTTGTATCTTCATAACCGGACTTTCTTTCCATATCTTTTACAGATTGATTTGTATTGGTATTTTCATTACTATTACTGGTCGCAGCAGCAATATCATTTTCCTATAATAAATAACCCTATAAATATACCTACTACCATCTTTTCTCTCTAGTCTTTTTTTTTTTATTGTTACATTCGGTTCATCCTGAGTTGGATCAGGTGCGTTTAGACAAGCTTGAATAAGATTCTTTCCTTCAGGCTTAGTAACAATAGGTTGTAATTTAACAGTAGTAAAGGTATAAACTAAACCTGTTTCAGAAACAACTAACAGTAAAACCTGTGTACCTGTCAAAGTACTTAATTCATATGCCTTAATAAAGAAGAATATATATTAAAGTTTAACACAGATATATAAATAAATATATCATAAATAATATTGCTTTTTTTTTTTTTAAGTGTATTTTTTTTTTTTTTTTTTTTTTTTACCTTTTTCATAATACCAGCCTTACGCTTTGAAAACGTGATATGTCTACGGTTTTTATCTTCAATATACTCAATCTTAATTTTTCTTCTTCCAGAACGTCTTGAAGGTTTAGAATCAGACTCATCTCCTGATTCTTGGTTTGCCACTTCGTCTACATCACAATTCTTGATGATGGTTTCTTGTGTAGGTAATTGATTGCGATTCATTCTTATTTACTTTATATAAATGTGTATATATTTATAAAAATAAAGAATATTGTAAAAAAAAAATCCAAAAAACCTATTACGGTAATATTTATTGTTTAAGGAGTATGGGTTGCCAAAAAGAGAAAACTTGACTTTCAAAAGATATATAAAGAAAGTGTGGAAAAAAAAAAGGGATGAAAACAGTGGTGGGAGTTTTTATTATTTTTTTTAAAAAAAGAAGAAAAAAAAGTGGAGAAAACAAATGTGATTGGATAGATACTATTTTCGTCATCATTTTGGTAGGCCGGTGCTCGAATAAAGGATATTTTCAACTGATTACAAATATATGAAATACATGAATAACAGAAATTAATACAATTAAACAGTAATTTTTATTTAAAAAATACATGACCCCATTTGAGCACGAGACGTTATTAAATACATCAAATTTGCCCGTGCCGGATCAGTTTAAAAGAATAAGGAACAAAAAAAAAATCTATTTAGGAACAAGAGGAAAAATGTAAAGGAAAGGAAGGGTGTGACAGGTGAAATGTAAAAATTATACAGGTAGTGTAGGAGAAGGAGGAAGCCAATCTAAGAGAGGTTGACGAGAATTGAGTGGGGGTAGGAAGAATCGGCTTATTATGTTGTAACTGGTCAAGTTCATGAAGGATAAGGCAAATGGATGGCCATCAAATGTGCCAAGGGGTGACAGAATGAGATGAGGCAGGTTTCTTGGTGGGAAGTTGATTTAAAAGGAAGGACAGGGAATATTCTATAGTTTCAGGTATCTGTAACCGACGGTGCATTTGAAGACATATGATTGCATGTCGTCGAGTGAGGCGTTGAGATGGGTGAGTGGGAAGTATGTGGAGTAACCGTTTGGGAGCCATCCAAGCCGCCAACGTATGCATCGACTGCGTTCAACAAAAGACATCAGTAACCAAAGGATAGGAACTATAGATATAGTAGGCCTGTAAAGAGAGAGAGAGGAGTGTAGAGTTATTTGGAGCACTACGACGTATATTTAAGTTATCTTGTAAAAAATTGTTGTTGTAACCTTTCTAAATCATTTGTGATCTAAGGAGTGTAGTTCGGGGTGACAAGCCTTCCACAGTGGAGTTTTAGATAGCGTATACCATTATGATCTGCTTGACGAGGTTCGGATACGGGGTAAAAGTTTCGTAAGAAGAACATCATCAGGCAAGGAACTAATAGTAATACTGTATTTTCCAAATAAATGAGAAAATAATTCGATAAAATGAGAATTTTAAAGTCTTAAAATGGGAAAAATTGTATTAGTTAATTGAAAAAATTTTATGTGATAATTGATAGACAACTTTTTTTAAAACATTAGCCATTTAAACATGACAAACGATATTTACATGGAAGATTTGTCGTCAGAAGATTCTGAAAACTTTGATGATCAAACAGCCATGGTATATTTCAGTTTGATATCAATGATACGTCTTACATTTGATCAAGATGAAGCTGTCATGGAAATCTATGAGGAAGTTGTAAACGATTTTGAAGTAGCAAATGGAGATACAAAACAAAGCGAAGAAAAAGACAGCGAGTATGAAGAAGACAATGAGAAGGTGAAACTGGAGAAATTCGCTGAAAATCTTGCAGGTGCTATAAAAATTAAGGGTAAAAAGTCTGCAACGTCTTACAGATCATATACGGTCTCTCAAATTGTCGATTTCATTGGTTTAATTGTTGAACAGGTACCGGTGAAAGATGCTGCAACAAGAAAAGGCATTATTCTTTCAACTACTTATCGATATCGAAAGATATGGCATGAAACTCAAGATGTTCCTGAGAAAAAAACAAAGGGGTCGAGTTCGGTTTAAGGTTTTAACGGAAGAACATGCGTTGTTTGTCATGAAACTTATCGATAATTTTGCACCAATGACCTTAGAGCAGATGAAGGAAAAGCTTATCGAACAATATCCTGATAATTCTATTTCGAAAAGCCAGTTTTATCGCCATGTTAAAGAACAATGCGCATTAAGTATAAAGAAACTAGAAAAACTTACTGAATATCGAAATTCGGATGGGACCCTCTTGAAAAGAAAAAACTACTGTTGAATCATGGTTATCTAATAATGAAATGGATTTTGAAAAGAATTGTGTTTTCATAGATGAGGCCGGTTTTAATTTACATATCAGTCGTACAAGAGGTTGGTCAAAAGTAGGCGAGCCAGCAAAAACGGTAGTTCCAAAGAACAAGGGAACTACAATCACTATTCTTGGCGCTATTTCGGACCAAGGTGTTATTGATATTTCTCTGAGAAAACCTGTTATTGTTACTGGAACTAAAAAGAGAAAAAACAGATGGGAAAATATTAGCTACAACAGCAAAAATAGGCACGAGAACCGAACTTTTTTTTTTTGAACTATTTGAGTAATGTGATGGATGTTCTTGACGAAAATGAGATGAAAAATTACTACGTTATCATGGATAATGCTCCTATACATAAGCCTGTCATTGTAAGAGAGTTTATTGAGAAAAGAGGTTACAAATGTGCTTACCTTCCACCATACTCACCATTTCTTAATCCTATTGAAGAGTTTTGGTCGAAAGTAAAATATAATGTCAAAAGACGACCTTTCGATGGCAGTGATACATTGACTCCTCGAATTATAGAAGCATATTCTCAAGTTACTCTAGCAGACTTTAAAGAATGGATAAGGCATTCAGTCTCATTTTTCGATCGTTGTCTTTTTTTTTTGGAAAAAAATCTATAAACTTTCCAAAATAGTTATGTTTTTTCTCGATCTACCAATATAATTTTTCTCATTTATTTGGAAAATACAGTAGATGTATATATAATATGTATAACTTATATAAATAATTATGTAATTGAATATAACAGCCATAAACCTATAGAATTCTTATTATTACCTAATGCAATGTATATAATTATTTTTAACAATGACTATTATTAAAACTGAGTGTAGAATGAATATTATGCTGTGAAGTTCAATACACTAGTTTTACACTAGTTTTATTTGAATAACCTCTTTACTATGTAATAAATGATGGTTTATTTCTATCAACTTAGTTATAAAGACGACTACAATCATAACATTGTGGTTTAGGTAAGTTTAAGAATAAACAATAAATAAATAAAAGAAATAAAAGAAAACAGACAGAAGAGGTACGTTGAGATATGTCAATAAGTTTTTATTAAGAGTTAAGTTAAATTATAATTATAATTGTAATTCTTGCATACAAAATAAGGGTTAATAATGTAAGTGTCATGAGCTGACTTATAATGTCACGTTTCATGATTAAGCATGCGGATCATAAAATTATTTAAGAAATTCTATCCTGAATCTCTCTTGATCCGCTCCATCAAATAATATTAAAAACTTTTAACACTTCATTATCAACAATGTACCTTATTCGGTCGTAACTAACACTTTTCTGATTCACATCTTATCCTCAGACCTTTTTAACAATTCTTATAAATACCCCCATCAATTTTAATTCATAAGTAAAATGATTGACTTTAGAACTATTGTTCAGTCTCGTTGACTCTTTTTGTTTTTTTTTATTATTTTGATATTTTAAAAGAAACATCACACTGTATGCAACAAATGTATTTTAGCGCAATAACGGTGAAATGAAAATTGATACTTTTTATTTAATTTGTGTACTACAAGTGAATAAATTACTACATAATAAAGGAATGGAATGATTTAAAGAAATTCATAGGATATATGTAATGAAGGAAGGTATGCATTAATGGTGTGGATGATAAAATGGATTTTCACGGGTTCTGTCGGTGGATTTTTCCATTATTGCTTTAATTACTTTTGCATCTAAAGCAGGTTTGAAGCTATTACAGATAGTGAATGTATTGCTTGTATAACATAAGTTATGGATCACTTCTACAACATTATAGAGTCGATTGAGGTATGGTACAAGTTGGGGAAGTTCATCAAGTGATAATGGGAAGCGAATACAATCTAATTCAAGAACCATCAGTATATCGTCCATCGCTTCACTGATATTGAATTGTAAATTGGTTCCTAAAAAAATAAAAAAAGGTTTTAGTATACACAAAGTTATTTTGATGATTGTAAACTTACCAACAGCCATAATTTGAAACATATGCTTTAAGTTATATTTCACTGCACCAGCTTTAGAAAATGTACACAATCGGTGCAAATCAACATTAATTTTTTTATGATCCTCTACATACTTGATCGATTTAACTTCGATATATCCAATTGCTTTATAATCATTTTCAACTAAACCATCAGGACGATTTTGGTTAGGATCAACATCAGTGTCAGAAAAGCATTTGGTATTTAGACACTTGTACATAAACTGATCTTCATCGCAGTCAAATAGTTTTTGAAAGCAAGGTTGTAAGTATCTGGTACAAAGTTCAAACTCTTTGCTTTTTTTTTTTGATTTACGAGGGGTAGTGACTCCACCATTGATTTAATGAGTTGCAATAATCTTATCATAATTTTATCTGTGCTGTCGTTGATAAGTGATAATATTTTGCCTTCTGCTTGAATTCTAGATACTGAGCCACAGTTAATGTCATTGGTAATAGTAATTAAAGTCATCATGACATCCATTGGAAATTTATGGTGCAACTGGTTGAAGCCAAACGAATTATACATGGTTTGGCGGATTGTTTTCATAGGCTCTTCAAAATAATTTTGTAATCTAGGGTAGAATGAGTTTTACTTTCTAACACTTGTGATAAATTTTTACCATATTTGGCAAGCGTTACTAAGACTTCTATTATTCAAATAAAACTACAGTTCGACAACAAAACCTTTGACGAGTGTAATGGGACCCCTTCGAGGAGCCTACATCAAAAATGCAAACCCTGCCCTCACTGAGGAACAGTTGTCTGAACTCGACATTAACTTTTCGACATTTCGAAAACAATTAACATGTCCTGCATGTTTCAAAACCACTACCTTTCATAGACATGGGTCTTCAAACAAAGAACCTTTCCCGCCTCAATTTTTATGCACCTCCTGTCACAAAGCTGTAAAAGTTTTTGAAATGTACCCTATAGTCCGTTCTGCTGCACAAAATCAACAACCGTTATCTCTAGCGACCTCCAACGTGGAGATTATGCCACCCGAATTGGAATCCACTACTACCAGCAACAACCAATCTGACCTTATCAAGCAGTTATGCCAAACTGTCGAGCAGTTAACTGCAGAACTCTCTCAAGCACGTAGTAAGATCCAAAACTTGACATTGCCTAAGGATGCTTCCGTAGCTCACGGAGTGCACTTGATCAAGTCCTCTGCCTCGTAGAAACATGCTCGATTTTCCGTTGAAAGCTTAAAATCACTCCTACTCTCGCTTTCCTTGACATTAAATCCACATATGATACTGTTGACCGGTATTTTATTTGGCAATTCCTTCGGCCATATCTATCTCCAGAGATGCTTGGTCTAATTCAACATTTTTTTGATAATGTCTATATCGAAGTTCTTGTTTCGAACGCTACCTCTTATCGGTTTTCACCTACCACTGGCATCCTACAGGGTTTCATTCTATCACCGTTTTTGTATTCCATTTACATTAACCAGTTGCCCTCTCTACTTCGCCATCAACTGCTTGATGACATGCCTCCAACAGATGTCTGCCGTTTTGCTCGATCCATCAATTGTCTCCTGTATGCTGATGATGTTGTACTCATAGCTGACCCTACTGACCTTGAGGACCTGTTTCAGAAATGTGAGGATCATAGTCAACGCTTAGGTTATCGCTGGAATCCATTGAAATGTGCTATACTGGCTCCTAGTTCTGATACTCGTTCTTATTCTCTGTATGACACTACACTACCTCGTCAGACATCCTTTTCTTACTTGAGTATCCCTATTAGCCCTAGCGGTCTCTTGAACACAGCTGAACTAGTACAGAACAATATTAATAAGGCGCTTCAAACTATGAATCAAATGACGTCCCTCGGTGTCAATCACAAAGGATTTGATCGGCTTCTCTCTGTCCGTTTTTACACTCAAATAGTACGTGCTCAGCTTGAATATGGCCTCGCTATTAACTCGGTCTCTGTTACTCAAATCACAAAATTAGAAGCATGTCAAACACAATGTATCCGAAAAATTTTTGGCGGTAGTACTCGGTCCTCACCTAAAGTTATGTTGCACTTGGTCAACCTGCCCACAATGAAGGAACGTGTTCACCTCCTGCAAGCTAAATTCTTACTTCGGTCTATCTACTTTCCGGACGATACTCTTGTTTCCAAGTTTTTACCACATACACCCCTCTTCAAGCCATTCTCAATGGTATAAGCTTTCGAAAACACCTATCTAGCAACGGTATACTGCTTCTTTTGACAATAATATTTATGATCCTCGCGCTTTTGCTGGTATCTGTAAAGCATACCTGAAAGATAATCTTGGTGATCGACGAAACAATAAGAATGCTGCTCTCTTGTCTGCCTGCCGTCCTACCCTAGGTATCGATCCTATCCTCTGGTTACCTATGTCAAATGCAGAACGCAGCTGAATAGTCCGCCGGCGCCTAGGTTGGTTACCTGGTGGTGTCCCTAAACCGTGCACATATCACCCTAATGCCATGTTCACAAGTTCTCATACTATATGGCGCCTACATATGCATCGACGATTACAAATACCTTTGACCGAACCTGACTCTTTGTCCTTCCTCTTGAATAAGCTGCCAAATAAACAAAAACGCAGGCCACCAATCTCATCAGCTTTCAGCTCATCTGTCTTTTCCGCCTGGACGATTCGTTGGCCTGCTATGCGCCTTATACTTTTTGAACTTGACTATCTCCATCATGGTAAACTTCCTCCAGAAACTGCCCCCTTTGGTACAAAACTTGTAAACTGGTTACGTAACTCTGAATTTAATATTTGTTGATGTGTCTTGCTTTTCCTCTTCCCTTCTCTTTCTTTTTTACCCTTTGGCCTATCAAAAGGTTTTTTTGGTACACTTTTATCCTTTCTTGAACTGACCCGGGCAATCCAATACGCCAGTATTATGTACTCGCATGGGTTGTTTAAATTTTTGTTATAAAAAATTTTTGTTGTAAATAAAATAATTCTTTAATCGTAATTAAAGTCATCATAACATTCATTGGAAATTTATGGTGTAATTGGTTGAAGCCAAACGAATTATACATGGTTTGACGGATTGTTTTCATAGGCTCTTCAAAATAATTTTGTAATCCAGGGTAGAATGAGTTTTTTTCGATGTACAAAATATTGGAGAGTGCAAGTAATTGTTGCAAGTGTGACTCATATGTGAGTGAAGTCTCTAACGATTCAAATATATCACTCTTGAATTGTGATAAAGAATTCGAGTATTTATTATAGTTGTTAACAGGTGTCATATTTTCAGCTATAATTGCTTTAGCATCCTCAAAACTAATTGTTTCAACGCTTTCTAGTGTAGTGGTAGTAGTAGTAGTAGTAGTAGTAATAGTAGTTCTTGAAGAACTGCTGCTGTCATTTTGTTGAGGAGGAGGAAAATATTCAGTGCTGAGTTGGCTTACTTGTTCATTTCGTTGTTTCCAGAAGTCTCTTGAACTTTTTTTTCTACGCCTTTCATTGTAATCGTCTACCAACCTTTTTTTTTTCAAGTCCTCATCCTCTACGAAATTGACCACTTCTAAGAATCGTGTTTGAGCTCTTCTTGTATTGTAACTTTTAAAAAAGTTAAAAAAATCGATATGTGATATATTACGACCATTACTACGCAGCCAGTTTATTTCACTTGGAAGTCGTTTTGTTCGTGCTTTCTTTTCCATGGTAAAAAAAATAAAAATAAAATAAAGATAAAGGAGAAAACAAATAATATTCCTTAAACGCCAAAAAAAAAAGAGTTTGTTTACAAATATTTTATTAGTTGTAGGTTGTGTAGTACGCACTCTTTTATGAAACGTTTTCAAGTGCTAATAATAATATAATAGAGCAACTATCTATCTAATCATTATAAAAAAAAAACAAATAATACTCCCTAAACGCCAAAAGAAAAGAGTTTGTTTACAAATATTTTATTAGTTGTAGGCTGTGTAGTACGAGTGCTAATAATATAGTAGAGCAATTATCTATCCAATCATTATAAAAAATAAATAAATAAATAAATAAATAAATAAAGATAAAGGAGAAAACAAATAATACTCCTTAAATACTAAAAAAAAAAAAAAAAAAAAAAAAAAGAGAATTTGTTTACAAATATTTTATCAGTTGTAGGCTGTGTAGTACGCACTCCTTTATGAAACTTTTTCAAGTGCTAATAATAATATAGTAGAGCAACTATCTATTCAATCATTATAAAAAAAAAATGATGAAAAGTTAACGATTTATCTTCTACATTGGCAATGGAGCTAAAAAATGAATTGTTTATATGGCAGGTGAAAATGACGACTACGGCATCACAGGTTTTGCTAAAAAAAAAAAGCAGCATACCAGCAATGCTAATAGTCTACGCGAAATGTAAATGCGCTTTTCTTTCACCGATGGGAGGTTTAGTTAAAAGATACTCCTCTAATCAATATTAAACTCAATAAACATTTAGGAGGCTCAGCCTTATAAAAAAAGAAATAAAACAACTGTATTTTTAGAATATTATTTTATTAGTTAACAATTAGAAATGCAATTATTTAACAGGAATCATAATTTTTATGGGTATATTAAGTTTATGCTAAGAACGTATCTATAAAAAAAAATAGTCAGTAAACCGCCTATTTCTAGTGTCAATAGCCACCAAGAAACAACAAGGCTTAGGCTGACGCGAGGGCCAGCGTGTCCAAGTCGAGACTCAATGGAAGTATGGTGGAAGTATAGCTACTAGGCTTAGACTGACGCGAGGGCCAGCGTGTCCGTTCGCCTACGACGTTGGCACGCGTACTATTGACCGTTTTACTGAGTAAGTTTAAAAAAAAAAACTTACCTTTTATTTCACCTAGAATTTGCACAATTGAAAAATGAGAAAAAAGAAAATGAAAAAAGAAAGTGAAAAAAGAAAGAGAAAAAAAAAACTTTTTTTATTAAACAAAGTTTCTGTGGCTTATCCCAAAAATAATTTTTTTGTGATGCACGAATTGCTTGGCATTTGGCGATTTTTCAAAACCCAATTGGCGTAACGTAAAAAAAATTATCCAATCAGCGGTTTCCTAGATCTCAATAAGCGTATAAAAAATTTCCAAATAGTGCATCACAAAAATCAATTGGCATTTCTTTCAACGTAAGTATATTCAAATGAGCAACACACACAGATTTTTTATTGAAGATGGTTAAGGCAGGCTAACTACAGAGGATGGTGAAGAAGCTATGGATTACATCATCGAAGAAGGAGATGAGTTTAATCTTCGAAATTTGACGACTTTAACTGCATATAAGGAATGTCAACCTGTTCCCATTGAACTCGATCCCGAGGACAAGAATCTAGAAGACAGAATTTTGCTAGTCATTGAAAGAGTCAATAAGACTATTGCTAACAAAGTTGGTAATGTCACGAACTATGCAACTTATACCGACGATCAGAAAACTTTGTTCCTATATTACCTGAAAATTAAGTTTTATTCCGCAGCTAAAGCAGCTGGGAAAACCGGTATTGTTGAGAGAATCTGCTCAAACTTGGGCAAAAAGGATTAGAACAGAACCAGACTAGAACATCTATGAAAAACAAACCAATAAAGGCAATCGGGCTAAGAGTCAACTTCAAGAGCCACAAAGATTGCATATTCTTGAGCTTTTTGATGAGAAACCATATACTACGACCGACGAAATTGTAGATAGTTTGACAAAGGCTTTTGAAGGATTTTCTTTAAAGAAGTCAACGGTTAACAGTTTTATATTACATGAGTGTAATTTGACGATCAAAAAATTGCAACAACAACCTAAAGCTCGAAACGATCCTACGCGCATTAATGCAAGGTACGAATGGGTTATGGAGTATGATAAGTCAGACATGGACTATCTTCAGAACTGTGTTTTTATCGATGAATCAGGTTTTGATATTAACATGAGACCTTTCCATGGTCGTTCAGCTTCCGGTACATCAGCTGTTGCGTCAACGCCATCTGCAAAAGCTGAATCACATTCCATCTTGGGGGCGATAGCCACTGTTGGCGTTGTTAATATTGATATACGAGTTCCTCAAGTGAATAATAGAATCAAAGTTGCTGGTGGCCGCAAAAGAAAAGCCAATGATACTAAAAAAGTTGGGAAAAAAAGGCACAACAACAGGGCATTATCTCAATTTTTTTTTTAAGAGGGACACTCGATCAATTAGACAAATATCCTGAATTAAAGGGATTTTATCTTGTAATGGATAATGCACCTATCCACAACCATGAGGAAATTGAGAAGCTCATTACCAACAGAGGCTATAGATATGTATATATTCCACCTTACTCTCCTGAGCTGAATCCTATTAAGCAATTCTGGTCTTTAGTTAAAAATACAGTCAAGCGTAGTAAATTCAACGACAAAGAAGACTTGTTCACGAGAATCCGTGATGCTTGTAATGAAGTACCTCGTGAGATAATAACCAAGTCAGTAGAGCATTCTATTAGATATTTTGAGAACTGTAGAAATAAAGAACCACTTTAATGAGGGAACAATATGATACTCTAAAAAGTTTTTATTATGCCGCCATTTGATTTTCGCGATACGCTATTTGGAAATTTTTTATACGCTTATTGAGATTTAGAAAAAGCGCCATTTGGGACCGCACGCACTGTATTCTTTTGGGGTTCAAATGCACACAGATCTCCATGTTGACTACTCCAAACAGACAGATTGCACCAAGAATAGTATGACTAACTGCTTTAGCTGAAGGTGTTGTAACAATAGCAGGAGTACCTCGAGTTGAGTAGATCTTGCTGTAGACGGTTTTATGTTAATGTCAAATGCACTTTCGTCAATGAAAATGCAATTTTTTGTATAGTTCATATCAGTTTTTTGACCAAGTTTCAACCCATTCATATCTTTCTATAATCTTAGCACTTTGGTTTCTTGCGACTGGATGACAAGTAGCTTTTTTTGATACTTAAATTACACTCGGTGGATATAAACTTTCCGACTACAGTTTCTTTCAGACTAAAGCCTTCAAAGCTTTTGGCGAGTTCATCAACTGCATCAGACACTTGGGCATGAGGATATTCGTTAAAAAATTGTATAAGCTGACTCTTTTTTTGGTGTTTATCTTGTTGATTCGTTTTTCGTAAATGTTCCACTCAGGATGATCCCTAAATTTCTTGGTCTAATCCTATCCTGTACGCACATTAAGCAGCTCTTCTAGCTGCAGCTGCAGCACTTGGAAGTTTAATCTTTAGGTAATAAACAAACAAGGTCTTTTGACTATCAGAATAATTGGTATACTTGCTTGGAGTGCTGTTTAACGTCTTCAAGTCCTCATAACAAAGACGAATTTCAGAACCTACCATTGGTGTTTAAAGCAAAATGAATAGAAACACGTGGCACTTTTATGCTCAAGAGAGGTCTAGAAACTGCTTTCAAGGAAAGTGTTTTGATAGAATGTGAAGGCAAAAGACAGAATCCCTGTTACTTTTTTTTTCCCAGCTTCTTGGAAGAACCGACGCATTTGAGTCTTCAAAGGAGTAGTGTTGAAATAATTTTTACTCGTCTTTATGTATTTCTTTATTCGCGACAAAATTATGAAAGACAACATGTTTTCTACAGCTCAGAGTTTGGCCAAAGTTCGCTTTTGTATAAATGGCTCAAACTCGTTTTTGTAGCTCTAGTTAATTGTAGAACAAACTTTCTTTTTGTTTTTTTTTTTTTTTTTTTGGGAGAGGGTGGAGCTACTGCATAGCGCTAGCCTTCCTTTTCGGATAGCTTTTTGTATCATAATGTATATTAGGGGAAGAATTAAAAAAAGAGAATAGATCGTTACGATTTTATTTTGAGGCGATCATATCTAAGATGCCTGGTTTCGATAAGGTAGTGGTATCCTCTGTTTATAGATAATAGTCTTAAACAACGTGGATGTAAGAGGAAATAGAAAAAAAATTATTTATTAGCTTTATGGGTCTTCTTCTTCTTCTTGGCCTTTATCTTTGTTTCAAACTTGGTCTCAAAAGAGAAACGCACGCGCTCTCTTCCAATTCTCTTTTCTTCTTTTGTCTTCTTCTCATTCACTTTAACAACAAAGTTGTTAAGCTCACACTGTATAGAATACGTCAGTACACTGTTGCTATAGTCAGTTTGTTTGCAATTAATACCTTAACAAAATAAAAAGCTTCGACAATTGAAGGCAAGTGTACAAGGTGGTGACTTTGTTCAATCAAAGAGAAGCGATTGATTGCCATAGGCATATATACTCCATCAGCAAGAAGCATCATTTGGAAAAGCGTACAGTCAAATCCTATCAAAGTATCTGTATTAGATAGCGTGTTCTTTTTTGGTACACGACATACAAAATGAAAGCATACCTTCGACCAAAAGACCAAGTGAAGAAGGGTTTTGCACTCCCAAACAAAGTTGCTCGTCCACAGATCCTTTCATCTGCTTCATTAGTTTTGCGTAGTCATCTTCAGGTTGGTATTTGCTTGTAGTCTCCGGTCTTTTCACTTCAACAAAGAAGAAATAGAGCTCTTTGCTCTTGACCTTCGTGCCAATCATGAAGTCTGGTTTCTTGCCATCTTTATTTGGCTTGTCAATTCTATCCATGAGCATGATATACGGCAGTTAGTATAGGCATAAATAAAAATAACTATGTATACACTTACATGGCATATAAAATGTCTTTGCTTGCATCTTGTAGTAACACTCTTCGAATAACCGGCATTAAATGCTTTTCCGTGAATGAAGCTTTAGAGGTATTTGCAACACAAGCATGGAACTGACTCTCATGTCTGACTAGGTATTTAACCATGCTCATCATGTCTTCCTTTACTTCATTTTCTTCATTTTCTTCATTTTCTTCTTTCTCTTCTTTCTCTTCTTTCTCTTCTTCTCTATCTTCTTTTTCTCCTTCTTCACTTTCTGTATCATCTTCTCCGACACTCTATTCACAAATTTTATCAGAAAAAGTTTTTTTTTTTTTTTTTTTTTTTTTTTGGACTGGTTCAACTTACGTCAGCTTCGTTCTTGCAGTATACAACTGCCTTGGCAGGTGTACGCTCGAACCTGGGCTTCATGCGGCTAGCTATTGATCTCAAAGCTTTGCGAGTGCTTCCATAGAAGTATCTAGTAACACATTTTTTATCGTCAAACTTATTAAGGGGGAATATATGAGAGAAGGAGCTAGAGTGAGAAGAGTTGTTCCAGTTGAAGTTAGCGCGTTAAGAGAAAGAGGAAAGATAGCTCTTTGAATACTTACAGGATTCTCAAGCAATTTATGTTATTCCCTTCATCGGCTTCGCCAATGGACTTCTTTCTGAATCTCTTTAATGCTTCAGTAATGTTGATGTTTTTAACAAGAAGCTAAAAGTAATGTTTAGGCCTTATTCAGCTATAGGTATCCACGCACTTATTTACCTCTTCTTTTGGCTTCCACTCCTTGCTTCCTCCACCCAGAAAGTACTTTATTTTTATAGTTCGCTTGACATCTGCGGAAGAGATTGATCCTTCCGACAAATCAGGACTAGGAGCTAAAAGAACGTGAATAAGTATAGAGTTGGTTTTCACATATAAAAACTCTTTTGAACGTACATCTCTCTCTTTTCAAGTTTATTGTGAAGTTGACTTGACCGTAGAAGATTGATTTATTTAGGAAATTAGACATTTTAGAGTATACGATCAGATTACTAAGAAAGTTGAAGGTGAAGAAGAATTCTTGTTAAGCATTCTCTCAGATAGGCAATATGCCTCTTATCTTGTGCAACTTTACTAAATTGACATAAACTCTCATCTTCTCCTTTTAAATGGTACAGATCCACTTGTAAGGCATTTTGTATTAGGTGAGTTTATTTAAAACCTGCTTAACTGTCTGGAAACCCACCCCCCTGTTTTTTCTTTATTTTTCTTTTCTTTTTTTTTTTTTTTCTTTTTCTTTTCTTAATATCTTAACACACACACACACACAGTAGCAAGGTTCCCTTGCTTGCAAAGATAATAAATGTACTATACACTACAGAGATTAAATCTTTTCTTTGTAAAGCGCAAAATGATAACATAGTATACTCTTTTTTTTTTTTTTTTTTCCTTTATCCTAAAGGAATTATTTTCTCACTTTAATGACATGACCCGGGCGAGTTTGATATGTATTAAATAATCTCGTGCTTATTGAGTTTTATACTATTCTCAAGTGTATGTACTACCTTCGGTTCTTATTTGCAGTATGATGAAAGAAAAGTTTGAAGAAGATTATTTAAAAAGTTTAGTCTCCCCTCTCTATACTTATTTTAATATTGGATCTATATCCTGATCCTGTTACACACTACGGCCTACTTCATTAGTGACTTGAAAAGCAAATAAATGTTTAGTTGAACTTGATGTGTATTCTTGATGAATTTGAGACTAACTCATTAGCATCAGACCTGTATAAAATCATCAAGGGAAGCTACGACACAAGCCTCATTATTTCAAGTAGTTACAGGTAAGTTAATTTTGGGTGTATTTAGGTTCAGTATGCTGGTAACAGTAAGTATTATCATAATTCTTCACCTTCCTTCCTCTCTCCCTCCAACAAATTGTGTCGCGGTTCATGCCCAAAAAAAAAAAAAATGAATACTGCAATTTATATGGAATGTATGATAAAAAAAAAAATCAAGACTGGCGAAATTAACCAGATCATATATTTTTTGTTGTTGTTGTTGTTGTTAATTCATATCAGTTCATATACAACGTCATAAAGAGCTTCATTTGTTCAACAATGAATTCAAGTCACTCGCAGTTACTTTTCATTTTATGTGTTCACTACTACCTAAATGGGGTTACGGAAGATAATAAAATAAAACCTTGAATATACTGTACTCAATATACAAATAAAAGAATGCCTTGATCTCAAATCCTTGTAGTCTAATACATATAAAGCAAATGCAAATGCAAATGAAAAAAAAAAAGTTATATGACAAAGTTGTCCAGACTCTTTGTTTCATCGATATACCCACTTTCTATTATACACCCCCTCTTTATGTAATAAAAAACGATATAATATGATTTATTAGCAGGCATCTAAACTGTTTAATTTAACTACCTTTCTTTACATGTTTTAAAAGGCTAAAAAAAAAATAAATTAGAAAAGGGTAGAGGGGAGGTGGTGTCTTATGATATAAACAAAGTTAAAGAAATTAATATAAACTACTTTAAACAATAAGGGTAATAGACAAATAAATAAATAATAGATAAAAAATAATGTTATAGCCAGGAAGATAATATAGATGAAGGATCATTAAGTGACTGTTGTGATGCAGTAGTATACAATTTTTTGACTTCAGAAGATTCTTTCTTAAGATAAAGAGACTGCTGAGATGGTGTCGGTAAAGGTAATATTCTTGTATTAAATAGACTATTATCAATTGAAGAACAACTGTGATAGTTAGTAGTAGAGATCTCTTTAGCATTTGATAATATATTTTCCATTGACATTGGAGACGATCGAACTATTTCTTCAGGTGAAGGTAATAAAGGCCTTTTTGATTTGAATAATTCAGTCTGTAATAATTGTGAACGAGAATCATGTTGTTTTTTCTTTACATTATTTGATTCTATTTGTTTTTTATCATATTTCCTACATCGTTTACCAACAATACTAAATTCTGTTACAAAAGACATGATATATACATATATATTTATATGTATTTTACTTTGATGAAGATACTCTAGGTTCTTTTCTAATTCTTATTCGAACGCCTTGATCTGAAAATGATCTTGTAAGTAAAGTAGATTCTAAAACAATAAAAGATAAAAATAAAGTCTATTAATTTGACACACACACACACATATTTGTATATATATTTACCTGACATTCCTGGAAAGCCTAAAAGATAAATTTAAATACATATAATATGTTAGATCTGTAATAAAACTTACTTTTCGGTGAATAAACTTGAAATATATCAGAAATAACAGAACAGAGTCGATTTACATAAATTCTATATTTTATAAAGTGATTTAATTCTTTTTCTTTTTTTTTTTTTTTTCCTTTTTCCTTTTTCCTTTTACCCTTCAATTTCATATAAAGTAAATTTTAAACGATAGAAGCCTTCTAGTCGAACACTAATGTCTGAAAATATAAAATATCCACCTTCTATTATTATTCATCATAACACTTGAGTCAGATCAAGAATATATTAAGAAAGGAAAAATAATAATAAAACCTGTATTGTCATGGTCTTTGAGTTTATATAATGATTGTACAACAGTCCCAGCTGTAGTTCTATTACCATTGATAAAATGTAAATCTGTTTCACCACTTATATCTGTTAATGTAGCATATAAAAAGAAATTGGGATTGTGCAAATAGTCATCATTTCTTTATCAATACACATGTAAGGTTATTATTATTTTCCGTAAACAAAATATACATGCATCTATTCTTTATTTACTCGCTTACTCTAATTGATGACTTGATAATTGAATAATAGGTGGAGGATCAATCGGTCTTCTATCCACTAAATTTGTTGTAACAAAAAAAAAGGTTAAATATCAAGTCAAAAATCATAAAAATAATCAAAATCACCTTTTTCTTTAAAACTACATAGTCTTGCTTTAGATGGTTGCTGACGTACTAATAAACTAAATCTAAATAGTTGAATAAATAAATAATCATTTTAAACTCTTGAAAAGTTTCATTTTACAATGTCGATCTTAAAGTCATGTCTTGTTGATTCTTTTTAAACAAATGCATAAAACAAAAAATAAATAAATAAAAAAAAAAAAATAGAAAAAATTCAGGGGTGGTGGTGGTGAGTGGGGGTAGTAATAATCAGAATAATAATCAGAATAATAATAATTATAAAAGAATAGTTATTATTTGAAGTAGCAAGAAGAAGAAGAATAAAAGGAGAAGAACAAATACATATTTATAGAAAAAAAATATTTTTATATTTAGATTTTTAATATTTCCACAAAGAATCCGTTTTTTTTTTTATACATTTCTATTTTTTTTTTTTTTTTTTTTTTTTACTTGTCAAATTTACTACAAAGTTTCATGTAAGAATCTTAAAATTGTGCTTAGGAAACCCCCCCCTTTAAAGATCTTTCTTATTATAGTTACTTTAAATTACATGATTTGCCTTTTCTTTTTTTATATTTTATTACTTATTAACGCTTTGTTATTATGTGTAAAATGTACTGAGTTGCAGCACACTGAAAGTATGAATTGAATCGATTTAAAGAGAGAGGAATCTATTTCAATTCTATCCTAATTTTACAGTAGATTTTCTTTGAATAAATTATTGGATTTAATATAGTTTCCTATGTATCAAACCTGGGAAAAAAAATAGATGTTTGAAGATCTATAAGGATTTATCTGGGGTTGAAAAAAAATAAATGAATCGGACTTTTTATTGTTAAACTGCTGCTCTGCTCTACACTGATAATAATAGCAATAATAATAAATAAATAAATAAGGTATGTTCCCAAAAATAAAATTAAATGCAAGTGTATTTTATGAAATAACAATGACAAGACATTAAAATGTTACAAGAGATAATAGGCGAATTATCTTGTAAAAGAATTTGTATTCTTAAGAACTATTATATTGGCTTTGAAGTTAATGTTTTCATTAATGCAAATGGGCACCTTCTTCAGTGAGGAATCAAACAATAGACTCAATTATGAAGGTAATAGGTGCAATTCTTATTTCCTGTCTATATAATCTCACGTATTGATCTAATTATTATACGCTACTCTGGTTACACTAATATTTATTTTTGGTAAACAAATGTCAGTGCACAACAAAATATCACTTTCACATCTTTTACCAGAACAGAAACTAATAAACTGGATAAGTTCATATATTCACTTTGATTGATTAAATATGATTCGGATACTTATAATCAAGCCCTCTATCTCATCAAAAAAAAAACAATTTCTATTATTAGACCTTTCTAGACCTCATCTTGTGTAGCTCTTGAGAGAGAATAAGTCTTTTTTTTATTTATTTATTTAATTAATTGACGTCAATAGGCAAACATGCATAGATAAAGTGTACTTATTACAAAACTGTAAGCAAAAAAAAAAAAAAAAAAAAAAAAAGAAAACGCCGTAATAATAGTTTGCCTTTCCTTTCCTAATCACTCACCACACACACGCTACTTTTCCTATGATTGTCCAACTCACTTAAAAATTGCTTTACCCGTCTTTAATTGATAGGGTATTTATTCTATGTCGCCTTAGAATTGCCTCTCCCATTTTACTGTACTTTGTAAATATATAATGTTCCAAAAAAAAAAAATTATTAAACATTCTTGACAATTCCAAAAAGTCTTGTAATTTTACATGTTTTCTTCACCGCTGCAAACATGTATTCTATTTAAAGTATAAAAAATGAAACCGCAAAAATCGATCAGTTATATTACTAATCCAGGTTAAAATCGCTCAATTATATTACTAATCCAGGTTAAAATAACTCTATTATATTAATTTACATTGCAGCAAACTTATTTATTTTAGTTCTGATGGAACTAAGGCTCTATCTTGTAGAAATTTTCAATTCTCAAGTAATACAAGTTTTTTTTTTTTTTTTTTAATAAATACATAGCCCTGTTTATTTATTTTTTTTTTTTTTTAGACGATATTTTTTTGACAGCAACTGAAATTTCTTGAAAATATGAACCCTTTATTGCTAGACACACCCCTTTTTTGTTTGTTTGTTTGTTTGTTTGTTCGGTCCTGAATTTTTAATTTCCTTCTTTTTTTTTTTCAGAAAAAAAATATATAGTAAAACATGGCATTCTCCCCTTCAGAATTCAGAGCATTCAAGGTAAAAATGAACACTTACAACAATCATAAAATGCTGAATATTATATATTTTTTAAATAGCTTGAAAAAGTCGAACGCGTTAATCATAATGTGTCCCATTTCCGTTTCAAACTACCTAATGAAACTGATGTAGCTGGTTTGCCTATTGCTTCTTGTGTCTTGTTCCGTGCTGACATTACAAAGAATGGAAAAACGGAAGAAGTCATTCGTCCTTATACTCCTACTTCTGTTGAACAAGTAAACAAAGAAACTATCTAATGTATTAGTATTAAAGTTTAATATATCAATAGGCACAAGGCTACGTTGACTTTGTCATCAAAGATTATCCTGAGGGTAATATGAGTAGACATGTACATTCAATGAAAGTAGGTGATACTATTGATATTAAGGGTCCTTTTGAAAAATACAACTGGGATAGCAAGCCTGTTGATGAAGTTGGCATGATTGCAGGTAAAAGGAATCAATCATTCTATTTAAAAAAAAAAAAATAAATATTAACAAAAAAAGTAAATAATGTTAGGCGGTACCGGTATTACACCTATGGTAAATCTATAAATGCCCTCACCTCTTTTTTTTTTTTTTTTTTGTCCTAATTTCTTATATATTTTCCATATAGCTTCAATTTTTGCGTAAGGTTTTTAGCCCTGAATCATCTCACAAGACCTCCAAATTTTCTTTGATTTTTGCCAATGTTTCAGAAGAAGATATTTTATTCAAAGAAGAATTAGATGGTTATGCTCAATCTTATCCTGATCGTTTCAAGGTTACTTATGTTCTGGATAAGCCTTCATCTCAAGATTGGGCTGGCGTTACAGGTTATGTTACCAAGGACTTGCTAATGAAGAATTTGCCTAAACCTGATGTTGAATCCTCCATGATCTTCGTCTGTGGCCCTCCTCCTATGATGGAAGTTATCAGTGGTGATAAGAATCCTGATAAGAGTCAAGGCACTTTGAGAGGTTATTTGAAAGAACTCAATTATGTTCAAGATCGTGTCTATAAACTTTAATAGAACCTGTTATAAATTACATCAAAGTGTGTAGTAAGAAATAGGGTCCTTTTTTTTTAATAATGATTTTATTAATAAAAACAAGTATTCAGAGACTTTTTTTTCCTTTTTTTTTTTTTTAATACAAAGAGATAAAAATTATTCAATATAGTCGTTTTTTTTCTTTTCTTTTTTTTTTTTTTCTTTTTTTTTTTATGAATAGATGAAGTTTCCGCTTGATTGAAGAAATGGGTATAAATATATACATATACACACATATATATATATATAAAAAAAGAATCTTGTTTTGTTTTACTGTCGGAATTGATGCGAATATTTTCCCATTTTCATAGCAAGTTTTGGTGGAAGTTTTATGTCAATAGTCCTATCATTCCCTTGGTAATCTTCTTCATCATGGTATCCAATATCTAAGGTAATTGTAATCAAATTAGCACTTAAATGATTAAAGTCTCGTTTAATTAAATCCAGCACATCGTCCAAAGATATAAAATATAAATGACGATTAACAAAATATTCTTTCTCTTCGTGAATCATATGTCTTAGCGTAAACCACAGTCGAGATTTTCCTTGTATATTGATCGTTTTTCGTTTATTTCGTAAATAGGAATAAGTAGACCAAAAGGTCTCTAAGCTCATATTTAGAAAGAGACTCACTTGAAGATCAATAACATAGTACTTGATGTCATTTGTAGAAGTAATCTGTACAGTGTAGAGTGGTGAATAGCACAGTGTATTCTTTTCTTTACTGTTCTTACTTTCTGGAGGTGGTGTATGTGCAGGTGAATAAGGATGATGAGCGGTGTGTATCTGAGGTATATGAAATTGGGTTATTGCTGATGTTGTGGCATAGAATTTTTTTTTAGTTGGAATAGGTCGATTCACAGTAGTTAATTCTTGTTTAAACTTGGTATGTTCATTTTTATCTTTTTCTTCAGTCTTTATAACAGTTTCTGTTTTCACTGTATAAGGTATGTTTTCACCACGTAATAAATACGATTCTTCTATTCCATTTTCTTGTGTTGAAGCCTTTTCATCAATAGACTTGTTTTTTTCTAAATCTGCTGCTTGAACTAGGCGTCTCTTTTTAGTCTGTACATTCGAGGATGATTTTTTATTTATACTGTTTTGAACTAAAATAAACCATTTTTTTTTTAGAACAACAAAGTTTATCAATTCATGTATTTCACATATTACCATCTGTTTCATCTTCTTCTTTCTTTATGAATGATCTCTTTGTTCTTTTCTTCTTAGTAACAGGACTTGCTGTTTGTAAAACTAACATAACATCTTCATACTCATGTTCAGTTGCAATGTCAATAGGTTCAGCATGATGTGCATTCCGAGCAAAAGGATCAGCACCATGCTCAAGTAATAACTCTACAATTTTGCAATGGTTATTTTCAGTTGCATCATGAAGAGGTGTATCCAAATCGCCACCTTTAGCATTTACATTAGCTCCATACTGGATTAGAATTTTGACTACTTCGATATGTCCATTTAATGATGCTTCATGAAGTGGTGTCCATCCTGCATAATCTTTTTCATTAGGATTTGCACCAGACTCAAGTAGTGATCTCACAATCTCTGCCTCACCACGTTTGGCGTATTTATGAACATTTGTACGACCACTACTATCTTTTTTGAACGGGTCTAGTTTAGTTGCATAAGAGTGGCTTGTTGTTTTCTTTCGACGATTTCCTCTAACAGAAGAAATGTCACTTTCAACTGAAGGGGACTTTCGACGAGAATTTGTTCTTTTCCTTCTCTTTGGTAAAACAATAGGACCAGTATAATAATCTAATTGTTGTTGATTGCTGTTTTTATTCTGATTATCCATGTTGGCGAAAGTACGCATATAGTTTTGAATTTTCCTTTCTTCGCGCGTTAACTGTCTTTCAGGCTCATTTTTTAGTGCGGTTTTAAGAGCAATTTCATCTAGTGCATCACAAGCTTCTTTCTCTAAACGAACTTCATCCATTCGTGCAGTTAGGATACGTCGAATAGGTGGATATGCAGCTGAAACGTGGTAAGGGTTCATGCCGTCTTTATCTTTCATATTGACATCAACACCTGCAGTATTTATCAAAAAGACAACAATATCTTGATGTCCATGTCGACTGGCTTCATGTAATGGAGTATCTTGTCGCTCAGTACCAAGAATATTTACAATTGCACCTTGCTCAATAAGTAACTCAGCAATCTCTAAATAACCTAAAGCACAAGCAAAATGAAGAGGTGTTGCGTTTTGATTATCTTTTGCATTCACATCGACTCCCTGATTAATAAGTGAACGAGCTAATTCAAGTTCATTATTTAAACATGCACGATGTAAAGACGAGCGGCCTTCTTCATCACGAGCTATTAATTCATCTAATTCCTTCATTTTAGTTTCTAAAATAACTTGACATTCGTCATCATTACAGAGATCAATTGGCCGTTTCTCAGCTTCGTTAAGAGCGAAAACGTCTGCACCTGCATCGACTAAAAGTTTGACGCATTCAGGTGAATTACTGTTGCAAGCATCATGCAAAGGAGTATCTAGGCCAAAACCTCTAGCATTAATTTCAGCACCACATTCAATCAGATATTTTGCAATTTCGAATTGTCCTTTAAGAGCAGCTTCATGAAGTGGTGTCCATCCAGCATTATCTTTAAAATTGACATCAGCACCGCACTCAATTAGTTCTTTCACCTTATCTAAATGACCAGCTGTCGTAGCAGAAAATAATTTTGTTCGGCCCGCTTTGTCTTTTTTGTTGGGATTCTGACAGGCCTTTTTTCTTCCTTTTTTCACTATTGTTGGTTCAGGCGATGAAGAGCTTGTCATTATTCGGTTACGTTTTTTCTTTTGTGACTCGTAGCTAATATTTTCTTCTTCATCGTCTTCTTCATCATTATCTGTACTTACAAGTGATTTAAGGTCTTCACTTGCATATTGTTGTTTAGATTGAAGTTCAGCTTTTAACATGTATTTAATAAAAGAAAAGAAGGGATAACTATTAAAAAAAAGAAGTCAATATTAATTTATTATTATTGTTATCATTATTTTAGCTTACATTTAGAATTGACTGTTAAATAAAGAAATTGAATGTAAAAAAAAAAAAAATGATAAATGTGAATTGGAATATAAAATAAATATTTTTGTTGTCTTGGTGAATCAGAAAAGAAGGCAGCGGTATATACAAGGTATCGAGGTTATATATATAAAATATATTTATATTTATTCTTTTTTTTTAAAAAAAAAAAGAAAAAGAAAAGATAAAAGATAACTATCAAAAAATGAATTAGCCATTGAAAAAAAAAAAAAAAAAAAAAAAAAAGTAGAAAGTCAAGATTACCTTTTTATTTTTTAAAAAAAATTAATTCTTTTAATTATTAAGTTTAATGCAAAAGTTTAAAATTGATGTTAAGGTTAATTATGCTAATTTTATCGAGATGTCGTTTAAAAAAATAGCACTTCTTTTTTTTTTGTTATGTGTGAATTATGATGAGAATGTAAAGGAAAAAGAGAAAAAAAAAAAAAATTACCAATGATAACGATAATGGATATAGTGAAAAAGGGTCTGAGTTCGTAAATTGTTTCTTTCTTATTCGTAGATTGTTGTTTTCTCAAGTCGCTTCCCTCGAAATTTTAAATTTAAAAAAATTAATTCGTTTTGCCAATAAAAATAACTCGCTTTTGTGCTTTTTTTTTCCCTTGGTATTTTACCAGTATTTACTATATTGACTACGAAATATTCCAAATAATATTACAAAAAGTTTGCAAAACTATAGTGAAATTTCCTACAAAAGGTCTGAGGGGGAGGGAGGGAGAAACTACTTGAAAAAGTAAAGTATATTGGATTAGAAAAAATAAATAAATTAGTAAGCTGGCATTTTCTTTATTGCAATAGAATGATTCTCTTAACGGTGTAAACCTTTAAGTCTCTTTTTTTAAAAATAAAATAAAATAAAATAAAATAAAAAGAATCAACCATATTTGTTGTGGTGCTTTTATTTCATTGTCTGCAAAAAAAATAGTTGGTCGACCCTGATCAGTCCATATCTCTGTTGAAACGAGAAACATGGTTTTTACAGGCCATAACACTCTTATTCCAAAATATGCCATAATCATTGCAAATCAGTATATGATGAATATAGGTGTTATCTCCGGCTTTAAAATGCCTTCAATTTTGAGATAAGCAAGATTGGAAAATCTATTATATAAATGGTTAAGGAAATAAATAACATATAGTCATGTTTAATCAATTTACACTCGAAGTTCTGAATTCATTTATATCTAAAAGCAAAGCCTCTCCACTCCACACTTTTCCCTCTTCTTCAAGCGTTTATAGACTCTTTCTGATATGTCGTGTCTATGTCTTCCAAAACAAACATGACTTTTGTCTTTAAGTCAATCTCGAAAAAAAAAAAAAGACCAATGACATTTTTTGTTTGATCATTCTCGTTAAGTTGATTTTTGTGCTTTTTTTCTAAAAATGAATGATATGTCAGAACTATAATTCTTTTAAAAATTATACCTCAGTTCAACCGATTGATGAACAATTCCTGGATTTCTTTTATTAATCATTTTTTTTAATTTCTTCCAGGGGGTTTTTTTTCCTTGAACAATTTAGAAGAATATGTGTGCATTGATCAAGAGTTTGCTGTTTTCCGGGATAATTTTTTCCAGTTGATTGTTGCTGCTCCTCTAAAGCAATAAAAATCGAATAAATGATCAATATGGCTCATTATATATTGGAGATATTGGTTAGAAGATAAAGGAATATTTGTTCCAATATATCATTCATTCCTTGTTGCTTTAATTCATCTTTTTTTTCTTATTCTATTTGTTGAATAGAAATGATAATTCTATATACTTGATTGAATGAACATCCTATTTTATTTTACATATAAGCTTGATTTGATCTTTATTTGGCATACGCTTATATCAGAAAAGAGAGTTTATTATAGAGATATATTTAATATTTTCTAAAACTAGTTTGTGATATATCATGCAGGAAAATAAAATTGACGTGAAGCTTATTCAATAGAGAAATAGCTTAATATGTGTCTTTTTGTGGTAGTAATATCGTTTATTATTTATATCATATATGGATAAGCTTGAATATTATTATGTTCAAAACCTAAGCTAAATAAATGGTACTCCACAATTAAGTATATCTAATTAGAATAGCTATATATAACATATAACAAATAATATGATCATCAACATCAGATCAGATTAATAATAACTACTGCTTATTATGTTATCAGAGTAATCTTAGAACGTTGTAGCAAATTCTAGCAAAAGGAAAACTATTAATTGTGTGAAGACATGGTGCCTGAAGAAACAAACTGTATCAAATAATATTGTACGCTGGTGTTTAATTCGGCTGAATCAAGGTTGTACCTTAGATATCAAATTTAGACTGGTTGTTATTATTATTTTCTTTGGATCAAACATTTCTAATATAGGATCAAGACATCGATAAAAGATGCTAGTTAAGAAACTATAAAGGGAGCTGGTTATTCTGAAAAAAAAAAGCGTGCCTTGATCAACTTTAGAATGGAAACAGCAAGCAATACAGTGGAAGAAACGGATACAGTAAAACATAAAGTAAAAAAGTGTAAATGCGGCTCAACCACCCATATAAGAGTAAGCAGCAATACATGCCCCCCTAAAAAAGCAAAAAGAACCAACGCACGGCTCAGACGAGAAAAAAGAGATCTTCGTGATCAAATGCTCCTTGAAAAATATATGTAGAGACACTAAGCTCATTAATCAAATATCTCTCATCACGGTACGCACAACAAAAGTAATGTGGGCAGGATCATTGTTTATCAACTATCTTTTTTGAAGCTCTTAACGAAGGGTGAAGAAGTTCCGATTATGAGTTAGAATGAAGTCTACTCCACCTTTACCGTCGTCACTGGTAAAGGCAAAAAGTCTCCCAGTTATATTCAACAATACTTTGTTGAGTTTTGCAATGAATGTGAAACGGATGACACAACCCAAAAAGTACTAAAACCGAATCGGATCTATCAGATTTCTACTACAAGCTCTTTTTTGACTTTTCCAAACTGGGATTTCGCTCTTGAGAGAGTCTTTCACAAGGAAGAAAGCAGTTCAAGCAAGTCAATTCTTCAGTTGTATTGAAATATAAAAGTATTGGTTTGGTTTAATTAATTCATTAATGTATAGAAACGTCGTACTTACTGATGGATATTCTATTTCTTTTCTTTTTTCTCGAGTGGTAAAGGAAAAAAAAAAAAGAAGTTTCTGTAGAGAAACAACCAACCGACTTCCTTGAAGATATTGAAAACGGCTATACTGTCTGAGGGAGTAGACCCTGGTGTCAATACAATCTTCACCGCCGTAGATACATCTGGGAGGCAAGGGACAACCAGCTTAGACGAATATTACCATTTATGTGATTATAATGATGCAACGTTTATACGAAATCAGCATCAGAAGCAACACATGGCTTAATACTCAAAAATATCAAACCTGGGCTCATTGAAGACATTGAATATCAAAAATTTTATTAAAGCATGCAAAGAAAGACTCGCCTTATATGGTGATATTAAAAAGTATTATAACGAGAATAATTGGTAAGTGTTTAGACACTATAATAGTTTGCTTGTTTACTTACAAAAGAGAAACTTTATAGGAAGTCCAAACTGTAATTCCAATATTACATGAAGAAACAAAAAGGTGTGCATGAGATTTGCAAGAGGTTCGTCTATAACAGCAGCAAATATCATCAGAAGTCATCTACTGGTGTAAAGTCAGTTATCAATAATGTAAGCAAATTCTATCCACCTACCCCGACCGACCATAAAGAAAGGCCAGTAAAAACGATCATTGCTTTGGGCGATGGTGCATTTAATACTAGTTCACGAGTCAACAAGTCGTCACCGGTTATAACGATTACAAAAGCGTTGAAGAGGTATTGTGGACAGCAGTTAGAAGTAGTAATGGTTGATGAATACCTCTTTACATTTTTAAAGGTATGAATGATTTCTTGTTGGAACTCTTCTAAAGCTAACTTTTTTTTATCTGAATTTCCTTTTTTATTTCATCCAAAAAAGGTAAGCAAATCATCTGAAAAGTAATTTTAATTCGTCTAAAAAAAAACTAACGTCATCTGAATTCAAAGTGTAAATAATGTGGATGAATCAATATAAAAATAAAATTAGAAACTGAGATAAAATAAAATGTAAAAATAGACGCAAAGTTAGTCGTATTTAAACTGAGTAATTTTTCCTTTATTAATGATCCAGTCAAGGCAATTCTGATGTATGCTCCCAATTGGGATTTAAAAGGCTATATAAAAATAAATTTCCAAATTAGTTAAAAATGTAAGATTTCGTTCTTTGCATCTATTTCCCTTTTATATGAAAGCTTTTGCAGCCTAATATACTAGTAGCATACTTATCTAAAATGATGTAATAATTTAAAAGGGTTAATGATACAGATAACTTTGTTTCAGCGGTTATCATAAATATTATTATTAAAGTTATTAATTTATCTATATCAACTGTGAATACTTTTGACCTCATCTTCAATTCTCTTTGCAAAATAACTGCAGTATCAAATATATACTCTTAATATTAGTGGCGGTCCTATTCTTTATACTATCGCCAATTACCATAAGGAAAACTGCTTCTAAGGTCTTGAACTTGTATTTTCTCTACCTCGACTTTTTTTTTCACTACTACTAATATTACGTACTGAATACTAAGTATAACTGTATTTAGTTCTTTTCCCTCCTTTTGCTATGTCTTCCTCTTCACTTTCTGATCTTCCTTGTTTCTTTTCAATTTTTTGTTATATTTTTTGTTATATTTTTTGCTACTATTTATTATATTATCTTTAATTACTGTACACTCAAAACCTTTTATCCTTCATTCCTCTTAGGAAAGTTTCAATATTCCTATGAAAATCTGAATCTTAAACTAATTTTAGCCTATTGCGACATCCATGGCATAGAATTTTATATTTCAGTTACTTGAATATAGTCATATACTTCATTGGTACCTTGGCTAATTACTTAACTCTATACATCTACAGTTCACATATTAATTATATTTGCTTGTATTGTATCAAGCTTTTTTTTTGTATCTACGCTGTCTCTCCCTCCCCCCCTCAAGTTACTATTTACTGTTAAAGACCTTTTATTCAACTTTTTGAATTAACTTCCTCATAAAGGGACTCAAGACCACTCAACTATTTATCTTTCTTTGGCTTGCCTACCGGGTTACTATGTATATATGCCGTTATTATTATTTTATCTCTGATACCAATTATTTAAATATCCATCCTAGCCCTATATCCCTAATATTGCCATTTCTAGTATTCCTCTCTCTTGTTTTTTTTTTGCCCTTGTTAAAAAAGGTTTTTAAATTGTTTTCTTTTTTTTTTTTTTTTTTTTTTTTTTTTTTTTTTAATCCGATTAGGACCGACAAAATATGATGAATTCATCAAGTACCAAAAACTGTTTAAATATAGTGCTTGCCAAATATATAATTAAATGCTATGTAAAAGAAATTAAAATACTGAAAGTTTTGTACTCATTAATGACAAAAAAAATAGATTTTATACTTATGATACATCACTTTCTATATTTATATAACAAAATTTATGACTTATTTATATCTTCAAATTACCTGAAATTTAAGTTTGCGATGATCTTTTCTTGAGATGTTCCTGAAACTTACTGCATGCAAAGAGGTAAAGCTTTAGAGCATTCTGAGTATTCTGAGTTTACATTAAAATATATATAATGAAAATGATTTTGGTTCCCAGTTGTTCTGTGGCCTGATAGAAGACAGCAAAAATATAAACTGAATTTTGTGACAAGAGAAGAGGTGGAGGAAGAAAAGATTATTATTTTGCTATCTGTATCATTGTATTTTTTTCTTTAGATGTATAATTCTTCTTTTTTTCTTTTTTATTATTAATATTATTATAAACATTTCTAGCAGGAATATGTATAGATACATGTATTATATATAAGATTGATTATTTCGGGTTAAACATTTTATCGTTAGTATATTAATCAGTAGTTTTTATATGCTTTGTTATATATTGTTGTTATTCAAAGTTTCACAGCAGTATATAGTCCCATCGCTATTTTCTATTCTGAATGATATATATGCCTTTATTTCTTTATAATACGTAACGGAATTATTTATAATATATGTTTTAGATTGCTTTTAGCAAAGAGGTTTAATAATAGCCTGCTTTACTATATACAAATCTATTAGTTAGTTAGTTTTTTTTTAACATTATGTTAATAATATAACACTTTACAGATACGTATAAAATGTCCAAACTTCGGCTTTATATTAAGTTATCAATAGCTATAAGTATTTACATTTATTATGCTTATTCATAAGTACTCTATGGATTATAATAAAAAAAAAGGCTACTATAAAATATGCATATTTATAAAGAGAAAGTATGAACTTAACAAAAAAAAAAGAGAGATATACAATTGTGTTCAGTAACAAATAACGGAGGAGGGGGGATATATAAATAAATGTCTGCTTTTAAAGAAATAATAATAATAATAATTAATAATGAGAAAGAGAAGGTAAATGAGGGTTATATTCTTTGTCATTTTTCGGTAATTTTTTGCCTTGAAGATTCTGTAATTGGTACCATACTTGATATTCTTTTAATTTCGTTTTTGTTTCTTCACGCTGACGTCTATATTCTTCAGTTCTACATAATTGAATGAGTTGTGCCATATCTGATTGAGAATCAAATTGAGCCAAGAGCTGGTCCCAATAATTCTTATTTTGGTGATATATTTTGGATGATTTCATTGGAGATAAATCTTGACCTTCATCACTAATGTCAGATGAAAAGCTTAATCTTCTTGAATTATATTTTCTGTCCATAATATTATTTTGGCTTGGCTAAAGTATAGTTTTTTTTTGGAGGGGTAATTTAAATACTTTAAAGATTGGTATATGGTATTTACAAAATGGATTTTAAAAGTGAAAAAGTAAAGAAAGTAAAATCAAAAAACAAACAGCTCTTTTATATTAGTTCTTTATCTTAAAAAAAAAAAAAAAAAAAAAAAAAAAAAAAAATTCCAGGGGCGATGATAGAACTAAAACAGGCTAAACCCTTAATTTTCCGTCTAAAAACATACAATTAATTTTTTTAAACAAGATTGCGTATCTTATCGATATGAACACAAAAAAATTCAGGGTTGATCATAATATTATATAATAGCTTATTTTAACGTACATACGATATCAAAATAAACATGTTTTTTAATTTTTGTTTTTTTTTTTCTTTTTTTTTTTCATTACTTGTTTTTTTTTTCAATTATCAATATTAATAGGTATACACATAATATAATAATCATGAATTAAATATTATATCTATATTTTACAGCTTCTATTTTACAAGAATATTCCATTGATATTTCGCATCTAGACTATTTATTCTGCTGATTTAAAAAATCCCGTGATTTCCCGTCAAATTCAATTAAATATAATATTTATTTGGAATAGCAAAATTTTCCTTATCTTTTTTTTTATTCTATTTTATTTTATTTTTATTTTTATTTTTATTTTTATTTTTATTTTTATTTTTATTTTTATTTTTATTTTATTTTTATTTTTATTTTTATTTTTTTTTTTTTTTTTTTTTTTTGGGAAAATATGTTTAACAGCATTTTCCCGATTGTTTTTGTGGAAAAATCTTGGACAGAAATCTTTACTTGCATAATATAAATTTATTGCTATAGTGATAAATGCAGCCCACTATTTTAAATTATATAAAGTCTGGCTATTTATTTGATTATTGAAATTATATCGTACTGTAAAAGTTTTAAGTGTTGTATTATTATTATTTTTTTTTTTTTTAGCAAAGAAATGTGCACTTTAAAGCTGATTTCAGGTTATTGACTACAAAAGAAGCATATCAAGAGCAAGAGGGATGAGTTATGATACAGAAAAAAAAAACTGTTACTCAAGAAGAAGTCATAGCTCAAAATAATGATAACTTAAATCCTCGCCCTTCCAAAAGAAGAAAACTTTACCTAAAGAAAGTAAAGAGGCTTGATTTTAAAACGATTGTTAAGTATTATTAAATATGAAGCTAAAAAAAAACAAGTACTTCTTCTATACAAGCATGTACTTAATATAGCCAACAATATTAATGATAAACAGATGTTGGATTTGACAAAACTAAAAACAATACTTTCCAGATATAAGGGCATAATTGACTCAATTTTGATTGCAGTTACATTATCGATTGACTATTTTTGAGTACAAAAATATCTGAATGTACCAATAAATTCAGCCTCAATGCCACAATTTAAGTTTTCAAGTTGAATTATCGTTCATAAAATTGGCAGTTATAAAACTGTATGTGTTTCAAATTGAAAATACTTACTGTTTAATTGACGCATTTAATTGTTTAGATGCTTATTGTATCATGAATAGTTACTTGAGAGAGAATGCAATGAAGACTGATATCGTGTAAATGCCTATGGTAATATTTTTGATATTACTTTTTAACTCAAAACATAAATATAAAATAAAAAAGGTAAAAAACGGATTACTTAGTCCTTTCATGACGTTTTTATTAAGCCCAAGTTTTATAGATTAGAAAATTATTCACAAACTATCAAGGTGTTGAAAGCAAATGGCTTAGTAGATATAGAAGAAAAGATTATTCAATTTGAATTTCATATTTACTAACTTGACTGGGATCCAGGATGTTGTTCTTTTGCGAGGATAAGCCTACTATCAAAGTGTCAAAAGAAAGACAATAATAAAGCTGAATGTTCCGCTACTGATCTACCCTTTTTCCTTGTCAAGAATGTACCCAGTATTTATGCTTTTTATCATGTTATCTTAACAAACTAAATCTGCAGATAGAAGGTGCTAAACTTGTAAATAGAACAATAAACCATGTTTGCCTTATAGATACAACCATCCCTCAATCTGATAATAATAGCAATGAGATATCCGAATATTTGACCGTTGTTGATTTGTTTGATTATAGATATGAAATGTTGTTTAATTTATCTATAATATACTAATAACTGTTTACTTTTCTATGGAAGATGTTTACTTGGAATTTTGAGGTTATCCAGATAATGAGACAAATTGCATAGCAAGACAATATGGCATCTTTGTCAAAGCCAGTTATGTCAAAGATCTGCTACAGAGAAGATTCTCCTTTGTCAGAAGGGAGCAGTATCACCACTACAACCTCATCATCTTCCTCCATAAGACTGGATTAGGAAAAGGACAAAAAAATTAAGAATAATAAAAAACATTGAGACCAGCCTTATGGAGTTTGCCAAAAGACTGATTAATGGTATGTATCTTCCTCTTAGGAAAATATTGTCTTTGGTGAGCATCCCGAATAGGGTCATGATTTTTTTTCTTTTCTTTTTTTTTTTTTTTTTTTTTTTTTTTTTTTTTTTTTTTCGTTTGAATAAATTGAATTATCGTAAATAAAAAGTCCAAAAAAAAAATATATATATGAGACCAGACTTTACCCTTTTTTTTTCTTTTTTATTAATTTTTTTAATCTATTTACAATAATGTCTTCAATTGATCGAACAGTTTATTCACCTGGTCATGAAGGACGAATTTATGAATCAACTGCTAATGCTTCTCGATGGACTATTGATACCTTAGAAAATCGTTACACTCGTATAAGTGTAATAAAAAGCTTTACATGTAAAGTTCACATTTAAAATTAAGATCTTTATTTTCTATACTTTAATAGTCAGCTAGAAGAAGTATTTTAAAAGGTTCGCAAACACCTCTAAGATATAATTCACCATTATTTCAATATGAAAGAGAGTAAAAATTAGTGAATTTGTTTGTAGTTTTTTTTTCACCTAATCAATATTTTATAGAAAAAAACGTGCACGTTTAGTTCAAAGAAGAGTTAGTTTTGCTCCAGATGCTCAAATAAGGTAATTAATAATAAGATCAACGGATTTCTTCTTGTATGATGTATAATGAGATCATCTAATGCTAACATTTTAACTTGATCACATCAAAAATTAAAAAAAAAAGAATGTTTATGGAAGGGGATTCGCCTGACCTTAGTAACAGAAGCGTCCCTAATCTTATTGAAGAAACAGAACCAACTATAATGATGAATAATGCTTTTGGATCACCTTTCTTTGAACATCAACAAAGGTTAGACTATAAAATTTGACAACAACAAAAAAATTGCAAGCATTAAAAATTGTTCTTTATAAATATTTATATAAATATATGTATAGCCCTTTATTGAATGAATTATTTGAGTCTCCTTCAGAACGTAGAAAAAGGTAATAAGTGTATAAAAACTTGATTTTTTTTGTACTAATATAGTTGCATTAAGAAGACCTGATTTATTTGGAAGTCCAACACCTAGAAGTTCATTCATCAAAAGCTCAGCTACCAGAAATCTAACTATGAGTAGTCAAAGAAGAATTGACGAACAACGTTCGAATTCACTTGATGAAACGTCGGATGAAAATAATCAAGAAACTGATTTGACAGAATACTTGTCTAACAAATATCAAAATGGCCCAATAAATATATTTGATGACGAGGATGATGAGGACGAAGACATAAAGAACACTACTATACCTGAAGGAGATAAACGAGAAGATAAAAAATAAAAGAAGTCGAAAGCAAGGAGATCGACTTTCAACCTGCAGAAAAAGAAAAACACGATGTAGATTTAGTGTCTGTAAAGCAAGACATAGTCATAGAAAATCAATTGATGGACGAAGAAGAAGAATCAACTGATAGTATGTTAATTACACAAACTATAGATGAAACATCATTACTGTCAATGTCGCCCCCCGTATCTCCATTACTAGTTGAAACAAATAAATATGATCAAAATCAGCGTATGAATAGTCTTAATATTGAAGATAGAATTCGTAACGATATAGAAGATACTAAGGAATTAGAAGAATCAAAATCAATAGGTGGAGAGGACTCTATGCAAATTACACAAGAGATGTCTAACCAAAATATGATTTTTCAACATGAACAAGTATTACAAGACGAGAATGAAGATTTACAGTCAGTTTATCTTTCTCCTATACCTGAAACTCATATAAACACAGAACCAGATCAAACCATATTCTCTAGTGGTAAAGATGAAGGTAATAAATTAATTATTTTTGTAATTTTTCCTTTATGTAACTTGTTACTCTTTTAAACAGATATAGTTCAAGAAGAACTTTCAAAGATACATGAATCAGCTATAGAGACTGTAATTTTTTTTTTTTTTTTTGAAAGAAAAAATAACAAATATGAATATTTACATGTATATTAGCAGTTAATGAATGAAGTAAATGAAAATAATATACCGCTATCAGACTTTTTATCGTATGTTGGTATTTCGTTTCCTGAAGAAGTTCCAATTAAGAGTTTAAGACGTCGATCTGGTTATGATATTAATTATGGTGAGCTTTATTCATGTGTTATTAGTCTTACCCTGACATTTATTTTGTTCTCTTTTAGAAGAACCAGCAACAATTTTAGAACAGACAATAGCAGCGGCATCAATTTTACCTCAGGTTGAAGTATTTCAATTAGCATGTAAACAGCTAACTACCTTAATTGAAAATTGCAAGCAAAAAATTCAAGATCTTCGTGAAGACATAAATAAGAGGAATTTAAAATTATTTCATGAGTATGCAGAGGGAGAGATACCTTTTCGATCTGAAATAGAACTAGGCTTATCCTCATATAAAGCTTATGCACGTTTACAAGCATTATGTGATTCTTATCATCGATGGGTTACTATTTTAGAAGAGTTAAGGTCTACTTTGAAAACGAACCAAGAAAAACTTTTAGAAAATGAGCAACTCATTACAAAAGCTGAAGAACATATAAAAGAAAAACTGCAAGATACTGAAGCATATAAAATTGAATTACAAAAAATAGTTGATGAGGCACATAGTAAGGAGAGGGAATATAACTTGACAGATCATCAACAGCTAGAAAAGCTAGAAAACGAAATTGATCAGCAGAAGTAGGTTGAAAAAGAAAAGTTATAGATGAAATAATATTGACTATTTGTGTGTTTTTTTTTGTCTTTACATATTAGACATTCTATTCAAGCATTTACTGAAAAGGCAGAAAAGTTAGAAAAAGATGATATTGAATTATCTGAAAAGATAGTTAGTTTAGAAAAAAATAAAACTGAATTACAAGAGGTAAAAAAAAGAGAGAAAAAAAAAGCTATTTTGTCTTTAAATCTTATTTCATTTTCATTTAGATTATTGAAAAAGCTGAAGATATTATTGCAAAAAATAAAGTTATTACTTTAAAAGAGCTTGCAGATGCTTCACAAGCTTTTAATAGATGTTCGAAGCTTTATAGTTGGAAATTTGAAAAAATAAAAGAGGATTTTGTCAAAGTCTGCATAAATCAAGATATTTCAATTATTATTGATGATAAGAAGCTGAAAAATAAAGTTGATAATGCTATTCTTATCCATACAAGAGATGACTTGGAAGAAGACTTTGGCCCATTAGTTAAATTATTGCATGGATTAAAAACAATTATAAAGGATAAATGGGATATCAATGAGGTAAATAAATAAATAAGATTGGAATCTTTTCTTATAATCTTAAATATATTTTTTCGTTAGATTACTCAGGATATTTCCATTTATTGGAACCGAATAAAAATGATACAGTATGAATTGCGAATTATACAGAGAAGATTTTGGGTGGAAATACATTCACTAGACAATAACCAGCTAGAAGGCGCTGGCTTTTCCTGTAAAATTTGTGTTTTCAATAATGAGAAGCAAGTAAAATTTACGATCTCATTTAATATTGAGCCAAATGATATTTTATACTATCCTGACATCAACTTATCTTCATTTGATCTTTACTTACATCATGGAGAAATATCGTAAGTTTTTATACTTTTACATATTTTTACTAGCAATTAAAAAAAAAAAAAATAGGTACGAACAATTAAGGACACTTGTAGTAGAAGGTATATCCGAAACAGGCTTTGAGACTTTAGCTGATACAATAGAAAACGTGCTTACACAAATTCCAATACCATAATAATAATAATAATAATAATAATTATAATTATAAAAAAAAACTTTACTATTAATTGTTATAACGAATATGATTGAATAGGATTGATTATTTCGTAGCAGCCAAAACCATGTTTCTTGGTGAAATAACAGGATCAAAAAGGGGCCATAGCCATACATTTTTAGTTGGACTGTCTTCAATTGTATTATACAAGTATAACCAACGATCCATAAGAATAAGGCTTTCAATTACTGGAGCTAATAATACACGCAATGTCCAAAAGATAATAATTTGTTTGTCTACTTGCTTTTGTTTGTATATATTATAATAATTTTCTGATTCTTCATCAGAAAAGGTATTTTCAGGAATATTCAATCTTCTTAGGGCTGCCTTAACATAGATAGGGAAAGAAACAAAATCTTTCTTTTTATTTAATCGCCCAATGATAGGTGCAACAGATATATCTGTTAAGCCTTTTTCTACCATCATTAACTAAACAAACAATATTAGTATTTGCTATATATATATTTATATATATCATTTGTAGGTTACATGTAGTAATGCTCTATAAAAGTGATGTTCATAAGCTTCTAAGGTTTCATTTTGTTTATTGAGCCATCTGGCAGGAGCTTGACAAGAAAGCATTTTTGCAGTAGAGCCCAATTTAAACCCTGTTTTCTGAACATAGTGACTCACAGGAAACCCTGTATCTTTCACTACTTTTCTACTATCTAAGTCCTCTGTTAAAAAGTGATAGCAACAACCTACATCAACAAAACAAGTCATTTCTGGACTTGATGTAAATAGTCTTAACATCATTGTTGCCAAGTCACCACACGTATGTAAACCACATAGAAGCCATTTTTCATCTTGATGACTACTGCTCCATTTAGATAATATATGAGATGCATTATCAGGTGTAATAAAATCTGTAACATGGTGTAACTTTAGCACATCTTCACCCAACGACTTGATTACTTTTTTGTCGAATTTTTTGGCTCCACAAGTTTGAATTTCTGATGAATCAACGGCTAATACTTTAAAGTGATTTTTAAATGCAAGTGATCTTGATAGATATCCTTGTCCTGCGCCTAAGTCAACAATAGAGTTTACATTTTGATCTTTGGCAATCTTATGAATGACAGGTGTCATACGCTCAACCTTTATTTGTATATCCATATATATCAATTCGTAAATAATAGGAGTATGATCCTGTAATTAAATAATACCTCATGAATTTTTTTTTCAACCATACCAGCTAAAATTCGTTTATGTAGTTCACTTTTAATTTGATTTACTATAAAACACATGATTAGAATGGCTTTTTTATTTACTTGTAATAATATATAGATCATACTGTTAGTAATTCTAGGTAATGAAATTTCCTGTGCATCTCTAATAAATGTTCGTAAAGATTCTGGCCATTGTTCCTAAGGTACAAAATAATCAATGATCAAGTAGAAAAAAAAAAGAGAGAGAGAGAAACATGCTCAAAATAAGAACAAAAAAAAAAAGGAAAGCACTTAATTACATTATTAGATCCAGTTGTAATTTTCATAATTGAATCAACCCACTCATCTTCATTTATGGATTCATTTGTTGGTAATAGTACATGACGCCACTTTTCAGGCAAAATCTCCCAATGATTTAGAGTAATAAAGTCAACAACATGGGATGTCGTCCATCGACGATGCTTCTCAATGAAATCTATTAATGCCTGAATATACTCTTCCGGAGTTAAATGTGCATATTTTTCGGGCAAGCTTAATTGTTGATTTGGAATGAGAGTGTCATTTAATGGATCCATATCAAGAAAATAAAAAATAAATGAATACACAAAGAAAATTTTTCAAGCATTATATGTTACTCAGCGAAAAAATTATTATGACCAATCAACATAATTGACTTGACTAGTAACCATAGTTACTTGAGCAGATCGTAAGATTTGATTTTTGAATATGTATTCATAACTAGTATAAATGTTTGGAATATAACTTCGTACTTATTACGATCAAATTTTTGACTATTAGGATTATCTCTTTGGGTATTATTACGTGCTAATGTCCTTTGTAATTGGAGTTTTATTATGGATAATTCTACATAAAGATTGACAAATGGCCCAACAGTTTTTTTTTTATCTACTATTTAAGATTTTTTTTTAGTTACTGTATCAAGTGCTACACAAAGAATATCAACTAAATCTATTAAATCCTTTGCAAACTTCTGAATAGAATGATTTTCATAGTAACTACGTCTCAAATATAATATAGAAGCAAGTTTCTCCTAGTTATTAGCCAAAGCTAATTAATAAGAATCCTAAAGTATCATTTTAATCGGTTAAAATATTTATATAATATTCTTAACGGATACTTGCTTTAATCTTTTTTTCTGGGGACATAGATCTTACGTATAGCTACTACTGTTACTTCTATGTTCTGCAATCAGACGTGTGTTCGTTATTTGTTTTGTTTTTTCAGTTACAAGTAAATAACTAGTAAACAATCTTTTACTATTCTTGTTGTTAAGGACGATTACCGAAAAAGATGACTTTCCCTGACTTCTAACCATTATCAGAAGGTTTTTTTTTATCAAACTTAAAGTTTATATATTTTAATCTTCTCCAGAAAACTTTTGTTAATATTGTATTTAAATTATACAAATTCTATACACATTTTAAATCCTTAATTTTATCTATTACTTACTTGTACAAATATTCCTGTATTGTCGTTGGGCCCTTATTTTATAAAACAAACTAATTTTTATTTAATTCTGAAAGCAGATACCACTCTATTTCTTAAATACTATATCCTGTAAGGTATTATTCTGTCATTTTAAAACTCTAGCTTTTTTTGTTTATCATCCAAGATTTTGTTTCTGATAAAAGATACACTTTATTATTTTTAAATATAGAATAACTTGTTTTTTAATTTGTTAAACAAGGATAATTTAAATATCTGTACAGTGTACATATCTGTATATTTATATTATTATATCTAAAATATGTGTTAGGTTGAATACTGCAGTTCCCAACTTTTAATATTGATGATTTGTTCCTCTCCATCTTATTTTTTCCTAAAAAAAAAAATACTAATTCATTTTTATTTTCCTTTTTTTTTTTTTTCTTTTTTGCTTTTTCATTCACATTATGAGTTGTCCTTTTGTACAAGTGGCGACAAATAAAAAACTAGATTCTTCTCCTATTATCAAACGCTGTACATCCTTTTTTAACAAATTTTCTTCATCAAAAATTAAACGAAAAAATTTTGATAATTTATATACTGAAGGGAATCATACTTCATTGGTAATATCTGCTCAAAGAGATGATATTTTAAATTCGTTCATGTCAACAACAAATGATATACAGCAAAATTCGATTTATCAAGTAGCTAGACTTGGAGAAGTATCAAAATCTTATACATATTTAAAATTACAACATCAACAACAGCAACAGCAACAACAACAAGAGCATATATATGATTTCTATCACAATAACCAAACAAATAGTTGTAACTCTTCTAATGATATCAATACTTTCTATAATAATTACTCTCAAATTAACTTAGCAAATGATAACTTACATATTAATAAGTCTACCATTGTCAATGACGATCAGATTTCAATATTGGTAATAGATCAAAATGTAAATAATCAACATGACATGTATTCTAGCAATAGTTCAAATAATAGTAGTAGTAGTAGTAGTAGTGCCACTTCTTCTTCTTCTTCTTCTTCTTCTTCTACTACTACTACTACAAATACTGAGGAAACTATTGCTTCTGATTCTACTGTATACGATTCAGGATCACATCTATCTGCTGATGATATGCATTCGAGAAATTTTAAAACGATCACAAGAGTCAGTATTCCCAAAAAAAGAAGTAAAAATCAAGGTAGTAATAGAAATTTAATAAAAATTGGTATTTGATCCAAGAATTAACCCATCTTCGACCATCACCCTCTCTCATAAGATCTAACTGCATTAGAGGACTCTAAAAAAGAGAACTATCTAGGCAGAGCGATAAGTCTCCCTTCTTCCTATTCTTTAAATAACATAGTTTTTACTGCTTCTTCCTCAAAACTTGTACGTGGAAAATCAGAATTTTATAAAAAGGAATCTAAAGCGATTTCAGAGTGGCAATTGACTGTACAAAAATTCATTATACAGCAACAAAAGTCACCTTTTACATTAAATCAACATAAATTAACTAAAATAAAGGTAAAATATGAAATGATAAATGATGTATATCTTAATTTGATTTAATTGCTTTTCATTCATTCATATATATATATATATATTAGTATACAGAGAAAGATCAAGCTATAAAACGGTTTATTGTCAATGAATTGTATTCCACAGAAAAATCTTTTTATCAGTTTTTGAATTTTACTCGTAATGTAAGTTTGAATGATTAGTATTTCAATATCGAATTTAGCTGATGGTATATAGAATTATATGGAACCCATGAAAGTTGCTTCACAATCAAAAAATCCTTTAGTAAAGCCTAATGATGTTTATGTATTATTCAATCATCTTCCTGGTTTTTTGGCTACGTCAGAGAAAGTATTATTTAAATTAGAAGCCTATCTAAGAAAAGAGAAAATAGTAGGACAACAACAACAAAATAATGACACATGTCCAGCCCAGGCAATTGGGCAGATCTTTAAAGAACTTGAACAAGATTTTGTTATTTTCTTAAAATATGCAATTCATTACCAGTATTATATGAAAGCCATTCGACATGCAAGTAACACGGGCTATGTAATAAGCATTAACAACGAATTAAGAAAATTAAATAAGGAAGCCAGTAGATTAGGACTAGCGGATTATCTTATTTCACCTTTCCAAAGGATTCCTCGCTATGAGTTACTATTAAAAGGTAATAAAGTACCTGAATTATATAAAGAGAAGTAAGATGGAACTAATCTCTCTTCTTCTCCTCTTATTTAAAATAATAATTGACTCTAATATAAGTTTGTAATATTTATAATATACATCTAGATCTTTTAAAGCATACGCATGAAGAAGATGAAAGATATGACCTACTTTATGCCAAAAATATTATTAAAGGTTTGGCTTCAACTATGAACAAATTACAAGAAAAGATTCCTAGATTATCTTTTTCATCATCATTTTACAACTTTCATACGCAGTCAGTATCCAACTTATCAATGTAGCAAGCGTTTTAAAATAATCTAATTAGTTTATACCATGATTGTAAATAATAAAATGCTGTGCTTCTTTTTTTTTTAAAAAAATAAAAGAATTAAAAAAAAAAAAAAAAAAAAAAAAAAAAAAAAAAAAAAAAAAAAAAAAAAAAAAAAACGGTTTATAGACTCAACTAAAGTTGTTGCTTAAATAAGTTAAAATTATAACAAATAATATATTTTAATACAACTAAGAAACCATATCATTATTTTCTTTGCAAAGTATCTATACCAGTTGTAAAAAAAGGGTCCTTACGTTGGCTTTTTTGAGAGAGAGAAATTTACATATACTCTTAAAATAAAAAATTAGTATCATTACCATGTTCAATTAAGTTATTATATATGTATATGAGCGATATACTATTTAAAAATATGTATTATGAATTGTAAAATAGCCTTACTAATTTAATAAATAAATAAACTGACTAATAAATCATCTACTGTAAAAATAATTAAGGCTCATGTCGTTATACTCTATTTTCATTATTGATTTCAAAAAAAAAAAAAAAAAAAAAAAAAAAAGGAAGGCTCTACTATTTTAGTATTATCAGTATCGAATTAGATAATATACAAATGGCAACAGCAAATGGTCGATCTCATGGCTAAACTGATCCCCTTAATTCTTTATAATACATTCTTTATTTATATTGGTGGAACTATCGCTACTATCTATCAGTCGTTTATCTTTACCCACCTTAGATAATTTTTTTAAAAGTAGTATGCGCCTATTTGTCCAGTATTTTATTCGCTAATAACGTCAATGAGCGCATACCTTGCATATTTTTTGCTTTCCAGCTTCTCCTATAATAATATGCACTAACTTCTCCATTTCTAGTAACCATAAAGGGGGTACTTTTTCATTGAGTTAAAATTATTGATCCTTTCAACTACAATTTTCGTTCTTGTTAGAAAAGCTTGCCCTTAAATTTTGCTATTTTGGCTTTTAGTGGCGCTTTGTTTATTAATGTAGGCTTAATTAGTATCTTGTTTATTCTATCAATGAAAAAGAAAAACTTAGTTTATTTTACAAGTATTTTACAAGAATAATATAAAAAAGTTTACTCTTGTATTAACAGGATACCTGACTCTCTCTTTTTTTTTTTTTTCCTCTTCTTCTTCTTCTATAATTGTACCAAGAGAATTTATATGATATACTTTTAAATATATTTTTTTAAAAAAAAAATACAAATCATAATAAAATGTATAAAGAAGAAGAAAAGCCATCAAGCTAAATAATAATTTAGAATTCAAAATTCAATTATCTTATTTATTCTATAATTTCTAAACAGTAAGTTGCTTATGTATATGATATTTTTTAAATCATAAAAGTTATTTAATTATAACGAATAACTTATATTTGTAATTATTATCATTAATGAAATGTATTACTACAACTCTAATTCTACATATATCATGAAGAAGTATATATATATAAATAATTTAAAATTCATTTGATGATTTTATTAAATAAAGTGTATTATATGATTACAATAACCAGTAAGTTATTAATATTGTATATAAAATAGTCAAATAACATAAAAGAAGTACAATCTTATTCTCAATATTAGTAGTAATTCTGCTATTCAGTTTTTTTTTTATTATTTTTTTATTTTATTTTATTAAACAATAGATCGGAGGCTATATGACTCAATTCAGTTGACCATCTTCTATAGCGAACGAAATATTAATTTTTATGCATATGCTATTCACCGTATATAGTATGAATAATGTATGTACGACTCGAAATAGATTAAATTAGTAATCAGTAACTATTTCTACAGACTTCTCAGCTTTATTGATTATCTTAAACGTGCTACTAGCCGTCTCATTCCTATGTTAATCATACCATAAAGACAGAATATGACTTGAAAAAAGTATTGATGTTTTAACTTCAAATCGTTATAATACAGCTATACATTGTGCTTTTCAATTTTTTTTTTCAAAAAAATATAGACAGAATACTTGTATATTCTAATATTTGATTTCCAACCACAGAAGGAAAACCTTGGTATGCCCCAACTAAGTATTCATATTATCTTTTCTTTAAAATTGAATCTGTATTTCTAATTGACTTTTTGTTTCGCAGAATCTCAATTTATTGTTTTTTTTAAGCCAATCGTATACAATTCGTAGAGGGCAATACATATCTGTGCATAAGCTTTACCTGTAGTCTATGTCTTCTCATAGACGAAATAAATAAATTATTATTGTGTTATATTATCATGTTTACTGTAAAACTCTCTTTCTATACTTGCAGTTAAATACAACTCTTGATTACTTATTTCTATTACTCATTTATTATACTTTACTTTTTGGACATATGAAATCTATATATTTGTTGTAAATGATTATGTCTTCCAAAATGAAGAGACTATTATCCCCTTGAGTCTCAATTTGTTCTTCTCCTACCTCGTTTAACAAATCTTCCTTATCTTTTAAAATAAATGTGTGTACTTATCATTAAAATAAAACTTTAAATCTTAAAAAAAAAAAAAAAAAAAAAAAAAAAAAAAAAAAATTATGCAGAATTTGAATTTTTTAGTTCAAAACAATAAATTGTATTTAAGGTATTTTGTATGATAGTAATGATGATAAACAAAATTACTTAATATATTATGAATAAAGAGTAGACAAAATAACTAAGACACAAAAGAAAAGAAATTGATACTCTATTAGGGTTGATAATAATTTAAGCTAAAACAAAACAAAGTAAAAAAAAAAAAAGAAAAAAAGAAAAAAAAGTTGGTGGAAATTGTTTTTTCTGTGCCTGGGCTATTTTATAAAAGTGGAGGAGTTAATACCGATATACAATATAAAGATCTTTCCCTATACACACACATACACATTTAGTATATAAAAAAAACTAAGAATACAGTATGAACTATAATTTTTACTTTATGTATAAAATCTTGTTGCGATGCTGTTTTAAGTGATGCTTAATTTTTTATGTGTGCACGGATCAAGCTAGATGACAATAATTAGCTGAGTTATATAACATAGTGACGTTATTAACGATGATTTCATTTTCTTAATGCTATAAATATGATGCTTTGGGTAACTTTCTTTGTTGATTCTTATCTATTTACGAGACTTGATAATAACTCTTATTTATGATAAAGGCGAAAAGAAAAAATATTATATGCACAAGAAAATCGCTTTATTCATCAAGTTTTATGTTAATTACTGGCAAGAAAATATTATATTTTCATATATTTGTTTTCAAATGCCGATGTTATTTTTGAGTGCTTGCTTATCGCCGCCTTTTTTTTTGTTGTTGTTGTTAGTATCTTGGATATATTCTATAAAACTTTTCTTTTTTCTTTTTTCCTTTTGATGTTTTATCTAATACCACTTTTATATTCCTTTCTCTTTTTTCCTTGATTAGAAAAGTGCGGCATACAAAAAAAAATATCAAAAAGAAAAAAAAAGGAAAGTGAGAAAGTTGTACATAGCTTTATTTTATTTATTTTATTTTTCATTGATCTTTTATAATTTATTTTTCTTTTTTAAATCTTTTTTTTTTGTTATTACCAAATTTGATATTATTAATTATGCGGCTATCAAATGATAATATACAATTGTATAAGCCAAATTTAAATCGATCATTATCAATATCTAATCCTGAAGAAGCACCAATGGCCTCTGATGCACAACCCTTTATTAGACAATCTATTAAACGTGCAAAATCATTTGTACGTCCTGAAAGACAACGAATTGATCCTAATCATAGACAATACCATTATAGACAAGCCGCTGGTCAAGCACCTACTGATACAATTGAACCTAGTCGAACTGGAAACACACCTCATATGCTTAATGGAAAAACTACAACAAAATCAATCGGTTTATATCCAGGGAAAAGTGTATTAGGTTGGGAAAAAAAACAAATAAATGAAGATGACTTTATATATGTACAAGAAGAGAGAAAGGAAACTATTTGGGACAAGTTGCCAGGCCCTTGGATGTCATATTGTTATTTATTAACTTGTTGTATTCCACCTCAAATATTGAAGTATGCAGGTAACAAACAAACAACCAAAGAAAAACAAAAAAAAAAAAAAAAAAAGAGCCAGATTATGCTTCTTTCATAATATCATATATTTAAAATACATTGATATATGTGTACTCTAGGTATCCCTCATGGGCCTGCTCAAACTGCTTGGAGAGAAAAAGTGGGGCTTGTTGGTGTTATTATTATTATTATGGGTTTTGTTGGTTTTTTGACGTTTGGCTTTAATCAAACTGCTTGTCCACCCGCACCCACATCAATTCATGGTAATGCTGTACCTCCTGGTTATTTAATCATCGATGGTTGGGCATATATGCTTGCTGATTGGGATGGTCATCCTTCTTTAGATGGCAGTGGAAATGATACTAATATACTCTATCCTCCCATCAATGGGAATAGCATGGATGCTTCATTTTTATTTCCTAAAAAAATTTCTGCATGCGATAATATTTTCATTCCTCTTCAAGGAGAACAGCCAAATTATTTTCCTTGTGAACTGTTTAATCCTAATAATACTCTTCCACCGTCAGTATCACTTTTTACAAACAGAACTAATTGCCATGCAGGCGCAACATCTACTGAATTATTAAACATTTTTGCTACTAAAGGTGTCCCTGACAAAGACGGAACTTACGATAAAAGAGCCAAAGTATATTATGATTATAATGATGTTAATACTACAAGTCATCTTATGATATATAATGGGTAATATATATATATATATATATATTCACTGTCTAATTTATGCTAACCAAATCGACTTTATAGGCACGTATTGAATCTCATCTTATTAAAATCTTTACCTCTAAATTATTATAAAGTACCGTCTGGTGGATTAGTAGATCGAATTTTAAATGATATGGACAGTTTTGCAGGAAAGGATATGACATACATAATTCGATCAAATAATGGATCTGATATATCATGGCAAGACGAGGCTGAATGTTTAGCTCAGACTATTCGTGTTGGGCAAATTGACACAATTTCAGTTGGTTGTATGTTTTCGCAAATTGTTCTGTATATTTCGCTTGTTGTTATTTTAGGTGTCATTATTACCAAATTCGTATTAGCTGTCATTTTTGGATGGTTTTTGTCATGGAGACTAGGAAATTTTAATGAGGAAAAATCGTATTCAGCAAGGATGAAACGACAAGAGCAAATTGAAAACTGGACACGTAATATTAATACGCACGGCCCAGTCACTAACATCCCTCAACCAACTCAATATACAGTGCCTCATAAACGTACATTATTTTTCCCTAGTACTTCTAGATTCACTCCTGTTGAATATGGACCGAATCGATTTAATTTTGATAAACAATCTATACCCGCTTGGAAAATGTAAATATACATATATACATTATATACATTATATACACTTTTACTGAACGAAATTTTTTTCTTTATACTAATTCCATATACATATATAGTAATTCTAGTAGAACAGACTCAATTATTTCCGGCTCATCTCCTTCCTATTTGAATGTACCTAGTCATCGTGGATCAACAACATCATTTTCTGGTAATAATAATTATCTCACCCGTGGTGTTACATCTTTTTCTTGGGATGGTAGAAGCATAGATTCTACTAATATGAATAACTTTACCTGTAGTAATCCTCCATGCCCTTTTCCTCTTTCACCTTATGTGATTCCTAAACCACCACTTGATTATATGCCATTTAACTATCCTCTTGTTTATACTATTTGCCTTGTTACCTGTTATTCAGAAGGTGAAGATGGTATACGCACAACGTTAGATTCAATTGCCGTTAGTGATTATCCAAAGAGCCATACATTATTGTTAGTCGTTTGTGATGGCCTAATTACAGGTAGTGGTGAAAGTAGGTCCACTCCCGATATTTGCATTGGCATGATGCGTGATTTGATTGTTCCTGCTGACGAAGTTGAAGCCCAACCTTATATTGCTATTGCAGATGGATCAAAAAGAAATAATTATGCTAAAGTCTACGCTGGCTTTTATAAGTATAATCATGAGACTGTACCTCCTGACCAACAACAACGAGTCCCTATGATTACGATTGTTAAATGTGGTTCGCCTGAAGAAGCTGATGCACCCAAGCCTGGTAATCGTGGAAAAAGAGATTCCCAGATTATTCTTATGCAATTCTTACAAAAAGTGATATTTGATGAACGTATGACGAGAATGGAATATGAGTTCTTCAACGCTATCTGGCGTATTACTGGCGTACCTGCAGATAATTTTGAACTTTGTCTGATGGTAGATGCAGATACGAAACTATATCCTGATGCCCTTTCAAGATTAATTTCAGCTGCTGTTAAAGATCCAGAGATCTCTGGTCTCTGTGGTGAAACTAAAATTGCAAATAAAACAAAGAGTTGGGTTAGTATGATTCAAGTCTTTGAATACTACATTTCACATCATCAAGCAAAGGCATTCGAATCTATTTTTGGCGGCGTAACTTGTTTGCCTGGTTGTTTCTGTATGTACCGTATTAAAGCTCCTAAGGGTCCTAATGGTTACTGGGTCCCTATTCTTGCGAACCCTGACATCGTTGAGCATTATTCTGAGAATATAGTTGATACATTGCATAGGAAGAATTTATTATTGCTTGGTGAAGATCGTTATTTAACAACACTCATGTTGCGTACTTTCCCTAATCGTAAAATGATGTTTATACCTCAAGCTGTTTGCAAGACTATAGTGCCTGATACTTTTAAAGTCTTATTATCTCAACGTCGTCGTTGGATTAACTCGACTATTCACAACTTATTTGAATTATTACTTGTTAACGATCTATGTGGCACATTTTGTTTTTCTATGCAATTTGTTGTCTTTATGGAACTAGTCGGTACATTAGCTTTACCTGCTGCTATTTCTTTTACACTCTATGTAGTTATTATCTCTATTATTGGTCCTCCTGCTACTCTGCCTTTGATTTTACTTGCATTAATTTTAGGTTTACCTGCTGTATTAATTGCAATGACAAGTCGTAAGTTTGTTTACATTGGATGGATGCTAATCTATTTAGTCAGTTTACCCGTTTGGAATTTTGTACTTCCTACATATGCTTACTGGCATTTCGATGATTTTTCTTGGGGTGATACTCGTAAAGTTGAGGGTGTTAAAAAGGATAAAGGGCATGGTGATGAGGGTGGAAAGTTTGATAGCAGCATTTTTGTTATGAAAAAATGGAACGAATATGAAATAGAAAGACGTACCAAGATTGCATATGAAAATAATATGCCTATACCAAAATTCGCGGAACGTCATTTAAGTGTTGATGTATATAAAGAAAATGAAATATTCGATGATGGAACTATAAGAAGATACAGTGATATATCTAATGGAACTGCCAATGTACCACTCACACAGGTAGAGCATACTATGAATAGATACTTTAACAAAGGCGAATCATCTACACCAATTAGAGATATTCATGACCAAGTTGAATTAACTTATAAGCCGGTGTCTCCTGCGGACAACACTAATTTCAATATAGAGGAAGTTTTAAATTCCAATAATAACAATGAAAATGAGATAGAGAACCATACACTTGGCTGGATTCAACAAAATGCAAATGATAATAATTGGGCTGATCCTGCACCTCATCATAGATATTCCCAGTTTGAAGATGAACAGCAACTTACATCACCAGTATATAAATTTGAAAAAAAAAAAATGATTAATGATATATGTAAATAATGTAAATAATACAGTATATAAAATACTCCCTTTTATTTATTTTATCTGTTTGCCTTATAATACTTGTTATTTAAATGTCAAAATATTCTATCTTCATCAAAGTAATATATTATACATAAATGCATACTAGAAGTAGAGTAAAAATAACTATATTAGCTGGCACTCTCAGTTATTAGTTATCTCTTCATATTAGTTTAGATGGAGGATACTAAACATAGTTTGTAACATAACTTCTTTTTTTTTTTTATTAATTATATTGAGGCAATATATACCAGTAGAAAATGGATCACATATTTAAAATGTATATAGTGATCGCTGGTTATGACCACTTTAAATATTAATGCTCATATCGAAAAGAAATAAAAAAATAAAAATCATAATGAAAGATAAGAAAACAAATTTTGATTTCCAAGTCTTTTTTTTTTTTTTCGAAAATCCCTGGTAGCAAGGACTACCAATTTTTTACTTTCTTTGTTTAGGTAACTAAAAGCCCTAAACTTCATAGTACTGTCAGACCACTTTGGATTGCATTTTTGATAGTTAATTAGAAATTGTGTGAGGTAGTGACTTTTAATGAGGAGGTGATGCATTATAAGTTTTAGATTGTGTTAAATTTAGTCTATAGCTTTGATATAATTCAAAAATGTATAAGCTCTATCGTATTACATTATATCGTCTACCTCTGAAGTAAAAATAAATAGATTATGCTTCCTATATTGTATAACAAAAAAAAAGTCATTTTAAAACGAAGGTGTTGTTGGTAGTCTACTTCTGTCACAACAAATATAGCCTGTTTTGAAAGTGATATAAAAAAAGCCAAAACTGTTCTGCGTATTACCTTCATCTTAAGTGTAATACTATATATAAACGAATATATACTACTACATACAGAGTTTACATCCTTAATATGATTATTATAAACAAGGGAGCACATCACTACATGTACGAATTTAAGTTTGTCAGCATCTTTTTTTTTCTTTATCTTACTGATAATCTTAGGTCTTTTAAAATAGATGAAGAAAAAAAAAAAAAAAAAGGCAATGGATAAATAAAAAGCAAAACTGGTATAGTATTTCACCTAAAAAAAAATTACACTAAATGGGAGTATGATAAAATTTAATAAGAATACGGAAAGAGATGAGAAATGTCTCTAATTTTTAATACATAATTGCATAATGTTGAAGTGAAGTATGAAAAAAAAAAAAAAAAAAAAAAAAAAAAAACTTTATGCAGCCAATTTAATAACAGAAAAGAAAAATGATGACGCAAAAAACCAACGTATTTTGATTGGTCAGCGGGGTTTAAATTTAAAATAAAATACAAATATGAGCTAAAAAAATTCTTGAAACTCAAGGGGAAATGGTGTAGTGGCTATCACATTCGCTTTGCATGCGAAAGGCCCCGGGTTCAAACCCCGGTTTCTCCATTTTTGTTATTTTGGGAAATATAACCTAATTTTTTCACTAAATTTCTTTTGTCTGATCTAACATCTGTATCAGTAACTATTTTGGTGTTGATGGTTAGGGAAGAAAATTGCAAAGAAAAAAAAACACAACTTCATAATTGTTCTTTTGCAGACGAAAAAGAATTCTTTCTTTTGATTAATACATAGAATAGAATTAGCGATTATTTTTTAGGTAGTAAAAATGCAACAATCAAAAAATGTGTCTATTTGTTATCAGCAAACCTGTATCTATGTCGTTCTGTTATTATTGTTATTCATACTTAATGCTATTATCCAATAATGTGCCACTATACATCGATATATTTCTTATATTCTTGTCACTTTATTTCTATTTAACTCAAAATGTTATCGCACTTTGACAAATCAAAAAGAAAAAAAGTTCAGCTGCTTCATATAAATCTTGTATAAACTTTATAGTCAACATTATGTATTTATTTAGTAAAGAAAAAAAAAAAGTATTTAAGAAAAAAAATTTTTTTTTTTTATATATTCATATATATTAAATGGTCGTCTCTTATGAAACATCATTATTCTTTTTCCGAAAGAAAAGTATTTCTTTGAGACAACTTCTAGCTCTATTTAACTGTTGTTGTCTTTATATAGAATTTATCATACAGTGATTTTTTGAATTCAATAGAATTTTTTTTTATTCAGTAGACAATTTTTAGCATAACAAAAGTAAATTTAGTAATTATTGAAGTTATATTCTTTCCATATTCATACACTTTGTAAATAATCTTCGTGAGTGATGGATCTAACGTTGACAGTCTTCAGGTGTAATTTTCTTGACTGTCTCTTCAATTCTATCAGCAACCATTTCGTTTTTAAAAAAGGTGATTTACGCACGTATCCCTTAATCTTTGACCAACACTCTTCAATGGGATTTAAAAAAGGCGAGTACAGTAGTAGAAACAAAGCAGTATGCCCATTGTCACGACTTCTTCGGGTTTGTGTATAGTAGCATTATTTATATTATGTAAACCAAGCTTGTTGGGATTAAAATCTATTTCTTCCACAAATAGTAGATAGTACGATGATTTAGTGCCATATCTAAATCCAACAGAAGAAGATGTTCTTTATATATGATTGATTGAAGCCTTGGTTTTAGATATTCTATTTATAATATGATCTTGAAACTTAGGCTTTTTTCTTTATCTATTAGTTATAATTTAATCTTGCTTTCCTTTGATTCAGTTACCATGAGTTTGATGCTAAAGAGAATTATGTATTACTATTGATATGATACTTCTTCAGATACAACAACAGTATTCTCTTTGTACCAGCCATCTTCTGCTTTTTTATGTTACTGATATTGCCATTAAAATTATCGATGATTATAATATTTTTTTTTTACTTAACTTTTATTATGTTAGCTTTATTAGGTATGTTTATTATTGTGTATATTCAAATCGGAAATATAGTATAATGTCATGAAGCAATCCTGTGGAACGCATCTCCTTATGTCCATACTAGTGATTTTCACCTGCAAGCGCCATTTCGTCTTACTTTTTAGGAACTATTAAGTATATAGTCTATTAATGAGAACTTTTCATATTGGATATATACCTTTTTTTTTATTCTTTCCAAATAGTTAAAGCACAGTAGGCAGAAAAACGACCCGGATATTTTGACAAAAATGACAAAAATACTTATAACTAAAGAACAAATAACAAAAAACTAAATGTATTTAAAAGAAAAAAAAATGTTTAGTTTTGTTGATATAAATCTCAAAAAATATGAAGTGTTATGTATTTGATATTATGTGATGAAGTGGATCAAGAGAGTTCCAGGAGAATTTAGATAGAATTCCTTGAATAATTTTATGATCCGCATGTTTAATCAAGAAACATGACATTATAAGTCAGCTCATGACACTATTATAAAAAATGGAGAAAAACATCTGGAATGAACTGTCTTAAATACTGGCTAAAATATCAAGAAACGGATGCTTTACTACAACAATTAATAAACCAATGACGAAGGGAAATGTGACGACAGTTTTGTGAAAAAATGGCTAACGGTGAGTATACTAAAGCAATTACACGACTCAGTAGAATCCGAAAAAATCGATCCATCAAGCCTATATTTTCACCAGATCCTGGTATTAATCGTGCCCAAGCTGATGTTATGGCTGATCATATAGAGGATATTTTTGCGTGACTACTTCTTTCTGTAATATCTTCACCCATTCCAAATACTGATAATAACTTGTTTCCGACTAATGATCCTCCTTTTAACCTGGATCTGCATCCTTTTTCGTGTGAACAAATGACTGATACCTTGCAGCAATTACCTTGAAAAAAAAAAGCTCTTGGTGCTGATGGCATACAGACGGAAATGCTATTACACTTAGCTCCTGTTATTGTTCCTTAGCTTTTGCATTTGTTTCTTATGTGCCGGTAATGATCTTGTATACCTTTATCATGGCGAATAGTACAGGTGGTACCGATTCATAAGAAAGGCTTTAAAAGTGATCCAGGTAATTAGCTTGACTTCTATTTTTCGTAAATTGTTCGAAAAATGTCTATATCCTAGTCTGTTAGCTCAAAGTCCTATTCTCAATATTGCTCAGGTTGGATTCCGTGAATCTCGTAGCTTCTCTTGATCAAATTCAATGTCATATTGAAATTTGTTCTATTCTCTGATGTAAACATAAACGCTTTCATACACTGGCCTTTCTGGATATCCAATCAGCATATAATACTGTTAATCGATCATATATTTGGAGAGTACTGCAATCCCACCTCTGTCCTGCCTTACTTGGCGTTCTCACAAATCTTTTTGATCGGGTACAAATTGAAGTTATATTTGATAATTGTGTTTCTCATCATTTTTCAAAACTGGGGCTGTCATCATGTTTTTGAATGTTTACACATTCACAAACACTTGTATTTCCCTCTCACAATTGATGACCCAATATCGTCCCTTTTCAGTATGCTTCCACGGCGTAAACCCCGTCGTAACTCTGATTGTCTTAGCTGGTTTATTCTCTGGCCTACCCTTTGCACCATTCTACATGAATTAGAAGAATCCTTATTCTTATAATGCCTTTATAGCTGGCTGGGTCAATATAGAACATTTCATTGCTACATGCTCACTGCGAGAAAAAATTTAAAAAAATTAAAAAAAAAAAAATACACGGAAATAAAATAGAATTTAATCGTATTGATTTGAATACTGAAAACATTAAATTAGACTGGATAAATTTATATACATGTGTATACTTTAACGTAAAATATTATTACAACAAAATGAAGGATAAACAGCTTTACAAATACATAAAAGACACTTCTTAAAAGATAACAGTACTGTTTAAAATTTTTATTAATTTTTTTTATCAGACCCATTATATAAGTTGGAAGTATTAAAATGTAGATAGTATTTTTTTTTTTTTTTTTTTTTTTTTTTTTTTTTTAATATTTCAATTCAACATAACACATTAAAGCATAAAAAAGGATAATTTATTTTATAAAGTTAGACTAAAAAAAATGGTATAGTATACAAAATGATTAATAACCTATACTACTAATGATACCGTAGCTAAGACAAATTGTAATAACAGCAGCAACAAGGGATGAGGGAATGCCAATTAATATAAAATCTTTAATTTTTAAATAAGGTTTTCCTGTAGGATCTTCAAGCATAATAGCATTCATATTAGGGAAACTAAAAGAGGAACAATAAATTAATAATACGTTACTTTGCAAAAAAAGAAAGAAAGAAAGAAACAAAAACCGGCTTTCAATAACTTACCCAGATACGGGAAGGCCCATTGCAACAGAACAGACTAGACCCGTAGTCATAACCATTAAATTAGGACGTGGAACAGGAAGATGCTGACCAACCTCGCTAACAATAGGTAAAATAATCAAGGCTGCAACTGTATGGCTGACAAAAGTAGAAAACACCAAGACTAGCATACCAAAAATAAATGTAATAGAAAGAGCAGAAAGATTATTAACATTGCCAGCAATCTGATGACCAATTACATCCAAAAGACCTGAGCTATTAACTGCATACCCTAAAGCCATTCCACCTTGCGCAAGAATAATAACAGACCATAAAAAGTTATTTAAATCATTTTTGTTGAGCATTTTGGTTCCAAATAATAAAACAAATGGAATAGCACCAATTACACCATTATCTCCCCAAAAGTCATTCAAAGCAGATTCTGCACACCAAAGAGCAATAGTAGCTAAACTAACTAGACAAACCCAAATCTGTGATAAAGAAGGTCGGGAAAAATGTTGAGATTTGATAACATTTAAATAAGGCGTATCAAAATCAGGACGAAAATAAAGAAGCAAAAGTATCCAAGTTGTTAAAATAGTAATAAAACCACATGGAATTGCACCTACAAACCAAATACCCCAACTAGGGCTTGGGTTCATTAAATTAATTGTAATAATATTTTGAGGTGATGAGATTGGAGATAAAAGTCCACCAATACAACTTGCAAGAGCAATTCCCATAATTAAACAGGGCGCAACTTTAGAATTAGGCTTTAAGGTCCTTAGAATAGGCTATCGTAAAAATAAATACATAAATTATACAATGCTTTAATATAAATCAAGATCTTTTTTTTTTTTTTTTTTTTTTTTTTTTTTTTTTTTTATACCTCTGCTAAAGAAAAACATAAAACTGGAGTAGCCACATTGCTAATCCACATACATAAAAAAGCGGCTAGATACATATTAACTAAAATAACCCATCGAGGCTTAGAGCCAGCTTTGCTCAAAACAGTAGCAGCAAATGCTTTGGCAATACCATGTTTACTGAGCGCAGCAGCGATAGCAAAACCACCAATTAAAATCATAATAGTGTCATTAAACATTTGTGAAAAGACAAGTTTTGCTGCGCTTGAAGCGCTTATAGTACTACCGCTAGAATCTCGGATAATTTTCATAGGTACAATCATCAATGGAATTAAAAATGCTGTAGCAAATAATGGTATACACTAAAATTAGAAAAAATATTACTTTTTGAATATTTATTCTATTCTTGCACATATATATATATATATATATATATATCATTACCTCAGAAGCCCACATGAGAGCAGCAAATATCAGAAGCGCTAAACATTTACTTGCTTCATAATGTCCCATAGTATCAATGCACATCAATACAATGTATGAAGTAATACTAATTAGAAAACCTATGATGTTTGATATTGTTTGGCGATTGATGAAAATATGAATTATGGGAATAAGAACTCTTCGTTGAGGTACTGTTGCATGTGCATCCAAGGTCTGTCTTTCTTTGCCAACCAAATCCTTCCATACAGTAGTTCGCTCAAACTGAATGTGATCGCGCATATGCATTTTAAGTTCTACTTCGGCATTATGCTTATTTCCTACAGTGAATATTGCAGCGTACATACTTAAAATATGCTCTAATCTTTGTTCAAATTGAGCAGAATTATCTTCACTAAATGCTTCTACATTGTTAACTATTTTTGTAAGGTAGCTTTCCCTTAGATTGTAACCCGTTACTTTATCCCATTTTTTGAGGATTTTATCAAAAGCAGTTCTGTTGATATTAGCATATGATTTGAGTTCTGTTAAAGCAATATACGTAGCAGCGCATCGAACTCGAAAGTTATAGAATTGATTAAACTCATTCACATTATCAGGTTGATAAAGAGATATATGTGAATTTTTTCTACGACGAAATCCCATAGATTGCATAATACGAGTGGGAGGCGTATTAATAATGTCTTCAGTATAACTAGACATACCACCATGCTCACTAAGACTTTTTTCGATCCTTGAGCCACGACGAGAACGAAGAGTAGTGGAATTAATCGTATTTGACCGTAAAGGAGCATGTGCAGCTGAGAATCTCCCTACTAAAGGAGATAGAGAAAAAGCTCTTTTATTGATCGTATTATTTTGGTTGTTATCTTCGATACTACTTGACATAACGCTAGAATGCTTATGTATAGTTTTTGGTGTATTATATTTGGCTTCAGCGTTTTTACTACTATATAATGGGCCTGAGGACATATCTTCATCTGCTTCTGCTTCTAAATCAGATGTAGGCGCAAAAAAGGTGTTAACATGTAAATCTTTTGTCCCACTTTCTGATGATGATTTTTTCCTTTTATTATGTTCAGAATTAAGACGTTCTAATGCGGTTTGAGTTGAAATACTTTCTAATAAAGGCTGCCGAGTTTCATCTGGCAAAGGAATATTAAATGTATGAAATTCAACCTCGAGCTCATCTGCATCATCAAAAAAATCTTTTTTCTTAGCTACAAAAAACTTGCTAACTTTTTGTAGTTGAATATCAAGCTCATTTAAAAAATATTCATTATCCATATTAACATATATTCCGTTATCTTCGTCAGTGGCTGCACCTTCTTCATCAAATTTAAAGTTCCTCTTTTCGTGAAAACCTTCTTCAATCTTTTGTAGGTGGCTTCTTGCATCAAAGTTTTGTTGATCGATTCTCTTTTGCTCAGTTTGATAAACAATTTTTTTAAGTCGGTCATAGCTTGAAATAATAATAATAATAATAATAAAAAAGAAATAATTAGTATTTTTTTTTTTTTTTTTTTTTTTTTTTTTTTTTTTTTGAATATGAAAATTGCATTATTCTATTTCTTTTACTCAACATATTTATCCAACCATTCCGGTACAGCGTTTAGTATAAGCGAATGTGCAAACTTCATTCTATTCAATTTCGTTCAGTCAAAGGAAATATGAATGCTATGCGTATGAAAAATAATAACAAAAAGAAAAAAAAAGTTTACTTTGTAGGCTTATTTAATTCTTTTAAAGGAGCTTTTTTTTTCATTTTGTAATAAAAATTGAAACTTATCCAAACTTTAGGTAAAAAAAAAAAAAAAAAAAAAAAAAAAAGATTTTGCCGTTTATTTCATGCTAGTAGTTTTTAAACATGATATGATTATTGCATTTGACAAGCATTTGACATAGAAGACCAAACATCTTTGATACTTTCTTTGATAAAATTGGATTTCTGTTCTTCGTTAGGAATTGTCAATATTTGTCTTAACCATTTACACGTGAAGCGTTTTCCATTATTTCTGGCCTCACACATACTAACAGCATGACATAATTCTCGAATATGTCTCTGAGTATAACTACTTGACCTAACATTTAGGGTAGAAGTAAAAATGACAGATGGTTGAAATGACTTTGAAAGCTTATATATTCTTCTAATTTCTGAAACAAATCCATCTAAATGTATAGTTTATTATTATATATCAAATTATAGATCACTCTTCTTTTACTAACCTTGACTTTCTATGACAGCATCAATATTATCCTCTAAATCATCCCTTAAATCTTCATCAACATGCGTAAATACAATTATAACAAAATTCCAGAAATCTTTACCAAGCAATTGATGAAATAAAATAAGCATATTTTGTGTATATGCATCAAGTCTATATTTGATAGATGGTGGTGTACTTATTAGATTTTTATTTATTTATGTATTTGTAAATATATAAATTACCTAATATCATTTATATTAAAAACTAAAAAAAAAGCACTTACACCATGTTGTAAAGATTTAAAATATTTTGTCATTTCATGAATTACTTGACGATCTTGAACATTCGAATCCACTAATCCTGGAGTATCAATTAAGTGACAGTATTTTAAAGAAGGTGCAAATTTCCATTCTTTTGTAATTCCATTTATACTTTTTGTAGTAGCCTATACATTGTTTATTTTTATTTAAAAGGGATATATTTATATTTTCTTTATTACTATAATTTTACATTAGTTCCATCACCAGTTTCAAAAGTATATTCACCAGTAATCGCATTCAATAAACTAGACTTGCCAGTTCCGACACTACCTAATGCAGATACAACAAATGTGTTTCTTTCCTCCCCTACTTGTAACATTTATATTGCTTTTATTCATATTAATGCACAATGAGCTTTTGATTAAACAACTATTTTTATTTTACCTTTGAACTAAGTAATTAAATTTGTTATTCAAGTGGTGGTAGTAATATACATTTTAATGTTGTACAAATGTACTTCTGTTGCTTCTATGTTAACAAATATAGAAAGCTAACGTATACAGTGACAGATAGTGTAGTTTAAATTTTCAGAAGGTGTGTGTGTGTGTGTGTGTGTGTGTGTGTGTGTGCGTGGGGGGGTTTTTTTTATATGATTATTTTTGAAATATTTGAATAGATTCATTCTTTAAACACTTTTCAAATGTATCTGAAGAGTGCTGAACAAATGCTTTGAGATGACTAAAAGGAACAGAGTTGTAAGCCTCCGTTATTCTCGTGATTAAATCACTCGTGTCGTTGAATGTGCTTCACTTAAGCTTGAATTGGTGGAAGTCTTTCTTTTACGACTAACATTATCAATTTTTATTTTTTTCGATACTTGGGGGTTCCTGAGCTCCATCGCTACGACGAATTTAGCGCTAATTGCTCCTAAGATAATGTGTGATATTGCTCTGGTAGAATGTATAGTAATTTTAATTGGTGCACTCTTTTCTGACTAACCTCTGGGTGGTCTCAAGTTGATGTCAAATCCTGATTTGTTTATTAAAACACAGTTCCCAAGAAAGCTCACATCCCTTTTACTCCCTTATATCAACCCACGCCTTTTCGATTCGCGAATCTTAATTCATTGTTTCTCGCTACAAGATGACAAGCTATTCTTTTGAATGAGAAACTGCATTCGTTTTTTTTTTTTTTTTTTTTTTTTTTTTTTTTTTTTTTTTTTTTTTTTTTTTTTTTCAAGAAAACTTGAACACTAAAATTCTTTAAAGTGAAATTTTCGAATTTCCCAATAAAAGACGCAACTGCATCATTCACTCAAGCTTGAAGATGTCCATCATAAAAGTCGATCCAATGAATTTTGTGCTCTTCTTCAAGTTGACCTGTCTTCCTGTTCGCTTTGTTTGCTTGCCTTTCAAATATGTTTCAGTCTTTATCAATCTTTGTCTACTTTTGTGCTGTCCGTTCGGCGATTCCACTAGCTAGTCTTCTAGACTTCACAGCACTATATAAAGCTTCTTTTTGTGTATTGTAACTGTTAAGGTTTACAAGTAAAATAAAATAAAATAAAAAAGATAAAAAGTAAGTTGAGACTTGTTGTTAGTTTTATTGAGATAAATGTTCATTTACAAATAAAGGTAAATAATGTGAGAGAATTTATATCTTTTGTGAACAAGGATGAAGATAAAAATATAACAAATCGTAATTGATAATATAATATAACGATAGAAAAAAGAACAATAATTTAATTATTATAACATTAAGAATCATTATAGAAATATATCCATGTCTTTTGTTTCTATATATTTATTTTTATAACTAATACATGTACTTTGAGTGAAATCAATTATTACGTGTACTAGCATTATTCTTAGTTTATCCTCAGTATGATTTATATTCAACAGTACAATGATAGAAGAAGATATATTTTTAAATGTAGAACTTTTCTTAATTATTTTTTTTTTCTATACAAGTGCACTATATGTTCTATTATGACTATTTCATCTTATTGAATTAAGTTACAAATCTTACAACCAGGACAGTCTACACAACTGCTTGTATTTATACTAATGGATCCTGAATCAAAGAAATTAAAAATAGCTGTCAAAAGAACACAAGTCGTGAAACAGTGTTAGTATTCAGATATACATTGTGTTGATTCAAGCTACTGATTTATATGAATTATCTATTGCATGTTATAATGATTTTCTTTATCAACGTTATAAAAATAAAATATTTATAACTGACGCGATATCTTAAGTCTTTTATTATATGCCCAGGCTTATAGTTTATCCTGTGTTATGTAATTTATCTTTTATGATACTACTTATGCTTATAGCCAGAGTTTTTTTCATTCATAGATATAGATCATAAGTATTTTTCTGCTATAGTATCATGAAACAGTTAGACTTGTTTTTTTTTTCTCTGGATATTACTTTCGATATTGCGTCTAGAAGTCTAGCGAGGAAGGTCCTCTATAGTAGAACTGAATATATTCTTACATAATGATTCAAAAGCAGGGCTTACTAGATAATTGTCTATAAAGTTAAAAAAAAAACTATGGTTTAAATACTATTCATAGTATTCGAAAGGAATATATATAGCTACAACTACAGCTATTCATCATTGTACACTGTATATAATAGGAAAACATCTACAATAAAATTAAATCTAATAATTCTCGCTTGTTTTCTGGAATAATATTATTGAAGCATGAACTCAATTAAATTGTTTCTTTTTTTTTTTTTGTCAAAAATTAAAACAAAGTATTTCTTTAAAGAGGAATAATAGTATGTACTGTATATAAAAAAGGTCTATAAAAGAAAGAAAGAAAAAAAGTCAAATATGTATTTTTTTTTATATATATAAACCATGGCTTATAGTTATATATTGTATATACAGTGTCATATAAATATATATAAATATATAAATACATATATTATTGCATATTATTCTCTATGAATAAGCACATATAAACCAAGTACACCTAATAGGGCAAATTTCATCCAAGGATAATCATTCATTAAAATAGTTACTATACCGACATAGGGTAAAAATCTATGCATTGTATATATAAAAACAATTAAGGCTGTAAACAGTATGATTGTAATGTACTTCTTACCCTTTAACTTTGCCAACAATATGTTCTTTATGAATCCACATTTGTCCTCTATTATATAAAACACGATCATCTGTAGGATTGTTGTCTCCTTTTGTTAAGATGTATTCTTTCTTTATGTTTGTACTATATCAATAAAATTAAAAAGTAAATATCGTTTATCATACACATATATTTATATGTATATATTTTGATAATTATTTACTCCTCATGAATCTTGACTACTCTGTGTACAATAGGAATTGGTTTGCCTGGCAATTTGAAAACACAAATATCATTTATTTGTATAGGCTCTTGTTTAGGTAAAGAAAGGAATAATAAGTCGCCACGATGAAAAGCAGGTTCCATACTTCCACTATATAATATAACTGAAAGAGTAAGAGAGAGAGAGAGAGAGAGAAAGACAACAAAAAATGATTCAAATAAAAGGATATATTACCTTAAAACAACTACAATAGGGCTTTCAGTGTTAGTGACAATGGATAGAGCTTTCCAAATCATAAGTGCAGATGCAGCAATGCTCATGATGTTTAAAATTTGTAATGCGACCTTTTATAAATAAAAACGCGTTTAGATAATTCAAGAAAAAAAAGTAGATATATAAAATACAAAGCAATAAATTTACCTGTCGCATGTTCATTCTACGTAATTCAGCAAACATTATACCAGATTCCAAAGGGATTAAAAAGAGAAAGAGAATGAAAAAAAAAAAAAAAAAAAAAAAAGTAAAGTGGATTATTGTTTTTTTAAAGTCCACCACTTCCCCTTTATTATTTTGTTTTTTACATGCACACATGTGTTTTTTTCAAGTATTTTTTGATAAATACATATTCCATTATGACATGCATTCTTTTAAATACATATACAAATATTCATATTTTACAATAACTTGAAATATGAAGCATGTCATGATACTATTTTTCATTGGTTCTTATTATTATGAATAAGTTCAAAAAGAAAAGAAAAGCAAAACAAGCAATAATATCATAGTAATCTAGTATCTATAATTTTATATATCTATTTCACAAGTATATTATCAAATGCTTATTATACCCATTCAGTAATATCTTCTTTGCCCCAGGTACGAGTATTATAATTAACAATAAGCCTATCATTTTCATCTGTATAGATGAGTTTCTTTACATGATAGATAGTCTCACCGCGCATCATTTTTTCTGCTTTTACTCGAGTAATACGATAGCTTTGAGCGAGTTTCAAGCGATCTAATGCATCTTGATCACCTCCAAATTCACGTATATTAGCCCATGATTTAGTTTTACTCTCATAATCTGCTACTGCATCCCAATAAGCTTTTACGCATGCTTCATTTAAAGGTGGTGAAAGACAACCAGCTTGAGGACTTCTATCTGCTTGAATATCATCTACTGCAGGTCTATTCGCATCGCCTGTAATAATAATAGGTAAAGAGCCTTCATCTATATAATTTTCTAATTCCGTTACATTTTTTGTAAATACAATTTTACTAGCTACAACTGGATCTAATATAGGCGTAATCAAATTCCAAACTAGACAGAAAACAAAAAAAGATAAAAAAATAAATAAATAATATACCATTTTAAATGATTTCATCTTACTTACTTTTAGTAAAGACCCAAGGTGCTTTATGTACACAGGCAAGACCTAAAGTTTCTGGGTAATAAGCTTGGAAACAACTTACTAAGAATTTAACTACTTCAAAGTCCTATTATGATTTTTTTTTTTTTTTTTTTTTTTTTTTTTGGGGAGATTTGAGTTAATATGCTCCCCCAAGTTTTGTTGCATGTATAAATTACCATATTGGCTAATGTAAAATTATCAAGATTGAATATAATGCAAACACCTTCCATTGGATAATCACAAACAAGACGTGCTGTTTCCATAATATATACAGTTAAAATCTTCATTACTTCTAAAGGCTGATTGTCTTTATGGTGTACTTGCACGTTGACAAAACTAAAAAGGATGAGAACAAAAAAAAAAAAAATTATTACCTAATACAATAGACACAATAAGGGGTATAATTAAACAATAATAATAGTAGTAATAACATAATACTTACCAGACACCACGACCCTTTCTGTCGGGACCACCTAAAGTTACCATTTTACGTTTTAATAGTTCTTTAAAAGAAATACCTAAACCCTTTTTTGATTTTTCCAATTCTTGAATCAGGCCCGTTTCACCTAAAGAAACCATTTCATTTATTCTCATTTCTAACCTCCAACGTAATGTGTTTGTTAGCATATTAAAAGCAGCCTCAAAATCCCATTTACGAGCACGAAGGAAACGTAAAAGAGTAGCGTCTGGATTATTTGTAGTAACCATTCCCCAAAAGGCTTCACGTAATAATGAACCTGGGATCATAGGCAATGCCTTCTCTAAGGGCAAGCTTGACCAACGAGGATCAATAGTTGTACCTAAAAAGTAGTCTTTAACTGGCTCTTCCTTTTTGGAGCCAAAACCCAGGAAACCACCTGTCTTTTTAACGGGCTCTGCTGAATTAGCTTGAGGTCGTACTATTTCTTCTCCTGGCTGTTCAAATAAAGCAAGAAGACGTAACCACATATCTTTAAGCATCTGTGTTTGTGGCTCTGTTAAAGATCCAGAATAACCTTCTTTACGATTCTCAAGGTTCAAGCTTCTAGGAAATATAAGTGTTGACATATTTTGTATTCTCCTTTTTTTATAATAATAAGAAAAATAAATAAAATAAAATAAAGCAAAGATAAAATAAAATAAATAAAATAAATAAAATAAAATAAAATAAAATAAATAAAAATGCCTTTTTCATTTATTTCTGTTTCACTGAGTTTATGTAAAGATAAAAATCAAAATAATTAAATTTTATTGGCTAAATTTGACGTTTTTAACATACGCGAGTATTATAGAATTTACTTAATTTTATAAAGTCATTTTCTGTTGCTTTCAATTCTTTAGAATCTTTCAATAAATTAAACAAATGTTGCAAAGCTATTTAACAATTTAATATTTTCCTATTTTACGAATGTTTTCCTTTGTTTTTACCTTGTTGATGTTTTTTATCTAAAAACATGACCAACATATCAATTCGCTTTACTTGTGATAAGCCCTTTAGTACATTGAAAATAACGTCAGGCTCCTTTTCTTTCGCATATTTAGTTTCAAGTAAATCAATTATTTTTTCAAATTGATCAGATTCTAAAGATGATTTGAAGATAGAAGCATATGACGTAGGTGGAATGATCTATTATAAAATCGATTTCATTATTTGATTGGCCTTTTCTTTCATGTGTAAAGTAATGTACCTGGAAGTATTGGTATAAAATATCATCTCCTTTAACTTTATATGTTTTCCAATCTCTTTCAAATTCAAAGTTTGTATGAGGAATTGAAAACTTTAGGGGAGTCTTTGATGGTTTGACTGTTAGAGTTATTTCCTTCTCCTTCTTTATAGGTTGTATTTCTACGTTTCTTTTAGCTTCTTCTTTCGGCTTTGTATAATAATCATCTATTATATTTATATGTAATCTCCTTTTTTCTTCTTCTTTATTATTATTTTTCTAAATAAATACTTAATAAATGATAATTGTATCAGACCAAAAAAAAAAAAATACCTTTATTTGTGATTTTTCTACAGTTTTTGGTATAGGTAATTTCTTTAATTCATCCAAAATTGATTTATTGTTAGGCTCTAACTTTAAACCCATTTCAAAATCTACATGCATAATTAAATATACATATACCCGACTATCATATAAATATAAATATATATATATATATTGCTACCTTTTCGTGCTTCATCTATTCTTCCAAGTCCTTTTAAAGCAATGCCACGTCTCCAGTAAGCTTTGACATTATTAGGTTGAAGTTTAATACCCCTTATACAATCCTTTTCTGCCTCTAAATAGCTAGTAGTAATATAATCAATTTTTTTAATGTATATAGATGTATATACAACTTACTTATTTATCTTTAAATAAGCCATGGCACGATTCACAAAATAAACAGATACTGTTGGATCCAAATCGATTGCCTTCCCATAATGTAAAATGGCATTTTTATAGTCTTTTTTACCGAAATATTCATTACCCTAATTAAATGTTCTTCAGTAAATCCAGAATTGCCTATTTTCAGCTTTCCTATTTGTTTTTTTTTCTTACTTTTATTTTTTCTGCTTCTGCTTTTTCGACTCTTGTTTGTGGCTTTATTGTATTAGTTGCAAGTATAGGTTCTGTCTATTTTTTGTTTTTTTTTTTAGAAAAAAAAAGGGTTAGATATAAGGAATTGATTACTTATAACGCATCACATTTACTTTTTTTAATTTATCTAAGCCAACAGGTTTTGATTCATCAACATTGATTTCTGTTGATTTTCTTACAGGTGGTAATGTCTAAAATAGGAAACCAGGTTATTTAACTAAAAAAAAAAATGATTACATTGTCGCCAGCATTATTACTTGATCATGAATAAGCTTTTTTCTTATTAACTTTTCATCCTTGGAGTTAATTTCAGTTTGCCATGATGTGATATCTTTCCAAAGAGCATCTAAATTTTTTGAACTTGTCATTTTACAATGTATAAAAAGAAAAGTAAAAAAAAAGCCCCAACAACAAGTCACTATTTTTTTTTTTAATACATTTATATTTGGCGGCTGCATTAGAAATTTTTTTTGCCTTAATTTGGAAATAAGGTGTTCTTTTAAGTTCAAAGGAAGTTATATTGTAACACTTTTTCATTCATTTTAATTGGTTCATGAAAATTTAACCAGTCAAAGTAAGATAAAGAAAGTTTGAAGTATGAGGATTAATTTCATATTTACGCATTTACGTACACATACATAATAAGCATTTTTTTTTTATATATTTCATTTGAAAGAAAAAAAAAAAAAAAAATGTCATCACAGACTTCTTTTGGGAATGACACAAAAATTGATGTCCATGCTCCTGCATCAACTTATTATACAACTGGCGAAAACGCAAGGAATAGAACAAGAACTTATACGGTAATTGTCGTCAAGATATATATATATACATGTATATACATTTATATGAACTATTATGAATGACATTGCTTAATTGCATGAATTAAATAAACATCCATGGACTAACTTTATATATATGTATTTATGTTTGTATATGTAGAGACCTCGCCTTGATACTCAAGCGAATGGAACAAGTTTTGAAGGAACTCGTAGACGTCGCGCCTCTCATGGTAATAACATCATGATATAATACACTTTTTTTTTTTCATAAACAAATAGGTATTCAATTTATTCGTTATATATAGATGATAAGAATAAAGCACGTAGATTTTTAATTGATGTTGAAGAAACACAACGTAAAATATTGGAGCAAGAAGATACAGATGGTGATTTTCAAATTACTATTAACGATTTAGGGCCCAAGACGATGTCCTTAGGTACTGCAGATTCTGGCGGTTATCGTAAGATTGATATTCGTGGAACGTATATGCTTTCAAATCTACTTCAAGAGCTTGCTTTAGCAAATGACTACGGTAGAAAGCATATTGTGTTGGATGAAGCAAGATTGAATGAAAACCCTGTTGATCGTTTATCTCGTATGATTAAGCATAATTTTTGGGATGGTTTAACCCGCCGTATTGATGCAGATTCATTGGAGGTCATTTGTCCTGATCCAAAGAATAGATCTCCAAATAAAAACCCTCGCATCTATGTTCCTTATGATGATAAGGATGCCTACGAATTCTATAAGAAAGTGAGCGAAGTTCGTAAACATATGAAACTTGAAGTTGAATACTTACCAAAGGAAATTACCGCAGAATATGTCAAGAGTATCAATGATCGCCCTGGTTTGCTAACGTTGGCGATGCGTAAAGTAAAAGATGAGAATGGGGATGAGACGTTTGTAGGTGAACCCTTTGTTGTCCCTGGTGGTCGATTTAATGAAATGTATGGATGGGATTCTTATTTTTCTGCACTAGGACTATTAGAGGATGGTCGTATTGAGTTGGCAAGGAGCATGGTTGAAAATTTTGCTTACCAAATTAAACATTATGGGAAAATTTTAAACGCAAATCGGTCTTATTATCTATCTCGTTCTCAACCTCCCTTCTTGACAGATATGGCTATTAAAGTCTATGAACGACTTCATCCAGATGATGAAGAAGAAAATAAAGCTTGGCTAAGACGGATACTTAAATCGGCTATTAAAGAATATTGGACAGTCTGGATGTCTGAGCCAAGATTAGATAAGAAAACGATGCTTTCAAGGTATCGTCCTGATGGCGCTGGTATTCCTCCTGAAACGGAGGCCTCTCATTTTGTTCATATTATTGAACCTTATGCTAATAAATACGGTATATCGGTTGAAGAATTCAATGAAAAGTATAATGATGGTATCATTAAGGAGCCTGAACTTGATGAATACTTTTTACATGATCGTGCTGTACGAGAATCAGGTCATGATACAACCTATCGCTTTGAAAAGGTGTGTGCTAATTTGGCTACGATTGATTTAAATGCACTTTTATATAAATATGAAATGGATATTGCAGATGTTATTCGTGACTATTTAGATGATGACTTGGAAGACTTTGATGGAATAAAACAGAAATCAGAGGATTGGTTGGAAAGGGCAAAACAGCGTCGTGAACGTATTGATAGATACTTGTGGAATGAGAAAAAATCACTTTATTACGATTATGATACTATAAAGGAGGAACAGACAGATTACGAGAGCGTTACTGCTTTTTATGCACTTTGGGCAGGTTGTGCAAGTCAACATCAAGCACAAGAGATGGTGAAACATTCGCTTTCAAAATTTGAAGTATTAGGTGGACTTGTGTCAGGAACTGAAGAATCCCGTGGTGTAACGTCATTAGAAAGACCCAATCGTCAATGGGATTTTCCATTCGGATGGGCTCCTCATCAAATGTTAACATGGGCTGGTCTAGATAAATACGGTATGAGAGAAACAGCTTCAAGATTGAGTTATCGTTGGTTATATACGTAAATAATAGACAAAGAAAGAGAGAAATATATTTTTATATTTATATGTTGATTGTACTCTATTTTTTTTTTTTACTAGAATTACAAAAGGTTTTGTCGATTTTAATGGTGTTGTACCTGAGAAATTTGATGTTGTGAGTTTATCTCATAAAGTTGAAGTTGAATATGGTAACGTTGGAACAGATTTTAAATGTGTACCTCGAGAAGGCTTTGGTTGGATGAATGCTTCATATCAAGTAGGACTTAGTTATCTTACAGTTCAAATGAGACGAGCTTTAGGTACATGTACTCTTCCTGATCTATTATTTGAAAAGGCAATGATGAAAGAACATCGTATGCTAGGTCTTACACCCGAAGAAGAGAAAGCTGCTATACTTCGTCGTCGTACTTCAACTGCAGCAGCTAGAGCCATTACACGTAATGGTAGTATAAGTGCTGCTGTAACTCGTATTTCATTAACTGATGGGCCCAATAATGCAGCTCATTTTTAATTATTATTAAAATAAAATAAAATAAAATAAAAAAATAGCATTAACATATAAAAAAGTAATTGTTTTTTTTGTCTTTTAATTTATTATAAAACTAATTTACAACTTGGAAATACGATCATTAGTAATTAATTCAATTACTTTTGCACTAGCCCCCCAACTAGATTGATATCCTATGTATATCAAAAAGAGAAAGTTTAGTTTAATGAGATGGAAAACATTTACTTTTTTTTACCATGAGAGCCATGACCATAATTGTGACACACAGTAACTTTTTGCCCATTAGAACGCTCTATATAAATAAATATAAATAAATGGCTTTATATCCTTTTTTTTTCTTTCTTTCTTTCTCTACTCTAAATATCTATATTTACGTTTAATTTCCTTTTCAATGCGAATACCATTTTTACGACCAGGTCTAAAACCAACATTAATAGAAATAATATCAAAATCTTCAGGGCCTTTCCCATGAGTGATTCCAGAATAAAGGTTATAGCAGCGTTGTAAAATATCTTTAGTAATAGCTTCATCTGGTTCAGTTTCTTTCTTGACACGATCTACTGTACCACCACAAATGACTGTGCCATCATTTCGGGGAATAATATAAGTCCATCTATCATAGCCTAGTATAGTATAATAGATTTTTTTTTGTAAGAATATTGAACTATAAATAATTTGATAACTGTACCATCAATATAATATTGAGTCTATTAATTAGACAGTACATGAAGTTTAATTATTCCTTAAAAAAATTGAATTTATATATTATCTTTCAAATTTACCTTAACATGGGGAGCACGAACAAGAACAGTTTGACCCCGAATTGGGAACATTGTATGATCTCGAACATCTTTAAGATGATAAGATCCTAAACCAGTGCAATTAATGATAATATCAAATTCTTTATATTCTTCAATCACTTCTTGTATACTATTGAATGCCTTCCTTTCAATACGTCCTCCAAGCCCTTTTAATGTCTTGACTAACCATTTTAAATATTTTGGTACATTTGCGGTAACTATATAAGCAAATTTAATATCGAAAAAAAAACAGCAAAAAAAAAAACTAGATTAGATTAGTTTTATTACAAGATTCAAACGTGTAACCATGAGACACCCCAGAAATCAATTCATTTTTAGGAATTTCTTTAACCTTTTTGTTTGTTTATAAAGATTAGATTCTCTCAAAGGAAATTATTAACCAAAAAAAAAAAAAAAAAAAAAAACTTACATTTGCATAAATTTTTTTAACCCAATAGACATCTTCTTCTGGGGCAGCAGGTCTTTCACAGTATTGAATACCAGGACAATACATAATATTAGCCTCGGGTTCTTCATCAGCAAGTCGTTTAAATTCTTTCATAGTATATGTGTCCATATCTATTTATGTGTGTGTATAATAAAATAAAATAAATTTGAGTTTTATAGTAATTTTCTATTAAATATAGAGTATACCTTGAAGACGATAATCATTATAATCAGCGACTGTTAAAATGGAGGCACCAGCCCAAGGAGAAGTATATTCAGATGATAAATCACCAGGTACATGTTTTGCTATCACCAAGACATCCTTATATCCGTGTCTTAAAAGACTTATAGCAGTAGTTAAACCACTTACACCCGCACCTATTTAGTGTGAATATGAATATGTATTTACATTTGCTTAATAATTTTATACTAAATAGTTAGATAGTGTTTATACCTAGGACAATAACTTTCTTTGACATTATAGATATAATTATTTCTGGGGAAAAAAAAAAGAGGAGAAAAGAAAGGATTACTGCTATTCACTCTTATCTTCCCTGGAAAAAAAGAACTTTTTTTTTTTTTTTTTTTTTTTTTTAACTAAACCTTAACATACTTACAAATCCAATAATAGTTATACAAGTATAAATTGTAAATAATCTTGTTCTTGGGCGTGGCTAATGCAGAAAGTAACTAAATAAATGATAATAATCAAGTTTTAAGATAAGAAAGGGTCTATAACCTTAGACTTTTTTATTTGTAGGGATAACGGTTATAATGTAAAGATTCAAAATACAATGCTCATATTTTTTTTCCTTTGTAATATAAGATTTTCATCGCCTATGTTACATAAGCTATTTTAGTTAAGAAATATGTACACCTTTTGCCAAAATGATGTTGCAAGAAAAAAAATTTAAAGTGTCGCACTTTTAAAAAAAACAGTGTCGTATGTTTTTTTAAGAAAAGAGTGTTGCATCTTACAAAAAAATAGTGTTGTGCCTTTCAAAAAAAAAAAAAAAAAAAAAAAAAAAAAAAAAAAAAAAAAAAAAAAAAAAAAAAAAAAAACATATAAATTAAAATAAAATAGATCGAGATACAACTAAGGGAGAGACTAACTACTACAGCTAATCTGATCTACATTGACGCTTTCCAAAGACAGTCAGCAGAATAAGGGATAAATAATAATAACCTAGATGAGGTTGTGGAGATGTTGATGAATTTGTGGTGTCAGGTATTAAATTATGGGTATAATATACGTTGTCAGCTGGGCCATTTCAGTTAGCATCCGACCAGAAAAGGAGCCAAACTAGTGTAAGAGCACATTGTAAGATGTTTCTAATAATAAGGAGTGAATAAACTACTACACATTCATCATCATAAAATATTTGTTACCAACATCACCTGAGACAATAGGTCGATCAAATGTGTTGTTATAATGGGCCAAATTATGCCCATGACACTATGTCCGATTCTTTGATGTACCAACCCCTAGCAGTTTACAAAAAAAGAAAACCCGGAAGGGCAAGTCATGAACAGGAAATGACGGAAATGTAGTAAGGAGACAGAAAGAATAATATTCAACTATCACAGACCACTAGCAGACTCCCACTAGGAAGAATGGAGATGCAAAATACACAGCGACATTACCTGAAATATGGGTCAAAAGTACAATAAAACCAAGAATACAGAGTCAACGCATGAGCTATATGGCAGAATGTAACCATCACACTTGATCAATCAAAGAGAAGGAGTCAAGAGAGCGTAGCTGCTTCAAAAAAAATTGACGTATTTATTTATGACGTCTTTTTGAAGACGCGTTTCACTCAATGTTATCGCTTATGTTTCTTTTGCAGGTGCCTGATCTTTTTATTTATTTATTTTTATCTTTTTTTAATTACCACATGAATACGCCCAAAGTATCAGATCCTGGAAAAGAATATTTTCTCCAGGCTATGTCTAGGAAATGGAATTTTTGGGAGGCTTTTACTCTTTACGAACACACTCCGAAGTTACCATCCAATATAATCTGCCAAACCATGGAAAGTGATCTTAACTTGATAACCAAGATTAGGAAGACTTCTGCAGAACCATGTAAAGCAATATTATCTGATTTGAAGGTAAGATGGCATACATCTCAATACCATATTTATATAGACTCATTCATTCCTTTCCCTTTTATCGTGTTGATGGTTTTACGTAAAGCAGATGAAAAGCCAGCAACCTTCTAGATGATATTGGGTTTGGTTGCAAGGACAAAATTGAACGTGTGATGATGGAATGCTCAGGGTATGTATGATGAAAAAAATTCCAATATATAGATATCACACAAAGTCAGCGGTACTGCACTAACGCCTCTCCTTACTCACTCACACTTGTATATATAGGGAAGAAGACGGAAATCATACCAAAGAAGACACCCTGAAATTGATGAAATATACTAGCAACTGTTTGAAGAACGAAATAAATCAGTACCAATACGCTTCTTGGACGACATGTGGACGACGACGCATATTTACTATACAATGCATTAAGAATAAACTGACTTTACTATCAACCAGTCGTATGAGAATTGGAAAATGGTGCTTTGTGGAGATACGGTCTGCAATTGTACCAAGGGACTGGGAAGACCGATACTACTGAAATCGTGTGATAGAATTGTTGATGAAACTAAAGATAAGATTACAATCAAGTCAAAGTTATTGGAACCAAAATAGGAATTACTGACAATATACATGTATATACGACGATGACATCTTAGGAAATGCTGCTTGAACAAGAAGAAATAACTATAGTTTTGAAGAAATAACAATCAGGACTGTCTCCTGTGGATGTCAAGGATACGATTAAAGCGGTTAGTCGATCAGGTCAAGCAACAAAGGAAATGTAGTCTTATTCTTTTTTGTAAGTCGTTGTCATTATCATAATATAGTTTTACCCCTTTTTACAATATCACCAATACTAATATATGCTTCATTCTAGTTAATCTTTGTTTTTTTTGTGTGTGTCTATCTTCACTGCCCCCATTCCAATGACAAAGTCGTCAACTATGCCTACCATTTTCGTCGATTTGGATTGGATAACGACATCTAGGAACATCTCACAATGTGCTCTTACACTAGTTTGGCTCCTTTTCTGGTCGGATGCTAACTGAAATGGCCCAGCTGACAACGTACATTATACCCATAATTTAATACCTGACACCACAAATTCATCAACATCTCCACAACCTCATCTAGGTTATTATTATTATTTATCCCTTATTCTGCTGACTGTCTTTGGAAAGCGTCAATGTAGATCAGATTAGCTGTAGTAGTTAGTCTCTCCCCTTAGTTGTATCTCGATCTATTTTATTTTAATTTATATGTTTTTTTTTTTTTTTTTTTTTTTTTTTTTTTGTAAGATGCGACATCATCTTGTCAAAAGGTGTATAATAGAGTATTACAGAAGGTTTGAATTTTACTGCTAAGGTTGTTTTGATAAGGAATAGAATGATAACTAAATATGGAATGCTAAAATGTATCTACCTTTTATATTCCCTTATAGTAGTGATATCATTTGAATATATGACTGTATATTGTCATAATATGAACTCTTATTTCATAACTATCGTTTTATTTAATAACAACGTTTATCGTTTACCGTTTCTATTTTACTTCATATTTACTTTTTTTTTATTGAATATATTAACAGTGTCCTATTGCCGGTAATATTTGTATGTAAATTTATCTCAATTACTCTAATTTTTGGCATTGTTTACAGTGTTAATTACTAGAATAGCTGACTTAGAGTAATAGAGAATATTCACTTTCCCTTTTCTTGAGTATGATTTACAAGCTATTCTCCTATTATTCTGCTTTACAGTATGTGTATGTAAAAAATCATTCTTATATTTTTCCCTTTTTTAATTAAAGCCATAGTGACTCCGTTATAAATGGAAAGAAGCCGATTCTCCTTACTTTTATGCATTACAGAACTTTTATTCATTCTAGAGAACATCTGATTATGCAATTGTGTGTACAACCCACTCGCTCTAATTGAATGTCAGATAATAAAATTAATATCACGTGACCTTTAATGGCAGGGGTGGTCTCCTTTGATTAGTGAAATACGTAATATTGAATCTCTTTTTCGTTTATATCTCTTTTTTTTTATTATCTTAAAAAAAAAAGTATCCATCCATCCAATTCTATAAATCAACCGTTCAATTTACTCTCATACATCAAAAGGTATGTCGTCTACTTCTTTGGCAACTGGTTCCTCTGCTTCTTCTCCGATTCTATCGCGCTTCTTTGCTCAATATAAAATAATAACTCTTAAACAAAAAAAAATATGAGAAGAAAAGAAAAAAAAATCTCACTCAGTGAATTATGTCTTTTTTAATTACCATTGAATCATGTAACCCTTTTTTGATGGTGTTTTTGGCAACAGAAAAAAGAAAGAAGTAGTTACATATTTACTCGTTTACATGTACTTTACTATATTTTCCTTTCTCGCAATGGAATTGAAAATGTATACAATGGACGGAAAAAAAAAGATTCCTACATTTTTCAACATCATTTTCCCTTTAACATTCTGTTTGGAATATTTTGTCATCTACAACATTATTCATACACAGACACATACACATTATATTTTCTTTCCAGTATACTATCACTTCGACCAATCCTTTTTTCTTTATTTTACATCTTTCTTTTTTTTCATTTCAAATGCATTGCGTCATCATTTATTTTTTTTCCCCCGTTTCTCAATAATTTTCTTCTCCCTTTTTTTTGTTTCTGATGTTATTATTTTTATACTTTTTTCCGTATTTATCACCTAAGGGGATAAATACCAAATATTATATTTGGAAAAAAAAAAAGCAAGAAGAAAAAGAAAATAGAATAGTTCAAAAGACTGCAGAAGAGTCGTGAATATCGGAGGAAGACCAGACAGTTGTTGAATTTGATTAAAATTTGTTATTTTATTTATTTATTTTTTACTGACCACTCTATCAGTATTTTCAAATATGTCTGTTGCTGATCACACTGATGACCTTATTGATTACGAGGAAGAGGATGAACAAACCATCCAAAATGAAACTGCTGCTGCTCAACAAACTGATTCTTTAGCTGCTGATGATGAAGATAAAAAAGACAAAAAAGGTTCCTATGTCGGTATTCACTCTACTGGTTTCCGTGATTTCTTGTTAAAGCCTGAACTCTTAAGAAGTATCGTTGACTGTGGTTTCGAACATCCTTCTGAAGGTATGACGCGTTTTTATTTATTTATTTACTTACTTTTTTAGGTGTTACTTAAACAGAAATGTAAATTAACCAAATCTTGTTTGTATATGCATATATATTTGTATATAGTTCAACAAGAATGTATTCCTCAATCTATTTTAGGTATGGATGTTCTTTGCCAGGCCAAGTCTGGTATGGGTAAAACAGCTGTCTTTGTTCTTGCTACTCTTCAACAAATTGAACCTGTAAATGGTGAAGTCTCTGTCATTGTTCTTTGTCATACACGTGAATTAGCTTTCCAGATTAAGAATGAATATGGTCGTTTCTCAAAGTATTTGCCTGATATCCGCACTGAAGTGTTCTATGGTGGTGTTCCTATGAGTAAAGATGTCGAGATTTTGAAGGATAAGAACAAGTGTCCTCATATCCTTGTTGGTACTCCCGGTCGTGTTCTAGCTTTAGTTCGTGATAAACATCTCAAATTAGCTAGTGTTAAACACTTTGTTTTAGATGAATGTGATAAAATGTTGGAACAACTTGATATGCGTCGTGATGTTCAAGATATTTTCCGTGCTACTCCTCACCATAAACAAGTTATGATGTTCTCTGCTACATTAGCAAAGGATATGCGTCCTGTTTGTAAGAAGTTCATGCAAAATCCTCTTGAAATCTATGTTGATGATGAAGCCAAATTGACTCTTCACGGTCTTCAACAGTTCTATATTAAATTAGATGAAAGAGAAAAGAATCGTAAATTAAACGATCTTTTAGATACTTTGGAATTTAATCAAGTTTGTATTTTTGTTCGTTCTGTTGCTCGTGCTAATGAATTGAATCGTATCTTGACAGATTGTAACTTCCCAAGTATCTGTATTCACTCTCAAATGAGTCAAGATGAACGTATTAAACGCTATAAATCATTCAAAGATTTTGATAAGCGTATTATGGTAGCTACTGATATCTTTGGCCGTGGTATTGATATTGAACGTGTCAATATTGTTATCAATTATGATATGCCTGACAGTGCTGATACTTACTTGCATAGAGTTGGTCGTGCTGGTCGTTTTGGTACTAAAGGTTTAGGTATTACATTTGTATCTGATGAAAAGGACACCACTGTCTTGAATGATGTTCAAAGTAGATTTGAAGTTAACATTGCACCTCTTCCCGAGGAAGTTGACATTAATAGTTACATGACCTCTTAAATCTTTTTAATAATCTTTATAAATCATTTTCTATTTTGACAGTTTTTTATATATATACAACATATATTTAACAAATTCATTTGGAAATCTTATATTTTGCTTTTTATGTTTTTTTTATCATAATATATTATAAATACATTTCGAACGATTCCATAGTTTTTTTTATTTTATTTTTTTGTTTTGTTTTGTTTTATGACGTACAAGTACAGTCATTTCCTACCAATACTATTTCATACATGTTGGAATAAGAAGAAAGTATAAAATTGAAACGATATTTTATATTAAGAAGCTATCTTTCTATGTTTATTGTCGTATGCGTGAATTTTATTAGTCAATCATAATATATACATATATTTTTTTTTTACAAGGTAAATTGAGTTTAAAGTTGTTTCTTGACTACGATTGCATTATAAAGCAAATATTCTTTTTTTTTTTTCTTTTCCATTTTCTTTCTTCTTTTTCATTTTATTTATTTCAACTAAAGCTAGAATAGTTGCTGTTATGTTTCGTTTACCGAGAATTGTTAATACTCATACGTTAAAGGCATGTATTCGTCAACCATCATACTCTGTTAAGAACTTTCAAGTTAAACAGTATTCTATTATGCAAAATGTTCGAAAAGGTAATAATTTATTTATTTATTCTTAATAAGCATATATATTAATATCGATTTATATACCTCTTTATTTTTTTTTAATATAGAGATGTTTGCTATGCCTAAAAAATCTATATCTGAGACTAAGCCTATGGGTATAGCGAAAATCATTACATTAGCTGCATTCAGTACAACAACAACTCCTTTGCTCTTTCAAAAGCCTGTACAATGTCAAGGTAAAGTTTGAAATAGAAAGGATATAGAATAAAGATCATTTCAAAAAGTACCCAGAGAAGAGAGAGAGAAGAAAGAAAGTAAATAACTCATTATATAATAGCTGCTACTTTTGTTAACACTCAACAAGATTATAATATCAAAGAAAACGATAAAATAGCTACTGGATATAAGAACACTTCTCTGATTCATAAAGGTGAACTTACCTTTGGGACTTTTCTTGGTATTTGTACTGGTTTTTTAATTAAAAAAGTTGGAAAGATTTTTGCAGCATTTGTGGGAACCGGTTTTGTATTTTTACAGGTATAAATCAGATATGTTTATTTATTTATGTTTGCTATAATTAAGCCTTTTTTTTCTATATATATAAAGTATTTATCTCAACAAGGTTACGTTACTATTCATTGGGATCGTTTAGAAGGTGGATATACAAACGCGTTAGATTTAGACAAGAATGGTAAAGTAACTAGACGGGATCTTCAATCAAGATGGCAAAAGCTTATAAATTTCTTGACAAATAATATACAATTTAAATCTTCTTTCTTGGTTGGATTTTATGCTGGTATTCGTTACGGTTAAAATGTCTGTTTCATTCAAAATAGTGACTGGTGCTTAATCAAATAAATTGTGGCACTGATTAAGAAAATATGAAAATATATAAATGTGTTCTTTTTTTGGATTTTTTTTTTTTTTTTTTTTTTTTTTTTTTTTTTTTTTTTTATATATATATATATCTTCTTTCCAGTTTTTTCAATAAAGTTCAATGGAAAATCCTTTTTATGCTGCTAATATTAAAACATTAAAAGAGATTTTTCCTTCTATAGATGTAACAGTGATAAATGATATTTTATGGTCTGTTAAGGGTGATGTCAACAGAGCATTTGAATCACTTTTAGCAATTAACTCATCCGGGAATGTTAATAGAATAGAAAGTAATTCACAATCATCATCACCACAATTACCGCCTCGAACTAGTAGAGTACATATTTACTACAAGAAAGTTTTATAGTTTAGTTTACTCATGCTGTGTACCTATTTTTATTTTATTTTTTATCTATAGTTATCAGGCAATAATACCAAATTAACTACTACAGAAATCAACAGAACAAATTCACTAAATGTATGATACACAATACTTGATCATAACGTTCATGCATCAATATGTTTTTTTTTTTCTTTTAGACTAATTCGAGGACTTCATTAACTTTTCGCGAAGAATTAGCTCAATGGCGTCGAGATCTTCAAGAAGAAAGTAATAGGCGAAAAGCTGCTAGGAATGCCTCAGTTTCAAGTATGTGTGTGTGTGTGTGTGTGTGTGTGTGTGTGTTTTCTTTTCTAAAATTTTTATTTTAATTTATCATGAAAATATAGGCAGATTAAGCAGGCCTTATATTCGAGGTATAGAAATACATTCGTGCTCTTATAATAAAAAGTTTCTTATCAAATATTACATTTTTTTTTATTATTATTATAGAGCAAAATTCAACTTATAGCAACAATAGCAGAATATTACATAATCACGGTAAACCTATTGTAAAAAGTATTCTTAAAAGGAACTCCTTTTGTACTAACTACAAATTATTTTTATTCATATTAGAAGCAGCCAATAACGTTCAACAGTAAGTCTATAATTTAAAATTGATTATAGTGCATTAGACCGATGTTTTACTATTTGAATTGTATCAATCGTTTTTTTTTCCTCTAAAATAAGAAGTAGTTCAACCACTAATATCTCCCAGCCTAATAACTTACCCAGTGTAGGCGATCGAATGCATAGTAAGTTATTAATCCGTTATAATCTTTATTTTATTTTATTTTTTTTTAAATATGACTTTGACATAACAACTTTTAAATCAGATCGAAGTAACAGCTATTCAATGACAAGGACACTGTCGGAACCCAATAATCATAATTCAGTTAGAAATGACTGTCCTCCTCCATTACCAAGAAGGCAAACCATTAATAGTTTAAGTAATATTTTTTAGTTGTATATTTTGTGTATAATTATCACTCATATCCACCATTATATGTAGTGAATACAAATCTACCTTCCACAACTTCATTTTCACCATCTCAAGAACAAGAAACAGTAATACCTCCAATAAACCCAAATTATAGAGAGCCCGCAGGTAATATACATATATATCTATATACATACATACATATGGAGTATACAAACAATTGACTTGTACTTTTCAAAACTCACTAGAAAATGAAGTGCTAATTAATCCTTTTGAAGAACAGGATCTTCCGCCTCCTGCTTATACTGAAATTTCAAATGATACTATTTTAACACTGAATAATGAATAATGAACAGTAATAAAAAAAAAAAAAAAAAAAAAAAAAAAAAAAAAAAAAAAGCTCAATAAGTATTATTTTCTTTCTTTCTTTCTTTATTTATTTTTTGTAAATGTAATAGTAAATGAGATATTATACACATGCAGTTGCTCTTTTTTTTTTTTTTTTTTTTTTTTTTAACTTAAGAAATTATAAATCATGAAAGTCTTTTCCAGTAATAGTTCTTTTCACATAACCAGCACGAATGACCCAATCACCAAAAGGTTCACCTTCATTTCTTTCTAAAGCATATTGTTTAATTAAGGGACCCACCTCTTTCAAAATACCTTCCTCCTGTAGATTTTCACGATAAAGCTTGTTTAGACGCTCACCCTTAGGACTACCGCCTAAATACATATTATAGGTGTTAGGAGCCTTTCCAACAAACGCAAGCTCAGCTAAATAAGGACGTGCACAACCATTTGGACAACCTGTCATACGGACAACAATCGAGTCTTCACGAAGGCCAGCTTCTTCCATCAATTCTTCGAGCTTTGTAATCAGTTGAGGTAAATAACGTTCAGATTCAGCCATAGCCAAACCACACGTTGGAAGCGCTACACAGGCCATAGAAGTTTTACGAATACCACTGAAAGGGAAATTATCCAACTTATATCTTGCCAAATGGGCCTTAGTCTTCTCAAGGTCGACCTCTGGTACATTACAGATAACCAAATGTTGATTAGGTGTTAAACGGAATCCACCTTTATGAAATTTAGCAAGCTCACGTAAACCAGTTTTACAAAGGAAATCAGGAGTATCCCTAACACGACCATTTTCAATGAACATTGTAAAGTTCCATGTATCGCCAACTCCTTTCGTCCAACCATAACAGTCAGTATTGTTTTCAAAATAAAAGGGTCTTGCTTCTTCAAACCTGACACCACTACGTTCTTCAATCTCCTTCTTAATGAAGTCAACACCAAGGTCGTCAATCGTATACTTGAAACGGGCATGTTTACGATTTACACGGTCACCATAATCACGTTGAGTAAGAACAACAGCTTCTGCTACCTTAGTTGCAGCTTCAGCAGGGATATAGCCAATAAGTGTAGCAGGGCGAGGATAAGTCTTGTTGTTACCATGTGTCTGACCCATACCACCACCAATAACAACATTATATCCAATGACTCTTTTAGTATCTTTATCTACAATAGCGATAAAGCCAAGATCATGAGCATAGACATCTACATCATTATTCGGAGGAACAGCAACAACAATCTTGAATTTTCTTGGTAAATAAGAAGGACCATAAAGGGGTTCAAAGTCTTGCACAGCATGCCCAGCGACCATGCTGTTATCTAACCAAATTTCATGATAGGCATTTGTTTTAGGAGCAAGTAGGTCCTTTAATTCCATGACAAATGATTGAACTTGCTCATGTATTTCAGGAATTTCAGTAATAGTAGTGCTCATGATATTACGATTCACATCACCACAGGCAGCCAGAGTTGAAAGTAAAGCCTTATTAATTTTTCGAATAGTGGTTCGTAAATTTTTCTTTAAAATACCGTGGAGCTGATACGTTTGACGAGTAGTTAACTTCATTGTTTTATTACCATACTTTTCTGAAAGTTCATCCATAACAAGCCATTGTTTAGATGTAGAGACGCCACCTGGAGTACGAACACGGACGAGGAAACTGTAGGCCCTTTCAAGTCCTAGTCTCTTACGTTCTTCTCGTAAATCACGATCATCTTGAACATAGGCTCCATGAAATTTCAATAACTTTTGAGTTATTTCAGTGACACCACCCGTAGAATTATCTACCAATTCTTGAGCAATATTACCACGAAGATAATTGGAATCAATCTTCATTTGATTATCGGTATAGACAGGTTCTTCATCACCTTCATTCATATCCTTAATACCAAGTGCCTTCCAAAGTTCAGGTTGCCAAGCTGCTAGACCAGTTTCAAAGCCATCCTCGTCTTGATCATCACCTAAACCCAAGGCAACAAATCTTGTTGCACCTAAATTCTCAAATTTAGCATCCAAAAGTTTACTTGGACGATTATAGAAAATAGAATCTTCTTCACGAGGCCAATAATGACTGTCACCCAAACCAAAGACAGTATAACGAAGATCAGAGAGGTTAATGTCACCAACAACTAATCCATTCAAGGCCTTCCAGAATTCACGAGCATTAGATGGCATCTCTCCTTGACCCGCAGTGGAACAGACGATAACAAGGTTAGTTTCATTAGCAAGTTCCTGAATATCTCCATAATCATCCATAGCCATTAGCGTGACTTGAAGCCCTTTTGATTTAGCACGAGTAGCAATCTTCTTCGCGACTCCTTCAGCATTACCATTATCAGAACCAAAAAGAACAGTAATAGGAGGCCCATTATCAGAACCCATACCAGATAACAAACGAGCATAGTCATCACGAGCCTTCTTTTTCAATTCATCATGACGTTTTTTGATATCCTTTTCATTAATAAAAATATATATTTATATCAGTTAAATAATCATTTTACAATTCCTATAATAATAACTTACAGATTCTAAAGAACTAACAAGAACATTTGAAATATCAGGATGACTTGAACTTAATTGAGTAAGAAGGTTTTCACGAGCCAAAAATTCTTCAAGTTGTTTCTTAATACATTGAGAATCTAAAGTAAATACTTCTTGACCTGTCTTTTCCAAAGCAGGATTCCAACGATATAATGGCCAAGATCCATTATCAACACAGATCTTAGTTTCCTTCAAGGAAGCAATAGGATTTATTTCTGTATCAGAGAATTGAGGTAAATAGGCAAGCACGATAGAGGGTCCCTGATAGGCATCAGCTTCCATAAGAGCCTGTAAGACACCGGTATAAGAAGCATACAAGGCAACAGAGGCAACATAGATGTTACCAAAGTTCATAGCATAGAGACCAATGTCTTTCTTGCGCTTCTCTCGTTCAACTTCGCTTGAATAAGGCGTTGTATCCACAATTAAAAGATTCATGTTTTCTCCAGAAGTGATTACATGTTGGATACCAGATTGACCGAAATCATAAGCCCAAGAATCAGAACCAATAAGCCAATTTGAAGTGGTATACAAAAGATTTCTCTTATTCAAGATGGTTTGAGCAATAGATGATTCATTCACAATTGGTGTCAATACCTTGATAACCAAATCAGAAGCCTCTTGTACCTTTTGAACCTTGGATTGAGGAGAATTAACTTGAAGAAGCCATTGGGAAAAAATTTTGACAATATCTAAAGGAAGATCTCCATTATGAATGGCATCCATCACATAGTCAACTAATCGGGTACGTTCTTGAATTTGATTCAACAGACGACCATATCCAAACTCAGGCGTAGCAGAATTAGGAAGAAGGTCATCAGGTGACCAGATAGAGAGGGACCTGTAAGCATTAGCAATAACCAAGCGAGAACCAAAGACTTGATCAAGCATCTTAAGATAAGGTTCTTCAATAGATATAGTCACATGAGTTTTTTTATCTGGAGAGGTAAGACTTTCTTCAACATAAGAAAAGCTTTGTTCATTAGCCCAGGAATCAGGTACACGGATTGTTGAGAACTTGCCATGCCTAATTACATCCGATAAACTATTACTTTTGAAAAATAAGTGAATATCTTCAACTAAAAGAAGATTAGCTTGCATTTCATATGCTGCCTTCTTGACACCAGCCGGAAGAGAAGAGACATCACGTTCCACAATAATAAAACCTTCATGAATTAAGGATTTGATAGCTTCAACAGCAGCCTTTTCATCATGTTTATTTAAATGAGAAGAAGTTAAAACAACAGCATCAGCAATCTGAATTAAAGAAGGTAATAGGGAGCCAGATTCTAAATTAGCGAGGCGGACATGAGTACTAGATCCAACAGTATATAACTGAATCATTTTCTTTCCAACTTGACGAGAAACAAAGGACATAGCGAGTGAAGAGCTTCCGATAAAGATAGCTTGTTCAGTCAACTGAGGTAAAACCTGTAGTGATTTATTGAAATCAGTAGAGAGAGAAGAGACTTCAAAATAACGACTCAAGCTACCAGAGACTAAGCCATTCACAATAGAGCAAACGGATTCAGGAGTAAAATCATTATCATGAACACCATATTGGCCACTAACAAAATCTACATTTTCTTTTTCTACTGATTGATATGTAGCAACAATATCTAAAAAGAGCGGGTTCCAAGTGGATGTATAATCATCCGTAGGCTCAAGAACAGCAATACGTTGGACTGTATCAGGTAATGAGTTCAGGAGGGCTCTGCTAGACCAAGGACGATAGAGACGAATTTTTAAAGAACCTACTTTTAGTTTAGGATCAAGCTGACTCAAAGCCTTTAGAGTTTGTTCAACAACAGTAGCACCTGCACCCATGGAGACAATAACAAAATTAGCTTCAGGATGGCCAGAGTATTCCAAAGGAGCATAAGATCTTCCAGTCATTTTTGTTACCTCACTAGCTATTCTTTCATATACTGTATAGAGATCCTCTTCTTTGACTTTCTTTTCGTCTTCTTCTGTGCTTACATTGGCTTTATATTGAAGATAGGTAGACTGTTGAAACAGAGATGGTAAAGATTTGTTTTTGATCTTTTCATCCACTAATTCTTTAGGAATAAGTTTGAGTAAAGTTTCATTGTCAAGTGTTTGAATGGAAGTATATTCTTGAGAAATTCTTTTGCTATCAAAGAAGTGTAAAAATGGTGTAGCTGTCAAAAGTGAAACCAATTGTGCAACTAAAGATAAATCATAAGTTTCTTGAACAGTAGAAGAACTTAAGAGAGCTAAACCACTTTGCCTCACTGACATAATTTGAGTAAAATCAGCAAATACAGAGGAGCTTGCAGAATGTTCAGCAGCTACATGAAGAACCACACTTGAATTGTCATTAGCCAATTTATACAAATAAGGAATGGCAGCTAATAAAGACTGAGAAGACAATAAAGCTGTTGTAACTTGTCGATCCGCAATTGAAGTAACAACTTGAGATAAAGGATCATTGAAAGGATCAAGTTGGATGACTTTAACTTCTTGATCCCACAAGTTTGTCTGAGTGATTAGTGAGATTTCAGAATTGTCGCATGCATAAACATGTTCATTTAATGTTTGAGCAAGACTTGACACTGCCTCTCTTCCATTTAGAACTCTGAACATACCTGACTCTAGTAAGTTTAATTATATTTGATATAAAAGAATTAGAAAAACTGTGTATGAAAACTTATTAATGAAAGTAAAGCATTAAATATATTCATACATATAAGTATATTTATATGTATATAAATATATATAAAACTGATTATATAAGTAAAACAGGGAAAAAAAAATTGATTTTGACAAAAACTGGAGTTGTAGCACACAATTTTCAAGATAAACTATTGGCTGATGAACCCTTCTTCTCAGTTTAATTGAGCTCCTGGAAAACCATTAGCAAATGAAAAAAAAATATATATATATAACGGTCTGACTTTTTATTAACAAAATATACATAGTCTAAGTAAAAAAAAAAAAAAAAAAAAGAGAAAAAAATTAACGTATTATGGTAACTGATGGTGGGAATATTATTTCCTTGTTTTTACATATTTGGTATTATTCTTCCATGAATTATTTAACATAATACAATCATCCTTAATACTATTAGGTTTGTTAAAAGTTTCCTTTTTGGGAAGTTGGTTGCCATTTGGGATCTTCACAATATATTTAAAGGGGCGACCGTTAATCTCGGTTGTAAATGATAAAAATCCATTTGATACAACATAAGCCGGTTCTGTTGACAGATTAGAAGTAGCAGTGTCAAGAGTGTTTTTCTTTTGCTTTGCTGGGTAATTTTGATCTGCTTGTATTGTTACTTTATTCGTCATCATCTTTTGATATTTATTAATTTCCAACTGTAAATATTCTAACTGAATTCTATTGACACTTATTGCCTGTTTCAATTGACGAATTTCTTCGTCTTTTTCAGTCATTGATTGATTTAAATTATAGATTTTAATTTTATCATCCGACGACGACTCTAATTTTAAGCGAAGATTAAAATATTTAGATTGTAATTCTTCGTATTTTTCTGCCCATTCCTCGGTTATTTTCTTTATTTCATCCTCTGATTCCATCATATCAGCCCAATTACTAATAGATTGTGATTTTTGATTATCAACAGTGGAATCATGATGATGACAATTTGTAATATTTTTTGCTGTTGAATGATGATCCTTTTCTTGTTTGTTACTATGGATAAGTGATTCTGTATCTATATGCTTGCATCCAAGTTGTTTTAATTCAATATTTTGCTTTTTTATTATTTCTTCATAAGTACATGTCCTTTTACTTAGTTCTTTTAACTGCTTTTTTAATTGTTTATTTTGAATTTCAAGAGACATGATTTTATTAGCTTGATCACTTGGCTTGGTGATCTGTTCTTCTATATTATGTTGCTTATGTTCCAAGTCAAATAACGGTTGTCGAACTTGATCATGCTTTGTTTTAGACAAATTTGATCCATTTTCTAGAATAAACATATTACTTTCTTCTAAAGTAACGCTCTTGGTTGAGGAACAAAGTGAAGGAGAATGAGTGGATTCCAACATAAAGTTTCTTTGAATATCTGCTTGTGTTTCTATCAGTCGTTCCGTGATAGTTTCAGTAAAGCTTATCATCTCCTTTCTTTGCTCTTCCCAAATTCGACGCGCATCCAAATGACTTTCTGATATTTTCCAAGTAATCTGGGCAAGATGTGCTTTCATAAGATCGTCCATTTTATGAAGTAGTCCATATTCAATACGTTTACTATTCACATCTTCATTTTCTTCTTGAATTGTTAATCTATTCTCTTCATCTCGCTCATGTGATGTATGCGGTGCAAGTGAATATGATAAAGAATTTGATGGTAGCTAAATATATAGGAAGAGTAAGATGCGGAAGGAAAAAGATAGGTTATCGATCAATCAACATATGTTATTATTCTTACATACAGTAGAAACTTCACTTAATTTCCTTAACACCATAAATCTTGGGCTAACAGCACTATGATTATTGTTATTATTATCTTTTGAACAACCATCAATCATAGATAATGCTTTTCTCTCTTTCTTTGATGACAAAAATAGAGAAGTTGAAGCATCCATTGTGTTTTTTGAAAGCCTATGTGCTTTAAAGGAACGTGAAGGAGGACATAGAGCATTAAATGAATTCATTTCTTGTGATGAACAATGTTCACTAAACGAATATTTTCTTTCACGAGAATTGTTTTCTAATACAGTTTTTAAATATCCTAAAATAAATAAATAAATGTGTGTTTGTAAAGACAAATTTTTGATTGAAGATACCTTGTCTATGAACTTCATCATCTTCAAAAATCGGTGTGGTTGGATGACAGCTAATGTCTAAAGAATAATCCATTCTTTTTATGTTCAGTTCTTGTGAATTCTATTAAACAATACAATGGCAATATATATTATAATAAGTTGAATGGAATACATTATGCATCTGAATGATGGATCTACCTCATTTGTTAACGTTAAACCATTATCTTCTTTTTTGTCATTTTTATTTTTTGTATATGATAAATCATTGGATTTCTTATTATGAACATAAGAAAGAAAAAAAAATAAGTTGTTTGTCAAAAAAAAAAAAAAAAAAAAAAAAAAAAAAAGAATTCGTTCAAAACACTAACCAAATTGGGAACTTTAATGTTAGGTATTTCATTACTTTTGACAATCATTCGTGACGTCTTTTGATAAATTAAAATGATGTTTTAACGAGTTGATTTTAGGAGTTAAAGTAAATTATTTTTAAGGTGAATAAACCAAATATATAATATTATTAAATCAAAAAGAACAAGAAGAACACATATAATATAACATCCCATTATTTTTTTTTTATTTTGTGTTCTTATTAAAAGTTATTTTCTTAGTTTCAAAAAAAAAATGGTAGATCAACAATAATAAGAATTACTATGGTTACACGCCTTATAAATCGTTATTTTGTAGCAATAGAAAACGTGGTTGCTAGATTGAGTTGTACATAATTTAAATTAGTTATCATATACTGTATTTTTCGAAATTATTCGCGCACTTTTTAAAAATACTTTCAAGCACTAACCAAAATAAATTTTAAGCACTTGTCCAAAATAAATTCAAGTACTTGACAAAATAAATTTCAAGCATTATTAAAAAAAAAATCGAGCACTAACGGAATAAAAATTGATGCATAAGATATCTTCATTAATTTGAGTTTTTATTTAAACAGTCTTCAAATCTCGACACTGAATGCCTGCAAAATCCTTGGAGGTCGCTTACGAGCACATTGTTGCAAGCTTCTCTGATATTCTCAGACAACGTTTCTTCTTCAAGTAGTATTTCCCTCTTGACTTTACTCTTGCAAACAGACCAGAACTGTTTAATTGAATTTAGTTTAGGTGAGTAAGGAGGGGGAGAGAGATAAATGCAGCCGTAACTATGAGCCTCAATATACTTTCGAATGCCAGCGTGATTATGAATAGGACAGTTGCCCATTATCAGATAATGTCCCTTAAACTTTTCATAATTTCTATCGTGCTAGCGATAAAAATTGAAGTAATTACCAGTTACTGTACCCACCTTTTCTTGTCTCTGGCTTCTTGACAACCCCACCTAAAGCCTTTCTTTTCTTTTCTTTTCTTTTTTTTTTTCGATGGTGCTGTGACCTTTTGGAATCTTTAACTGTACATTTATTACACTAGGGGCTATGATAGTACGTGACTTTGCCTTTGTAACATTGAACATTTTTCAAATTTATTGATAATTATCCTTCGTTAGTAGTATAAAGTTTAACTAACTTATGAACTAATTCAGTCATTTGTTAAAGACCAAAATATAAAGGAAAAAAAAAACCTTCCTTCTGTATACTTTAATACCGTGTAAATGATAAAAGGAACTATTCTCTCAGATGCGTAGATTAATTGAGTGTGTGCCATTTAAAAAAGTCATGATTTCAAAAGTTAATTTGCATCAACATGGACTAGATGAGTAAGTTTAAACTTGACTAGTTTGTATTGAACAAGAAAGATATTTTTCTTTTTCTTTTTTCTTTACATGTAAAGATAGAAACCAGTAACATGAGCAAAAGTGTATTAATACTTTATTTAAATATTTTTTTCCACTTACAAGCTATTCGTCATTGATAATAAAGAAGTGTATATTTGATTCATGATGAATTTATCAGTCCATAAACATTTTTTCCATGTGTATATGTATACATTAATAAAGAAGAAGTTATCTATCCAGCTATACACTACACATCTTTATTATTATTATTATTATTATTATTATGTTGAGTACATATTCAAGAAATACATTAAAGAAAATTCACACTTTTAAATAATATTTAGGAAATAATAGATTTTATTACAATTATACAGTTTATAAGCAATAATATATATTTTATATATAAAAGAGAGCTAAAAAGTAAAAGTTAGTTAGTAAGAACATTATTTTATAAAAAAATAAAATAAAAAGTCAATAAAAAGCCAATTGAACATTCAGGTCTAAAATATGGGGTGGAGGGTCTAAAATATAACATTATGGAGAGATAATACTAGAATGACGATTGTTGAGACCAAGTTGCTGAAGAGACCCATTTGTTGCACCCAGCCCGGTGGGGATATAGAGACGCCTACCCTCTACCTATTACCCATCAGTAAAGGGTAGAATGATATACTAGTTGCCCACCTTCACATCTACCTGTCAATGTGTCCCGCATAGATAGAGATATATTTATATGTATATCGTCATCATTATGTTCAAGTCTATGGTTTTTAAAGAAGAAGAAGAAGAAGAAGAAAGATAATAAGATAAGAGAATAAATAACAAGAAGAAGAAGAATAATAAGAGAATAAATAGAGAAGAAGAAGGATAATAGTAAGAAAAGATAATAAAGAAGAAGAAGGATAATAGGGAAGAAAGAGGAATTTTGTTTGAAAAATAAGGCGTGTTTATATCCTTTTTTTTTTTTTTTTTTTTTTTTTTTTTAGCTTAGCTTACTTTTTTTAAGGAGAGAAAATGTAGAGTAAGTGTATTAAAATATACGTGTGATTAATTATGAAAATCATGCATTGTATAAATTTTTTTTTAAAAAAAAAGCTAAAATTATTATGTGTACTACTGCAGTCTAAAGAAGGAATATGTTTCATCAAAAAAAAGTAAATAAATATTAATTATAATTTGTATTCTATACAATTAACTAACTACTCTTCTGTAATAAAACAAAGCATTGAACATTTTATATCTTTTTTATCTTCTTGTTCATGTATACATTATTATAAGCAAAGCATAAAATATACCTTTTCAAAAAAGGAGAAGATAAGGAAAAAAATGTAGTAATTAAAAAAGATAAACAAAGGAGAAAGTAGGAATTCAAAAGAGGAAACATGTATACAATATGTAAATAAAGAAAGGAGCCTAGGGCGTTTTTTTTTCTTAATCAAGAAGAAGGATCAGCACGAATATATTCTCATATCATATCATGCATATTGTTCTATTAATATATTATTTTAGGTTAACCATATGGCGTATAATATTACTATACTATTTAGAAAGTAGCGTGTAACAAACAACAATAAGCAAAATCTAGAGTGTACATAAGCTAATGTTATCTTATCTTTATACTACATAGTATAGCATAGTATAATATAGTACAGTGCAGTATAGTATAGTATAGTGTATATATAATAACTGTATTATAATATTATCATTTTATATACAAGGAAATCAACTTAAATATTTCCATAGACCCTAATTTAGTAGGGAACAAGATAAAGACGTATATGAACAATCTAAACATATAAGCCTAATTGTTTATTTAATTTATGATACATATAGGTCATATAGTAAATTATTATGATTTACTATACGCAGCAATGTAAATACTGAGGATAAGAAAAGTGTGCATATATTTTTTTTTGCTTATTTCTTGTGTTCCCTCACGCAGATTAAAAAAATAGGGGGGAGAGAGAGGAAACACAAGAAATTAGCAAAAAAAAAAAAAAAAAAAAAAAAAAAAAAAAAAAAAAAAAAAAAAAAACTGGTTGTTTGAAGTTCAATTCGTGGATTGTGAGAGGGTCATTTCATACTTTATTTTAAATAAAAATATTAGGTATTAAATTGGAATATGATTCAAACAATTATTAAACTGGTTCTTTGAATGTTGAATTATATTTTCAAAATGTTGAATAGGAACTTCATTCGCAGCACCAACAATTCTTCTTTCTTGCAGGGTTTCGGTATCTTCAAGCTTTTCACGTCTAACTTTACGTTTAATTAACGCCCAAAATTGCTCGATGAGGTTAAGCTCTGGCGAATATGGAGGAAGATACACGCACTTATAGTTGTTATAGAACAAGCTCTGGATATAATCATAAGTAATATTATAGTAAATGAATTACATAATAAAGGATAAACTGTAAGCCTGAATATGAAATAAAACTCTGTATATAACATCTTGTAAATAATACAAAACTTGTTGACATCCAATAGTCTAGATGTATCAATTATAAGACTTTGTATCATTTCTAAATATTTATTTTTATAACCTTGACAAAGGATTCAGGTCGTCTTTGATCTAATAAAATAAAACTACAAAAAATATCAGGAACATATACTCAGATTGTATAATAAATTTTTTATTTAAAACTTAATCAGATCAGTCTCTTGAATCAACAAGACGTGTATAGATGAATACTAACATTGTTCCATGACTCTTGTTCTTTTCTAGTTATTTTATTTCTTTGATTCAGGATTCATTAGTATAAATACTAGCAGTAGTTGTATAGACACGAAATAGCCTTTAGGTCATTCTTTTTGCACTGAATAAACAAGTCTCAAACTATACTTCCTTCTGTTCTCTTTCTCTTTCTTTTCTTCTGTAAGTCATACCATCACACTTACCACGCACATTATTTGAACTCACACTACTGTTATAATTTTTGTCAATTATCCTCATATGTGTGATAAGCGACTTTAATAACTTTACCCAATATAGGATTATCTATATCAATTACATCTATTATACGGATTTTAGCTTCGTGCTGATTGGAGACTAGCAATTAAGAACTTGTCAAAAGCTTCAGCACCCATCATATTAGAGATATCCAATTTTAATTTTTAGAGACTTATGTATACATTAATCAGAAATGAATGATATTTGCTTTAACATTAGAATTCGTTCTGAAAACATCAAAAATCAAAATTGCCTTTTTTTTTGTGACTTAGAATACGTCCATAGCTCTCATTTTAACAATATATAGCCTCGATCCATAGGTTCTTTGTCTTATATAACCAAGTTTTGGTATTAAATATTTATCGTAGAATTCACTAAGGTGGTAGCAGATTTGCCTGTTTGATCATTGTCACAACTTCTAAAGGTTTTTTAGCTCTCTACATTTCTTACCCAACTACCAATGTTAAAATGATTCATATATCTTCTATCATTTTTATCAGCTTTGGCCACTAAGTCAATATCCTTAATATCCTTCCTTATTAGAGTAATTATTTTTAATGTTGGATAGCTTATGTGATGTATCAGCTATAACAAGTCTGCCATCAGTTTCATATTATTTTTTGCGCTATCAGTCCTTCGTTGTGTTCTCATCATTAAAAATTTGCTATTTATATTATATTATATTGTTGTTGTTATTATTATTAATATAATATTCGCCTTCATATTATTATTATTTTCGTCTATTACTGATGAGTCTATTGCCTCGCCTCTGAATTAACATTTTTTTTCTTTATCCCAAAACTGTGTTCTATAAAAAGTTGTGTGCTTATTTTTGCCATACAGGATGTTTTTTTTTTATGATAACTTATTCTTTCATGTTTTTTTATGTACGTCGTTGTTTTTTAATTTGTAAAATTTAATAATATTTTCTTCGTTTGTCAATTCTTTACATAATATTTCTTCTAGTTCAAGTCTTTGTGTATAACCACACAAGTAGTTTATACTATTTCCTTACTGTTACATATTATAATTTACAAGTATTCTGTAACCACAACAAGTATGACAGTGGTTCTAAATAAATAATGTGTAACTTTTTATAGCAATTGTACTACACAATACGTGTTAACTTTAGAGTCCATCCTCCCTTCTTTTTCATTTTTTTTTATTTTATATGAGAAAAAAAAATTATTGAAGAGGAAGTCCTTTGTAGTGTAGAGGTGGATTAGATTCTGTTCTTGTTTGCTTCTACTACAGCCGTGTTACTCCCAGGAATTCTCTCAATGCTGCGGGCTTTCCTCTCTTGCATGGTAGGAAATTACCCCGCGATTTAACAACATCTTTTTATCGACCTCCATTTGAAGGCCTGGTGTTGAACATTGGATCCTGGAAGGTAGCATGTTATCATCAAAGCTCAGAACTAACCCCGATTTTATTATTTAATCACTCCCATCTACAGCTAACAAAGTTCATCTCTCCATGATCGCCGCTTGGCCAACAGAAAGGCGCTGCCCTTTCCGATCAAGTTGTTTTATTTACCTCAATTTTTTTGTTTATAAACCCAAACTTTTAGGTATAGTTGCCGAATTGTGGTATTCAGAAAAAAATAAAAAACATTTCCCTTTTATGCATGCATATGCTATAATCTTATATCATCAAACAATTTTTTTTTAATAAGAATTCAACGACCATCGAAATAAATAGGCATAGTCAGAGTCACTTACTCTTCCTTTATTAAATATTTAGATTTAAAGTACCTGGACAAATAGTATAAAGGAATGCGGCTTCAACTTATTTATGTATTATACTTCTTCATGTTTTATAAACTTAAGGAAGTTGGTACACTCTACTGACAATACTAAATAGGATTATTCTGTCGTAACTAATACTTTTCTAATGCATCTCTGACCATAGATATTCTTATATGAACACCTAATTGTTAAAATTATAGATAAAACTGTAGTATTACTTGTAAAATATCAAATAATACAAAGATAAAAGAAAGTCAAGAGTCAATAATTTTTATTTAGCTATTTGTAAGAATTGTTAAAGAAGTCTGAGGATAAGATGTGGATCAGAAAAGTGTTAGTTACGACTTGATAAGATATGTTAAAGATAATGAAGTGTTAGAAATTTTTAATATTATTTGATGAAGCGGATTAAGAGAGATTGAGGGGAATCCAGACAGAATTCCTTGATCCGCTTGTTTAATCAAGGAACATGACAGTTTTTTTTTTTTTTTTTTTTTTTTTTTTTTTTTTTTTTTTAATAAACAAAGTCATTGTATAGTACAATAGTTCCAAATAAGTTAAAGTAGTAAAATGTATATGATTTTCGTGATCAACTACACAACATATTTATTGTTTATTGAAGCTGATTAAAGACATTTGAGGAACAAAATCTCACCGAGTTATTAAACACCATGTCTGTTTTTCCTATAATTCGTTTACATTTTCAAAGTTCAAACAAAAAATCTGCTTTTTGTCAGATTATCAAAAAACTTTTATTTGAAAAATTAGATGGATTCTATTTCATAACATTTTATAATAAAGCACACAAATGTCAGTTGAACATTTATCTATGTGATCAATAAAAGAACATCATCTAACTCCAGTTCACTCTTACTTTAAAGTCGAAATGAATCAAGGTGCTCAGGTTGTTTATATACATTTGGAGTTGATATGACTTAAAAATGATAATATTGATACGATATATAGAATAGCATGTAAAAAATGAATACAATTTGTGGTTGGGCATGTATAATACGTATGATATTTTTGGAAATTGGAATACTTGTATTTGCTAATAACAATAGAGATTTTTTCCCTTTGAAGAGGCTTGAAGTCATTACTACCCATTTAATTGACTCAAAATGTACTCATAAACAGGTCCAGTTGTTCTGTTCAACCGAAAGTTTGACCAAACTAAAGCGTGACAGAGGGATCATTGGCACAGTAAAGGAACCTAAGGAAGTGTTTAAAGAAAATGAGTAGTTAGATATACTTGTTTTACTAACGCGAATTAACTTACTTGAATTGTTTTTCAGAGAAGCCAGCAGTGAAAAAAAAAAGAGATCGTCGGCCACTTTGCTCATACATGGTGGTACACTACAATAGGCACATGAAGAACAGAACCTCATATCATCATATAATGGTCAATATAATCAGATAACGATGTCTCTTTTTTTTTTTTCATCTAATCCTATACCAGTACCGCTGATCCCTCAGTAATGTCATCACTACCCGTTTAGTCGACTCAAAACGTACTCATAAACAGGTCCAGTTGTTCTGTTCAACCGAAAGTTTGACAAAACTAAAGCGTGACAGAGAGATCATTGGCACAGCAGAGGAACCTAAGGAAGCGTTTATAGTGCAATAAATAAAAAAACAAAATAAACGACGTAATCAGAAATTGTAGCTGCATTCCCAAGAATGTAAAGATGCAGCCTTTTTTAAAATTCAGCGACCAATAGAACTCGATAGAATTTTTTGCACTTCTTCGTAGAACTTTTTGACCTTTAATATACTTCGTGAGTTTTCAAGTCCCAAAACTTAGAGTCAAATTAGCCTTGCCTGCCTTGCCTTGGTCATTTGACGTATGGTAATATTAGGTTGAACTTGCTCCAAGAATCGTGGTATTTTGGTTTTAATACCAGCTTTTTTCTTTTTTTTTTAATGGCTATATAACGTTGATATTAAAAACGTATTTTTTTTTTTTTTACTTTTATATTTGAGTATTTCTTATAAGCCTTACAATTGATCTATTTTTTTTATTTTGTTTTTTTTTATTCTTCATGTTAACTACTAGATTCTATCATCACCTCCATTTCTGTTGCTTTTGTTTGTGATGAACTAGAAACAGAAGAGCTTCAATATCAGCCAAAAGAAACTGAAGCAACTGTTAAAGCGCTATATCGTTTTAGAGATTCTTTCTAATATTTTAAATCTCATCAAATCGAAGAGGAATCTAAAGATACTGTATGGAAACAGAAGAATTTGAACTTGGTTTTGTCTCGTCTACCTCCTGTGATTTGGACAGCTACCAAAAAAAAAAAAAAAAAAAAAAAAACTCTACTTCAGATTTAGACGGATAATAGCCTTTTTTTTATCCTGGTTTTGAAATGTCAAGTATCATTATATGGCAAAGTCTTTTTTTTTTTCTTTACTTGATGAATTCAAAGATATAAATAAACATAAATAATCTGTATATTTAAAGAAACATGACGGGAGAGAGGGAGAGAGTAATAAAGCAATGATTGGATAGGTATACAGGATTTATAAAATAAATCAACATTTGCTTATAATATTAGGAGCAGATATGTGTTCATTGGGTGATAAATCTTCTTCTGTTTTCACCATAACCAATTCCTTTCTTAATACATACGATTTTAAACCTAATGCTGATATTAAACCAACGGTAGCAAAGGCAAAAGAGCCCCAAAAGGACATTTTGATTGCATCCATATAGATAGTGGATACAATCGTTTGAGTTGGTTCAGGTAAGCTCCATAAATAGTCAGAGCTTTGACGAACAAGTTCAGGTATAACGTTCGGTAGATGAATCGAATTCAATCCCTTTGTTAATGTGTTGGATAAAATACTGCCCTGTGTTGTAATTCCTGTGATGCCTCCTACTTGATCACAAAACGTCATAAAGGCTACGATAGTGGGTACACTTTTTTTTGTTAATAATGAGGAGACAAGAAAAAAAAAAAAGATAATTCCATTATAATGAAACTTACTTTTCAATAGAAACTGAAGCTTGAGCGGTAATGATTTCACTGTTGATCATGCCTCCACTACCAATACCAGTAATTATCATAAGACCAACAATGAATCCTCGACTCGATTGAGGAGTTAGCATATTTAATAAACCACAAGCGATTACAAGAATAGAAAGCGAGGTGCGTGATGCCCAAGTATATTTACCAGATTTAACAATCGTAATACCTGTTAAAACATTAAAAATGCATGCGAATAGTACAAGACAAAGTAGTTCAAGATTACTAGCCATCGATTCTTCTTTACGAATGACTGTAAGGTATAAAGGAATGTAGGTCATCAATGATTGGAAACAACCTCCATAACAAAAAGCAGAGAACAAAATGAAGCATGTACTACGATTCGCTAATATGCCTCGGGGTATAATAGGGTCTTTAGCAAATTTATGTTCAAATAGAGCAAAAGCGAATAAAAGGACACCTGATATACATAAAAGAACAATAATGACAGTTGAATTCCAATCATAGGTTGATCCGCCCCAGCTGAGAGCTAACACAAGACAAACTACACTTATTGACCAAAGGAGAATACCATATAAATCGATATGTGTTAATTGATGATACATAGTATGATAAGATTGAAGATGATTTTCTATTGAAATGAAGATAAGAAGAAGTGCTATTATAGAACTTTTTAGGCAAAAAAAAAAAAAAAAAGTTGTATTGTTATTTCCATTTTTTTTTCTTATGCAAGTTAAATCCCATATTTTATAAACAACACTTACAAGCCAAGCTAATACAAAATAATTAATAATTAGAACTTCACTTGGGAACAATGGGTTAATTACTTACTGCCATCCAAAATACAATTCTCCAACCTGCTTTAGATGTTGCAACTCCACCTATTTACAACATAAATCATTAAAAGCCTTAAAAAAAAGGGGGGGTTATTTATTACCTAAAAGTGCACCTACAATATAACCCAGTCCCCAAGATATACCAAGCATGGACTGATACATACCAATATAACGTACGGGTATGTAATCTATTAGATCGAATTTAACCATACATCTAGTGTTATTTTTTTTATTTATTCTATTTTTTTTTTATTTATTTATTTATTTTTTTATTTACACTACCTGCTACTATAATTTTCATTAATGTATCAAATGCACCAATGCCTAACCCACAGAATGCTCTAGCAATAATGAACATGATCATTGACTGAGCTGCACCACATAATATAATGCCAAATAAATAACTAGCTGTTGCAAACAAGAGACATATTTTCCTTCCAACAATATCAGCACATTTTCCATATATAGGCTGTGATGTTGAAGCTGTTAATAAAAAGGCCTAATGTTTTATATAGATATATTAGTTGGAAAAAAAAAAAAAAGATAAAAATAAAGATAAAAATAAAAAATAGCTTACTGTATTCACCCAGCTATATAAACTAAATCCATTAAATTCTATCATTAATTCAAAGTAAAAAGGAAATAAATATAACATATAACATAGAATCATCATTGTTTTATATATACCAGCAGCAACAAGAGGTGTATTACTTGCTACAATAATATTATCAAATGCAGCTATAAATGAAATAACACATAAACTATTATTTAAAAATATTAATCCGAGTATTAACAAAAAAAAATTTTTTTTTCTTCTTTTCTTAGATAAAAATAGATGTATTTATTACGATAGAATGATTAGATAAAGCTTTTTCTTAGTAGTAATGGGTAAAGATGTTTTGGACTCAGCATCTTGGTTTTTAGTTGCTTCAGTATGATCTCTAGAAATTAGATCTTTAAATTTTAACATTAATGATCTTTATTAAAGAAGAAGAGGAGGGCGGACGGGGAGAAAATAATAATAAATAAAAAGAGAGGAGAGAACAAATCAATACTGAGTTTAAATATATTAATAAGAGAGAAAGAGGGAGAGAGAGAAAAAAAAAAAAAAAAAGGGCGTCTAAGGGGTGGTGGTAATATTAAATGACATTTTGTATTTTTTTATTTATTTATTTAAACAAGACTTGTCAAGAAGAACGTAATTTAATCCATATTTTTTTAGATAAAGAAGAAGGAGAATATTTACAAATACAGTACACGTATGCTATCTACGAACATCGTAAAAAGTAATAATAACTCTTTATCAATGATGGGTGTAAACTTGATTATAGAAATTTTATTCTCAATGTAATATTGGATAGCTTAAATTATGTTGTGCATGGTGGAAGAAGAAGAGATTTAATAAAATACTTGATAAGATATATCCATAAAAAAATTTTTTTTTCTTTTTGACTGACATTTAAAAACCAAAAAAAAAAAAACTGTGTAACACCGTATAATTAAACCCTGATAGTAATTATAAGGGCCCTAGTGATAATTTTTTTTAGAAGATCTTGTTCAATGTTTATAGGAGGAAATAATCATATCTGTCTCTTTTTTTTTGTTTCTTAAATACTAATCAAGTCTTTTATTTTTTTTATTTTAATAAACTAATTAAATAAGTTTGTTAAAGAATGTAATAACATGTATGTACAAAAAAAATTTTTTTTTCTTGTTCTTATTCTTTATATTATGTAATACCTATCATAATAATAAGATGGATATAATAAACTCAGATTTTTCTTATAAATTAGGCCATAAAAGTTTTGGTTTTATTCGTTGATAAAAATCCGGGGAAAGTCGGGGGAGCAAATTATCTATAATCATTTATCGGCCTGAAGAAAACAAATCCCCTACACCACAATGTTAATTATACAGGCATCTTATTGGTAAATTCTCTTTCTTTATCTGACAAACGAATACCACAATAACAGCTATTATTTTTTTCTATTCGCTCTTTTAAATGAGTTTTTTTTTTATCAATTCAATTATCAGTCTATTATTATTGGAAAAGAATACAAATAAATGAATTCTTATTTTTTTTTCAGTTAATTATTTGAGTGAATAAGAAATACATCAAACTTAATTTATTTTTTTTGTAAGATATTATTAACAAGAGTGTAACGTGATATATACTTTGATTACTTAAAATAGCATAGTGAAGAAGATATGCCCATGTTACTAAAAATAAATGACTGTTTTGTTTCAGAATATTATAGAAGAAAAAAAAACGATTTATTTATTTTTTTTTTTACTACCCCACAAATAGATGTACATATTCTCATGAATGCTAACGTAGTTTAGTATAATATATTCTGGTTGTACTACATAGAGATAACAATAACTAAAAAAGAAAAAGAAAAAGATCCTCGTGTAACAACCATGAGGATAATACAGTATAAAAACTCAGTGATATCCTTTTTTGGCTTAATCTTTATTTTATTTTTTTTTCATCTATCTTTCCGTTAATGATCTCCTTTATATATATAAATAGTGTTGCAAGATATACACAACTAAAAAAAGAAAAAAAATAGGATAGACGAGTACTTTATTGTACACAAAATCAAGCTGATTATAACAACAACGATATACCCAATTATTGCCTAAACAGATATTATGAAGATGGAACTAAGAGTAAACTTCCATATATAGAGAGTTTGACTTATTTACTATCTCAGGTGATATAGAAGGTTATAGCGTTTCGCATTTGAAAAATACAAAAATTAGGTTGCTTAAAATATATATATATGTATATATATATGTCGCATACATAATTGTTAAAAATTAACAGGTGATAGTGTGCAAATCCATCCAAAAGATAACTGGACAGCTTGATTGCCAGTATCTGTATTCTTTATTATTATTATTGGGATGAAGTAATACCTTCTTTCAATATAGACTCTCTTTTTAACAATAGGCCCTACTTGTTCTATTGGGCTGAGTTCTGAAAAGTAGGGTGGCAAGCGCAAGAAAATACACTTGTGCAACTATTCTCTTTGATTGTCATAGAATTGTTTTGCCTGTACGTATTATCTATAAGTCAAATAACGTCCCTTTCATTTCGGATGATATTCATATCATGATTGAGTTGCTTGCGATATATATATAGATATATGCTGCTTTTTTTGTCACAAGCAAGCCCTTCTCTTCTTATTTTCTTTAAAAATGTGATGGACTTTCTCAAGTTGATCTTGATGAGATTTGGTTTTTTTTTTAAAAACAGAAATTGCTCCGAGGATGGAGATTGAATATACTCTCGTTGATATATTACTTTGAATTTAGCAGCCTCCTCCTCCCCTCCCCCTCCCTTTTTTTTTTAATTATGATTCATGAATAAAAGCACTGTGGCTCGTACAGTCGAGTCCTAACCTTTTCACCAGTGTCATCCATCCTACCATTTGAATGAAACAGCTTGTCCTTCAGTAGCCTCGTCTATTCAAATTTGTATTTTGTAGCTCAGGTTCCCACCTGGCAAAAAAAAAAAAAAAAAAAAAACTAGGGGTATTTTTTTTTTCTTTCTGTGGTTATTAGTTTTCAAAAAATAAAGGATGGAAGAAATAAAGTGTATGAAATTATAATTGGAAATGAGAGAACGGGAAGGTAGACGAACGTTGATGAAAGAGAGCTTCCTGTTCTGCGGTGAGAATAAGAGAGCACGCATAAAAAAAAAAAAGAATACAGATACTGGCAACCAAGCTGTCCAGTTATCTTTTGGATGGGTTTGTACACTATCACCCCGTTAAACATGTTGATGACTGTCCTAATTTTAAACAATTATGTATGCGGCATATATGTATGTATTTATATATATATTACCACCTTAATTGCCTTTTTTCCGATCCAATCCAATTGAAGAACGCTGTTCGAAAATGAAGGACGAGGTATGTTAAAGACCTCTTGGAAAGAATGAAAATCCTTGCTGACAGGATTGAAGAAGCCAGCCAAAACAGTTGCACCCAGAATACTGTTGCAGTTGAATTCCTCATTCACAAAACCATTTCCCTTTCCCTCCCTCACCTTCCACCAACTATTTAAACCTGAAAAGAATAGAACCGTCATGATTCCATTATACACATAATACATGTATATACATAAAAATATATATTTTTTTATTGACCTTATAGACATTTTATTAAGCAGCAGAAAATTTTACTGCTTGACAAAAAAAAAACTTTATTCAGTATGAAGATCTTTTATTGGGCTTTGATAAAAAAAAAGGTTTATTGGCAACCTAATTTTTTGTATTTTTCAAATGCGAAACCCTGTATTATTCCTTTTATAACTTTTACAAATCTATATTACCATCTTCCTTCTCCTTCTCCCCCTTTTATATTACGGATCTATCCGATTTTATTCCGATTTTACTCAACAAAAAAAAATTATATGAAAGTATTCATTTCAAGTTTTATTAGAAAGAAAAAAAAAAAGAAACAATAGAAACATATTCAATTTTTAGTAAGAAGCATTAGATAATAACGATAATAAGAAAAAATTAAAATAAAGAGGAAAGATATATACAGAATGGTATGATGATGAAAAATTAGATCCAAATCCAAATATTTTTTTTTTCAAGAAATAACAGCAGAGGGTGAAGTTGAATAGATATTATACATGGGATTAGTATGCGAGTTATAAAAACAATACTTGTTAATAAAGTCAGAATAGCTCATTTGGAATCCTTCAGTACCCATAGTAGGAGACGAGTTCATAGTAGTAGTAGTAGGAGTAGAAGAAGAAGAGATAATGGGAATAGGTTCAGTTACAGACGAATAAGAAAGATGATTTGACTTTATCAAGGGATAAGCTGTAGTAGCAGTAGTCATTTCAGGCTTTTTAGGTGTAACAGGAGTAGAAACAGTAGAGAAAAAGACAGGAGGGGTATAATTAAAGAGATCTGTATCTTCAGGAGTTCCAGGTGGAGAAGGTGGAGGAGAAAAGGGTTTACGTGCTGCAGATAATGAAGCAGTAAAATCATATCTTTTACCCAAAACCTTTATATTATCTTTTTGAATTGATTTTTCTTTTTCTTCTCTTTCTTTTCTATCTTCTTCTTCTTCTTCTTCTTTGATATCAGTTGTAGTATCTTGATGTTCATGATTAGGACTAATGATAATTTCATAATTCAAACCATTGTTGTTATCCCAAAATTCTTGATTATCTACAGTATACCTTAAAGCAAGATACAGGGTTTGGCAGGTATTTTTGGCTTCAAAGGGAATAGAAAAATCAAATCTATCCCAAGTATTAGATGTGCTTGGAATAGATTCACGGAAGACACCCGTTGTTTCTTCATACGAACGCCACAAGTCAAAGGTATAACGAATAGAGACCAGCTTATGAAAGGATAGATTAAATGCTCTACAACGACCTTGAATCACATGTTTATTTTCAGCCATTTGTTCACAACTTCCATCAGCCAATTGCACTGATTCCATACGAATCTTGGTATCTGAATTGTAAAAAAGACTGTTTCTTGAAGGCCAATTAGGTTGCAATAGTTTATAGTCATCTACTGTAGTGTTCATCAAGGGTGGGTCCTCCTTGACTGCATCTGGTGATTGTGTTTTATAGAAATAACGAACTTGTTCAAGTTGTTCATCATGAAAACGCACAGATTTCTTGGGTTTTGTGTTATAGTTATACTTTTGTTGTACAACAACGGGATCATTGATTTGAATTGTAGAGCGTTTTAATACAATTCTCTTTCTATTATAGGATGCATTATTCGTATTGTTATGCAAATGGCTTATGTAATAATGTGAAGATAATGCAGAGGTCATATTATTATATATATACAATTTATCTAAAATAACAATAATAATAAAAAGAAGAAGAAGGAAAAAAAAAAAAAGAAAAAGAAAAAAGAAATAGAAGGAATGATAACTAAAAAAGAAAAGAGGTAAGGAGATGAAAAAAAAAAAAAAAAAAGAAACTTTATATGTATTTATAAATTTCAAAAAAAATAAAATAAAAAGGAAATTTTAACTTGGAGAATGATGGGCTATTTATAAGATAAAATATTACAGAAAAACTACAAGATAAAGTTTACATTTCGTTTCACGAGTTTAAACTCCTAAACGATCTTTTTTTTTTTTTATCTACTGTCTGGACCGCTATCATCATTATTATTAATCGTTATCTCTTTATATAAAGTGTTACAAAACCAGAGGTTGTGTAGAAATTCCTTTTCTCCTTATCTATCATTTGCAATAGATAAAGTCTTTAGTACAATAGGAGTAGTTATTGAATCTTTTATTAATATCAAAAACGAGAAAAATCATTTATTAGAACATATATATATACAAATATGTCTATATCTGTGTATGTCTCTTTCTCTTTTTATATATATATAAATACATGTACTATTTATTCGAATTTTAAAATGGCGTCAAATACTTGAATGGTCCGAGTGTCGTTTGATAAGCATCTCCAGTTTCGAAACATATATTCACCTGTACAAAAAGTAACAAGTGTAATTCCCTTTTTTATTTTTTTTCTATCTATTTTAACAAAAAAAAAAAAAAAAAATCAGATTGTTGTTAAAAGTAATAATTCATCATTGCTGCGGAGAATGGAGGATTCTTCTTTGTTATCTTGATGAGCACTTTAGTTATTATACATAATTAACCCCTTTTTTTGTATTCCTTCTTTGGTCTCACCAATATTTTCCCGCCTTTTTCAAAATGCAATCTAAACGTTATTCTGTTAAACATTATAATAAAGACTATTGCATCATGCGAATCAATCTTAATATTTGTTTGTTATCAGCCTCAAGAAATAAAAAAAAGAAAAGAAAAAAAAAAAGAGGTAAAAGTAGTTCTTATTTCATTCTTATTATTTCCTTCTAATTATTTATAGTTACATTATATATTTTTTTGGGGGGAAAAGAATAATAAATAATAATAACAATAATGAAAGAGAATGAATGAGTTTCAAATGCAGGGCTTTTTGTGTGTGTGTGTGTGCGTGTGTGTGTATCCCAAAATCAATGCAAATGATAGTATGAAGAGATCAACGTAAAGATACGATTATATATTTAAGCATAAAACGCTACCGAATAGAGAAGAAAAGAAAAAAAAAAACTTTAAAATTAATATTTGAAACTAGCGTAAAGTAATTAAGATAATTCATGATAGAAACCTTTTTTTTTTCCATTCTATTTTAATGCAGTTTAGAACTTTGTTAATCCCAAAAAATAAAAAATAAATAAATAAAGGGGAAGGAGTCTAAACAGATGAAACGCTAACAAAAAAAAAGAATGATTCTAGTGTCTATATTTGTTTATTTTAATAGGAGAAAATAAACATATAAAAATGTATAAAAAGTGGAGAAATGTAATACCTACTTTAAATAGTAACTATGTATTATATAAACAACATAGTTAATAATTTTACCATCTTTTTTTTTTTTTTTTTTTCCTTTTATTTTTGTTCCTGACAGTCCCGAAGATAATATATCATACTTACTTCAAATAGAAGTATTATTTTTTTCCTTTTAATTTTCTATTCTATTATGGTTGAGTCGCCGATAAAGTTATAGTTTGTATAGCAATATTCTTACGACTTTTCCTTTGAAGAAACATGATACAATAAATTGTTTCGTATATTTTATGCAACAAATCAATTTACTTTTAATAATTAAAAAACAAATGAGTTTTTTTTTGTATTGTTGCTGTTATTATTATAAGCTGTAAAATACGATTCTTTATGATTATATTTCTTTATTTCAAAGATAAAAGAATGTGATTTATTTATTTATAAGTTGAAATATCATTGATTTTTTTTTTTATTTTATTCATAATATACACTTCTTTTACTCCGACTTAAATTTACTTGTTGAATACATATTATCCACCAAATATGTACATTTCTAGATGATAGGGAATATCTGGTACGATTAGTCTGTCTGTCACTCTTTCTTTTCCCCTTTTTATCATTTCTTTTACATGTATATATTTATTTATATATCAAAAATAGGCTACTTATTTGTACTTATCATAGCCACTCTTTCTCCCCAACAAAGAAGGATAGTGACTAAAAAAAAAAATAATTTTTTTCTTCATTATTAGTGTGTTTCCAATTAATCTAATCCTCAGGTAAAATAACAAAATAACCAGCATCCCATTGTTTTTTGTTTTTTTTTAAGAAAAAAAAAACTTGTTGTCTGGAAATAGATTCAAATTTATTCTGGAATTTACTATGATAATAAAGCAATTGTAATATTCTAGGAATAGTAAATAAATAAATAAACACACATATATTTTATATTTATTTATGCATGTAAGGATATTATATTGTCATAACCACGTTCTAAATAGCATGTTGAAGAGGATAAAACAAGTGATTATGTAAATATGAATGGATTCTATTTTTAAAAAAAAAATATGAGTGGTTATAAATTAGGTGGACCCTGCATAGCTTTTTCTATTATTTGGGGGGAGGGAGGAAGATTATGTATTTTACAAGAATTTAATCCAAGAAAAGGGAAAAAAAAAATTATTTTAATGCATCTTTTTCTTTTTTTAATTGCAAATCAATTGATTATTACCAACAAAGGATTTATTTCCCAAGTTTATAGGGGATGGGAGAAAGGCGGGAAATAATAGAATTTATTTTAGTAGTCATCATCATCTTTATTTCCTTCCTACTCGTTAGTATAAAGGAGTAGCTTGTTTCAATAACATAATACTTGCAACAACCTGCCAATCTATATCTGTTTTTTTTTCTCTCTTTCTTTTTCTCACAAATATTGAAAGGAAAAAAAATAAATGATGAACATGAACTATCATAGTTTTTTTTTTTTTTTTTTTTTTTTTTTTTTTTTTTTCCTTTTTTTTTTAGGGTTGATTGTCTCTTTTACTATGATGGATTCTTTGTATTGTTAACAAATAAAATAAGAATGCGATATTTATTATTATTATTATTCGTTATTATAACAGATGAAAATAAACATGAACGTACGTACGTATGTATGTATGTATGAATACATGTGTATGTATATGTGTGCGTGTATGTATGTGGTTTATTACATAAATAAATTTTCTACCATTATATATATTTGTATATATATGTCTTTATATGTATATATACACATATATATGATTATATATAAATATATGCAACAAGTATTTTGATTTAATTCAAGTCTGACATATCCAATTATGGTAATTCATCTCTTTCTTTTACAATTGGACATAATTGTTTGATATGTTTACTATCTGTGTGTGTGTGTGTGTGTGTGTGTTTTTTTTTGGTTATTATAATAAAGTATGTATGTATGTATGTATGTATGTATAACATACCTGTTGTAGCATGATTAGTAATCCATCCACGCTTTCTTCTTGATTTCTTTCTCAGTGAGTGTGGATTATTTTCTTCTTGTTGATAAGGAGAAGATAAAATTAATGGTAAAATACGTCTACGTGCATTAATAAACCAGTTACTAATTTGATTTAAAGTAAGATTGGTCTTTAATCGTAATCCACGTTTTTCTTCTTCAGTTGGATATGGATGTCTACTATGTTCTATTAACCACTGTTTTAAAATAGCTGTCACATTTTTGGGTAAGTTGCCTCTTCTCTTTCGACCATGATGACTTGTTGTTACAACAGTAGTAGTAGTAGTAGTAGCAGCAGCAGCAGTAGTAGTAGTAGCAGCAGCACCAGCATTAGTAGTGGTAGCTTTTGTTTTTAATTTTTTATTTTTATGAGCATCTTGAATCATTCTATCATCATTGTCTTTATCCTCTTCTGATTGACGTTTTTGATTCCATTTAGTAGTAGTAGTAGTGGCAGATGAACAAGATGATGAGTAATAAGGGGAAGGACTATTATTATAAATGGTCGAAGGTGGTGGTGTTTCAGGTGGTGACAGATTTTTTTGATGATGATGATTATAAATAATACTGTTCCAAAATTGTACATTCGTTTTAAGCATAGCATCCACTTTTTGTTTTTTTAATTCAATCACCTGACTATCACTGCAAATATCAGCTGTTGAATCATTAAAGAGAATGATAGGACTAAATATACGTATCTATTAAAATAATAAAGAATGATATGTTAATATATCTATTTTATCATCTAAATATATAATTTTTGTTAAATTATTATGTACTGTATTCTTCATAAGAAAGAAGCTTTTTTATTCCAGTAAAAGATAATTAAATAAAAGAAAAAGAATAGAAAAAGAGAAAGAAAAAGAAAAAGAAAAGAAAAAAAAAGAGACAGAGACAGAGGGAAAGAGAAAGAAAAGAAAGTGATGTAAATAAAATAAATGTAAAGCTATTTATATATGTGTCTATATTTTAGTAAGGGACGTGCATATATACATAAAAGATATCATTTGTTATAGTTTTGATCGGCAAAGGAAAAAAAAGTTGTTGTTGTTGTATTATCAATTAAGAACAAAACTTGAATGCTTTTCTATCTTAAAAACACACATTTTTATTTATTTATTTTATTTTATTTTATTTTTTGGCTGATTTTATAATGTATATAACAGATATTACCTGTCAAGAACGTGTAAAAAAAAAAAAAAAAAAAAAAAAAAAAAAAAAAAAAAAGAGAATATATATAAATATATACAAATATACATGTATATATTTCTGTCTGTCTATCTATCTATCTATTTTTGACATTTCCTTTTTATTTCTTTCAAGTAAAAGTGTTATTACATTCCTCTATATTCTAGTACATTGTTTGTTATCTGCATCTACCTTACAAATAAAGTTCGAAATTGAATAATAGAATTATCATCCTTATTACTTTAACCTGTTAGACAGTTTAATCGTTATTATTAAACAAAAAAAAAAGACTCTAAGGAGTAAAGAGGAGAAAATAAAGGGGGTTAAAAGAAACAAATAATAATTGATATACAAGCAAGATATAACTCTTTGACAGCCCAATTTTTATCCTTTATTTGTTTTGTTTTGTTTTGTTTTGTTTGAAATGTTCTAATTTCATTCCTTCAACTAATTGAATATAAACAGACAAAATGACCTTTTCTTTCAAACTACTTTTTTTTTCCTTTCTTTCTTTCTTTCTCTCCTTTTTAATTCTATTTTGACATGTCTCCTTTTTGATTATTAGAATAATTTTGACGTAGTTAATAATCAAATTGTCAAACTTTAAATTTTTATTATTATTATTATTATTATTATTATTATTATTATTATTTACTTTATTCTTGTTTGAAAATATGTCACACATTTTACATTACGTAATCCTTATTTTATTTTTATTTATTTATCAAAAGATGGTTGTTGTTGTCGTTGCTGTTGCTGCTTTAATTATGATTTAAGGTACCAGTAACAGGTGAGCTATTTTTGTTTCAGCCAATGATCTTCAACTATAAAATAACAACAGCCATCATTCATAGACCGACTGACAATGTCATTTTTATTTATTTATATATTTAGCCCTGTCTATTATTTCATATGTCCTGTTATTTTTTTTTGTTGACAATCCTTCTTTCTTCACTTTAGTATATATCATGATCGACAAAGATATCTTTTCTCTTCTTCTTCTTGGAGGACACTTTCTTTAGCTCGCTATTTTATTGAAAAAACCGGACAAAAAAAAAATACAACCAATGATATCCAGAAATGGATTTATTTGGGCTCAAACCCAATTTTTAAAAAACAAATGTTAAAGATTGCAAGCAATATTTTAGGATATGCGTATTTATACTTCACAAAAAGGATACGACCATGTTATTAGATAGACTCAAATCATCATTTATCTATTACTTCTTGTATCGTCATAAATACCAACGTTAATATTGATGAGGAAGAAGGAAAAAGACCTTCCTTCCTATCATTACTTGGGTAAAAGTGCTTCTCAACTTTTAGCAAAGCCTAATGCAGGAGGTACAAGTATTTATAGTGAAGCACTTTCAATTGAATTACTATCAAGTTAGATTATTAGGTATCCATTTATTCAAGACTGTGAAACTGAAGTGTGTATATCTGTATTCAGGAGGGAATCATGGTCCTATTATAGACTATGTATATCCATTATATCACTCCAAATGAGAAAGTAGTGACATTAGGTGTATCTGTAACAAGAGCTACGGCTTTATACAAAAAAATAGGAGGCTCTTCAACTCTTGACAAAGAAATTGAATGCATTGATTAAAATCAAGACAAGCCATGATTCATATTCATCTAGATTATTCTATTTTACATATTTGGATTAAATCGGGTAAAATTGCAACTCTAATTAGAAGAGTATGTTGTAAACTAATAAACGAATCAACATGAAAAAAAAAGAAACATTTAGAGATTCGATTATATTAATTTCTATTGTTAATCAAGATGTTTTATTTTTTAATAATAATCATTTCCTTTCAAGAATCAAGACAATAAATGATAACACTATTCCTATGTTTTTTTTCTTTACTGTTCTTCTTCATGATGGTCCATCTTTTGTTGCTGTTGTTTAATAAATAAAAATTCTTTATTGTTTAACAATTTATTCTAAAACTGTCAGCAACCCATCAGGGGATCAGAAAATTTTATAACTCCTCAACTAAAAGTCGCTTAAAGCTTTTATCGAAATAAAATAATAAAAAAAAAAAAAATAAAAAATAAAAAAAAAGTTCGATTTCGGTTATTTATTTAATTCTCTTTCTTCTTTTACTCACTCATTCTCCCTTCCTCTCTCTCTCTCTCTCTCTCTCTTTCTTTCTTTTTTTTCCCTATCTTATTTTATATAGCTTTTCGCTCACTACTTTTTATTTAATCATATCAAACATTATGTTGTTTCCAAAAGAAGCCCGTAAGGTCATTGCAGTTGACCTCGATCAAACATTAGCACATACATTAGAAAGTTTAGTTGAATGGCATAACGATACTTATTCTACACAACTTAGTGTTACTGACTTTAATACCTACGATTATTGGAAGATTTGGGGAGGTACAAGAGAGGAAAGTTATGTAAAAATCAGAGAATTTTATGAATCTGAATACTTTGATCAAATCAAACCTATTAGAGACTTTGCCTTGGAAAGTTTGAAAATGTTGAAGAAACGTCATTTTTCTTTAGTGATCATCACGTCTAGACAGCAATTTATTGCTGAAAGAACAAAACGATTTGTAGATAGACATTATCCAGGTAACGCACGTACCTATTTTTTTTTTCTGTGTGAGTGTGTGTGAGTGTGTGTGAGTGTATGTGAGTGTTTTTACACAAATATGTAAAAAATGAAAAATTGAAAAAAAAAAAATTGAAAAAATCCAAAAAAAAAGAAAAAAAAAAAAAAGATTTTTTCTCTTTATATCTTTATTTAATTAATTAATTTATTATTATTATTATTTTTTTTTCTCAAGGCATATTTGAAAGCATCTATTTTTGTAATTTAGGCTTAACGGATGCTGAACAATTAGAATATGTTTCAAAACCAAAGTCAATTATTTGTCAAGAGATTGGAGTAGATGTATTGATTGATGATTCTCTTGAACATGCACTTGACTGTTCCTCTTTGGGTATTGAAGTATTACTTTATGATCGAAATGGAGAATACATTTGGAATCATGAAGATAAAATGAAAAAGAAAAATCCTCGTTGTGCACACACACTTACTTCTACATCTAAAAGACTTTATCAACGTATTCCAACCAAGATATCAAAAAATATACATCGTATGACCAGTTGGACAGAAATTATAGCCCAGTTTCCAAAGCCAACAAGTCCGCTCCGTTACTGCACTTATCCACCAGATTCCTGTTCTGAAGAAGAAGAAGAGGAGGAGGAGGATAAAGCAGAAGAAGATCAATTATTTGATAAATCAAATTATTATGGATATGAAACTGTTGAAATAGAAGAAATGAGTGATGAGGAGGATGAATATCCAGTCTGGAAAGATAATCGAGTATGGACATAAAAAGCCTTTTCTTTTCATTTCTTCTGTAGATTATATAATCATAATAATAATGCATACCCCTTTCCTCGTTTATTTCTCTCTCTCTCTCTTTTTATGTATATTGTTTTCTGTTCCTTTTATTAGAATAAAATAGTGTTCATTGTTTATATGTAATATGCAAGCAGTTTTCTTAAATAGCATATAAAATTTATACTAGGAACAGGAGTACACTGACAATGACGTATAATGCTCAACTAATAAATTCTCTCTCTCTCTCTCACATGTTAAACTTTGATTGCATAGCAAGTGTTGCCATAAAAAGTATTCTTAATATTAAAAACGAGTTTACATAAAAGGAGAGGGGAAGGTCTTGTTGTAATCATATTGATCGATAAGGATAAGAAAAGAAGAAGAAAAGGAAATTCTTCTACTACCTTTTTTAATAATAATTACTGTTATTCTCGATGGTATTCAAGACATTATACCTTATTGTATCCTCATCATGAAGTCTTTTAATTTTAAATTTAGAAATTGCCTACTTTTTTTTATTCTAAAGAATAAAAATTGCAAGTATATTATGTTATGCAAAGAGGTTATGTCTGTAATTAAATCATTGTCTCTAGGATAAGAGAATAACATAATGGTAATAGTTAGTAGTAATAGTACTAATAGTAGTCGTGGTAGATCTGCTGTATAGAATAACTATTTTTGTCAGTACGAAGGGGTTTCCAATAAAGAAACCATCAATATGAGTTTAATATGAATGTGATATAAAGGCCTGTAAAACATGTTCAATCATCATTCTTACAAAAACCCAAGTACATGATAATAATAAAATCATGTACGTCGTTGTGATTGTTTAATAAAATATGAAAAATCTAAACTTGACAAAGAGATAATAACGCATACCACCTTACTATCTAGTAAAATATATGTATACAAACAGCCCTTGTTTGTCGTCATTAAAAGGATATTACCACCCACTTAACAACAAGAGTATATGATGAAATGACGTTTTTTTTTTATTATTATTTAATAATTGACTACCCTATTTCACTTGACTTGTTTCAAGTATGTCTAGTTTTCATTAAAGAATAAAGCTTATATTTGATAACATTGCATAACAATTGGTCTTTATGTGCACGTTCTATTTCGAATTTCTATTGGGTGAAATAAAGAGGGAAAGGAAGAAAAGTAGAAGAATAAAAAAAAAAAAAAAGTGACATTACGCAAAACCCTGTAAATATTAGGCTTTTGGTTTGTGTTGTGCTTTACGCTTTTTTTTTTTTCTTTATTTATTATTATTTTTTTGTGTTCAAATATAATATATTTAAATATTTTTATGAATATTTATAAACATTTACTTTTTTTTTTTTCACTTTTTCCTTTCCTTCTTTTTTTTTTTTTTTCTTTAACATTATTACCAATTTTGAAGCGGTTTCTTCCTTTTTTTTTTTTAATAATTTAAAATTACCTCCACCCCCTTTATTCATCATTTCCTTTTTTAGAACTTTCGTCACGTTTATCATTAGGATTTTAGTTTAGCAAGAAAAAAAAAAGAAAGAGAAAGAGAAAGAAAAAAAAAAAGAAAAGAAAAAGAAAGAACTCATGTCTTCACCTGTTCATCCACTTGATCAACTTGAACACAAGCAAAAAGAAGAATCATCATCTTCAATCTTACAATCATCTGTACCTGATCTCATGAACTTTTCTTCTTCAAATACCGCACAAACGTTGTCTTCTTCTTCTTCTTCGTCGTTACCACCTCCTCGTCATCATCAACAAAGAGCTTACTCTGTTACAGCCATGCCAAGTGAATTACAGAAATCAGTATTAAGACAACAGGAGGCTAGATATTTAGAAAGACTTCGTTATAATCAACCTTGGTGGCAATATTATTATCAATTATACCATTATCAGTTACCGCCCGGAAGAAAACCGACCGTTTTTGGTCCTTATTTACTTTTACAAACTTTAGGCGAAGGTGAATTTGGTAAAGTCAAATTTGGTATTGAAATTAAGACAGGACAAGAAGTAAAGTAATTCCTATTATAAGAATATATATATATATAATAAGCATACATATACACATTTCTTTTTCTCAATATGTATATATCGTTAGGCTGCTATCAAGTTAATTAGAAAAGATAGTATAGATTCTGCTTCACGTATGACTAAAGTGGAAAGAGAAATATCTGTGTTACGGGTAAAACAAAATAAAGAATTCAAAAAAAAATTCATTTGAATATACATACACACATATATATTCTATTATATATTCTACTATATACATATACATACATATACATATATTTGTATATATATATATATATGACGCTGGCTTATTGATACTCATTAGAATATGAATAGATCCTTAAACATCCCAATATTGTCGAATTAATAGATGTGATTGAAACAGAAAAATATATTGGTATCATCTTACAATGTGCTACAGGCGGTGAATTATTTGATTACATTCTCGCTCATCGCTATCTTAAAGAAAAGGATGCGAGTCGATTATTTGCTCAATTGATGAGTGGTGTATATTATATGCATCAAAAACATATTGTTCACAGAGATTTAAAATTGGTAAGCGAATCTATGCTATTGTGGCGTATGTGTGTATATATGCACAAATGCTAAAAATCAATGTAAATTTTAGGAAAATTTATTATTAGATAAAAATCGTAATGTGCTTATTACCGACTTTGGTTTTGCAAATCAGTTTGCTTCTGCCCAAGATGATTTAATGTCAACTTCATGTGGATCACCTTGCTATGCTGCACCTGAATTAGTGATGAATCATGGTGTCTATGTTGGCCCTGCTGTCGATATTTGGTCGTGTGGGGTCATCTTGTTTGCTATGCTCTGTGGTTATCTTCCTTATGATGATGATCCTGAAAATCCAGATAGTTATAATATTAATCTACTCTACAAATATATATTAAATACTCCGTTACTATTTCCTGACTATATCTCGGAAGAAGCTTGCCACTTGATGAGCCTCATGTTAGTGCCTGATCCTGAAAAGAGATGTACAATCGAGACAATCATGGATCATCCATGGCTAAAGAATCATAGGCATCTATTTATTCAGGTTGAAGAAGAAAAGGAGGGAAAGAAAAGGGTTCCGAATAGGCTGATAGATTCACAAGGAATGGAAGAGGATGATACATCTTTAGATCAAGAACAGAATAATGATACCATCCTAATAGAAAATAAACAAGAAGAGAATGAGGATCAACTGGCTGTTGTACCTGATATTGATAAACAGAATGAGATAACGAAGGTCGTTGCTGATGATGGTGATACAGATATGCTTCTTCAAGATCATGAAATAGGTTTTACAGAAGAATTATCGAGTGAAAATAATGATAAATCATCTATGGCTGTAGATGAACCGGCATTACCTTCTTTAACTATTTCATGTGAAAATAAGACAGATAAATCAAATGAACAAAGTTTTATCAGTGAAACCATAGTGCATAATAATAATATAACAGAAAAGGAAAAAGTAAACGTAAAAGACCATCCTGATTCGTTACTATTAACAGAGGAAACTCATTCTACTGAAAAGGTTCTTGATTCCCCTTCTGGTCAAAACGATGCGCATACTAAATCTACTACTGCTACTACTAATACTGCTACTGCTATTGCTACTGCTACTGCTACTGCTACTGCTACTACTGCTACTGTTGCTATTTCTGCAAGTAACACAATTAAAAATCGTACAAAGCACATGTCTTTAGCAACCGATACAAGTACATCCATTTTACAAGCTAAATTTTTGTCAAGTCTCAGTCATCGACGTAAAAATAATCAACAGCAAGAGGTGACACCTGTATGTTTACCTTTACTCAACATGAGTATAAGTACACCACATCCAACTACAAATAAAAAAACAAATAAACGTCAAGCTAGACTGAGTACTATCACACCACCTTCCTCTGTAACCACTACCACTACTACAAGAAGAAAGACACTTAGTCTATTTGTCAATTCAATGACAGATAATAGTAAAATCCCTTTTACGCATCGACGTCAAAGCAATCATATTCGTGCATCGACTCATGAAGAAAAGGGTCATTCTCAAATGACACCATCTATTTCTGAACACACGATTAATACGTCATTTACCGAAAAGGAAAAGCATAAAAGTGCTGGTAAAAAAATAATAGATTGGTTCAAGAAGAAGCCTTTAAGTAAGTTTATTTGTAGCATAAATATATACATGGAGCTGCTGTGATTACATATTTATTTTATTTATGTATTTATTTACTTTTTCTTTTTTTTTTTAAGGTACCATTCAAAGATCAACAACGAATCAATCCATAACAAATGATGCCATGTTGCACGATCATCGGTTGCCATTATCTCCATCACTCACCCATAACTTTACGACCACAGAAAACATGACTCTTCATGATCCTAAACTACGTGTTCATCATGGAGCTGTCGATCAAGAGGCACTCACATCCCGACCTCCTGCACAAGTATTTGCAGAAGTGAAACAAGCTCTTGAATCGCTAGGTATTGAGTTTAAGCGTAATGGAAGTGAATACAAGTTAAAGTGTGTTAGACCCAAGCAATCTGTAGCGGAAAAAAGAAGTCGTAAATTAAATAACAGTAATATGAGGATTCAACAACAACAAAATAGTAATAGTAATAGATATCATCATGAACTTCTTACTCCTCCTCCTCCTCCTCCTCCTTCTCATCATCATCATAACAATACAATTCCTTTCAGAATGCTATTACGTAGATTAAGTGCTCATCAATCAGCAACGACGACTACAGAGAATGGAAAGACAAGAAGTGTGACGCCGATGGAGAAGAAAAGTTCATCAGCTGATGGTAAACCCACAACTACTATTTATGGAGATCCCAATGTGGATCCTGGAGAAGAAATCCGATTCAGTGTCGAATTATGTAAAATCAAGAATTTACCAGGTCTTTATATCGTTGATATGCGTAGAATGAGAGGAAACGTATGGGCTTACAAGTTTATCTATCGTACACTTCTTGATACTTTGAAATTAGGTGGCAAAGGTGGTTATTTAAATACAACAAATGATAAAAAGAAGATGGCAAAAGACGTAATTCAAGAAGAAGTTACTACTACTACTACTACTACTACTACTACTACGAGCCATGACCATCGTATAAGTGTTGCTAGTAGTAGTGACCATATTAAAGTAGATCCATCCTGTTGTCCTTCATTGGATAATAATAATAATAATAATAATAATAATAATAATAATAATAATAATAATAATAATAGAGAAATTACGGTTGAATAATCGTATCTACACATCATACCCTACCTTACCTTACTTTCTTCTCTTTCGTATACACATACATAATAAATATTATTTATTGTTAAATGCTTATTGACAAAAAAAAATACAGCAAATAATATCCCATTTTATTTAATAATAATACATATATTTTAGAAGAAGAAAAAAAAAAAAAAAAAAAAAAGGAAGCGATTTTTTTTGTTAAATATGATCCAATCATTACGTACGTTATAGTTTCTTTTTTTTTTTCTTTAAAAAAAAAAGGCATTATATTTACAATTCATCACGAATGATATAACGTCTCCAATTTTCAATAAGAGCTTCAAGAGATTTCAATTGAGAATCAACACTTGAAATAGTTTGAACTTTAGCATTGATGAGATATTGACGAATAGTATGAATGGCTTGTTGAATTGTATCTTTAGTAAGATTCTTTTTATTATGGAAGGCCTTTGAGAGATAATTTTCAATCCAATTGATATGAGCTTCAGTATATCCCATCTTTCGATAGGTTTCCAATTCCTTTTGACGCCAGAAGCGACCAAGGCCCTGTTGGGTCTCATAGGCCGTATCCGTGATATGAGATCCGAGGGATGAAGCAGAGGCAGCAGCAGCATCAGTAGCAGAGGAGGCAGCGCTAGCAAGGGAACTAGCGGAGGCAGCAGCAGCGTTGACCAAGGAACTAGCGGAGGCAGCAGCGGCATCAGTAGCATAAGCAGCGGCATCAGTAGCGTAGGCAGCGGCATTTGCAGCAGCATTTGCAGCAGAGTTAGCAGAGGAGGCAGCAGCGTTTGTAGCGGAGGCAGCAGCGGATGAGGCGGTAGAGAGAGCACTATTCACTTGAGCATCTCTCTTGGGATGAGACTTGAAAGGATGGAAAACGGATTGATAGAGACCATAACCTGTATCCATCACATAATGTCGAATAGCATCTAAATAGCCCTTTGTTTGATCAGTAGCTTCATTTGCATAATCCATGACAAAGATCTTGTAAGCATTGATGTCATCCTTTAAGGAATCAATAACACCTTGTGTTTGAATTTGCTTTAACTTGCCTTGTCTTTGAAGATCATTCGAGACCTGTTCCCACCATGCTGCGTTACCCAACTTGGAAATATCTTGAGCCGAGTTGGAGGTACGAGTGATGGCATCCTTTAAGGTATCGATGATAGATTGAATTTCTTCCTTTGATAATTCTTTATTTGTTTCTAAACGTTTAGCAACATCTTTAGTAAGCCAAGAGTGAAAGGCATTATGATCGTCATTATAGAATCTTGGTTGATTAGTAGTAGAGGCACCCGAAAAGATACGTTGATACCAAGGGGGTCGGTGGCTAGCAAATAAACTTTCGATATCCTTGGAAATTTCTTTCCATTGTGCAGCAGTGACGTATTTCTGTTTCACAGCCTTAGTTTGGTATTTATCCAAGGCCTGCTTTACTTTATCTTGCTTCAAATTACCACTTAACTCGAGTTGCTTTAATTCATGGTTAACATCTCTTAATAATCCATCAACACTGTTATCAGCTAAATTATACTGCTTTTCAAGTTTAATCTTAAGTCCCTCTACTAAACGTGAAATACTATTATCATTATGAAGGAAAAAATCTGAATGAATAGCTGCAGCATCACGGTATTTTTTAGCTGTTTCCCAAAGAGATTCATCATTCACATTCTTGTCATAATAAATTTGATATTTATCAAGATATGCCTGAACTTGATCTTTTGTCCATTGACTTATATCTTCTAATTGTTTAGTAGTAGATGCTAAAAAGAAACAGACAATTTTAATATTTAAAAAAATGAATACATATGTATATATATTTGGTTTAAATTACCTTTTGCTTGTGCTTCATTTGAAAGTAAAAGAAGGCATACAGCATATGCTAAAGGGAGAGTCAAATATTTGGCGGCTTTCATTGTTATATTTTAAAATAAAAGAGAATAGATATACTTTTTTTTTTTCAACTGAAAAGAAGAATAATAATAATTTAAAGGAAAAAAAAAAAAAAAGAGAGAGAGAGAGTTTTTTTATTTTATTTTATTTTAATTACTACTTTTTTTTCCCTTAAAGCCTTTATATCATACTTTTTTATATAAAATCTTAATTTATGCAACAAAACTAAGAGTAATGAGGTCACTATGAAAGCTTTTTTTTTAACAAAAAAAACAGTCCACTTTCTTAATTTAGTGTTATTTTGTATAAATCTTTACAAAGATCCAAAGAAGCTTGAACATGACGTAAAGAGTAGTCTTATTAGAAAAGTTCATCTTATTTGATGATATATACAATTGTTTATATTTATAATATTTATATATAAGAAAAAAAAATTAAAAAAACAAGACATCATAGGTACATCATTTTAATTATTAAAGTTAATAACCAAAATTAATGTATAATACTATTTATACAAAAAAAAAAAAAAAAAAAAAAAAAAAAAAAAAAAAAAAAAAAAAAAGCCTGTATAATTCTATATTAACTTATAGCAGAACAGCATCATCACATTGATTCGCCAGCTTTTTTTATTACTTGATTTTTTTTTTCATAAAATATGATAACTTGTTGGTAAATATCTTTTTGGTTTTTATTAATAAAGTAACGCCGCGTCGAATTTTTTTTACTTTCTAAATTAGGTAAGTTTCTGGTTAATTCCTTATTGTTTATCGGTAAAAAAAAAAAAAGTGATCCATTGTTTACTGGTATTAAATCAATGGTTTTTTTGCTTTTGTCTCATATCCTTTATATATTTTAATTTTAATATTTAAAGAAAAAAAGGAAGAAGGAGAAAGTGATTTTGGTTCTATTTTTTTTTAAAGAAAAAAAAAACTACTTCTGTAGTACAAAATAACCTTATTTCAAATCTTGAATTTGTTTGATAAAGTCTACCAATTGTACGACTTGAAATGACAATTTATTGGACAAGAGAAATGCACGGACCCTTTATCAAATGTCAAGAATAAACAAAAAAAAAGTTATTAACAAACACAAATATGCTTTCTTTTTTTTTTTTTTAAAAAAAAATTAGTAAAAAACCAAAAGTGAAAATAAAAAAACAGAATAAAGCGTTTTATACGTTTTATTTCAGTAAAAAATAAAAAAAAATCATACCATTTTTTTTTGTTCATATAAAGTAAAACACAAATTGATTAAAAATAATTTTATCTCAAAAAAAGGGGAAAAAAAGTAGAAAGCTAATTGTGATTTTCTATACAAACTTTATGTTTTTTTTTATTTGTTTATTTGTTTGTAGTAAAAAAAATATATATATTTGTATATTTATATAAAAAAAAAGTAACGATAATTTTAATAAAATGTCTTTTTAATGTAATAAAATCTTCTCCACTCATCGTCGGTATCTCTATTTAAACTATTTTTTTTTCTTATTGTTTGCTGTAATAACCAAAGACAATAAGAAATATTTTATTGGCCGATGATTCCCCCAAATATGTTCCCCAGAGGCCCAACAAAATTTAAATTACGCGTATAAAGATCCAATGATCAATAATACTTGGTGTTTCAAGTAGTTAATAAGAAACAGTTCTTGATAAAAAAAATGAAAATGAAAATTAAAGAAACTAGTTTAAATAGAGGGACCCTTTCTGCTTTCTTTTAGCTTTTTTTTTTGTTTTCTTTTTCCCCATACCCTTAATATTATTCAACTTATATTTATCTAATAATAAAATGTCTACAACTGCTACCACTACTCAGGTGAAACAGCAGAATGGAAAATATCCTCCTTATGCTTATACAAAAACAGAGGATCGTCAACTTCCAATGCCTAATCCTGTTATGCCTCCTTTGTTTGATGAACCTACTACACTTCAAAATTTCTCTAGTCATGTCAATTGGTTCCAATCTATTCTTTTGATTTCAACTCCTATCTTGGCTATCTATTTTGCTTTCAAGACTGAATTACAAACCAAGACATTATATTGGACTATTATTTATTATTTTATTACTGCCTTAGGTATCACAGCTGGTTATCATCGTTATTGGTCCCATAGATCTTATGATTGCACCAAATTGATGCAAGTCTTATTATGTTTAGCTGGTTCAGGTGCCTTTGAAGGCTCTATTCAATGGTGGTCTCGAGGTCATCGTGCTCATCATCGTTGGACTGATTCTGATAAAGATCCTTATGCTGCTCCTCGAGGCTTCTTTTATTCTCATATTGGTTGGATGTTAATTAACAGACCCAAGAACAGAATCGGTTATGCTGATACCGCTGATCTTAGAGCTGATCCTATCGTTCAATTCCAACATAAGAATTATATTTTTTTCGCTTCCTTTATGGCCTTCATTTTCCCTTCTTTAGTAGCTGGTTTTGGTTGGGGGGATTTCAAGGGTGGTCTCATCTTTTCTGGTCTCTGCCGTCTTGTCTTTGTTCATCATGCTACCTTTTGTGTTAATAGTCTTGCTCATTATATTGGTGATACTCCCTTTGATGATTATCATACTCCTAAAGATTCTTGGATTACAGCTCTCGTTACCTGTGGTGAAGGCTATCATAACTTTCATCATGAATTCCCTCAAGATTATCGTAATGCTATCCTCTGGCATCAATATGATCCTACAAAATGGCTTATCAAGGCTTTAAGTTTCATTGGTTTGACTTATAACTTGAAAACTTTCTCTGCTAATGAAATTAAAAAGGGTCAAGTACAAATGATGGAGAAGAAGATTGATTCGATAAAGGAAACATTATGCTTTGGTAAACCTGTGAATGAGTTACCTGTTTATACATTAGAGGAGTTCTATGAATGGGTCAACATAAAAGATAAAAAATGGATTATGTTAGATGGTATCATTTATGACGTTGAAAACTTTGATCATCCTGGCGGCGCTAAATATCTCAATGCTGGTATTGGTAAAGATATGACCAAATCTTTTAATGGAGGTATCTATAACCATTCAAATGGTGCTCGTAACTTGCTTTCAAGTATGCGTATTGGTGTACTCAAGGATAGTGTTGCTTTTATAAATCAATATTCAAGTGCTAATATCATGAATGAAAAAGCTGCTGAATATGATGACTCCTTAGAACCAGGAAAGAGAAAAGCTCAGTAGAATATATATAAAGAAGGAGAGATTAGCCTTTTTTTTCCTTTTCTTTTTCCTTCCTTTTTTATTTATTCTTTTATATTTTTTATTTATCCAGAATGTAATGATGTTTCTCCTCTTCCTTTACTTTATACTTTAGTCAATATATTTTCTATATACATACTTTATCACACTTCGTTCGTTCGTTCTTAAGAACATTTTGTATCATACCCTCTCCTTTATTTTATTTTATTTTTAATAAATAAATCTTGAACAGTACAATTAAAATATCCTATAGAACTGTTTATCATATGAAGGCTGTATAAACAATAATAATAATTTTTCTAATAATAATTGATTTCATATATTCGAGAATAGTATAAATGTTATATATATACAGACATTGGCATTCCAAAAGAAAAAAAAAGGGGGGGAGAGTGTAGGTGTAAACTGACTTTTCATTAAAGAAGATTATGAATACAATTCTGATGATACGTGATTAAGTTAATATGTCCTTTCAGCAATGAAAAAGTATATAAAGACTGATTCTTTACTCAAAGCAGATGTAATGTCTATAGATATACCGGGCGATTCTTGTTATAGTTCATATTCACATAATAATGAGATGATGAGTTTCTTTTTTTTTTTTTGGAGGGCGGGATACTCGGTCAATAAGCTTACATTTCTTCTTATAAATGAACGAGCTAATGTTCCAGTTCCAAGCGATCAAAGACATATTATCTTCTTAATTACAATCGTATTACTTAATAACATCTAATTTTCTGATTGCAGTATTGACCTCTATGATATGAATTGATATATAGCTCTATGCAATATATAAATATATATGCATATATATATGTATATGTTTATAAATAAGAAAAGAAAAAGGAACGTTAAATCCATAAGGCCTTTACATGCATACATACATAAGCTTCATTATCATGGATAATTACAACAACAGAAGAAATAGTTTTGAGTAGATCAAAGAAACCCACTCTTATTGTGTTCTATTCTACTACTCCTTCTTTAGGCTATCATTAGGGATATTTTCTTTTATTTTTACTAGAGATGCTTCAGCTTTTTTTTTTCCTTCTATTTATAAAACTTTATTTGTTGATCATTCAAAATAGTTTATTGATGATATATTACACGTGATCGTGGAAAAGAAACGACAAACTTGTCTCATTTTTAGACAGATCATTGTTATTTATTCATTATGTTTTAGAGTCATTTTCTTTTCTCTTTTTTTTTCTCTTTTTTATTATTTTATTCTCTGAAAAAAAAATGTCTCCTTCTAATATAAACCAAACTTTGAAGACTACTTTATGTTTTGCTATCCAAGATAAGGTGGGTGCGCTCGAAGACTGTTTGTCTGCTATTAAGGCTATGGACATTTCATTGACTCGAATTGAATCGTAATCTATACGAATAATACAGATTTTTTTTATTTATTTTATTTTATTTATTTTTTTAATTTAAAATCATTTTATTAGTCGTCCTAGTAAAACAAAGGATTGGGATTATGATTTCTTTGTTGATTTTGATGCTGTAGACGCTAAACAAGTAAGTAATGTAGTTGAGGGACTTCGTAAGCATACTAAGGATGTTCGTGTTATCGGTTCGGATAATTCAATTGGAGGTAAGACAATTTGTTGATGTCAAGTTTTTTTTTTCTCTTACAACCGTGTGAAATATTGACTGTTACACCCACAAAATAGATAGCGTTCCTTGGTTCCCACGTAAACTGACAGATTTGGACACATTCGCTGAAAAGGTTTTAGAGATGGGAGAAGAGCTTAGTAAATAGAGAAATAATAAATAAAATAATTCCCCACATAAAATACAATATATAAACTATCCTTCATAGGTTCTGATCATCCTGGTGCAAATGATTCAGCTTATCGGGCTAGAAGAGCAGAGATTACTCGTATTGCAAAAACATATCGTACTGGCCAACCTGTACCTGAAATTAAATACACCAAGGAAGAGAATGAAACTTGGGGTAAAATCTTTCGTCGATTAACTTCAATGTATTCTACTCATGCCTGTCGTGAACATCAATATGTCTTGCCTCTTTTAATTCAAAATTGTGGTTATAGTGATAAAGAAATCCCTCAAATTGAAAATGTTTCTCGTTTCTTGAAGGATTGTACAGGATTCACGATTCGTCCTGTCATGGGTTTATTAACGAGTCGTGATTTCTTGAATGCATTTGCTTTTAGAGTCTTTTATTCTACACAATATATTCGTCACTCATCTAAACCATTCTATACTCCTGAACCTGATGTTTGCCATGAATTAATGGGTCATGCTCCACTGGTATACTTTATTTATTTATTTATTAATATACTTACTTACTTTCTATACCCTTCCTTCCCCCCTCACCTCCACATCATAGTTTGCTGACCCTGATTTTGCAGATTTTTGTCAAGAAATTGGTTTAGCCTCTCTGGGTGCTTCTGATGAAGATATTTCGAAATTAGCTACCATTTTCTGGTTCACAGTAGAATTTGGTTTATGTAGACAAGATGGTGAAATTAAAGCATTTGGTGCAGGTCTATTAAGTTCATTTGGTGAACTTGAATACGCATTATCTGATAAACCAGAGCTTAAACCTTTCGACCCTTCCATAACAGCCATCCAAAAATATCCTATTACAGAATTCCAGCCTGTTTATTTTGTAGCAGAATCATTTAAAGATGCTCAAGAAAAAGTTCGAGACTTTGCTACTAGTATGAATCGACCTTTTTCTGTACGATATAATGCATTAACACAAACAATTGAAGTGTTAGACAATAAGGAAAAGGTGGTTCGCTTTGCAAAGAGTATTCGAGATGATATGAAGACATTAACTAATGTGCTTGAAACTCTTGCATAAATCATTTATAATAGTAATAATAATAAAAAAAATGCTTCGTTATATATATTTATATACATGTATGTATGTATACACAGTATTTTTTTTCTTTTTAACAGTTGTTTATATTTATTTGAATTAGAATAAATTATTTACAATTGAATTTGTTATCCTTATTTTAACTCTCCTTGCCTTTTCTGAGGAAAGTAATTAAATTAAATTAAATTAAATAATAAAAGAATTGCTTGATGGTAGAGTACAATGTTCAAAAGAAATCTTTTTCTTTTATATAACCTGATTTAGTACAAGTTGTACTGAATAAAGAGATATCATCTTCAGAGTGCTTTTTACTACTACTACTACTACTACTACTACTACTACTCTTCTTATCATCAATAAGGGGAGTCCTCATGATGGTAGTAATAGAAGATGCGGGTTTCCTTTTGTTTTGTCGAATGCATCCAAAAGACTGACATAATAAAAATAAAAGCACACATAAAATAAGCGATATCATGATTACAACAGGTACAACTACCTGTTTATGTCTCTGTAACCATATTAGACTGCTGCTAATGGCATCTCCATTTTCACATACACCACCCATACATCTTCCTTCAAACCCACAAGGCGTTCCATCAATGAAATTATCAGTAAAGATGAAACATGATTTGTCACTTGAAGGTGAGTTACATAATAGTTTGCATTCTTCATTATTCGTTAAACAGGATTGAGTAATGTTGATAGCAAAACCACGAGTAAGACATTGTTTATCTCTAGAAGTACATTGACCTGAAGCGCAACGAAGATTATTGGGACCACATAATAGACCATCCTGTAGATAAACATCCTCTGGACATTCAGAGGAATGACCTGCACAATATTCTGCCAAGTCACAAGGTGTACTCGCAGATCGACACATGTAAGATGTGGGTCGAAATTGACATTGATAACAGCATTCTCCATTTTGATCTCTAAATAATAATAATAAAAACTTAGTTTATCTTTATACATTTTTTTTTTTTTTGGGAGAGGGAATTGTAGCTTTTACTCGCAGATAGCATTCATTTTAAGTTTGCAAGTCTTGGGATCACAACATTCTGTTTCTACTCCACCTGTATCACATTCTTCATCTTCTTCTTTAATACCATTACCACATACATTTAATTGGTATGAAACATCTTTCTGTTCCTCAAAATCTAATAAACAAGTATCTAAAGCTGGAAACCCTTTACAGACCGTATCAATAGAACAGGGACTAAAACTTTCTGCTGAATAATTTGTAATTGAACTCATCAAAAATCCACCTGTATCACATTGGTTTGAATTCAATTGGCAACATTGACACCAATTATCATCTAAACATGGGCAATCTGATAAAGAACAATCATGAATAGCACCTGTGATTTAGAGGTAAAAAAAAAAAGGGGGGGGGGAAATGAACAAAAAAAAAAAGATATACAGTTTGTATTATGAATATCAACTGCTTACCAAAAGCATGACCTATTTCATGGGCAACAACTTTCCATTCATCTTGCACTGTTAAAGAAAAATAAAATGAATAGTGTGTACTTTGTTTTTTTTTTCATAAAAGCATAACTTACCAATTGCAGAAACACCTGCTCCTGATACATATTGTTCTTTACCTTCAGGTGTGATTTGAAGACTGGCACCTCTATTACACAATTGTTTTAACCAAGCAAGACCAACTTCAACTCCTGTACTATTAATATATATATACAAGCCCCCCCACCAACCGCCACCATATATAATTTAGTATGACAATTTGTTATAAAGAAATACAAAATAAAATAAAGAAAGAAATTTACGGGCAGTTTGTCATTAAATGCCAGAGTCCAGCTCTATCATTTACTAACTTGGATCTCCATAGACTAAAATCACTTAGGCGTTCAGCTAAAGTATAATTAGCATCACAAGCACGATTCCAGGCTATGTCTTCATCTATTCTCTCTGAAGGACAAGCTGAATCCATAATTGTGATATTAATTAAACCAAGAGCTATGTTGAATGTTTCCTCAAAAATAGCTGAAGCCAAATTAAAATTATTTGTTATTTGAATACGAACATTATTGATACTTTTATAATATTTCACATATGTACAATCAGCAGCTGAATGAATATGAATATAAAGAATAGAGTAATGTTATATATCAATAAAGAGATTCAGAAAAAAAAAGCAATAATAATACCTGCACCCATATAATTAACTACAAAATAATAAATAGATACATTAGGATAGAATCGTTTTTTTTTTTTTTTTTTTTTTTTTTTTTTTTTTTTTTTTTGTTGCAAATAATTCTCTGTTACTTTTTCTAGTTTTCGGACACCCCTGACTCGTCGTTGATAAGTTAGTGTGATTATTAATATCACGTTTATTAAATAAAGGAGTATGTAAAAGATGATCAAAACCACATTGATGTTTACTGTTATCATTATCACGTTTTGCTAGTAAAGTAATATCAGAATCCCGATATATAACCATATGTTGTTTTAATACAGGAACATTTGGAGATCGTTTTAGGAGACTAGAGTTTAGTACTGTAGGCTTGATATGATATATATCATCATGTAGTTTAAATGCGCCTTCAATAATTGGATCCTTTGTTCTATATCTATTTTATGAAGAATATGAATTACTTACTTTAAGAAGTTTTATTTTATTTTATTCTATTTTTACGTTGACATTAAATCATTTCTGATTAAAATTCTTGCCCAACCTAATTTTTTGAACATAGATTGGTCTTTGGAATGCGTTTTTTGTAGCAACCAAAGATGATCTGATATACTTGAATCAATGATATGACCTTTATAAATGAATGGTCTATTGTATTGAAAAGTTTCTTCTTGTATACGTTTACTTTGTCCCTGATAATGAATAACAGCTTCAGGATGAAATAAATGAAAATTGGGTTCCAAGTGAAGAAAAAATGTTTGGTTATAAGCAACAAATGAAAGTCGAAACGAATCATCAAACTCTATACTTTTAGGAAAACTATCAAGCTCTCGATGATGATTGACTGATGGTTGTCCCTTTTCAAAGAAGGGTCGAGATCTCCTTGGAGCGATCTCTATTTGTATATCATTTAAAGATTCCATTTGATGATTATCTAGTGTAAATCCTAAATTACAAATTATGAGTCCAAAATTTTTCGATTATTTATTTATTTGTTACTATTACCTGAGACTAACATAGTAGATAGTAGGACACTCATCATGATATAAATACATAATATCCAACACCAATACCAACAAGTTTGGTTTTTTAGACTGATGTTCATCATTTCTCTCTTGGAATATGAACAAAAAGAAAAAAGAAAAAAAAAGGAGAAGAATAATAGAAAAGTAGTAGAAGAAAGAAAAGCAACAAATAATTAATTTTATTTCCTAAAGTTGAACTTCTAAACTAATATATCTTAAACATATAACGTAGTGCTACCAATAATTAAATGAAGTCTTTAATTATGAACATCAATAATTTATAATATTGTCTAATAATTCTTTACATAACTTGGCTTGTTAAATTCTTTCAATTTCAAAACTTGATCACAGATTTAAACCAAGTATTTTCTCAGTAATGAAGGTATCAAATATAATAAAATAGTATGTAAAAAAAGAAAAAAAAAAGAAAGAGGGAAAGACACTAGTAAGTAATGTTAATAATTACAATTAAAGTCTAGTATTAAATACAAAGGGTTCTGGATTATATTAAATTTATTCTTATACAAATTCAGGAGATATAGTATTACTATTCTTGTTTACTATAGTAAGGAGTTTAATCTATTTGGGATAATAAGAAAAAGAAAATGTCAAACTAATGCAATTTAGAAGAAGTCCTTTTTTTTTCTTTTTTGCTATAACTACAATGCCTTTTACGCAGTAACAGTTATCAGTCAACAGATTCTAGATAACATTCATTCAAAGAGCATTAAAAATAAATAAATAAAAAAGAGGAGAAAGTCAATAAATGTATAGAATTACTATCTCCAATGAATTTTAGGATTACTTGTATATTACCTGATCGAGTCATTCAATACAGCGTAAGTACATATAAACATACTTTTTAAAATAAACTATTGCTCAGTAGTTATATATGTATATAAAGATTCTTATTATATTTATTATAAATCCTTTTTTTTTTCTACTAAGAATTCATATTTTGAAGCATCAAGATTATTGAACTATTATTTATATTCACAAAGACAAGAGTCTTCAATACGAAATAAGTTAATGTATCTTTCTCTTTGCTTATATACACAAGTTGATTATCTTGATATGATCCTAATTCATTTATCGTATTTAATGACATTTTTCATTCTAGATTCTGTAATAGTACTTTGATTGAGTTAAAAACTAAACATAATATTGTTACTTGTGTAAAGTAAGGAAATGAAATATCCTCTCTTATCATTTTTTGTTTGGCTGATAACTGAGGAAATACATTACCACAATCCAAGAAGAAACCTTTTTTTTTTCTTTATTTCTCACTTCCATTTAGTAATGTAATATAAGTCGTAGATAGCTATATAATAATAATAATAATGTATCTTTTTAAAATTATTAGTTATTTATGCTGATTGACAATTGCGCTTGTAGAACTTTTTGTTCATTAAGGCTCTTATGTATATATAAATTTAAATGTATTCACTTTAAGTGACTATAACCTTTTGTTCTATTATAAGGGAATAATAATAACAATAATACAAACTTGGGTCACAAAGAATAAATCATACATTTCTCCTTTAAAACATATATTTCTTTTTTATTCTATTTATTCAAAAATTGATAGCAGTTCTCGAGATTTATTTTTATTTTTTTTTTTATTTTTTTTTTATTATCATTTTTATTTTCTAAACTTTTAATTCCTCCATTCTACATTGAAAGATTCAAATCATTATTAATAAACATGCGAATTGCGATTATTACCGAGAACTTTTTACCAAAGGTTGACGGTGTTACACGTACATTAGGACGACTCCTTGAGCACCTTACCTTGACTGGCCATACCGTCATTTTATTAGGACCTGAAACAAGGATGGAGAACTATGCGGGCGTAAAACTTCTTGGTACCTTTGGAATCCCGTTCTTTTTATATCCTGAACTTAAATTTAATTTCTGGAGACCCAAGTTTACAAGGACATTAATTGAATTTCAGCCAGATGTGATTCACTTGGTTGATCCTGCCTTTTTATGTCCAATGGGATTGACCTTAATACGCTATTATCTTCCATTTACACCTATCGTTTCCTCCTATCATACAAATCTTGCTTTATATTGTGAACACTTTGGATATGGGTTTTTAAAATCAATCATGTGGAAATGGAATCGATATTGTCATTCCTTCAGTCGATTTGTCGCTTGTCCATCCCCTTCTACTATGTTTATCTTAAGGGAACACCAATTCCAGCATGTTCGCGTATGGCCACGAGGCGTGGACATGTCTGTGTTTTCACCTCTTCATAGATCTGAAAGATTACGCTCTGATTGGATAGGATTATCTGAGAGGAAACCAACAAGTGATGATGAAAAGACGATCCTATTGTATGTAGGCCGAGTCTCGTTTGAAAAAAATATTAGACTAATCATTGAGTCCTATCGTGAAATGGATTATGATACATGCCATCTCGTTTTAGTAGGGGATGGACCGGCCCTCGATGAATTACAAACATATTGTCTTTCAATGAATATGCCTGTTACTTTTACAGGTTACCTTCAAGGTTCTGACTTGGCACAAGCTTATGCATCGGCTGATATCTTTGTATTCCCTTCTACGACAGAAACATTTGGCCAAGTTGTGTTAGAAGCAATGGCATCTGGATTACCTGTAGTAGGAATTGAAGCTGAGGGGGTTAAAGATATTGTGAAAAATAATCATACAGGTTTATTACTGAACACATTCGGTTTATCTATCCAAGATCAACAAATTAAATATCGGGCTTTACTTGAAAGACTTATAGCGCAAAAGTATACAATCTTAAAAGAAATGAGTGAAAAAGCATTAGAGACAGCTAAAAAATATACTTGGCCTGAGGCTATGGATTCAATGATTAACATATATCAAGATGCAATATGTCAATTCAAGCATGATACAATTCCACCTACTTCATTAAACATATTACAATCAAAAGACTAATATGGGAAAATAAGATTATAACTTCCATTTATAACCTTTCATCGTCTACTAAATATCTGTAACAGCTAATACATACAAGAAGCGATGGTATAGGAAAAGTCCTTTTTAATTTTTTTTTTTTTTTGTAAAACTAGTTGTAAAGTATATATATATATGTTTATACATATATATATATTTATATGTATATGCACTTAATTATCAAATGAAACATATAAATGTGGTAGAGAATACAATAGAATGAATAAGCAATAGCAGTATATAATAATCATATATTTACTCTTTTTTTTTCACTTATATAAAACGAAAAAAAAAAAATCTTAATAATAAAAATATGTACTATTCTAGTAGATTGATTACCACATGTTACTTTCCTTAACTATAATAAACTAGTTATAATAAGCTTATCTATGTACTATTAACAATCACATAAGCTAATAAATGAATCATCTATTATTAGTAATTCTTTCAATTTACTTATCAAGAGAAAACTTCCTGCTCCTACACTAGACACATTATGTACCTCCTTCAAGTAACAATCATAAAAAGTTTAAGTTTATTCGCAAGCATAAGTTTTCATTAAAGGATTTTGTAATTTACGTGATACATAATTTATTCGACTTGGAAATGTTTAATATATCAGATGCTGAATGATTTGTCCTTAACTCTTATAAACTATTTGTTCATCAAGGTAAAGAATATATTCAAGACAAGTAAACCAATAAAATGTAACTTATTTTGTCATTGAATTTGATCAGCATCATTTATGATTAAATCAACCCAAGACCACCACTGTCTCCTATTTTATCTACTGCATCTATATCTCATCCTGAATCTTCTATTATATTTCCTTCATTATCAATGCCTTTTGCTAAATGAAAACTATCTTCTCGCTGAGCTTTATCTAAATTACAAGAGAACTTGGGCTATAATAACAATCAGGATATAGTATTATGTATGCAATCTTTTTCATCATGCAATACTATCAATTCTAATCCATCAGATATCAATAAAGGATCTGCATTTATGCTTACTTCTACAGTAATGGCAAATAAAGATTGTTATTCTAACAAAATCCACATTATCATCTTTATCTTCCTTAGGGACTTTAATCTCTTTTCTTATTACAAACAGTAGTAGTAATGATACAATTTTTTTTCAATGATGAAGAAGATGATACATATGAATAGTGTAGCATCATTGTTAATGATACAATTGAAGACATATATAAAGGAAAGAAAAAAATTAAAATATGTCAAATACAACTGTAAATAAAAATCAACTTCTTTTTACAACTTGATAAATGAAATGATATTATGTCTGCTTAACTTACTACTTTTCCTGCGTTTCCCGTTTCTCTCTCTCTCTCTCTCTCTCTTTATTATATCAGCATTGTCATAAATATAATCACTACTAAGAGTAAACAATGTGTTACCACAGATGAACATGCTATTTTCTAGTTAAAAGCAACTTTTTTGTTACAAAACAAACAACATGATTATAATCTTTTAAGAATCTTTGTACTTGATCTATTTCTTGATTTGCTTTGCAGCAATGTAATAAAAAGAATATAACTTTTTTTTTAAAAAAATAAAATAAAATAAAAAAATAGGAGCTATTCATATAGTAAGCTTAGAAGGTGCGATAAAAATAAAACTTGGCATGTGTTGCTCTATATAAAATACTTTTTTTTTTAAAAAAAAAAAAAAAAGTAACTTTGAATATTTGATTCTTTCTCATAGTAAACACGAATGAAGTATATTATTAATTAGATCAGCCTTTTTTTTTTCATAGATAAATAAAATTCCTTTACTAATAAACTAGAATAATGATAAAATAGCATATTAAGCATATTTTTTACTCAATGTACCTTAGCATATATTATCAAAAAACTAAAAGCATGTAATTTAATATATGTAATTAGAAAAAAAAAGTTGAAATCACTGATAAACAGGCTTTCAAAAAGAAGCGTGTTATATTATATTGTTTCTATTATTTTTATTTTATTTTTTTTTATGTGTGTAGCAAATAACGTAATAACAAAAGAGATAATCAATGTGTATACAGTTACTAGAGGGAGAGTTTTTTTTTTAATAAGATTAGGAAAGAATATGATGATATAAAACAACTTATTTATATAATTTCTTGGCTAAAATAATAATATTTAATCAAATCAAATATACTGAAACAAAAGAGTTATTTTACATAGATATGAGAATATAATAAAACCAGTTTAACTTTTAATAATCATAGAATTTATCAACAACAACTATTTTTAATAATTTGAAAGGAAAAAAAAAAAAAAAAAAAAAAAAAAAAAAAAAAAAAAAAAAAAAAAAAACTCTATAGTAATAATTATATAAATGACACACTACCACTATTAAGTTATAATTTGTATGAAAAGAGCCTTAGTTGACTCTAAAAGGAACGCAATAAAGCTATCACGCCATAGGTCTTAGTAGGGAAGGGGAATAATATAAAAGAGGGTTTAGTCGAACTTGTCTTCTTAAGCTTTACATTTATCTTGTTTGTAATATGATACAACTGCTTTTTAATTTTGTAGTTAATTGTTGAGGCTGTTGTCTTTGGAAAAGAAAAAAAAAATTTTTTTTCTCTATACTCTCTTCTTATTATTATTATTATGTATTTAAACATGTCATTATTTATTACATTCAGCCCGAGCTTATTCGCAAGTTCTTTGTAAGTGACAAATGTAAATTTATATATATGCTGCTCATTTTAAATTTAAAGACATACAAAATAAATATATGCATAGCCTATTATTAGATAATACGTGTCTTATCGGAAGCAAAATATAGATACAAGTATAGTCAAAACTATAGATGAATAAATAAATAAAATACAATATGAACAGGAGTAGTGTAGCCTATTTAAAATTCCAAATATATAAACCTATATTAATATATTTAGTTGTCTTGATATAAAGATTACATCATTTACCAATATATTCTTGCTTTACACTACAAGGGTCCATTAAAAAAAAATTATTTTTATTGTTTTATCTATTAAAAGACATCTATCAAGTTATTAGAAACTTGGAGATTTTTAATGGATAACTTAAATCTTGAAAGTAGTGGAAGTATTATTTGCTTCCTTCTGATCACAGATCAAAATGTAGAGAAAAATATTATAAATCCAGTTTAAAAAGATAATCCCGAAAGTTAAAAAATTGACTAAGAATTTACCTCAGTCTTCTGCAGTTAAAGTTAATTATAGTTAGTCATATGCGTTTATGATATAAATACATATATAAAAAGAAGAATAAAAGGCTAATTGTTGGTCTATTTTAACACTAGCACTGCTGCAAGTTTTTTAACTAAAAATATATCAAAAAGGATTATTTAAAAGAGAAGTAATGGAAATAGTATGTGTATATTTAAATATAGCCTTTAAATAGAGGATGCTTATATACTTAAAAAAAAAAAAGTATTATACAGGATAGAATTAAAGTATATTATTATATTTCTATAGTAGGTCAATATAACATCATTTCTACTAATAACTTAAATCTATTAAATGCATTAACTAACTTGTATCAGGGGATATATAATAAGCTTTGATATTGAATAAAATAAACTTCAAATTATCTATTGATATAATCATATCATCGCAGGCTTTCGTAGTTCTGACTTGACACTAGTAACATATTACAGATACACAGTTTAGCTTATTACTCTACCAGGAATACCATAAATAGATCGTATTCTTGTTTAAAACCGAATTTTAATCTATATCAAGAAAAAAAAATATTGATATATCTAGAATTTAAAAATGGGGGGGGAAGGGACTAATAAAAATAGTGAGGAGTATGTCTTCTTTTCTCCTCGCCCTGTACTACTACAGACAGACAGACAGACAGACAGATCAGCCTTGTGTGTATAGACTTAAATAATATGTCTATTTTGAGAAAATAGATATGAATAGACTTGGTATATCTCTTCTTTTTTTTTCTTTAATCTATTTATATAACAGTATTAAACTCATGTTAACATTATATTTATTTTCAAAATCATGGAATTAACATAAATGTGTGTTTCCTATCGATGTTACTAATTTGAAACGACAAGAAGAGAGACATAAAGGTTATTATCGAATCTTATATCCAAGAATAGTGGAATTTGTGATGTATAATTGAAATGCGTTCATAATATAACGCATGCTCCATCATTACATATTAAAACAGTGAAGGAAATTGAGAACCCTGAATAGACGAAATAAGTGTCGTTTAAGAAAGTTATTAGAGTCATGCTAATACATGATAAGCATTAGACGCCTTTTTCTTACTTATTGACTAAATAATATTGCATGAGGATGACATTTTAATTCATGTACCCCTTATAATGTATTTTTGGTAAGCAGTTGTATTATTGTACCTATTTAGGCGATATCAAAAATCCCAAAAAGGAAAAGAAAAAGAAAAAAGAAAAAAATGAAGGAAAAATATTTTGGTGACAGTTTAAGCTACTGTACTTTATCATACTTACTTAATATTTTTGTAATACTTTCGAACTCTAAAATAAACAAGCGATCATATGTTATAAAAGTTACAGTAACTTGTTGTTGTTGTTGTTGTATTTAGTGAGCTTTCTATTTATAAGTAGTAGGAATAATAGAATTGTTTCAAAATGAAAACAAGGAAAAAGTATTGATATAATAGCAGTAGTTTTTTAAAGCATAATCAAAACATCAAGTATTTTTAGTCTTTAAAGAAAAATAGAAAGAGATAAAAGGAAAAAAAAATTCCTTATTAGAAATAACCTTCTATACACTCATACAAAGTCTAATAAAGGAAACTTATTAGTATTCTTTGTATATAAATCAACTAATAACATCATAATAGAAGGAAGGAAGATATTATAACTGTGTCTATAATAAATAAAGCTTTTAATTTAATTAGTGGTAAAAAAAAAAAAAAAAAAAAAAAAAAAAAAAAAAAAAAAAAAAAACCACCTATTCAGTTAATAATTAAGCTGGTTTATTTTGATCAATTTTAAGAAGCGATTATAAATAGAAATTATAAATTACCTTTAATAATATCTATTTTACTTTTACATTTTTACATTTTTTTTATTTTCTTTTACTTTGTTACCTATAATAATAATAAAGAATGTTAAAAGATATTAAAAGTAAACTTAAAAGTTCTGCAGCATCTCTCAAGTCAGAAAAGAGTGAAAAAGAACAAACACAAATAATTGCTCCACAAAATAATTCAACTCCTACTTTAAATATTACATCGAATGATCAAATTTCATTATCATCTTCATCAACCTCTTCTTCTTCTTCTCCTTCTCCTTCTCCACCTTCTCCTGTTCATATCTTAAATTCACGCCAATTAGAAAAATTACCTGCTAATAATGATACTATAAAAAGAGAAAGCAGCAGTAGTCTACAGTCTTCCACTTCTTCTAATTATAAACCATCCAGTAGTACTTCCTCTCATAGTACAATGGATAATCAACAACTTAGTTCAGCTGCATCAAGTTCTACTAGTCTATCCATACCAGCCACACCTCCTTCAGTCATTTATAAACATAATCGATATCTTTCTAATCTTAGTTTACCATCATTAAATAGTGAATATTTTATGAATCATGATCATTTGAAACCTGGAAATAATGCCGAGTTACTATCTTATGATAAAACAATTATCATGTATAGAGAAAATGCAAAACGATCGAATGATCCCACTATTCAATGCGATCTTGCAATTTATCTCTACGAATCATCTAAAAATCCAAATCGTAAACCAGAAGAAAGAATTGCTTATATGTCAGAAGCTATTAAGATCCTGAAGGCAACTTCTACTCGTGGTCATGCAGAATCCCAATATTATCTTGCAAATATTTATGCCTCTGGTGCTACTCATAAATCTGGTAAACCTGATTTTGGTAACGCTTTCCCTTTATTTGTACAAGCTGCGAAACGTCAACATGCTGATGCTTCTTATCGGTAAGTTTTTTTGTACCCACTTTTTCTTTTTTTTTTTATCAATGAAAACATATCCATCATAATTATCCTTTTTTTCTTTTCCATACCATATCGAAAATTAAATGTCAGAATATGAAATTATTATATACCAAAGCGATGACATATGTAAACAATAATTAACCTTACATATTGTATATTGTAGAGCTGCAAAATGTTATGAAGATGGCTTGGGATGCCTTAAAAATAAATCAAAGTCTGTTCAATTTTATAGGTAAATCTTATTTTTATTTTATTTTTTTCCGTTCTTTAAAGAAAAAAAAAATTTTTTTTCTTCTCTTGTTTCGAAAACATGTACTAAACTTAACTTGACACACATATATACACACATACATACACACACACACACACACACACACACACACACATACATACACATACACACATCATATTTATTTAAGACTTGCAGCTACCTTAAATCATCCTGGAGCCATGTATCGACTTGGATTAGCAAATATCAATGGAGAACTCGGTTTACATCGTAATGTAAGGGATGGAAATAAATGGTTGAAAAGATCAGCGGAGGCTGCTACAACAGAGTATCCTCATGCCTTACACGAATTAGGATTACTTCATGAAAAAGGTTTAGACGGTATTATCTTTAAGGATGTTCAATATTCAGTTCAACTCTATACCCGTGCTGCTGAATTAGGCTATGTACCCTCTGCATATAGGCTGGGCCAATGCTATGAATATGGTTATTTAAAATGTGAAAGGGATGCCTATGCTTCTATTTATTATTATACAATGGCTGCTCAACAAGGTAATCCAGATGCTTGCTTTGCTCTCTCTGCTTGGTATCTCTCCGGTGACCCTCCTCGAATTGAGCCATCCGGAGAAAGGGCGCTTTATTGGGCTCAATTGGCTGCTCAAAAGGGAATAGTAAAGGCTGTCTTTGCATTAGGCTACTTTGCTGAATCAGGTATTGGTAGACAAAAGGATATGAATGAAGCCATCCGTTGGTATAAGAAAGCTGCAAGTCAAGGCAATGAACAAGCTAGAAAGAGATTAGTAGAATTAGATTCATCATTGTTATCCTCTGTACCTAATAGTAATAATAATAATAATAATAATATAACAATATCATCTAATATGGTTGCTGGTAAAGCAAGATAAAATATGTATGTATTTATATGATTCACAATAATAATAATACTTTAATTGTTTAAAAAAAAAAAAAAATATCGGGCTTTTTTTTTGTAAAAATGAATAAATTTTATTGGATAATTTATAACTTATTTTTTTTTCCCCTTGTGATAGAATAATAAATATGCATTATTGTTAAATGTCAAAAAAGGTAATTTACCACATATGATTTTGAAACAAAATTTAAATGCATTTTTCGTAATATTAGATATATAATGATGACATCACTTTTTTTTTGTTTGGTTTGTTTGTTTAAAGAAAAGGAGCAACTTCAATAAGACTCCAAGTTTCACTATGCGGTGTTGTGGGAGCGGCTTGCAAACGTGTTAGTTGCTGGTTATTTAGTAATGTATCATCATTATCACTATCTACATACAATCCATCATATTCTTCTTCTTCTTCCTCTTCTTCTTCTTCTCCTTCATTTATTTGCCGTCGCTTTTGATGATAAGTTCTTTTACTTGACTTTACTTTAAAATAATTTGTATGTAATTCATTTGTTGTATTTACATCTAAAAGACTACTACATCTATATCTAAAATTCGTAGCTCTTAAAACCTGCTTAAATTCAATAGGAAATTTTAAATCACGAATTCCATGATAATAAAGTGCATGTGATTGACTGTTACAAAAAAAGAAAAAAAAAAGTGTGTTCATATTTAATCATTCCATTTTTTTTTTTCATATGATTGACTTACATGCCCAAATTAGGTGCACAACAACAAGCCATTAAGCTTTGAAGCGTATTGGCAACTTGGCTTACTGGGATTTTTACACCTTGAGTATAACAGATATAAGCAAGATTATAGTTTAACATAGCCATACCAATTACAAATTTCTTGAAATTTTTATCATCTTCTTCAAGAAATAATGGCATTTTTCTGATATTATGCATCAGTTTCATAGTAAATAAGTAAGTAAAAAAAATATATATATACATCTATACCTATAATTATGCCATAATTGTCGATTAGGTGCTACCATTCGAATATAATGTCGAAGTCCCTTTTGAATTATAATAAATGGCATTTTAATACCCAAATAACGAACAACTAGACCCAGCATATGAATGACAAGACCAATAGGTGCATTTAATTCTTCTTTAGGGTATTCTAATAAATAATTCACAGATCGATTTAGAATTCCCTATACACATACATAGATGTATATATTTAAGTCTATGTACAATTACTTGTAACGTCAATTAATCGAGTAGGTAAAGTAACTCCACAAATATATAAATCTTCTTTGTTTCCTATTTGCATAGTAGTAGGCTGACTAAAAGGTGGCAACAATTCTTCTGCTTGAAGAGAAGAGGATGGCATAGGTAGTGATACAGGTTCTTCAACAACACCAGGCTTTAACTCAAATAAAGAACTGACTTCCTTCACTAAAATACGTCTCGTTCCAACTGTCATTTTATGTGTACGTTGCCAAGCTCTCAATAGAGTGGAGTTTTTATTATGATTGTCCATGCATAATTTTTGATAATGCGACTTTCGTTTAATACATTCTTCTAGTATTCTTCTCTTGTCTGTTATCTGTTTCTCTAATTCTTTTATACGTATTTTTTCTTTATATACAATAGAAAATACAATCAATCTTGTAATTCATTTGATTAATTAAACATGTATCATATTCATTTTACTTTCTTTAGTTTCATTCAGCATGCATATTTGACTTTCTTGTAATGATTCCAATTTCATTGCTCTTTTATTCTTTTCAGCAATCAATTGTTGTATATACTCTGTCTTTTTTAAAAAATGATTGGCCTCATCAACTGCGGCATCTCTTTCGATAATCGTGATGTTTATTTCTTCTTCATGTTTTTGTAATCTGAATAAAAGTTAATAAGAATAATAAAGCAATTAAAATATAAGCAATTTACTTTTCTTTTATACAATCAATGCAATAGAATTTACGATGAGATGTATGACAATATTTACAATTCATTATGAAATAAATAAGTAAGAAAAGAGAAAAGAAAAGAAAAAAGAAAAAAAAAATGAAATAAATAAAAAATAAAAATATATATAAATGTATTTATAATTTATAAATTGTATTAAGAGCTCATATGGTTTAAAATAACAACTTGCTTATTAGAAGTGCATGCAGCCAGCTTATCACCATCCTTATTAAAATGAACTTCAAATATACCACCACTTGTCTTGAAAGTCTTTTTTAGAATCCCATCCTATATACAGAATTGAAGTGAATATGTAAGCATGCTATTATTCTATTCTTTATTGATTTACCTTTGAGTCCCAAACATTCAACACTTCATCGAAACTACCAGAGGCCAATAAACGAGCATCAGGACTGAAGGAAATTGAATATACTGCTTCACTATGATTCTTAAGCACATGAAGACAAGTACCATTAATTGCATCCCAAATACGTACTGTAGAATCAAAACTTGCAGTTGCTAAAATAGTGGATGATGGTGTCGTACTATTATTTGAACAAGGTGCCCATTGTAACGTATAGATTTGAAGGTTATGTCCTTTCAAGTTTTGAATAGGTCCATCACTATTTAAACTCCAAATTTTAGTAGTCATATCATCAGAACAAGAAGCCAAGTACTGTCCACTAGGATCCCATCGTACTGCATTTACTTCATCTTCATGTCCAACCCATTTCTTTAATGGCTTACTCGCTCCTACTTTACAAACATAGATAGTTTTATCTGAAGAACATGATGCAAAGGTCGTATTATCCATCCAATCAACATCAAGAATGGCCACTATAATATAAGGATTCGATTAATTTTTTTTAATCTGTATATTGAATGAAATACACATAATAAACTTATTACAGCTATGTAATTCGTATTGTTGCTTCATTTCTCCCGTTTCAGGATCCCATATAATAGTTGTCGTATCTGCACTTCCACTTAATATAAGATCACCTTTCATATTCCATTTTAAAGAGAAAATGGGCCCTGTATGATGTCCCATAACAAATCTTAATTGTCCTTTTTGTGTCCAGATACGCGCCTGGCCATCATATGAGCCTGTTGCTAATAAACTTCCTGAAGGCTATTTAAATTCCTTGTTAATAAAAATTAAAAAAAAAAAAGAAAACTCATTAATTTAATCTTTACATTCCATTCAAGTGTTGTAACATCCTTATTATCATTCATATTAGGTAAATGATTTAAAACTATAGGTTCAGAAGCTTTATCTTTTCCTTCTGGAACTTGCCATATTCTTGCTGTAGCATCACCAGAACTAATAATTAATATATCAATATGTATGTTGTTTTATTTTTATTTATTTATTCATTTATTTTTTTTTTTTTAGTAAATTCTTACCCTGATGCAAGAAGTGAAGGAAGTACAGGATTCCATGCACAAGAAAAAACTTCACTTTGATGACCTTGAAGAATAATAACATTTTCTGGTTTAATTTCAGTGTCATTTTGCTGTTGTATTAATTGGGCTTCTTTCATTTCCTCATCTTCTTTTATTGCAGTTGTAGAAGTTATTGAGCCATTATTAGTATTATTTGTTGTTTTAATTAAATTGTGTTGTTCATTCATTGTTTCTTCTTTAACTTGCTCATTATCTATTTCTTCATCTGCAGTTGTCTCTCTTCTCGCTCTCTTCTCTCTATCTTTTTGTTTCTTTTCTTCTTTACGTTGTCGCTTCGTTGAAGATGAAAGCGGTTTCGCTGTTGAATCTGGTTCGTGATTAAATATTTCACCTGTTAATTCGCAATGGTGAGGTTCTAGTAAAGAAAATGGCACAGTACATTCCATTAATTCGCCATCCTACATATATGTATTAACACACAAAGAAAAAAAAACACATACACACTCGCACACACACACACAAAGGCTAACCTCATTCATATGTGCTTCAATCTCCATAAACTGAAGTCCTTTATGAATAATATTTATAAGTGCACCAGGCTGAATCTGTGCATCGCGGTAAGTAGATTTTTCAACTTGACTTTCATATTGAAAAGCAAATGAAGTATGTCGAAACCCTAAACAAATACATTACAAAGAAAGAATAAAAAAAAGGCAATTTATTATTCTATTTACCTGATTCTTGTAAGTACTTATAAACAATTATATTAATTTCCTCACTAGTAAGGACCATTTCGCGTTAATTGTGTATATAAATATTTTATTTTTTTTAAAAAAACAAAACAAAAAAAAAAAACAAAAAAAAACAACAAAAATAAAATTTCACGCTCTTTCTGACTTTCTTTTTTTTATTTTTTTTATTTTTAATTCTTGGGTATTTTTTTTTTTTTTATACATATTTATTTTGCAGTCTATGTACATTATTTGAATTTAAAACTTTAATGGTTTTTAAACAAAATGAATCTGCAGGCCGATTAATAATTGATTATGAGACATTATTAAAATTTAATCAAAATAGATTATTATATACGAGCAAATTATAAAAGAAAAGTATATACTAATTTGAAGATAATTCTATAAAGTCAGATTTATATATTTGCGTATTTTCCCAATAGATGAGATCTTTAAATCGTAAGGTGAAGTAGTTTCACTCAAAGGTGCGACAATTTGTCTCAAGAAGATAATTTTCCGCTTTTTCAAATTGATATAGCAATGCGAAACTTTTCTTTTTTTTTGCAGTTACGAAGAAATCTTTATTGCAAATAGTATGAAGTACCTACGTACTGAACATAAAAAATAGAATGCTCCACTGACACAATCCTTGATGGATTGTATACATTTCTCAAGAGCAACTTTCTCCATCGATAAATATCCTCTTGAGAAAAGTAATATTGAAATGTTGATAATTACTATGTTTAGGACACACCATGATGACTTTTCTTTTTTATTGGAATTTTAAAGTCTTTTAAATAAGCCCAAGTCAAACTTTAAGGTGATTATTATTAAACACGTCACATCGTCAAAAAAATGCTCTACTATTTCCTGCAGACGTCATTACTGTACAGAAGCTATCATAAACAGTATTTTTTATCGTTAAAGCTCATTTGAAAATAATAATAATAAAACCCCCATATTATACTAGATATAAGCCAACTGTTTTAGTTTTTTTTTTTAACGTTTGAAAGTAAATCTTCTTATGTACTCTCATAAATTTCAGGCTGTGCTTAAAGGAGTGGTGGCGATGGCTAGGGTGCCTTATTATTTTGTGTATGAGTTTCACTCAATTTCATGGATTATTTGCATATTTGTTCATCGTTTATAAGCGTTAATTACTATTCATCTTACATAGTGTAACAATTAAAATGAACAAAAATTGCAAGTTGTTTCTATTTATCTAAACTATCAGACAATATTCGTCATTACATCTCCTTTATTTAAAAGTTTTGGTAAAGGTTGATAATGTACTTTTTGTCGGAACGAGCAGAATAAGCTCACCAACTTTAGATCATTTTCATAGCACATATTAAAAGAGTCAAAATCCTCTTTTTTTTTTTTCGATAATCTTACTACATTTTTCTTGCTCCATTCTTCACAAGCTAAGTTTATATGTTGGATAGAAGAAGCAAAGGTTAATCCTGTTCTGACTAGTAAAACGGATAAAGATGGACAGCATGGAGAAAAAAGAAAAAAAAACAATTATGGTTACATATATGAATTATTACAAGATAAATAGTATTAACAGAAATTATGATCAGGGTAACAAGCAAATGCTAGTGTAATTAGCCGGTGTTCATACAATTTTCTTCTTTTCTCCCTAAACTATAACTACAATATCAGTTATTATTATCATTGATGAGCATATAATATGTATGTTTATACAGCGGACATAATCCTATTATTATCATCATTACAATGTATATTATTGCTTGAATACTCTAACAATGGCTATAAGTGTAGAGTGCATGTTACTGCTGCAAAATGCAATAGATTAGTTGTTTCAAATTATAACTAATTGATTTTTAGAACTATTGTTTGATCTTGCTAATTTTACTAGACTTTTCAAATATTTATCTCTTAATAAAGATATTACGATACTATCTATTTTATTTAGCTGCATTATCGACTTTAAATGCCTGAAATCATTGATCATTTTATCCCCTTTCTCTTGAATAACCTTTCTTCACGTCAATTGTGTACATATTTTCAATATCATTTCTTGGTTTGTCAGTTTGTCAGCTGTTTGTACAATCCTTTGCGAGCTTTTTTTTTTTTTTACCATAATAAACTATCTTCATTATTATCACAGCAATATTTTGATTGGCTCCCCCCATTAATCGTGTCATAGCTTTACCCTTAATCCTAAAAGGATTTTTTTGTTTTAGTATCTTTTATTTACATTGATTAACTAAACTCGGATCAATTTCGATACAATTTATATCTTGCATCAAATTTGGGTAGTTTTTTTTTTTAAAAAAAAAATTGTTTAAACGTAGATCAGACATCAAGTCTTTTAAGTTGCTGTAAAGCTTATATTTTTATTCCTGTTGCATAGAAGTCCTCTTTTTTTTTTGTTTTAAATTTCCGAATGTTAAAAATGTCAAATTCTTTGTTCATACAACTTTTTTTTTTTTAATTATTTTTATAATCATCGTCTAATTGTGATCGTCAATATGGTTCAACGTAAGATTGATTTTATTTGGCATTTTTCTTTTTTTTTTCTTTACACAAGACAAAAAAAAATAAAAAAAAAAGAGAGAGAGAGAGAGAAAAAGACTTAATTCAATCATTTTATTAGCAAATGTAAAAATATATCATCCATCGTACATTTCTGTCAAAATCTATTCTAGTATAAAAAATAAAATAAAGTGAGATTTTTAAACCCTAAAAAAAAATAAATAAATAAATAAAAATAGAATAACTGATCATTTCGTCATTAGGGAACTTGCTAAGAAAACAAAAACGGACATTTCCTTTAATTTTGAAGAACAGTATTTTGATATTAAGGGAAGATCTCAACAAGCTTGTGATGATTGGTAAGATCTATGATTTACATTTATTGATAATTAGACTTATGTTTTGTCAAATCCTTAGTTCAATGATTATAATGCAAAACCTTTTGCCACAACTTGTAAGCTCATAACTCACTTTTTCTCTTATCATTTTTTTTAACTTTGTTTTTTATTTTTTTATTTTGTTTTATTTATTTATTTATTTTTTCTACAAAAATATAATAGAATGCTACCATCGATGAATTTAAATTTAAAGGAACATTTCAAGATCTGGAAGATATACTATCGTCTAATGTTTCAAGCCCAGCTTCTACCTCTAGTGCAAGCCCAATTCGTGAATCAACACAAATATATGCACAAGGTAGACCTTTAAACTTGGATGTGATTGACAAGAAATATAAAAAGAAAGCAGAGAGTAGTAATAAGGAAAATGCATTCTTTGACTACCAAGAAACTGAAAGTGATGAATCTGATGAAAGTGAAGAAGAATATGTTGAAACTTTTACCTTTGCCAAGAATGTTCCTAATCCAAAGGAAGTCCTGACTGGACCATCAACCAACAATAGTAAGCCTATTGATTATTTACGCGTTATCGGTCTTGATACAGAAACAGAATGCAGTTTAATTAATAGACAAATTAAAATCGTCGGTAACAGTGAAGAATCAGTTAAAGAAGCTCTAGAAAGATTTAGAAATTTACAAACCATATATAAACGTCGAAAGAGATCAACTCTAGTTATACCCTGTGTACATTATCCTATCGAGTTTTCCGAATTAGGTTTATATTTTTGCAATATGGAGAGATATGCTCAACAAAGTTATATAGATCTCTTAACTAGCTCTACAGCACCTTTACATGTTATCTTACCTGTATTTAAAGGAAAAGATAATCAATATCAAAAACCTAGAGAACTGATTAGCGCTCCATCTCAAACGATATCTCCTCAAAAATGGAAACAACATCAACAACCAATTGCACAAAAAGAGCTATCTTTAGATGAAAGAATGAAACTAGCCTCTCTGGAATTTGGAAGAGGAGGACGTAATAGCCCTAACGTTAATATAGCTCCTGACCAGAAACCTCTTTGGGGTGAAAACAAATCATATGTGATACGTCCTAGTGTTCAAGCTGCACCTCCTAATCCTCAATCATTTGTATCTACTTCAACCTCTTCGTATGCTTCACCTTCTCCATCTAAATCTGATTTAGTTGAAGATTTTCCAGCTTTACCTGTTCATGCTCCTGCTCCTAAAAAGGCTCCTACTCGACGAGTCATGCGCTTAAAGAGTCAAAAATCTGCTTCTGTAGCTAAAATGCCATCAAAATCAAATATGGAAATGTAAGTTATTATGTAAAAAGAAAGAAAAAGAAAAAAGAACATAAAATAATGATAAAAAAAATTATTTTCTAGTATGAAAGAATATAATTTACATAACATTAAGACTGCTTTAGAAGAAGGGTAATATTTTATCTATTTTGATGTTTATATATAAATATATTTACATAACTATATAGATTAACTACCGTACGTGGATTTAAGGGTGACATAAAAATAAGTGCAAAATTAGGTAAAGTACTTTGGAGTAATGTTACTCCCGAGATACAAAAACGTATCTGGAATTTCCCTGATTTGAAAGATAACTTGATGCAAGAACGTGGTATCCAACCCAATTTTAATGATGTGTAAATATGCTTTTCTTTTCAGTTAAAGAAATATATTTTAACTAATCTTTTTTTTTTTTTTCCTGGGTTATATAGTACAACTAAATCCGATGATCTTATTAGTAAAATAGCTGAGATCTTACCTCAATATTATAGTAGGACTGCTTATTTCGAGATTCATGCTAAAGCTCGTAATCAACCTATTGTTCCATATCAGCCAGTTGTCATGTATATGAATCAAGGTGTAGTTGAATTAAAGAAAGTGGTTACTGCTACTAATAAAATTGTAGAGGTTGACTGGGTATCACTAGAAAGGTAAATTCTCAAACTTTGCCTTGAGGATTCATAAAACATTTCTAATCCTTTTTCTTTTCTTTTTTTGCTTTGCTTTGCTTTGCTTTTTTTTTTTTTTTTTTTTTAGAAAATTCGACTTCCAATTACTTCTTAAAACTGAACAAACGACAAGATCTGATGTAAAACCATTTACTACCTTTATCAAGAAGGTCGCTGTGAGCCCTGTTACTCGTCAAATTACATATGAAAACATACCAGACTTTTTAGAAGTTGATTATATTTTATTGAAACAAACTACAAAATATAGAATTCACTTTCCTTTTGTAATTGAGATTACTCGTGTTGAAAAGCTACCCTTAGTTCAACAAAAATTTAATAATTATGGCATTGAGAAAATTCTCGGTGATACTGGTAAAGGTCAAGTCTGGTATGATTTAGAGGTAAAAAAAAAAAAAAAAAAAAAAAAAAAAAAAAAAAAAAAAAAAAAAAAAAAAAAAAAAAAAAAAAAAATATCCTTTATTATTCTTATTAATAATGGAACAATATATTTATATGTGTGTATAATGTAGGTCTTTTATTCTACTTATGATGAAATCTTTAAGGTGAACAATGATTTACCTATTGGTAAATTTGCCTCTTGGACAGTAAAAGATATTATAGGTGATGAAAATGATCCTTCTAGTGCTTTAGTTGAATACATTCGATGTTTACTTATCTTGATTGAAAAATGTGAATCAGTTATTTAAATATAATATTTAATAATAATAATAACAATAATAATAAAGAAAAAAAAAACTTCTATAATATGGCATGTTGAGAATATAACAGTGAACGAATTTTATAATAATCCACTGATAATCCTCCTTCTACCAATAATTGTCCAGTACCAGTCTAATATTATATAAAAATTAGTTAGAAAATTTATACAGACATACACATACATATATATTTATATATATATATATATACAGCTTACCTTTCGAACTGCAACATGATCGTTGCAAACTAAAATACCTTCTCCCTTAAATTCAGCTTGAATGCCTTCTGCTTGTAACACTTTTCTAAATTCTGATAAACGTACATCACCTACAAAGACTGAAGGATCCCACTTTATACGTTGATCATGTGTGGCTATGTCTAATGAAGGTGTAGTTGAATCATCTGGAAAGTGAATACGCCCTACTACACGAGCTAATTCATAATCATCCAACTTGATAAAAAAAAATCATTATGATGATACATACATATTATATATATATGTATATGTATATGTTTACTTACTTTTGAGAATTGTAAGGAACTAACCATGCTGTCGGTTAATTTAACTCTATAAATATTTGTAGCAGCTGAAACATTAAGCACTTCACCCACAGAGGGTGTAAAGATTTCTTTAGTAAAATTATCGATGGACTGACAAGCATTAGCAAGTTCCTCAGTAGATGATTCTGAACCATGAACGATAATCTAATTCATAATAGTCATATAAATATCGTATTATATACATATATTTATATAATTCTACTTTACCAATTTTCTTGGTGCGATTTGAGGTAAAATTGTTTTTATTGATCGACCATCTGAAAGACCTTCTAAATCGACATATCTTAAAAGACACTGAACTGATAGTTTTTCATTATTTGAGGTATATTTGGTAGGACTTTCATCTCTTCCCGGTAATAGTGGCTCTTCAATATCTGGCATTAATTCCTACAATTTTGATATAGTTAAAAAAAAAAAAAAAAAAAAAAAAAAAAAAAAAGGAGCCATATTTACATCTTCCTTTCCAAAATTGGCACCTTCTCCTAAACTCTTTTTTTCTTGCTCTATTCTTTCAAAATCAGATGCCTTCATATAATGCTCTATTTGAATAGCTTCACCATAATCGTCAAACTTTTTACGTTTTTCCAAATAAGGGAACATATGATAACTTTGAGATTGTTTGAAAAAGCCTCCAGATTTTCCAGTATCACGAACATATAAATCAAATTGCTTCATTAATAAGCTATCCATATTTTCATCATTATCATCAATATCAGATGAATCACTTTCATCCTCTTCCATAATCGTTTTACTTCTAGCCAGTATAGCTGCTTGTGCTGCCTCTCTTTCAGCTTTAGCTCTTTGTGCTGCTTCAAATTCTTGTAATTCAGCTCCTTCTAAAGGTACCCGTTTATAAATAGTTAAATCCATGGTGGATTCATAATTAATAACAGGTTTTACAGGTAATTTTGTTCTATTATGAGCTGTAACAGTATCTATGTCCATTGCATCCGTTTGCTTATTCCAATCATCATAAAGACGACGCGCTAAAGATCCGGGACCAGCTCGATCTGTTAAAATAAGTGTGTTGTTTATATTATGTTGATCACTAGGCATTGTCATCCAACGAATAAACAATTCCCGAGCAAAGCCTGTCTCTAAACTATAATTACTAGCAATCACAACTTTGGGTCCTGAATAATTATCCAAATCTTCAAGTTTATGACAGAGTCGTAAATATTTAAATTCGTAAGGATTTTCACGAGATTGAGAGAAGTTTTTCGTTAGCTCTTCTCCCATCCATTCAAGCATAATTTTCGCAAAATGAGCTGTATGATAACTTGTATTTGATAACATAATAAGGGGATAGCTAAGTTGATTTTGTGTCCAATATTGATCTAAAAGATATGACAATTCTAAAACACGAGCTGAAGAATCTGTCGGTAATAACACCGACCCTCCTGCTTTTAAAGATTTGGTCATTGTTTCTATATAGAGAATTTCATTAATAAATAAGTCTTTGTATATATATATGTATATATATGCATTTTAAATAATTTACCAAACATGGCAGTATATCTATCTTTGCGAGCAGGGTGTACAACCTTTGAATTATATGAATCTGTAATAAGTAATGATGGACGTGTAAGTGAATCTAACACAACACCTCCTGAATGTAAAACTGTGCCATCTAAATGTCTTTAAAATAAGTAAGTATTATCTTTTTTTTTTTAATGCTGTTATTCATTCGTATTTACTGTTCTTTTCTGTGGTTAAAATCAACGGCATATACAACTTCTTCTGTATCTTGTTTGATTTTCCAAATAGTACCACCAATAGTATGAGCTGCAGCATAAGCTGTAATGGTAATTCCTTGACATTTACCTAAACTTTTATAAGTATCATACAAGGCTATATTATATACATCTATATACCTGATAAGGAAAATGGTTGTGAATAACGAAGTGGTGTAATTTTATCAAATGAATTATCAACATCTTCCAAGCTAAATGTCTTGAATTCTATTTCGTTTGTTTTTGATTGATAATTATCGTACATGCACATTTTACCCATGTTTACAACAGGAATAGTCGAATAAACTGGACAAGTCATGCCGAGATGACTTCGTGCATATGGATAAGCACCGAGATGAGGAAGATCACTGTGTGAGAGAAGAACAACATCGATATGTTTTGCTACTCTTGAAAGAAAGAATGAAAGAAAAATCAATATACGCGTATTATTTTATTGTATTATTTTATTGATTATCTTACTTTTTTAAATTGGAAAGATCATCCACATTGAAAGTATCAGACCAACCACAATCAAGTAAAATCTTGATTTCATCAATTTCCAATAAAAAGCATAAAGGATCTTCGTTTTTTGCACCTGAAATGGGTGTAAATTTAATATAACTAGTCATTATGTCCTTTTATTTTATATGAAAAAAAAAGGGTATGTAATATATGTGTGTATGAATGTATCTTTTTTTTTTTTTTTTTTTTTTTTTTTCCTCTCTCTAAATTATTGTGACTGAAAGACGATTCTTCTTTTTAAAAGTCCCTTCCCCATGCATGATTTTTATTATCATTTTTTTTTTTTTTTTTTTTTTTCGCGCACAAATGTCATCGGCAACAGAATTGAAACAAGAAGAACTCAGAATAGAAGATGAAGAAGATGATCCTTATAATGCAAGAATAGAGAAAACAGGATGCTTCCAGGAAAATGAAAATTTACAATTATGCTTTTATGATAATAAAGACTGGAGAAAATGTAAAGATGAAATGCAGGCATTTCGAGATTGTTTTACAAAAAATCTAAAGAATGCGGGTAGTAAAGAATTGATTGAATCAGCAAAAAATAAAAGAGATGACTACGAATAATAATAATAAAACTTACACACACACACACACACATGTGTACATGTAGAGTTACTCTTCACATAATAAACTGGCACTCCTTAATTGCGAATTGTCTAATAAAGGCATTGACTGTAGTTGCGAATAGATATTTTGCTGAATTTTAAACTTATAAGCCCTTGATAACACTTGAAAAGTCAAAACATGTTTAATTACGGAAGCTATAATTATTGGCATTAAAATGTGTGTATAATTTCTCCTTCACTTTACATGTATATATCATCTGTACCTGTTATTCGAAACTTATTATAATTAACAAGTCGACTGCTTAATCTTTCGTATAATTGTTTATCTTTTGTATTTTCATTATCATGGCGCATATCATAATTTGACGTGATAAATGTTGGTAACTCAGAAATAAATACAAGATCAGATAAATAAAGCCCTATAAAGAAAAAGAAAACGCTATTATTACTATATAAAAGTAGGTTGGTCTATTTACAAGTATTTTTTTTTTTTTTTTTTTACCTAAAAAGGGTATGCTACCATTGACAAGATCCAAGTCTTTTAAACTTTGTGTCAAAACAGTCTCTACTGCAAATGATTCTGCAATTTCTTTTGTCACCTTCGTCATGTCATTTCTCACATTTTTCCAGTTTTTAAATGGTTTTGATAATTCTTTTAGTTTGTTGAATAAATCTAGTTTATAATGATCTACCTTTTGCCAAGTTCTTTCTAGTCGAGTCACAGATGGCGACTGTAAGCCCAATAGAATCTGTAAGAGAGTACTATAATTTCGATAATGGTAGCAATGAATAGCAATTTTGATATATTTCTCAATGACCTTAACGCGTATATCTAATTGATGTGAACGAACTATTTCAGATGCAACCCATTGACTCGTCTATGATGATAAGTAAATATTTCAAACTAATGTATATGAATATGAATATATAAATGTACCATATTAAAGAATGCTATTAACTGTTCTACACCTCTATTTTGTTCTTCTAATGTCATCCATTGTTTTTTCGTTGATCTTTTCTTCCATCTTAATTCAACGAGTTCATCCCAAGTAACATTTTGTAACATGGACTTTTCTAAAAGACAAAATTGTTGGGCTATAGTGATTGACTTGTATTTTAGAATCAAAGATTTATTATATGACATAGGTATGAAGGAGAATAGTAGAGATCGATGATGATTATTTTGTTGCTGACTTGCTTAAGTTTACAGAGATATGAGTAAGAAGATGATAGTACTTCTCCCCCTCCCCTCCCCCTTTGTTTTTTTTTTATGTGTTGTATTATGTATATACACTTACAAAATAAATGATTATCATTGTTAGTAGGAGTAGCGCGTTGTTGTTGATGCTCAGGATTTATGATAGATTGAGATACAGTTTTTTGAATCGTTTTCTTCATTTTGGATGTCCAATTTTGGGACTTATGATTCTCATTTACGATATGATGACTGCATGGTATAATACCTATGGCACTATCTTTTCTAATTTGTTGTTGTAACTCATCATTGTTCCTGATTGTTGAATACGATATATAAGCTTTTCTTTGTCTTTTCACTATATTTCGAAGACTTTTTATAATACGTTCATCACGTGGAGATGCATGGATAACAGGATGTGTTTGAAGTTGAGTTAAAAAGGTACATAGAATAAACCTCAATGTTTTCGATGTTACAAAATCATAGCTCCAATAATGAGTTAACCAATGGCGAATAACTACAAAAGTTCTAAATAATATATGTTAATTTTAATAAATATATAATCGTTTTTTTTTCTAAGGAGAGATTCTCTACCTTATACGAATTAATCGATGCTCATCATTTTCATCCATTAAAGCCCATCTAAATCTCAATATTAATAGTTTACATAATTTAATAGGTGTTAAAAACTGTCTAAATGTGATGAAGAAGTCCATAAGAAAATCATTATCTATTTCAAGTTAATAAATCAAGAAACGATTTTTTTTTTTTTGATAATATATACAGATATATAGGAATGGATCGTACCTAATTCACGAGTTAATTTTTCAACAAGTTTCTCTATAGTAGCGGATGTAATCGTCATATCATTTTTACTAAAATGAATGAAATGAGGAGAGTCCTTTGTTAGCAAATCAAATATATAGGGATCATTCTCGATAGGTGGCGAAGGAGGTGAGCAATCCTCTGTTAGAGGAAGATATTTTGTTACTTTAGATGATGGGTCTGTTTCATTCTGACTCGTATCCTTTTCTTCATCATTCATCCAGTCTAAGAGCAGTAAAGGTTTTTGTTTTCCTACGTCATGATCAAAAGATAGTAAGCCATCCAAATGCTGGTCTTTTACTTTCTTCTTTAATGTAGTGGTATTAGTTGTAAGTATAGATGTTGCATCACCTGTAATAGTTTTGTTTGGGAATAATGAAACAGTGGCCTTTCGACTAAAGATTCTTGAAAATCGATTACTATGATTATTACGTGTAATGGGAATATGTGAGAATGATCTAGACGCTTTCATACAACGATGATGATGATGATGTGATCTATATATGATAATGTCATTAGGATAGGAAAAAAAGAAGAGAAATAATAATAATAATAAAGAAAAGACAAAATATGGATAGCTCCTTACTTGTCTGTCTTTATGATTGGTCTTGATGTCTTTGTCGTAGTAACCCAGCCATAGATAGTTGCCAAGCGATTATAATCTGCATAATAGCCCCCATTGATTTCTATACCTGCACTATGTCTTCTTCTTGATAATTTAGTTTTACTTTTCATAGTATCCTGTTTCTGAATTTTTGAGATTATATCGTTTAATGATTTTGATCTTCTTCTAATACAATAACGAAAGTATTATTATTATTGAATACATATTAGATATATTTATTTTCTTATTACTTTGATAGGTCTGATTTTAAAGGTAAAACAGAGCAATGTAATGTATCAAACATAAAAGAAGAAGAAGAAATAATAGTAAAATAAATAAATAAATAAATAAATAAATAAATAAAAAAGGGGGGAGAAAACTCATTATAAATAAACACGAAAAAGAGAGCTTATTAAACTATAAAAAATAATGTTTAATTTGATCATTTGTGACACTAGATAAATTTAAGCGACGAAAAAAAAAAAAAAAAAAAAAATGCATTTCATTATTTATTATTTATTTATTTATTTGTTTTTTTTTTTTTGTTATTATTATTATTATTATTGTTTTCAATATGGTTGTAGAGAATAAATATGAAAAACAGCAAAGACCATTCAGGATTAGGAAATCACTTAAAGAACTTGTTCATATGCCTCGAATACAAAAAACTCAACAATCTTCAATAATACTGCCACCTTTGCCCACTCAAGACTCAGAAAATATGGAATATGTATATGATGTCCTATATGAATGTCAAAGAGGGTAAACATAAATAAATAAATAATGAATATATACATATGAGTTCATTATTAAAGAAATAATTCCTAGTTCTTTAGCCGTTGGGTATAGCTCAAAAACGTAAATGTCAATAATGCTTTTATAGAAAATCTAGGATTTTTAATAAATTGATTTGTTTTAGTCTTTTACAATTTGATCCAAATCCATGGTGTGATGCTAAAATGAGGTAAATAATTTATCATTTATAACAACCTATTTTTTGGGGGGAGGTTTTTTTTTTCTAATTTTATCAGATTTACACCAATGAACATAGATACGTATCAGCTACCAGATCCTACTTGGGAATGGGTAAAAAAAAAAATCCAGTGTAAAATTATGCAAGAAATTTATATCTTTCTTTTTTTTTTAAGGTAAGCGATGATTGGATGATTGATATGACAGGTGATGTTGATGAGGCAGGGTGGCAATATGCCTTAAAATTTCATGGAGCAGAATGGCATGGTATGAATCTATATAGGAGAAAGTAGTAAAGAATTGATAATAAAACTTAATTTAGGTAACTACAAACATTTTAGATCTTTTGTTAGAAGAAGACGATGGATAAGATTAAGGCGTCGATCTATAAACAGCATTAGTCATTTAGAGGAAGAAGAACATGTAAATACAATAAAAACAAGGACATTAATTGATATAGAAGAACCAACATCCTCTTCAACACTATTAAAAGATCAAGAAATCATTGAAAAATTACAAAAATGTCGATTAGACAGAGAAAGATTAAATATTCTTGATGATTTAATAATACCAGAAGAAAAAGTATAAAATAGATCTTTTTATACATGTATTTAAAATACGAACTAATTTTTTTTTTTTAATTATCATTATTATTATTTAGGCTTTAACTTATTTGACTTTATTTGACTATGAAGAATCAAAATATAAATTCTTAGCAAAACTATTATTACAAAAAAGGCTTGATAAATTCAAACTTGTGGAAGCAATTCAATCATTATCATTTTATTGTGATGTACAATCTATTCTTAATGAAATTGAACAATGAATTTATCTTGTATTATTATGAAGATCAGTATGTATAACGGTCGCATCTCTTTCTGAATCATCACGAATATTAACTAAAAGATGTTCATCACGAATAACAGTAGTAGATGACGGGGTATATTGTGGGGTATCTTCAAATGGATTACTATAAGCTGGAGCTGGTTGAATATTGTATAATTTTTGTAATAAAACAGGCTTTAATTCTTGAAGTTGACTTGCAGATAAATTTGACTGCTGTTGTTGTCTTTCTAGTCTATATTGTTCAGCTAATATATCATTTTTAGCTCTCATTTTCATCCTTTTTAGCCAGCAAACATATGTTGAAAGTACAATAATGACTGCTATTAAAGAAAAAATAACTACAAATAATGTTTGATTTATATTAAGTTCCGTCATTTTATTAAATAAAGAATGATAAAAGGAGGTAGAAAGGCAGAAGAAATTAAGGAAAATAATAATCGTTCTATTTTGTACAACAAAGAGGACCCAAATTGAACCATTTATCATGTGTAAAAAAAAAAAAAAAAAAAAAAAAAATGGACTTTTTTACACTTTGACTATTTGATAAATTAAGGAATTTTATCAAATATACATTATTTTATGTACGTAAACGTACTCTCACCCATCTTTATTATTCAGTACAAGCAGAATGGTTAGATGATGTACTGTTTGTGTCAAAAAAAAAAAAAAAAAAAAAAAAAAAAAAAAAAAAAGCGTACAAAGAACTTGAAATAGTTTTTATTTTTTAATTACAAAATATATGATACTTTACTGTATATTTCCTTATTTTTATTTCATTGGAGTAGCAATAAGTCCTTGTTGCATTGTTTCAAAACCATACGATCGGCTATAGCTTGATAGTAACATGTACTGTATACATTGGCTTTTGATTATTAGTTCTTATTAACAATATAACATTCTGTCGTTATTTTTAACTTTAATCTCACAAATCAACTGGATAGTTTGATGTTCATCCATAACTGATTATAATCAATACTTTCCATTACCGTCACCATCACCAAAACCACATGTTTTTTTTTTCTTACTCAAGACGACAAGAGTAGCGCAAATACTGTAATGGGTTGGTTTTCCGGTCTAATTAAATTGATGACTAGCTCTTATTTAGATACATACTCATTGTTTTATGCTGTGAATCAAATCAGAAAATCCGAATTTCAGTAACATTTTAATCCAATTTTTTTTTTTTTTCGGCGAAATATGTTATTTGTATTGATGACAAGAACATTTTACTGCTCATCCATATATTTTACTATTCAACCATAAGTTTTACTGATCATCAAAAAATTTTGTTGGACTTTAAGATTTTTTTGTATTAGTGGCATTGGATTTTTTTTTTTTTTTTTTTTTTGTATTTTTAAACGCGAAATACTGTACACAATGTGTCTTCTTTATTAGGCACAAATTGCTCATCATATTGGTTAGTGACTTTGATTATGTCACAAATATCTAACTTGTTTTTTTCTTTTTTTCTTTTTTTTTTTTTTTGTAACTTCCTTAACTTTTTTTTTAATATGTTATTGAATAGTTTTTTTAAATTAAAACCATCTTCTTACTATTGTATAACTACGACTACTACTAAAAGCTTGGTCTATTTTAATCGAAAACAACTTTGTTTAAAAAATAATAATAATTACAGACTTGGTTCAACATGCTGTCATAAAAAAGAAAGCCCTAATGAAATAAAATTATCTCCAATAAGTCTCGAATTTTGGTCACATCCTGATACTTGGCAGCGTACAAGAATAAATACTTTAAGGTAAATCCTCAAAAAAAAAAAAAAAAAAAAAAAAAAAAAAAAAGAAAACTCAAGTCTTACTTCCTTTCTTTTCTTACCCCCTCCCCTCTCTCTCTCTCTCTTCTCTCTCTTAGATGTCTTATTGGATGTACTTCAGGTGATTTTGCTACAATGTGGTACCTTCAATATTATTATCCGGATACATCACCTATATATAGTACTGCAGCAGCAATGGTATAATATATGTATATATTATATAGAACAAGCCACTTAGACTATAATAATAGGTAGCAGGAATATCAACTTCACTTGCATTAGAAACAGTATTATTGAAAAAATCCATGTCTATACCTTACCCAGTAGCATTCAAGACAGCTATGGGCATGAGTTTCGTTTCCATGTTGGTAATGGAATTATCAGAAAATCTAATGGATTGGCATTTGATGGGAGGACAAGTTTTATTCGATGATCCAAAGTTTTGGTTAGCTGGTATAGCCAGTACAATAACTGGTTTTATAGTACCATTACCTTATAATTATTGGAGACTTAGAGCTTTGGGTAAATCGTGCCATTAATAATATATCTTGTTTATTCAACATATATTATATTTGACAAACTTTTACTCATTTTTGCGAATGTTTCTTTAAAATTGTTGTGTGTATAAAAAGGATTAGTTTCTATGTTAAATAATATATATACTTGTATATTCTTCTTACCTTCCATTTCAGCTAGTGAAGTATCCTTTTTAGCAGCAATTAAATACATTTCAGTAAAATCATCTATATCATCATCTCTGGATCTTTCATCAATAGAGGACCTATTAGTATGTAGAATCGTATTATCTTCTTCTGTAGATCTTAAAGTATTGTATAAACGACTTCCAGCAATCCAATGATTTATAGTAGATCGAGTATAAACCTCACTTGTTCGTGGAATCTTTTCAAACTCTTCTCTTATTTCCAATAACTGTAATAACATGTCGTTTGTAATCTTCGTTGTTGTCTTTGACTGACGATTGTGAGTCATGGTTGATTTTATATTGAGTGTTTTGTTATCATAATAGAAACATTTATAATGTTTTCCTAAATCAAGACTTATATTATGTGGAAATTTTTTTAAATATTTAACATAACATAACATGACTTGCTTACTTACTTTTTCTTTTGCATTTGACTAATATCTTCAATGAGAGTATTCGTTAATTGATCCAAGTCTTTCTCCTTCATATAATGTTCAAGATCGGTATAAAAAGTAGGACTGGATAAAACTGCCTCTGTTTCAGATGTTGCAGGCAATAAAAAGTTCCATACTAAATTACTTTTATGCTGAAATTAAACCAATACATTAAAGATGCTATATAAATATATGTGTATATGTATATATGTATATATGTATATGTATATATTAGTTCTTCTTTTTCTTTTACCTTGTATACTAATAAATAATAGTCATGTAATTCCTTGTCTTTTTGATATGTTGGGTTTCCATTTATGACACTTGAAATATATACACGAACTAAATTGGATTTCGTTACAGACCTCTCTTCTCCATTCATACCAATTGCAGTAGATTCTATTAAACCTGTTAAATAAATCCCTTTTCTGTCAGAAGTATCTGTTCCACTATGAATGGATGGTATATCTGCCGTAGATGTTGTACTATTCGATTCTGTTATGGAAGAGGATGATACAGTCTCGGTCGATCTTGATCCTCCTCCTAAAGAAAAATAACTCAAGATATGGGATTGTGGTAAAGATTTTGTAAATTGTTTAAACCCTGATACTTTGCTATTTGAATTCTTTTTAGATGTCATTTCTATGTCTGCCTTTCTTTTTTCTGATTTGGCATGATTTTCTACTCGTTTTATTACATATTTCCTTAATGCACATATATCCTCAATAGATAAATCAGGTGATTTATATACAAGTGAACCATCTTCCATTTGAAGGATAAATAAATGATGAATATGTTGTTCAAAATTACTTTTAATTGACTCTTCTAAATTATGAATCTTTAAATAGTTTGTACGTAAAATTGATTGAATAGGTACACCATTAAATAAAGCTGTAAAACACATTAGATCTAATCTATCAAAATCCCATTTCCATATCCAATCTGAGAAAAACTCTTCAATTGCATGCATAAGTGATCGTGTTCTTTGTCTTGTTGGCTGTTCTGAATGTTCAGGTCCATAAAGAATAGAGCTAAATGTGCCATTAAGTAACTAAGAATATATGCATGTATATTAGCTTTTTTTTTTTTTTCAATCATCCTGTAAAAGAGAAACAAATTAAAAAAAAAAAAAAAAAAAAAAAGAAAAATTACTTTAAATTGTTCATAACCAATTTTCAATACTGCTTCAAGTGCTTTATCATTTAATTGTGAATCTAAATATTCTGTAACTAATTTTTCCTTTCCTTTCGAATCCTTTATTTGTCTCCTATGAATACCAAGCTCAACACACATGTGCATCCAAAATCCAGGTTCAGGTTGTAAAAAGACCATGCGATTCTTTTGTGAATGAACATTTTGAGTTGGATGAGAAGGGGAAAAAGTGCTAAAAAAAAAGAAAGAAAGAAATGTAATTCCTTAGTTCACTATGGATACAATAGATGGATACTCAATGCTTACGAAGTAAAATTAACAAGTGCTTGAGCAAGACCTACTTGCTTTATTTTCAAGTCAGCTGATACAGCTTTTTTAGCAGTGTAATAAAGTATTTGATCCTTTGTATTTTCTTCAGATTGACTAAGAGAAGGATTATAAACACAAAAATAGGATAAAATAGGTGATGTTTTGCCTAATCTTGATAAATTGGTAGATTCATCTTTATGTATACTTTGATTGCCCGAGTCAGGCATTTGTATTATTTTTATTTTATTTTTTAAAGGAAAAAAAAATAAATAAAAAAATGAAAAGAAAAAATAGAAGATGAATCTAAAATTATAATAAATTTTTCGTCATTACACCAATATGACCATATAGCAACTTAATAAAAAGTAAATAATACATCTCTTCTTTATCATAAATAGTGGCGATTCATGCTAATCATACTATGAGGGATGAAAATAATAGTAACCCTGGTTAGTATCATGAAAGTTATTAAGTATTATGATAACGTGCCTAATAAGTTTTTCTTTTTTTAGTTAGTGATTGAATTTAGCACAAGTGCCTTCAGTATGATGAGAGTCACCACCCTTTATAAGATTAAGGAGACAATAAAACAGACAACTAGTAGGGCAAATGAATCTAATATGAATATAAATAAATAAATAAAAGACCGAGAAAGGAGGGCCTTGTATATATTTATTTAAAGAAAAAAGGCAGTAGACACGCCAAACTGTCCTTATTATGGATAACACTTCTATCTATAAAATACTTGCTTCTTTATTCATTCCTTTAGAAAAGAAAGAAATTGTGTTACAGTCTTTATAAATCTCAGCCATAGGGCAGCAAAAGAAAGTGAATGACTGAAGACTGTCAAGGATAGATTAAACATTCAATATTCATTCTATGTTTGACCTTGGATATCATACTTGATTTATATACGTAGAGTAAGTAAATCCTTTTATTTAATTTTATTTTATTTTATTTTGTATAAAATAGAAATAAAAAAAGGCTTGTGCTTTTATCTACATTGGTTGATATTGCCAGTTAAACGTCATCATGTGATTTTAGAGAAATACTGTTATTTCAACTTCTCCTTTTTTTTTTTTATGTGTATAAAAGTATATCTTTATTTTATTTTATTTTATCTTTCTTTTTTCGTTTTTTATTTTTATTTATTTTGATATGATTATTAACGAGTATAGAGTAATTAATAATTGTACAGAAGAAGAATATCAAGTTGGTAAGATAAAAATAAAAGAAAATGAAATAGGTATAATATATAATATGTGATATAATAATAGGTCAACTATATGCCACTGCTATTGCATCACAAGAAAATACAGGTGGTGGAGAAGGAGTAGAGGTTATTAAGAATGAACCTTATGAAAAGGATGGTGAAAAGGGTCAATATACGTATAAAATATTTCGTCTCGCTTCTCGTGTACCTGCTATAGTAAAAGCAGTTGCTCCTACTGGCGCTCTTGATTTATATGAGGAGGTATAATAATAAGCATAAAGAAAGAAAGAAAGAAAAAGAATAAAAAACGTATTAATTTCGTCATAGGCTTGGAACGCGTATCCATACTGTAAAACTGGTTAGTATAACATAATTAAGATTATTATTTTTTTTCTATCATTTGTTATTAAAACTTTATTGTATGTAGTACTAAAGGTAATTAGATTTTAAAAATCTATTAAGCAAATAACTTACTTTAAAGGAAAAAAAAAAAAAAAGAATGGCTATATGAAAGATAATTTCTCTATCGTTTATGAAACTTTACATGTCAATGGGTCACGAGGAGAGATTGAAAACGCATTAAATATATCAAAAGAAGGTAAATCATTTTTTAAAAAAAAAAATAACTAAAAACATCGAAATTTAATAGTTACCAAATAGATTTAAAAAAGAGAAATGTTATTATTATTGACATTGCTAATGATAAAATCAATCCGAAAGACTATAAGCCTGATGAAGACCCAAAATTATATCATTCTGAAAAGACAGGTCGCGGTCCTTTGACAGATCCTGACTGGCAAAAGAAAGTTGAGCCTGTCATGACATGTTATAAGCTTGTCTATATTGAATTCAAATGGTATGGTCTTCAGACAAGGGTAGAAGCTTTCTTAGCAAAAACAGTACAAACACTCTTTACCAAATTTCATAGGTAAGGCATCATAAGCAAATATCATGTTTTTTATTTAAAAAAAAATAACCTCCTTATTTCCTTATTCTCTTCCCACCACCTCTTCCCTCCCTCTCCCCCCCCCTTTTTTTTTCTTGATAGACAAATGTTTTGTTGGACAGATAAATGGTACGGAATGACAATTCAAGACATACGTAATTTGGAAGCAAAAACAAAAGAAGACTTAGACTTAAAAAGAAATCAAGGTGAATTACCAGTGAACACCTTAGATAACACATAATTAGAAAAACAAAATAAAAAGGATAATAAAGAATTTACAAAAAAAAAGAGGGGTTGAGATGTAGTAAATAAGCTTTTCATGATACTGCTATTATGTCTTTTTTTTTTTTTACTTTGCTTAGATTGATGGGGAGCCAGAACCGAAATAGTTTTTTTTTTTTTTTAACTATGCGCCTTGTAAAAATATATTGTTCAGTCTCGTTGATTTACTATACAAGTTTATGCATATCTTAATAGAGATATCACCCTGAATATTATACTCTTTTTAATTAATCCCTTTATTTATTTTTTAACGGTAAAATTATTCAGTATGCCTTTTAAAGGCTTTGTTGGTAATATGATAAAACCTTCAGTCATTGGGTTTGATTCTTTTGTTTAGTAACAACTTCATAGTGCAAAATGCCTATTATCACGATGGGTCTACATCGTTGTTTTTTAATTAGAAAATCACAGCCAAAACCTGGTTTTTTTTATTAATATTACTAATTTAACAATCCTGTTTGCACTCTTTTTGCTAGTATTTACACCAACTTATAAAGATGATAATCAATACAGTACATAAACAACTACAAAGCACATTTAGTTAGTATTGAATCATCTTCTACAAGTCGTTATTACATAAAAGTTTTTTTTTTCATTTATAATTAATAATAAAAAAGGGGTAATGATCCAATTAGCCAGTAGCTTCTTTATATAATAAAAAAGACTACTGTTTCCAGAAGCAACCAATCGTGGAGGTTGATCATTATGTGCTTCCTTTCACAGTCATATTTAACGAGAGACGTGAAAACTCCAAATGAAAGATACTCTCGGGATTGAATATTTTAAGTGACCAATACATCCAAATAACTTCACTGGGGGATTTATTATTTAGAGTGACCATTATCCGGAGAATATCACTGACGATTTATTGTTTATAGTGACCAATATCCTCAGAATATCACTTTCATAAAGAAAGAAAAGAAAAGAAAAGCAAAAATAAATTTTTTCTTCCCCTATTTATATTTTTTTTTCACATAAACAAAAGGTTTCTAATAGGCACAATGATTTATTGTGGCTTATTGTTTTCTATTAGAAAGATTTAACGATATGACTCTGTTTACCTTTGTTACACTTTAGATGTAGATCATCATACATATTGAATGCCAAGCTCCTTTCTCCCCCTTTTTTTATTTATTTATTTATTTAAACGGAGCTTTTTCCCCCTCTGTTGCTGCTTATATAAATTTTGTCCATTTATAGACTTTAGTATAATTGACTCTATTCTTTGAGTATATAGAAGAGCATTAACAAGTAATATCTGAGAGTAGCTTGTATATATGTATACCTTTTATTTTATCTACAGTAGTGTCTGAAGTAAAAATGTATTTATTTATCTATTGAGTTATTATATTTATTAGCTGTCTCTTATCAATTATAAATTATTTGCTGTAGGCTGTGATATCAGATTATCTTTTCTCAGTAAACAACTTATTCATTGAATAAATAAAGGGAAATGGAACAGTAGAGTAAATGCTAATTGTAACCAAAAGATATATATACATTTATTCTTTGTGCTATTTTGTATCGTGCAGACAAATCTAGAGCTCTCTTTATTCTGAGGCGTAGAAAATGCATATAAGAAAATTAAAGACTATAAGTGATTCGTCAAATACTAACTATTTAAAGATAGTTAACTATCCCTTCATTTTTATTATTAAAGAGCATTTATATATAAATTCAAATATCATTATTTAACGTGTGATTTGATGAGTTACAACACTATGAAAATAATTAAGGGTAACTTAGGTCCTGACATATACAACATGTATACGGTGATACAATATATGTTTATATATCCTTGTCACTTTAAAGATGTTCAAATCTATAGCTTGTTGATATCAGTTAAATATTTCTAATGATGGAATGAATTCCTCTTGTTTAAATATCTTGCAACAGTTATTATTAAATCGTCTGATAATTGATAACAGTGGCAAAGCCTATTCAACTACTTTACTTAACAATTGCCACAAGTAACCTCACTATTAGCATTTTTATCCTTTTTTTTTTCCGCAATGTAAATGCTTATAGCATGTACAAAGAGGAGGGGAGGGAGGGATGTTAATAATTTTATTTTTAAATCTATAAAATTAATTCGGTGGTGGCATGTTTTTAGAAACTTTTTTATCCCTCATCGCTTTACGATTATGATTAGCAAAGCGAGCCTTGTTTTTGTTTTTATAGGTACGTTCTTGTGTTTCACTCACAGGAGGACGTTTATTTTCCTTCCCCTGAGAGTCCTTTTGAGCCTGACTCGTTTCTTCAGTCACTTGATTCTGATTTCCATCAAATAGCATATATTTATCCAGGATCTTGTTTTTACGTGGCTATAAAAAAAAAAAAAAAAAAAAAAAAAAAAAAAAAAAAAAACATGCACACATTAGTTTTTTTTTAAGCTCACTCTATTCTATTCTTTCTGTCTCTTTTTTTTTTTTTTTTTTTAAAAAAAAATAACAAACTTACATTTCTGTTAAACATAATAGCCCATCCCTCTAATTGCTCATTCGACATACCAGTTTGCTTTCTCAATTCAGCTCTTTTCGCTGATTTACGAGCTGTACTATTACGAACAAATAATTCTGGATGATCAACAAATGTATGAACAAGTAGACTTTCATTAATAACACCAGGATCAACGACTTCTTGTTTCCTTTTTATAATATCTATTGCAGTATCATCTCCATTTTCCATAGAGGCAGGCACACCGACATCATTGATATCATCATAAGTATCATCATATTCATCATCATACATATCTACAACACGCTTCAAGACATTCTTCTTTTCAGCTTGGATAAAACTCTTATCATTCAATAATAAATCTGCATTTCCCTTGTCCTTTTTGCCGATATACATTTTAGAACTATCGACTGTAGGTCGATTAAAGATATCAAATTCATCATGATCGTATATATTTCGTCTTGTTTTCAATATACTTTCTTTGTTTGAATCAAGGGATGGGTGCGAGGGCTCTGTTCGTTGTAATTCATCATCAGGTTGAGCAACAGCGTCAGGTGGTAATAAGGCCCTTCTTTCCATCTTGCGATCTAACTGTCGAACAGAATCGGGTAATGTATCCTCTAAGAGCTGCATAATGACTAACTCTGCATCATAATGACTGGCTTCTAAACATGCCTCAATAAATCCATCACCAAGTTCAGGGAATAAATCATGGATTTGAGATACCTTTTCTATATTCTCTGTAACATCGGGTTGTTCCTTTTTAGAAGGATCGTGTAATAAAACTCTACCCTTATCATCATTACTGTCTCGAACTTGCTCCATGGACATGACTAGAAACATAATACGTTCATCACCTCCACCAAATAGCTCTCGGTCAATCAATGCAAGTTTGTTTGAAATATCATATTCTACTTCCCAATCTAAGATTAAGGGTGCATCCAAGAAAGCTGAGCGTGTGGTATCTAAGCCACTTTGTTCAATATAGCTTATTAGTTTATGGCTCATGAATGCAATAGTTGAGTCATCATTATCTACACTATCTGTGATCCTGTCTAATGTGTGGTGATCTTGAATGGATGAAATATAACCAAGAGGTTTGAAGAAATGAATGTCAGCATATAGATTAAAGGCAGAGATAAATGTCTTTTTAATTAAATAGACCCAATAAGATAAACTATCCTCTTTCTCGACACTCCCTTGGAAGAGTGGGTTCATGTTTTGGTAACATGAAATTAATATCTCATCTAGAGTCTCGAATTTGGATCGAATGATATCGACAAATAAAACAGATGATAGTAGGGAATCCAAGACACGAATAAGAACGTAAATTCGATTTAGCATGCTCTTAGATAGAGGTGCAGAAAGTAAATTGGGTATGGATTGCACCGCATCCACTACTGTATTTAACAATGATACTATTTCATCTTTCAGACCTTCATACTGACTCGTTAATTTTTTTATGATGGAACGTACTTGAGTCACATTAGACTCGCCGTATACTATAGAGAATCGAGAAAGTCTATCCACATTTAATAGTAAACTAGGGCAAGGACCAGGTATATGGATCGAAGCGAGTCGAGAGTACACAAGAAAAATAGACCGAAGCAATGTGGCGTCTATTGCAACTTCAGTATCCATTTGCTCATTCAATACTTGATCGATGAACTGAGAAAGTGATTCATTATATGCTGTCTCGTGTAAGAAAGCATCATCTTGTAAATTGAGAAGTTCGGCGAGATTACGAGTCCATGAATAAAGTGCCACTTCCCATAAATTCTCTTCAATGGTCTCGTCTTTACAAGATACAAAAGGAATGAAGTCAAGCATATTTAGAAGAAGAAGAAAAGAGGCAGTGTGTAAGAAAGGAAGAGAGAAAATGATGAAATGCCAGATATAAAGCTGCGGTAATCAAATTTCTGGTTGTTTAAAAAAAAAAAAAAAAAAAAATGACGACGTACTTTAGAAGACCGAAGGTGAATAAAAGCTATTATTAAAGATATTAAAGTTTTACATAAATAACACTTGGCAATTATTATTTTTTATTATTTTTTATTTATTTCCTTTATTTTATATTAAACATGCCTGTAAGGCCTTTATATGAAAAGTAGAATTGAAAATAATGCTAATTAGAATAATTGGATGTTACTTTATTATTCATAGGCATATCATTCACAGTTTAACAATGGAGATTATCAATCTGTTGGTAATATGTTTTTGTTACCTATAAAGACTAAATTTAGAGGCAATGCACCTTTTGGTAAGCATCTTTAATTTAATTATTTTTTATTCTAATGTGCTGAAAGAATGGCATAATATACATTGTTTATAGCCGATCCTAATTCCGAAGACATCATTGATGAAGCCCTCGACTTATTTCGTGCTAATTGCCTTTTTCGTAACTTTGAAATTAAAGGAAACGCTGACCGCGTTTTGATTTACTTGATTTTATTTATTTCACAATGTCTTGGTTCCTTGAATAAGTATACACCTCAAAGTGAAGCTCTCAAGTCTTTAAACACTTTGGCACTTTCCAATTTTTCTATTCCAAGTGATCCTTCATTCCCTTTAAATGCCATGTATCAAGGACCTGTTGATAAATTTCAAAGTGGTAAGTGTTTATGGCTGTTGTTTATTTATATTTTTATTTATTTATTCTCTTTATAAAAAGATCAAATGAAGCAATATATGCAGCAACTTCGTCAGGAACTGGTTGTACGTTTAGTTGATAGAATTTACGTTGATGGACATCCAAGTAAATGGTGGATGTGTTTTTCCAAAAGAAAGTTTATGAATCTTAGTCTTTAAGATAGTATTATTTTTTTTTTAATTAAAAAGAAAAAGGGAGGAGAGAGGATGTTGTATTTGATCCTTCTTCTTTACATGTTGAATTAGGTGTCATTTAGTTTTTATCATCTTTCGTCCTTTTAATATTGTAATAATCATTTATTTATTTATTATAATCTAGTTATTTTTGACATGTGAAACTCTCTATTGTCTATTTTTTTTTTTTTTTATCCTTAATAGAAGGATTTCGTCTATGTCCTGTCATACTATTTTAGACTCATATATGTAAAGAAAACAAGTTTTCTATTCGCTTGGTATTCATATTTTTTATTGTTTTGATTTATGTAACTGACCACTCATGTCGATACCTCTTTTAGCCCAAAATGATTTACCGTATGTTACCAACTGTTATAATATAAATAGATAAAAAATAAAGTTAGTGTTCCAATTAAAGGTAAATGTATAATGTTTTACCAATTCATCTCCCTTTTTAATTTTTCGATTGCCATTAACAAAAATGCCAACTTTTATGTGCTTTGTTTTTTCATCCATGTAATTCATAAAACATACATTGGGTTCAGGTCCACAACCACGAAAATCATTGCAAAATCGAGCTTCATTACCACAACGTCCTGCATCGATGGATAAATCTGTTCCGTATCTCAATACATAATCTGAAGTAGGATCATAACCATCCTTATATTCAACTACGCCTAGGTAATCAATGATCAACTGCTTCGGATGTAATGTCTGTGCTGCAAATAATCCATAAGCACCATAACAAGGATGGTTCTTATCGATAATCTTTTTGATCTTTACATTACGTCTTTGTTCTTTTGTGCCTGGAAATGTGCCAATCAAATTAACATGTTCATTCATAAAATTGATGGTACGTCGTGGATCTTGAACGTTCGCCCTTGCTGGTTGATATAGATCTCTTAGTTCAGTTGGCACATTGGGAGACCAAAAAAGCTTATCGATATATTTCACTCCTGGTGTCCAGCCAGAGGGCGACGGCACTTCCTTTACATTACGTAAATATTGCATCTGCTGATTCATCTTGATCAGTTACATGAATTTATTTGAAAATAAAATTAAGAAAAAAAGAAGAAAATATTTGTAGTAGTATGGTATAAGATGGTGTGTATATAGTGGATAGGATAACCATTTAAAAATAATAGTAATAGGAAAAATTATGGTATTTCATTTTCTACAGCAAGGACTTCAAATCGGGAATCATTCTTGATAATAATAATACTATTTGTTACGACAATAGAAGACAAAGGATTATTGACTGTAAAATACAAATTTATAAAGCGTAATGAATAATAATATTATAATAGATTTAAATAGTAAACAAGCTTACTTGGGTGATGGCTATTCGTGATAGTTGTTGTTTCTATATCATGATTAGAAGTATTTACTTGTTACGACAAAACTACTACTGCTACTACTACTACTACTACTACTACTACTACTAGTATACTTTTTAGTTGTATTTTTTTGTTTCTTTTTTCATAGTAGTAGAAAACTTTAAATTTAAATCCCATTGTTCTACATGATCCATGCATATGTCAGATATGAATACTAATAATTGACGATTCTGTACAGTTAGCCAATGTATATCTGACTTGAGGTCATTGATATGGATGGCTTGTCTATTTAAAAACTTTTTAGTCTTATGTAATTCTGATATTAACGAATTAGGCTCCACTGCTTTTTTATGCTGTCTTAAATGAGGCACAACAGTACGTTCTATCCATTCTCTATATATCTTGAACTTTTCTTCCAATTTTTCAATGATGATTGATTTATCATTTAGTATAGTACTCTGTTCGTCAATTGTATTTAATAAAGCGTCTATTTCCTCTTCTTTAATCGTGATACGTGCCTCTAAGAGAGCCATCCCTTTTTCATGTCTGTGTATTTGATGGTGTAGTTCCTTATTAAGTAGTGAGATTTCCTTTGCATTCTCTTTATGATACTCCAATTGCTCAGTGAGTTCAGTAGTTATGTTGGTCATAGAATCGATATGCAGATTTAAATCATTTATTTCCTTCTCCTTCCTCTCTACATGATCTTCAAGCTCTAGAATTTGAGTGGATAGTTCATTTGTTCGTACTTGAAGTGAATTGTAATTTTCTTGACTTTCATACAGACGATGTTTCAAGTCATGCATGCTATTTAACTCTTTCTGTAGTGATTCAATCCTATCCTCTTTTCGTTCTATATGTTCTTTATATTCAGTCTCTGAATTAGATAAAGCTTTCTCTAATTGATCTATCTTCTTTTGTAGCTGTAATGTTTTCCAGTATATTTCTTGTCGGTTAATCTATACATGGAATAAATCGTATGTTAATATTACTTACTTGCATGTGCCTTTTATTTATTTATTTATTTATGTATTTATTTATTAGGAAGGAAAGTGGACTACTATACCATCTTTTGAAGTATTGTATTTTTAGCTCTCAGTTCTGCTAACTCTAAATCCTTTGTGATAAGTAAAGCCTTAGTATCGTTTTTATCTCTTTCCAATTCTTGAATCGTCGATTCTAACTTTTTGCTTTTAGCATACAAGATATCCATTTCCTTTTGTTTTACATGTTTATATTTTTCAAATTGATCTGAGGAAGCTACAGATATTTTTTTAGTATAGGTTTCATTACTTGAACTTGTCATGATTAGTGAAAATTTGATGTATTATTTTGTTATAAAGTTTATAATTGTCGATACATTACTGTATTATTGAATGATGAACCACTTGGGAAATGTATAAAAAAAAAATCATTTTTGTACAAGTAGTTTATTTTATTTTAACTAGCAGCAGCAAAATAAGAATAATCACGAGATATTAATATTAAATTTGCCCGGATCGAGGGGGGGAGGGGGACGAATATAGAAGGTTTTATTATGGGGAAAGGGAAGGGCTTAGTAAAGAGAACGATCATGATCTGTTAAGAAGGACGAGCTTATTTACCAAGAAGAAAGAATGACAGATCAAGGCTTTTTTTTTTTTCCTTAGAAGGGATGTAATTGGTTTAAAAGGGTCCATGTTTGTTTCTTGCATTTGCAATTTTTTTTCTCTTTTTTTTACAAGTACTGTATTATATATTATTAAATGAAAGAATTTCTACTTTGTTTATAAACATCTTTATACGTGCCTTTAATTAAATACATAAATATATACATGTATATACTCCCTCTTCTTAGTTATGTTAATCACTTCTTTTCTTTTACTCTGTGTGTTATGGCAATATTGCTATTAGTCATCATTTGTGTTTCAATAGTTATTAATTGTGCGTAGACGATACATTGCACACATTATAAAAATACATTCAATACACTTTCTTTTAAAAAAAAACAATAAACAAAATTCCCCCTTTTCTTCTTCTTCTTCTTTTTCATTAATAAAGATACAAGTTCATAGAGAAGGAGTACACTTTAGTTTCGTTCTCCCTTGACATTCGTCTCTCGTCATTTTTCCCATCTTGTCCAAAAATAGAATAATGCATTATCTCGTTACTACGTAATTCTAAACTGATCCCTTTTTATTTCGCATATTGTAAAAATGTACAGAAGATAGGTTGAAATAATTAGGTATGAAGGAGGAGGAGGGGAGAAAGAAAAAAAAGGGAGTTTTTTTTTTTTTTTTCCTCCACTATACATAAGCTGTTATATAGGCTTAAAAAAATTTCTTGACTTGTTCAATGGCAAAAGGAGCTAAAAGATAATTCGCATTAGTTACATTACTTTATTAATAACAACTCTTCCTTATGCATCTTTCTCTCTCCAGAATATTTATATAGTCTATTTACCAGCACGAATAGCCAAAACAACAACAGCAAAATTAGAAACAGTGGCAATGGTACGTTGACGGAGCATAGCTTTTTGTTCTGGAGTAAGTTGGGGTTGCTGATTTAAATATAAAGAAAAAAAAATTGAAAAGGATACATTTAGTTACATAAATTTATAATTATTAATTGTATGTATTACTTGAGGCATAAACATTTTGAGAATGATGATGAGAGAAAGAAGAAATGATAATTATCTGTCTGTCAAAGCCATTATTTCACGCACCCCTGGGTATCAAAAAAAAAAAAAAAAACATAATGAATGATGGTGATGAATATGCACGTGACCACTATTTTTTTATTTGAAAGAAATAATGCAAACTTTATTTGAAAAGAAAAAAAAAAAAAAAAAAAAGATTATTGTACTTTGAAGGTGTGTAATGCTCTATCAACACCACCTGGAGATCCATAAATTGTCACTGGTATTTGGCAATCAAATGTACTAACTTCTATATCTTGTAAGCTTTGATAATGGCAATGCTTTTCATCATTCATAATAGGTATAAATGGAGGCTTATTATGAATGCCTGTGAGAAACTCAAATCTTAAAAAGTATTTTAAAGATACTAAAAAAAAAAAAAAATGATTAGAAATATTTACAAATAAGAAAGAGAGAAAAAAGAAAAAGGTTTACCTCCTGTTGTTTGAAATTCAGGTGAAGCAGTGGCAGGTATTGGTAATGAAAACGATAATCTTTTATTATCAAAGCAAATAGAATGAAAATCTGAATGTGTTTTTCTTGATACTCGTGAAATATAATGTGGATTTCTTAATGCAATCGTACTTTCCACATTTTCACTACTTTCCAAAAATATAGAAATCTATAAGCAGTAATAAATGATAAGTCTAATTATTAAAAAAAAAAAAAAAAAAAAAAAAAAAAAAAAAAAAAAAACCTTGTATGTTAATAGATTGGCTTCATTAAAGTCCAAGATGCCAATAACAGGTTCGCCTAATCGATAGGCTGTTTTGATTAAATGAAGTTTTGCTACTCTTTGATTATTTTTACAAATGTCGTACATTGCTATATATAAAATATGTTTATAATAAATCGGTATATTTGTATATAAATATGTATTTTACTAGTATTGAATTCCTTAGATTACCTTTTTTACTACAATGAGTAATTCTTGAAACGATTTGAAAGCAGGATTGATCTACATCACACTCTTTATTTATTTTTTTCTTATTGTCATAGACTTCACTATTACGTCTTGTAATTTCATGAATCGTATTATTTTTCATACTATTTTCAAAGAGTTCGTTTACATAATCTATGAATTGTTGTGAATTTGACTTGTTTTGTATTTGGTTTTCTTCTTTCACTTTTTTAGTCTTGCATGGATTAGAATCGCATTCCTCTACTATAGCCTTATCTTTATAAAACACAACGGGATTTAATAAATCATAGATAGGTCTTGATCCATCTTCTGATACGTGATTAAGTACACGAAATCGTATTTGAACTATGTGACCTTGATTTGGTATAGTAGATAGTTTAGCTGTCATTGTAGGTGCCCTTTGAGCTCCAACCACTAAGTAGTAATTAAATCGAATCGTTTTCCCTCTATGAGAAGGTGGTATATCATTTGGTAATTGAATTTTATAAGAATCTTTTTCATAAAAGAGTTTAATACAAGTTTTCATTCTTTGTTTCCTCTCCTCCTCCTCCTCCAATATTTTATACATACTAAAATCATTCATTTTTTTTCTTACATTTTTTAGTTTCCCCAGGTGCTAAATCTAAATCAACAAATAAGATGGAAGGTGGTGTAGAAAAGACAGGCAATGTACGAGCATCTAGAAGAAGAATAATAATAAAATGTCAATAGAGTATTCGACTTGGTGTACAAAACCTTGACTAACCCAAATGAGAATCTGATTTAGCTACCATTAAACCACCTCCACCTCCACCACTAAATCCTCTTTGAGGATTATACATTGTATAATGTTTTAAAGAATCAAATTCATTAACATTAATTAAATTAGCATCAACTACAAAACTTCCTATAACTTGTGCAAAACCACAAATTAAATGTTCAGATACTTGTTTCTTTAAAGGCGAAGATGAATATCGACGTGAAGATACTACTGAAGAGCGAAAAGAAGAATTAGAATCCATTGAACTTCTAGGACTTGTATTTTGTTGTAAGAAAGTATCTGTACTTGATCGAGGTGTAGGTGAATCAAGTTCAATAGGAATTCCAACATTCTCTTCTTCTTCTTCTTCTTCTCTTTCTTCTTTTTCTCCTTCTTCTTTGTTTATTGTATTGGCTAATGGAATATTTAAAGGTGTAGGTCTCAATGTTGAAGATGGTCGTTGATGATGACGAGTTAAAAAGGCAAAGGTAGAAGAAGCTAAAGAGGATATTGTTCGTGATTGAATAGGTGTTGAACGTGTCTGTTGCTGAGCATCATTTGTTAAAGATATAGGAGTAGAATGAGATGTCTTTACTGATTTATTAACGTTATGAATAGGATTTGTAAAGGCAATTGTACAAGATAATGTTTCACCAGCATAAAATACAGCTCCTTGGGATAGTGTAGTTGTTACTGTGAACGAATAGAAAGAAAAAAATAATATTTAATTCATTTTTGAATCTAAATGAGTATCATTTTCTTCATTTTTTACCCAACACGCTCATTAATGACAAAGAAAGAAAAAGTCAAAAAAAGAAAGAGAAAAGTAACGACTTTTTTTTTTTTTTTTTTTTAATAAGCGAATGAACTCTTTACATTATCTTACGTAAACACATAGATATATTTATAGCAATTATGATTGTTGTTTTATTACTATGAAGAGTTATGATTAAGAGGTAAACTATGATTTAGTTTTGTAGTAGCAGCAGTATCTACCATATGAGATGAAAATGAAGTTGTAGGCATCTTCTTTTGTTGTTCAAATAGGTAAAATGAGGATCTTTGAGGTGGAACAGCAGGAGCTACGATAGAAGGTAATGAATAACAATAAATAGGTTGTTGATTTAATTCATGAGTTGAACAAGAAGAATGTGACCTTGTATGATGATGTCGTTTCTGTTGCTGCTTATCATTGTTATGTATAACAATTTGGTTTAATGATTTCTGTAAATCAGCTAATGTCATATTTTCTTCTTCTTTATCAGCACTTGTAGTCATCATAGCAGGCAAAAATTGAAGTGGAGATGATAATGAATAGATCTTTTGTTGATCCAGTAATAAATGATCATCTAACAATGATATAGTAGAAGATCTTTTTGTTGTAGGATAGATAAGAGAAGAAGGTCTATTCAAGATATAACGATGGCTCCTTTCTTCTTCCTTCTTCTTCTTCTTCTCTTCTTCCTCTTGATGATTGATTTGGATCAATTTCTTACCGCGAACAGAGGAATGATATATTAATTTATTGTTACGCTGATGATTGTCATAGGAACCTAATTCATCATCACAAATAGTAGTAGTCACATCTTGAAAGTAATTGATATAAGGTGGTAACTGTGTATTCTTCTTCTTCATCATCATCATCTTCTTCTTCTTTTTCTCTTCTTTTGTTATATTATCATGTGATATTAGTTTATCGAGGCTCTTTTTATGACTATCGACAAGAAGTGGTTTATCATGATTCATCCAATTTCGAACATCATCTGATCGTTTCTTTTTTAATGCCATGATCGCTTTATTCTCACCGTCGTTATTACCCGATAATTCTTCTTCATTCATATTATTTATTTTATTGTTACGTCTAAATGTAGTTGAACGTGTTGGTCTTCTTTTGATCATCGTTTTAGGTCTATGACTTATACTTGTCATATCAGTAAAAATGCTCATTGTATCATCATCTGGTATAGGTTCAATAGGGGGTGGTGATGAAACTCGAATTGTAGGATCATTAGCCATTAATTCTGCTAATGATCTTCTCCATTCTTCAATGACCTTGATTTTTTCATTTGATAATATAGGTGTTGGTGTTGGTGTTGACGTTGGTATTGGTGTTGGCGTTGGCATTGGCGTTGGATGATATGTATGAGCTTGTACAAGCACAGGTGGCGAATAAGGAAATGTTTGAAGCATCTGTTCTTTCACTGCTTGAGTGAATTTCCACATTTTTGTCAAGACAAATAACCATCTTTCTAAATCCTTTTGTGTTTGAGCTTTTAATGTGACGCAATTGGAATCTAAAGTACGTATAGAAAAACATTTACTATATTGAGATGATTGTAGAGGCGATCTTTTTGTTCTCTTCAAGACAGAGATAGAAGAGATTTGAATGATATCAATGCTCCATTCTGGTAGTTGATAATATTTTAGTTCTGTCGTATTGCTGGCTATTAATCTTTTATTTTTATCTTTTGGTGTAGCTAATAAAGGTGATGTTAAAGGATATTGATTTTGTTCTAATAAAAGATCATTTTCTTCATAGTGTTTATATAATGTATTAGGCGGTAATTTTGTTTTTCGTGTAGATAAGCAAGTAAAACAAGATCCATCAAATCGAAATAGTCTCCATTGCCAATGTTTCGTTCCTGCTGTTCGAATATATAAATGTCCTTCAAAAATAGGTGTTGAAGTTACAGGGATTTCTACCTCTTGAACTTCTTTACCGTTTCTATCTAAAAAAAACTGCAACATAATAAAATAAAGAATAAATAATAATTAATAAAAAAAAAAAAAGAAAAATTAAGGGAGAGAAAGAGATAGACTGATTAACTAACTGAAAAATAAAAATTATCAGTAAAATAAAAAAAAAAATAAAAATAAAAAACAGTAATACAAATCAGCAGTCTTTTCCTAACTGAACAAAACTAACTCGTTTTTTTTTTAGGATGATGATGATGTCCTTATTAAAAGAAATGTACCACATAACATTATGCATATTTTTTTTTTTTTCTTAAAAGAAAATATGGTTTCATATGTTTTTTTTTTCCTCAAGAGGAGTCCTTCTCCTCTGTAGAAGAAATAAAACTCCTTCTTTTCTCCCCCAAAAAAAAAATATTATTATTATATTTAGTCTGACTAAGCTACCATAAATGGCAATTATTCAATCGGAATTTTATTTAATAAAGGTATTATGCAACTTTTAATTTTATAAATGTCATTAAACAATGAGAAATATACAATATGAGTAAAAAGTATAAAATGTAAATTTAGTCTAAATAATAATTTTTAGTCTTTTATTTTTTTTGGTGTTCATAAATAGTATGTATATGTATTTATATAAATATATATTTAAGCATGTACATACATCATAAAAAATAAATGTATAGGAATTATTTGTCGGACTTTGAAAAACTATATTTTTATTTATAAATTAATTAAAAAAAAACAAAAACAAAAAAACCTTATTGAACATAAGATGTTAATTACATCAAAATTTGCTTAAACTCGGTTCAAAGATAGAAAAATAAGAAATTAAAAGTTTTTGAAAAGAAAGAAATACAAAATGGATATAGTAATTTTAATTTTATTACAATTATTTTTTTAAATAAAAAAAAAATAGGTGAATAAGATTTTTTTATATATTTATTTATTTATAGAAAAAGTTCAAATACACTAGTAGTAGTCACATTACTAAAACTTTGTTATGGCAACCATGTCTCTTTTTTTTTATCTTTTATTTTCTTTTTTACACATATTACTACAGCATAAAAATTTAAAAAAGGCGAATAAAATTCATTTCCATTATTCTCTATACAGAACATTACGAAATACGCGTCTTATATATATATATATGTATATAAAAGAATGTTTCTTTAAGAAGTAAAATAAAGGAAGATCTACTACTCTGTTAGTGATATTTTTATATAATAATGACAGATAAGCATTTTCTTACTAGATGATGTCAAAAAGCATTTACCTTGGAATTAAATTTTAGAGTTTTAACTGAACAAAAAAAAAATACTATTTTTATACACGTAATGTATTTATAGCCTTAAAGTTACTATGTACAAATGTAGCATGATTGATCCAATATTATCCATGAATGCGTATTATACATACTACGACGACTTATAAATTAAACATGTGTATTATTTCTTTTTTACAAGATGTCTATGGCATTAAAAACTGGACTCTTCATTTGAGGAGCAATGTCCTTATCATTTTTTATACTAACCGTTGTAAGAAGACCTTATCACTTTCACACGATCTCTTTTTTTTTTTTTTTTTGTTAGTTAATAATTACGTACTGAATAGAGCAAAGTTTTATTCCTTATCTCTCCCTTCCTGCTAGTATTATTATTACTGCCTTTTTTCTGTAAAGGCACTATAACAAGTATCACTTTGTTAGGAAAGTTCTCAGTTTCCTTGTGAAATAAAAGTTTGATTCCAATCTATTATCTATCATTTATGATACTAAATCTTATTATGTTTTGCTTTGAATGGGATTGTATTCGCTTCTGATGAAGCTTTGGCTAAGTTAATTGATGGTAAATTGTCTTCACTTCCCTCCCCCCATATCTATTATTTGTATATTAATTTTTTACTTGTTCATGTTTTATTGAATAGTTTCATACGTATCATTATCTATTGAAGGCTCTCCTATACTACCTTTTGAACTGGAGAAACTCGGGGTTATCTCTGTATAATTTATTTTATTTTATTTTTCGTCACATGACTCGATTATTGTCTCCATGATATTTTTAAGGATATAGAGATTAAAGTTCTTATCTTTTTAATTTTATTGTATCGATACTCCTCAGGAGGTCGGTCTGATTCATCTCGGTTTTATTTCATTTATATGAATGAGTTATCAGATTTGCCTTTTTCAGTAGTAGTGTTATTATTATTACTACTAATAAATCTATTGATATATAAAAATTTCTTTTATTATAAGCTCTTATCACTTCAATTTTATTTGCAAATACGACTCTATTAAGATATGACCTATTTAAAAAAAAAAAAAAAAAAAAAAAAAAAAAAAAAAAAAAAACTGATTACTCCCTTTCAATGCTGTAAATAAACTAATATTCAAAATAGGTATGTGAAATAGAGAGAAATGTATATATATATATATATGTGTATGTGTATGTATGTATTTAGTGCTTCCATTGGGTATCCTTTTCAATTTATTTTTACATGTCTGAAGTTACTATAATACATGAATGAAAGATTGTGTGCTTTATAATCCTTATTGTGACGCCGTTCCCTCTACTTTACCATCTAAAGATGGTTCTCTTATCTCAAATATCATCGTCTTTAAAACAAGGCTTATTATAATATATAAACCAGTTAAATTTAACTAGGTAAATGTCTTTTAATCTATCAAATTTAACTATCCAGCAATATAGAAATGCCTCTAGTAGATTCTAAAAATTTCTACAAATTAGTCAATATTATTACCCTTTATCCTTTTCATTGAATAAAGTAGATGCAATTTATAAGTATCAATTCAATTTAATAAGCACTCTACATAATTACTGACAAAAAATTACACTCTATCTACTATCATCATTTTTTAAATATACCATTTGACTTTAAACAGCATAAACAAGTGATGATTCCTCTTCCTTTTAATTAAATTTCTTATACATGAACTACTACGCTCTCATTCTAGTGACATTTCTTTCTTTCTGTAGTTTATCCATTGCACGAATTTAATTATTTATAATAAAACGTCCATCTTAATAACTGTTATACCTCGAGGCAAAGATACTTTAACTAGCTGCTTTCATTAAGCAGTGTATAATTAAACGAGCACACACACATACCTATATACTATTCTTCCAACCGATCTGGGACAATTTTTCTATTGTAATTCATATCTTATGCCGTCCAATAAGGTTATTTAAAAAAAAAAAAAAAAAAAAAAAAAAAAAAAAAAAAAACATATATTATTTAAACGTGGCCAGGGTTGACAGTTTTTTTTTTTTATAATTATTATTTTATTTTTCTTGTTAAATTAACTTCAATTAATGGGTGGTCCACGATTAGAAGTTTTCAAAGTAATGAATTAACGGAAATGTAGTAAAATTAGCTTAAAAGCTTTTAACCTTTTTTTTTTTTTTTTTTTTTGTAAAAATAGTTTGGTTTTTATGTATTCTTTCCTGTAGGTGTTATGCTTTATTTTGGCGGACCCGAATTTTATGACAAATATGTAAAGGGTATCAAATTTTGGCCTGATATTAATACAACTTATGTGAGTAATGAAGATGAATTACATGTTGTTTTCTTTTTTTTAAAAAAAAAAAAAAAAAAAGGGTTAATTAACTCCTCTTTGTAATCTATGCATATATTTATATAAAGAAACCTCCTAGTACCTCAGAAGAAGTTAAAAGTGCATTAGATAAAATGAAAGCAGAAAGAGAAGAACGTTGGAGAAAAGCTTTTCAAGAGAAAAATGAGAAATCAGCAACAAAATAATTCCGAATAATAAAAAAAACCCAATAATAATAATATTCCCTTTCCTTCCTTTCCTCCATCTTCTGTGTATATAATATATTTGTAGAAATGGATATGATAGAACTATGCTTTCAACAGTAGTATATACCAAAAAAAAGGGGTGAGGGAAGGAAACTTTATTAATAATAATTATAATAATAAAAATATACATCTATTAACGTTCAAGCCATAATTTATTTTTGGATCTCATTAAACGAAATGCTCCAATGGGAATACGTTGCCAACGACTTAAATCTTTAGAATATGGATTGTCTTCTATTTCAGGTGATGGTGATCTTGATAAGGATCTTGAATATAATTGTGACGTATCAACTAAGTCATCCATTGTCACTGCTGTGGCCTCCTCTTCTTCTTCTTCTCCATTTACTTCATTATTAACTTTTAAATTCATGTCTTCTAATTCATCAATAATGGCAGCAGGTGAAGTAGGAGTTGAAAATGAAGTAGATCCCATAGGTTGTAAAGGATTAGCAACAATGGCACTTAAAGAATTAGATCTTGAAGTTTTTCGTTTTTTATCGTTTTCTAATATCTCTTCTCCTAGTGTAGCCTTTCTTTTGTTATTATGTGCTTCAACACTCTGGTTAAGAGCTTCTTGTATTTGTCCTTCCAAAGTAGAAGGAGTAGTCAAATATGAACCATGTCCACTGCCAGAGGGTTTTGGTAATATTTGTCGGGATGAATTAGAATAAATAGTAGTAGTAGTAGTAGTGGTAGTAGTAGTGGTAGTAGTGGTAGATGGTTTTTTAGTAGATATGGTATTAGACGTAGGATGTACCTTTTCTTCTTCTTCTTCTTTTCCTTCTTCTTCTTCTAACATTGTAGGTTTCTCTGCTTCATTTTTGAGGATACTTAAAAGCTGTCCCTGAAGTCCAGGATCAGCAGAAAGTGAAAGGGCTAATTGTGCAGTTGATAAAGTGGGTTGTTCTTTAGTAATAGGCGTTGTTAAAGGTGATGAGAGTGGGTCTCCTAATGCCCCTGGCGTTGTTACTGTCGACCCAGGCATTCTTACAACGCCACTAGATGATGTATCTATGGATAAGTCTTTTCTCTTTCCATCTAGAGTGTTGCTATTACTACTAGTAGATATATCCTCTGTCTCATCTATAGGTTCAAGTGCAAGAGGTAAATCATCAGATACAAGTGCGGAAAGCGCTCTTAAAGCCTCTGATGTAGAGAAATCTTGAGATCCTCTCATTCGCCGCGCTGCAGAAACAGTACTACTTGGTAAAGACGGTCTTCGTAAGAAATCATCGTTCCGTTGTCTTGCTGATAATGCAGTTAATGCATTTGCTAATTCAAACGCCGATATCGAGTAATCCTCTCCTAAAACAGGTGTATTGGTTCCTGTAGTAGGTATATCAGATGTTGAAGTTAAGGTTTGCATAAATGCAGTACTGATCTGATTATAGATATTGCCTTCACTGTCTATCAATGGTAAAAGAGAGTTTGCCTTATCTCCGTCACTCTCTTCTCCACTATGCATAACAGTTGTATAATCAAACTCTTCTTCTTCTTCTTCTTCTTCATCGTCATCATCTTCAGATGACCAATGTCCATAATAACCCATCATCTCCTCTTCTTCATCATTGTTGTTTTTATTAAAATTGTCATACTCATATTCATTGCCATCGTTGTCGCTGTCATCGTCATCATCATCATCATAGTCATCATAGTCATCTTCAACAAATAATCCACCTTCATCCAAACTATCATTTGATTCTTCATCACTATTTATAGTCATTTCATTGATAATTTGCTGTGTCTCTTCATTTTCAATATCCTCGTCATCACCAGAGTCGATATGTACACTAGAAGAGTATGATGTGCGACTATCTGAATAAGGAGACATTGTCAATGATGAATTTGCATGGATATTGTTATCGATATCACTTGATGATACTTCTTCTTCATCTGTAAAAAACTCTTCACTTTCTAGATTTGAACTTTGTGAGTGATGCTCAGATAAGGGTGACATGGTTTCTAACAAGTCATCTAGATCATCTACAACTAATTCTTCCTCCGAGTCTTCTTCCTCGCTTGAAGAATATTTTATGGTATGTATCCTCTTGCCTTTTCCCATATGTACCCTTTTACCTCCTTTAGAGGCCATAGAAGAAGGAGGCGCCTTTTGTCGAATGATATTTGTTAACAAAGTAGTACTTTTCCCTTTTCGCGGTGCTGGATTCTTCTTCTTGCCTGATTTCGTCCTTGGCTTTTTAATATCAATACCTATTCTTTCTACTACATGATTCGATAGTTCACTATCATCGCTATCATCTTCACTACTACTACCATCATCAAAATTATTTTTTGTTGCATTCACTTTTACTGCCCACAGATTTGATTTTTTAGACTTTTTACTGCCTATTCCTTTATTTGATTTTTTTGGTATTGGAATGACTTTTTTTTTTTTAAAAAAAAAAAAGAAAAAATGAAAAAAAGGAAAAAAACATTATTGTTAATAAATATAATTGATTTTTTTTTTTTAGACATCTTGTCATTACTTACTGATTTTAGTTTGTATTTTTGATGGCTCTGATTGTGGTAATGGTTGAGATACCACAGAAGTTGAAGGCGGTGGTAATGGCTTCAGATCTACAATAGAAGAAGAGGATGTGGAGTTTTCTATTGCACCACAAGTACAGTCTCCTTCACACAATACACAAATATCATCTAACTCTTCATCATTATCATCATTGATCGATAGTTTAGTTATAGCTGGTATTGATGGTGCTGGTATTGTCGAGGTTGGAGGCATGGATGATAGTGAAGCTGGTTTTGAGGTAGGTAAAATGATGATTGATTTCTTATTATTACGAGGAGGTGGAGGCATTAAAGTCTTTCCAGCACCTATAGAATGATGATGTTGTTGTTGTTGTTTTCGTTTACTCGTACAAGACTTGCAAAAATAATGTTCAGTAATACTATTGGGTTTAAGTCCAACACAGGTACCATGAAACCATTCTATGCATAACAAAAGTAAAAAAAATATATATACAAATCAATATTAAGGAAATAATATATTATATGTATGTATTTGGCTTTTTAGTTCATCATTTTTACCTTTGCAGTCTTCACATTCAATCATAAATTCTTTACCATTGTAACCTTTTCGGCAAATACAATATTTTGACTCGTCTTTCTTGGACTTTTTTTTCTTTTTTATCACCTTGCCTTTAGATTTTTTGGCTGGCTTTTTAGTTTTATTATTTTTTATTTGATACAGATCAGAATCAGACGATAAAGAAGAAGCATCAGACAATTGTAAGGAAAGATCTGAATCTGATTGATGATCAATCTGATTTGTTGATTTACTCATTGATGTCGAGTAATAAAATAAAAATAGTCACTTTTACAGTTCTACTTTTGGTATATTGACAGCTTCCGAGTAAATAAAATTTAGCTTTTTGATAGTAGTTGAATTCTTAAAAGGAAACACTCCTCGTTTTTTTTTTTTTTTCAGATAATAATTTTCAGGTAATAAAATATATGTTTTTATATATTTTATATAAATAAATAAACAAATATTTAATATATATGATTGCAGCTATATAAAAAAAAAAAAATAAAATAAAGAGGAGAAAATATATAAGCTGAAACTTTTTTTTTTTTTTTTTGTTGAGAAAAAAAAAAATATTTTTGGGTTGTAAGCAAAAAATTTTTAGTGTTTTAACCTAATCAAAATTAATTTTAGGCCAATCGAAAATTATTAAAAGAGACTTTAGCTTAATGCACATGAAAGTGAGGAGAAAATTGATATTTATAAAATTCGTTTCCTTTCTTTTTTTTTTTGGATACAAGGAGACTACAATTAACTTTGTCTTTTGTTTAATAGAATTGTATAAACTCATTATTTTCTATAATAGGTACCAAAAACAAGAATTACTTGATAATATGTTGTCTTTATTTTAAAATAAGTTTGGGAGTAAAGTGGAGTTAATCTTATGCAAGCTTTTTTTTATTTTTTTATTTTTTTTTTTTTTGTGCATTATCTTGTATAATAAGCAATTTACATTATCGAGAATAATGACTATTGCAACCTTTTGATAACATGAAGTTTCTACAATTATGTAATCATAGGTTCTGTTTCCTTCAGAAAAACACGAACAAATTACTTTTATTTATAAGTTTTTTCTTTTACTAAAGAATACTTGACACAGTATAATAGCTAACCTTCACAAACAGATAAATGTATATACATCTTTATTATTATTAAGAATAAAGAAATAAATACTACTGATCTAAAGAAGATATAGTGTCATGATGTGTACTAATATTAGGCTTGTGTATGAATGTTTATCTTAGAGGTAAACATGATAATCAATTTATAGTAGGTTATACAATGTAGGTTATACAACCACTCTGACAAAACAATAAAAAAAAAAATCAGTTTCGAAGATCATTAATGTACAAAAAAAAAAAAAAGAGAAAGAGAGAAAAGGATGCTGCAGCTCATTATTTATTTATTTCTTCTCGAGATAATAATATAATCAAATAAAACAATATTAACCATACAAAACTTTCGATTTTTTTAAAAAGGAAAAATGGAAAAATAAATGATTTCTGCCAGACTCGAACTGGCGACCGCCTGCGTGTTAAGCAGGCGTGATAACCAACTACACCAAGAAACCATTGTTGTTTAATTTTTTCAGTATAAAACACATATTAACATACTTTCCGTTTTTGGAAAAAATCACGTGACACTCCTCCGGTTCGGGATAATTTTAAATTCGATATTTAAATGAAAGAATTGACGGCGGCATTATGCTACTGTGCTCCACAAAAAAAATAAATTAAATTAAAATAAAATAAAATACACGATTTACCTTTTGTGTTAATGATGATTTGTTATACTTTTAGAAACACTAATACAATTGTTATTGATTTTATTATTATTAAGTAGAGGTAGTCAAATTTATTCGCTTAGCTATCATTCATCTTTCTTTTAAATAATAATAATACTAAGATTCATCATCGTTAATTGTGCAAATATACTCCCAGAAGATGACGAAGATATATGCATTATATATATATATATATAAGTAATAACTATCGGTATAGTTTATATTCAACTAGACCAGAATTATATTTTAAACATCATTAATTAATAAAGATAAAATAATCTAAATATACATATAATACTATGTACATTTTAGAAACTAAAATTTGATTCGTGCTCTTAATTATTACTTCTACAGTAACTCAGCGAAGCACTCTATAAATAAAGATATTTAATAAATAACGAAGTATCCACCTAGTTAGTTTTTAACTTTCTACTATAGCACATTAAGGATATTCGGGGTCTTGATCTGTAATTACACAGTTATAATATGAATACTTTAAAACTCATATATACATGAGGCTGATGTAATTTTAAATATATGCTTAATAGTATTTTAGTTCATTATAACTTATTAAACATTTTAAACCTATTAGCAAGAAAAAAAAATATAAAGTATGTCTGCAGTCCTTTTTTTTTTTTCCTCTTATTTGTTTGTTTATAAACAACATTATACATAAATTTATTGAAGCATATTTTACAACTTATTACTTCTTTTTAACACTGAAAAAGGAAGTAATGTCTGCCGATTTAATAGTTTTGCTAATCACTTTCTTCTTTTTACTTAAATGAGTCGTATTTGATGTCTATAAAAAAGATGTTAAAATCTTGGTATTCTTTATATAATAATCTTCTACCTACTTTAAATTTTTCAAGTAATTTAAAGGCTTTCTTTAAACCAGTTGGTAGAGGTGATGACCTGAGTTCATCTAAAGTTACCCATTTTATGTCTTCTTTATTGTTTATAATGTCTTTATCCTTATTATATTGATATTGAATCCATTCAATATAATATACTTTTCTAATATGAGAAAATAGATGAACTACATTTCCCAAATCGTGTCTAATTGCTGATAAATTTTCTAGTTCTATTTGGTATTTTGTTTTTAAAAATTGTGAAGTCTTCTTCATTCTATCTTCATAATTAATTCCTAAGGATTCTAATTCAAGACTAGGAAACTCCCAGAGACCAGCTAGTAAACCTGTACTAGGTCTTTTAGATATCAAATAAAGAGGCTCATCATCTTTAGAATTAATCATTTCTACAATAGCTACAGCACATTCTAGAAATATAATATTTATTAGCTAATAATATACATATATTTTTTTTTGAAAAAAATACCTTCATCCCTCGGTGGTTTTTTACTAACTTTAAGAGGATACCGAGTAACTGCATAGTCTTCTTCTGATATATCTTCCTGAATTTCATGACAAACGGAACACTCTTTTTTTTTTTTTTTTTTTTTTTTTTTTTTAGTCAGTTATGATGATTAAATCAACATGTATTTATATGATGTTATTACCATGACTAATGGACATTTGCTTTCTCTTTTTCGTTTTTTCATGAAAAAACCCATTTTTCGCTAAATCCTTCATTACTCTTAACTGATTAAAAGCTTTACAGTCATTTTTAATTGGACATTCTACACAATTAGGGTTTTGAGGAGTACATATTCGTGCACCTAACTCCATCAAAGCTTGATTAAAATCACCAGGGTTTAGCTCAGGCACAATACTAGCAGCTATTTCCCAAAATAAATCAACTGATTTTATCTTTTTTGGATCAGCATGTATAGCTCTCCATCTTGAAAGAACTCGAATGACATTACCATCAACAACAGGAGAAGGCTCGCCAAATACAATAGATGAAATGGCACCTGCTGTGTATCTTCCTACACCAGGTATTTCATTTTGTAAATCTTTTGCATTATCGGGTAATAACCCATTAAACTTGCTTACCACCTTTTGAGCGCCTTCCCATAAACGTTTTGCTCTTGAATAATAGCCTAATCCAGACCATAGTTTATTCACATTTTCAATATCTGCTTTAGCCAAGTCTCGTATCGTAGGAAAAGCAGTCATCCATCGATTATAATAGTCAATGACTGTAGCTACTTGAGTTTGTTGAAGCATAATTTCGCTCACCCATACTTTTTGTATATAATAAACAATATCAATAAAGCGTATGAATATATTTTAAAAGCTACACATTTACATGGTATCTATACCTTCATATGCTCTTTGTCCTAAGGCCTAGTTTATTTAGATGTATACTTTTATTAATTCTATCAATCTAATTCATTTTTTTTTTTTTTTTATAAATTACTTCACGATCCCATGATTTGTCCACATCTTTTCTCCAAGGCATGTTTGTTCTTTTTTTTGCATGATACCATTCAAGTAGATCATGCTGAATTCTTTCTTTTTCTTTTTTTGAAACTTTATGGTACTGATCAGAATGATAAAGGCGATTGCTTTGGACACATTCTTCAATGTCTATTAATGATGGCTCAATCTCAAAATTCATGATATGAAGGAAGTAAAAATGAATTGTAAATTGTTGATCAATTTTTTTTAAAAAAAATATTTGAACGGAAATTAAAGTCCCCTAATCGACAGCTGAAATAACTATACATTTCCGTAGATAATATCAACAGTTTAATACTAGAAAAAGTAAACTATTCTAATTATTAAAAATGCTAAATATCTCAAATATTAAATAGATCACTAAATATGATATTATTTTCTACAAGCCATATAGGGCTAACAGTTAGCCTTATTTTGGGACAGATTTAATATTATTTTAACTAAATAATTTCTTCATATGATTTGTAATATATAAATGCACATATTAATAAAAATAACTAATCCAAAATAACGATAGGAAGGTATATAATATCTATTCATACTTACAACATTTCCAGCAAATTATACATAACCGGTGAACAGAATTCCCCATACTTTTTCTCTAAAAAAAAAAATTATTACTTGAAAGACATTCAAGTATTCATTATGCACACAAATCTACAATGTTTCTATACAATTCTGTTTAGTGTGAAGTATAAATCAACTCAAATGATTAGTTATTCTGTCAAACTGTTTCACCAAGTCTGCTTTACAGAGTCGATTACCATAAATCTGCTTTAATCCATTTATTGTATCTATCTTATTTGTTCCTTTTCTTCAAATTGTATATCTTTATTCTTCAAGTACTTAATTTTTTGTATAATCACAGCATATCTAACGACTTTTACCTATACCAAGACATTATAAAATACTTTAAACCTTTTCACTTGAACATATCCGATATTTATGATAATGAAATGCTGTTTTTAATTTCTATACTCAAAAAAAAAAAGTAAAATGCCTTTATGGAAAACATGATCTAATGAGTAAATTTTAAATAGATTAATCACTAAATAATGGGTGGGATTTTTTTCCCTTTAAAGTAGAGTTCTTTCAACATCCAAAACACAGTCACAAGATCTTTCTTCAAGAATAAAGACATCTCGTCCCAATCTTGGGGAAGTTTCCATGTAACTTGTGCCTTTAATAAAATTAGTTCTACTTCACCTCCACTTCTTTCTATACAGACAGAATATTTTCTTTTCTTCTTCCTTTTACTTGCCTCTTAAGTGAGTTTTTTATTTCCTCCTCGTCTTTTGGAACAGACCTGAGCAGCACAGTAAACTTTATTACTATGTGTTCATTTCGGTCGTTTTATTTTATTTTATTAATAAAAATATATTTAATAATAGTATTTTTTTTTCTTTTTTTTACAATTTATTCTTCCTCTTCTGAATCATAAGATTCATCGTTTAGTTCAACACTTATAATACCATTATAAATTACATAAGCTAAAAAGAAAGTTATGCCACCTGCAATTGACCAGATGCGCTTACGTTCAAAATCAATTTGTACTTGGCTTTTTTCTTTCTTACTTTCCTTATCACTTGTGCCCATATATGATACAATATCATCTTTAATACTACCCAAAAATCCAACTGGATTGTTTTTAAATGTTTTCCAGAGTGATGGGACATCCTCAGCAGGCTCAGATTCCTGCGCATTTCCTTTTGATGTAAATAACAAATCTCTAATTCGATTACAATATTGTACTAATTGTGGATATTCATTCATTAAGATATGTTGCAAACGTCTATGAGCTAATTCCGGATATAAATGTAAAGCAAGATATCCAAATACAATACAATCTAATGTAGTTGGGCTAACAAAATTATAATTAGCTATGATTGCTTTTATTTTATTTGCTTATTTTTTTTGTAAAAAAAAAAAATCAAGTTGACATACCTATCATTAAACATATAATTCTTATTATCTAGTTGCTTTTGTAGAATATCATATGTTTCTCTAGCTAATCTGTACATCTATAAAACAGAAATACACACACACATATATATATGTATATATAAATATTGTGTGTATATTGCATATATTAGTATTACTTCCTATTTATAAATGAAATATGCCCATCTATTTTACATGATGCCAGCCTGTTTTTAATAATTCTTTCATCTCTTCTTTTTCATTTTGTGGTGCTCCAACATCATCGCCAGTAATTTCGACATTATATTTAGCTAGTCTTGCTTTTGCATTATTTTTTAATTGAATAGGTACAATATAACGAGCTGGAAAAGATAAAAGCTTTGCATATGTGGGTCGAATGTTTTTAACAAAATTGGTTGAATCTGCATACCAAGTATATAGCTATATAATAAAGTTAATAAAGAATGACCAAATATGACTTGGGAATTATTATTATTATTTACCATACAATCATAAAGTTTATCTTGAACTAATGCTGAATAACTAAACAAAGAGAAGTTTAAGTCTCTAGATGTTTAATACTATTGGGTACTATTTACGCTAAGTATTCAGCTTTCTGCTCAGGAAGAAGATTTTTATTGGCATCTTTATTGCAATGAGCCAAGTGAGCTAAAATACGATCTACTCCAGCAATCCAAGCTGAACCATTTTTAAGTAATGGAAGTTCACCTATAGTATATAAACATGCAATAACTTAGCTTTTTTTTTTTTTTTTTTTTTTTTTTTTTTTTTGAAATTAAACACTAACAATATATTACCTGTTGGACTTTGTTGAGGATCGTTGCATCTTACAATTGTATAACTTTGCTGAATTAAACGTAAATAACTCTCAATAACAACACATTTTGGATCTATAGAGGGTGCATTCAAAGCAGGACCCCATACATAAAGTTGCATAGTTGACATTTGTGCTAATAGGAAATAATAAATATTTATAAAAAAAAAAAAAAAAAATTAAAGTGAAGAATAATTTCGCCCTTGTTAGGAAGAATTAATAACCCTAGATCTTTTTTTTTTTTTTTTTTTTTTTTTTTTTTTTTTTTTTTTTTTTAATTAAAAGAAAAAATTAGCCTCTCTCTACTTAAGTGAAAGTGTAATAACAATTGCACTACTTCCGTTTTCAAATCACCCAAGATAATAACTCCAATATAGTAAATAAGATAAACAGGCACTTAATACTAGCTAAGCAATCTGATTTATTATCTAAGTTTAACATATACAGACTAACACTAAGTTGCAGCCCATTTTACTCATAGATCATTTCGTTATACGTCAACTCAGTCAAATACGTAAATAGATATTCGATATATAAAACCATCAGAACCCTTACCCTCCCCCCCACTTTTTATTTTACTTACTTCAGAGAAACCATTCATATTAAAAAAAAAATAAAATAAATAAATCAGTGTATATCATATTCGGACATATCAAGTAATTATATACAGAGTATAGAAAGACCAAATATTATCCAAGTAAAGTTATGAAAAGAAAAAAAAAAAAGATAAAGTCAGACTTAAAGGAAAGATACAATACGTTTTATAGCTGTCATCAAGGAGTAGGCAGCTGGAAAATAATATGTTCCTGAATAATTTGTGTGATAGATTAACTTTACACTTTTTGAGGTAAACGTGAAGAGAAATTTACCCCTTAAATACATCGGTTTACAACAGCCATAGTAAATAAATAACTAGTAGAAACAATCAAGTCGGCCGTTTAGAACTGTCAATGATGTATATGTCATCCTTAACATACTATTATATTGCAAATCTAACGATTCTTAACAAACTTCTGTTTTAATTCCATTGTTGGTCTGTTATTCTGTACCATTCTTGAAGAATTAAACTATTTGGTGTATGCTATATTCCTCTCTTCCTCTTTATAAAGTTGGGTAATAGCTATTGATTAGACTATTTTTGCTTTCTACTCTTCCTATTACGTACTTACAATAGTAGTCATCAATTCTCTTCTTTTTCTTATAAATGACTAATTGCATTTTAGTAGAGAAATACAAACAACTTTAAGAATATGATAACCATTACAAAATTTATCCTCTCCATGTCAAAATAATAAAAAAAACAAGATCGTATCGAATGTAGTAAAATGATACACATTGAGTTTATTTGCCATATCAACTATGCTTTTGATCTATCTATAAACAAAGTTATTTAAATTGAAGCAATGTATGATGACTTTATATAAATGTTCCATCTCTATTTTAATTTATCTTTTTGTCGGTTCCTTTAAGGTACTTTTTACGTTGTATTCTCATGTGATTATACATAACAGGTGAACCAGGAGCATATAATATGATGACAGCAATATAGATGTAATAATACAAATCTCCCCAAGCAGCCTTAACATAAGGTAACGACTGATAAATCATGATCAATTCAGAAGAGATACCAGTTGGGTATAGGACTAAAAAGAATGTGTAACGAGCCCAAGTAATAATAGCAGGTACAGAAGAGGCTAAATTTGTTGCATAATAAGAATATCTTACACATTCAGCAATACTCCAAGAGATGACCATTGTAGTGTATGACCAATGAGAATGAATTTCAGGGAATGGATAATTTACGGCCCAAACCAAGAAAATACGTGAGAATACTTGCATAATAGTTGTCATCAGAGGTGTTCTCACCCATCCTAATAAAGCATGAACAATCTACCATGTACGTTAACATCACTTACATCTTCGCTCATTATATATAATTGCATATACTTTACTTCAAACAAAGCTGTTGTTTGAACAACAATCAATACAGGCCATGTTGCTTCAAATACATTTTGATAACTGCTTTCACGAGCAATTTGTGCCAGAGCTAAAAATAGAACATACGCCCATCCAGCAAGAGAAGCAAAGTTATAAGTAATCAAATAAAGTTTCAAAAGTCCAGTAGGCCCTCTTTTTGAAGCTTGAGCACTAGTAGCTTTAAAAAATGAAAATAACAGAAAGATAATATTGTTTTAATTCATCATTGCAGTTGAATGAACTTGAAATATTTCAATACCTTTAGCCATTATGCGAGTATATGCTTTTTAAGTCGTGTTAAAAAAAAAAAAAGTTTATTTAAAATGTTTCTTCTTGAAAAAAAAAAAAAAAAAAAAGAGAAGAAATGATGACGTGATATATACAGCCCGCCAGGGGCGGACAACTAAAAAAATGAGGGTTGACCCCCACAGAAAAAGGACATCAAGCAAGATTGAAGGTAAAAAAAAAAAAAAAAAGGCCAGTTATTATATTTATTTATTGTTTCGTCTCCCCACTCTTACATTCAAATTTCTTCATTTTTAAAATGGCTTCAAGGCTTCTTACTAATACCCTTCAAGCTAATGCTGGTTTAACTAAGCAGGTACATTCAACATAACAGATCTTTAACAATTCGCATACACCTATAAAGCAACTCCAATTTTAATTCGCATTTTTTTTTTTTTTTTTTTTTTCGCAACTATTATAGTTCATCCGTTCTATGGCTACGAATTCCAAGCAAGCCTTAGCAACTCGCATCACTAACTTACCTAACGGCCTTACAGTTGCTACCGAGGAGAACCCTTCTGCTGGTGCTGCAACTGTTGGTGTTTGGATTGATGCTGGTTCTCGTGCTGAATCCGCAAAGACCAATGGTATCGCTAACTTATTTGAACATGTTGCTCTTCAGGTAAATTATTAAAGCAAAAAGGGAATATGAAGAAAAAAAAAAAGAGGATACAATCTACTTTAAGATAAATTTATATTTTTCGAAGGAATGATACATATGAAAAAAAGTATTTAAAAAGTTGAAAAAGAGGGAATAAAAAAAAAAAAAAAAAAAGAGAGAGAAAGAGAAAGAAGGTGCCCTGAGATACCGAATACTGTTTAAAAGCTTATAATTTGATTTTTTTTTCTTTTTTTTTAAAAAAAAATTAGGGTCAAGCTTCTAAATTTGAAAATATCGGTGGTGTCCTTACTGCCAAAACTGGTCGTGAAATCACTTCATTCTCAACCAAGACTTTGGGTAGTAAAATGAGTGAATCTGTAGAAATCCTTGCTGACCTTATTCAAAATACAAAGATTGATGCCGCTACTGTTGATAAGCAACGACAAGCTGTTTTTAAGCAACAGCTTGCTGCAGAAAATGATTATGAATCTGTTGTTTTCGATCATTTGTATGCTACTGCATTCCAGGGCGAATCTTTGGGACGCCCTGTGAATGGTATTAAAGAAACTGTTGAACAAATAACTGTCGAGGATTTGATTGCTTTCCAAAAGGACAATTATAGCGCTGATCGCATGGTTATTGTTGGTTCTGGTGATGTCGACCACGAAGCTCTTGTCCGACTTGCTGAGAAAAAGTTTGGAGGACTTGGTACATCTACTCGTGTTCCTCAGCCAAAGCCTTCTTTCACTGGTTCTGAAATTCGTATGCGTGATGATACTTTACCTCAAGCTCGTATCGCTTTTGCTGTTGAAGGTGCACCTTATTTATCAAAGGATTATTTCAATTTACTCGTTATGCAAGCCATCATTGGAGCTTGGGATAAGAACTTGGGAGGTGCTGGTAATCTTTCTTCTAAATTATCAGCTATTGTTAATAACAACCATCTTGCCGATTCTTTTGCTTCATTTACAAAGGGTCATAAGGATACTGGCTTGTGGGGTCTCTATGTTGTCACTCAAAACAGAGATCAAATTGACGATTTTGTTCATTTCCTTCAAAAAGAATGGGTTCGTCTTTCTACAACTGTTACTGCTTCTGAAATTGAGTGTGCTAAACAACAAGTGAAGGCCGGATTATTATTAAGTCTTGATAGTACCTGTGCTGTTGCTGATGATATTGGTTCTCAAGTTCTTACCACTGGAAAACGTTTATCTGAAGCAGAATTGAAGGAGACTATTCATAAGATTACTGCCGACGATGTTCGTAAGACTGCTTACAAATATGTATGGGATCAAGAACTTGCTGTTGTTGGTCATGGCCCTGTTGAATGTTTGACTGATTACAATAGAGTTCGTGGTAATATGGCTTACAACAGGTAAAGTAGTTTTTTTCTTTTCTTTTCTTTTCCTAGACTAATATATATTTTTTTTTCTTTTATTATAGATTCTAAATTACACATATATTTATATTTATATATTTTTTTTATCAAAATTAATAAAGAACTTTTTTTTAAAAAAAAAGAGTCAAAAAGGGGATATATAGAATAATGATATAAAGTAAGAAGAAGAGTATACAAGATAAGGGTTTGTCTTGTCAACACTAATAATCATTAAGGGGCAGAATAAAGATGACAAATAGTAGTCCATTTTTATTTTGTTTTATTTTTACAAATGCTCAATATATACACATATTACATATACACGAGGGAAAGAATATTAAGTTATAGTGGGTAATTTTACTAAATATTTGAACCACAATATTTTCTAAGAAATGGTGTGGAAGCTAAATAATGACGCAAAATAGGCTCAAGGGGAGTAAAGTTGCCTAATTTATAAAAACCCCAATGGGCAAAACTGTTGATAAAGTAAGGAAATGTCCAATTGGCAACTGAGAGTACATAAATATGCCTTAAAAGTAATGCAAGTGGTGAATTTACAAAGGATGAAGGTAAATAAGGTTTCAACAAAATAGCTATGATTTTCTCCATGATGATGACTAAGCCTTGTATTCCAAAGAATATTATTTGTTGACCCATAAACCTTTCACTATAGATCTTCCAACCTGCATTACATAACGCAGCATATTCATGAGTAAAGCCTGATGCTATAAAAACTGAGAGAGAAGCAAGAGAGATGGCTAATAGTCTATATTTTGGCTTTTTGTTTGTTCCTTCGCGAACCAAGAAATAAACAGGTTTATATGCAAATGATACCCAAGCAGGTCGTAAGATTCTATGCCAACGATAAGACCATACATCCTCTATAGAGGTACCAAAAATCGGGGTTTCCATCATATTCCTCCATTCCTCTATAATGGTGTAAAATGCGATTTTTTTTTTTTTTATTATTAGTTTAATTATCATATATTCTACATCCTTTCATTTTGTCTTACCTGGAGCATAAAGACCATGATCAAAGAGTATGCAATAGAATAGTTGCATTATTTTACCAAACATGTTATATGTAAATGTCAATAACATGATACCGGAACAGCATACCAAAAACGTTTGAATTGGATGATATTTTTGCATTTCGAATATATCCTTAGATGTAAATGTTTTTATCCATGAAACAACAATATCATAACCAATGGCATTTAAAATTATAGAAGGAAAGAGATGATAAAATTTCTAATACACATGTACAAAGGTATAAACATATATAAATTATCAAATTCATAATTACCTTCAAACTCGAAAGAAAAAAAAAATGCTTACCTTTGATTTCAAGTATACCTTTTTCTCGTCATTTGGCTTATGACGGTTATTGGCTCTTATACTAAACAAAAGCTCTGCATTGAATTCAGAAGCAGATATATAAGCATCCTTTTTGTAAATGACAGGATGAATTAAAAAGATATCAATAAAACGTTGAAACATAGTAAATGAAATCACTTGACAGAAAATACAAAAAACGCCTATATTACAAAACAATAAAATGAATTATTTAGCGAAATAAACTGGTTTTTCTTTTTTTTTTTTTTTTATTTACTGTTTTCAAAATCTCTATAGCGATAGGGCATAACTAGTAAACATATTAAAAAAGGAATAGAAATAACTTGCTTTACTTTTGTGCCTAGTACATTTATGTTAAGAGTTGATAGTATAGATAAAACCAGAACAGGAGATAGTGTATAAAAGGCAATATGTGAGGCAGGTACAGCAGTACGCCATGTATCGATTATTTCCTCTTCATACATTTTTGTTAACAAAAAAAAAAAAAAAAAAAATAATAATAATAATAATTTCACATGATAATGAAGAAAACTTATTTTTTTTTTATACTGTGCTGAATTATAATATTTTACTGATAGGATTCAAACTTAATTTCTTTTTTTAGAATAACGCTGTGTTATTATGCTATTACATAAACAATCTATGAATATAGACATCTGCGTGTTACTTGATACACTATTTTCTTTATCTTTATTTATGATATAATTGAAACCCAGTTATATACGTTTAACATTTGTAAAATTAAATTTGAAAAAAAGGAAAAAGGTTAAATGTATGAAATAGAGTTGAATATAATATATTTTCTATGCTGCATTTAACATTCTAAAATAGAAAATAAAAAATTTTCTTTTTTTTTTCTTCTTCATTATATCTTTTTTTTTTTAAATACGAGTGATTTATATACAATTCGTCATTTCTCTCCATTTTTCTTGTTGTAGGAATAAAATTAAATGCTATAAATATTGATATTATTAAAAGGAATATCCTTGTATCACGTTCTTGACATTTACTTTATTAATCAAATGATTTTTACATTTTATTTTGTAATAAATTTATCCAAACTCCTCGGGTTGTTTCGGGGGGGGAGTAAGGGAATGTAATTGGCTATATAAAAAAAGCGATTTTTCAATGAATAAAAATAAGCAAGAATAATAGTGTGATTATCAGTTCAGCAAAGAAAAAAGAAAAGAAAACTGGTCAATTCTTTTCTTATAGATTCTGGAGATGAAGGTATGTTTTTTTTTATGATATGATAGGTAATTAAGCTTATAAAATACAATACGTATAATGAAGCAGTATATAAACCGAGAAATTATATTGAGAAAAAGGAGTAAGGATTAACGTTTAGAAGAGCATTGGTTCTTCAATAACTCCAGACATTTGTAATTAATAGTATACTTTTAAGCATTATATGTTGTTTGGTACTATAAAGAAATAAAACGTGGTATAATTGTCAAGTAGCCTTCTTCAAAGTTAATCTAGGGGTAAAATTTTAAATGTATATACATGGATATGTATTTTTGGCTCTCGAGATAAACACAGAAATGTAGGCAACAAATAAGCTGATAATCATGTATTTTAATCTTCAGTCTAACCAATTTACAATAAAAAGTAAAGTAATATCAAATGCTAACTTTATAAGCATTTATGTTGCCTTATGATGCAACAATTTTAATCAAAATTACTTATCAATACTATACAAGCTTGAAGATTACTATGTATCCAACTGCACATTATTGACTACGTTATATTTCAAACATATCATTAAAGGCTTCTAAAAAAAATGAATAAAAAATTATATATTGAAAGGTAAATTCATAGTATTCTGTTTGTCTGTTAGAAAATATTTTGGGTTCACTTTCAATAGAGTAATTTTAAAGTCGATGAAATAGAGCGATATTTTTTTTTTCACTCATATACTTTAGGCTCTAGAACAAACATCATATTTAATAATCATGAAATATCAGATATTCAAATCAAATCTGTACATGCTAAGGGAAAAATATTCATATGCTGGCTATGTTAGAAGGAGCCAATATATCGATAAGTGAAAGATACAGAAATGAATTAAAGCTAAAGCAGCTAGGCAACTACTATATCTACATTGTTCGCCGTATACATTGTTTCATTATGAAAAGTTTTCATTTTATTTTATTTTTTGGCTTCAAACAACACAATTTAGTTTTTTATGATTATCAAAAAAAGTAGGGGAGAGAATAACAACAAAAGCATGATAATAATTTTAAAATGCTTATATAACTAAAATACACTCTATATTTCTAACAATAGAGAGAAAGAATCTATTCATTGGCAGACTACTAAATCTTCTACCACATACTTAATTGTGTGCAAGGAAAGAATCAAATTCTAAATAAAGATTTTAGATAAAGTTAGACAAAGTAAATATAAATGAAGTTTGAATACCAATAGCACAACATCCTTTCACTATTTCTCATAAAGCAAAGGAAAAAAAAAAGAATATCATTGTAAAAAAAAAAAAAAGAAAAATAGGCTTGCAGTACGTGTTTATAAGACAACACAGAAGCTTTGGAAATTAACAAATGTGAAGCGTTGCTATTGTATTGAAGATTGTAAAACTTGCCATATACAGTGCTAATCTGACATAAATGCATACAAGAATATGTACAACATACTAGTTTCTATTCTTAATAGTCATAGACTTCCAACGATGTTTAACAGGAATCATTGTAGCAAATAGAATTCATCAAATTATTAAAATTGTATTTTTACTTCATTTTAAAATAGTATCCATCCATGCGTCTTTATCTTAAATATCATTTTCTTAGTTAACTATTTAAGCCTATTTATTATTGATGTCTCTCATCATTTTTATTCTTATTACTTTAGCCCTACAAAAGGAGTTCTTTAATCTATCTTCAGTAAAAACTACAATGTCACTGGTTCGTCAAGCGTAAACAAAAAAAAAAAAACTAGTCCAAATCTTTAAAATAATGATTTATTACTTTATTTTCCACCTTTATCTCTCCTTTTTTTTTATTTTATTTCATTCTTGTTATTGGATAAGATTACAAAGTAGCTATTTAATTAACTGATCTGATCCGATAAATAATGTTGGTTCGGATCATTCAACACTTTAAAATTCAGACGATACATAGGAAAATTAAAATTCAGATGGAGGATTTAACTAAAAGAAATCTTTTCTTACAAGATAGATTTTGCTCGTCTTTGTAGTGGTATCAATTCCAAGTTGATCACAGTTTGTTGTCCTTCTTTGGAACAGAATACAATACTTTGATTAGATATGATGCACGTTGACTGTAGTTGTGTCCTTCGTTGATACCTTGGTTGGTTTCCTCCCATAGTGTTTCTCGGCTATGTTTTCATCATCTATATCATTACTTTACCCGTAAACGCTCTATTAAATATTTCCACATGTACTATCGACTTAATGTATCATTCTCCATTACTAATACATTTTTTTTCTTTCTCAATCAGCTTCCTCTGAAGAAACCAAAGTCGCTGCTATTAGCTTCTCCTTAGTTAGTTTGTTGGCTCGACGATCTGTTTCATCAAACACTTTCTTCTACTAGTGTTAAACTAATGTATTGGCTATCCTTTCCTCCCCCTTTTTTTTTTCCTTTTAACTGCTAAGAAATTTTTATTACCTTCTCTCTCTCTCTCTCTCTCTCTCTCTCTCTCAGTTTTTTTTTCTTGGAACTGGTGAGGGTAGTATATTGTATAAATAAATTACTATATACTTATTGGTTGTTTTTATTTTACCTTAATAAACTCTTTTATTCATATAATTTGCTTGGTAATCAAATTATAGGGTTTAATACATAATTTAGGCTAAATTTACGGCTATATTTTCATTAAATAATTTTTGTTAACAAATCATACTTCCAATATATACATATTATCTTTATAAATAATAATAATAATAGTCATAGTAGTAGTAGTAGTAGTAGTAGTAAAAAAAAAAAAAAAAAAAAAAAAAAAAAAAAAAAGTACATGTTCATATCAAGAGAAAAAGGATAAAGAATGTTATAATACTTTATATTTGAGAATAAATAATCTAATATGCTTTATTATTGTATAAATAGAGGAATATGTAGCTAAATAAATAATGTATATATTTATGTATATTGTTTTGAAACATTTACAACTTGCTTCTACTCTCAATTAAATTTCTTCTTTTTTCTTGTTCACGTTTGGATAGTCTGAGAACACCTTCTTGTGCAGTAGTAGCAACCAATGTGCCATCTTTACTATAAATTCTACCAAATGCCATTCCACGTCCGTTGCTAGTTCGAGGGCTATGCATATCATATAATAGCCTATTCATATATACATAGTATGATAAACATAAATACATTGTATTCAGAATTGTATATATATATATATATATTTACCATGAATCAGCTTTAGCAGGCGCATGAAACCACATAGAATGATCTAAACTTGCAAGCATACCAATACCTCTTGAAGGTACTCCATTTACTTTTGCAGCCGTACCAACAAAACCACTATCTGAAGCATATGCAATAACACAAGCATGGAGTCTTTTGTCTAAACCAAGTTGTCCTCTTGTCTTAAACCAGCGTCGCTATACAGGCATATATATATGTATGTATAGAAATAAATTTAATAACTTTGAATATATACATATATAAAGATATAGAATTAACTTACAGCAATTAAGCTAGGCTGAGGAATATTGATTTCTCTGTAATCTACTGGTGAACTTTCTTCAATTTGTATTTTAATAAATTCACGATATTTAGGAGGTAAATCATTTTGATCCAACGCCTTTTGTAATAATTCTACATCACTAATAAAGTAATTATTTAATTTTTAAAAGGTCTTTTTTTTTATCTTATTTTCATACATTTATATACACTTACGATGGAAGTGAGTCTGGTTCAGGTACTTTTGGTATCTCAGTTTGATGATTCAATTGAACACTAGTATCTGGTTTTGTAAAACTAAAACTACATACAAAGATGGCTTTGCCTTTTTGAGAAGCAGTAACAAATCGAGTAGCATATGATCTACCATCCCGAAGCCGTTGAACTTGGTAAATAACCGGTACCTCTACATTACCAGGTAAAATAAAATAACTATGAAGCGACTATATATGTATAATTAGTTAAATATATATAAATATATATAAATATATGTATATACATGTATATCGAATTCATCTGCAACAGTGTAGAATGCGGCTCTTAAAGCTTGAGCTACAATCTTATAGAATTAAATATGAGTGTACAAAGAATAAAATAAAATTCAACTTTTAATTTTACCTGACCACCAAATGCACCACGTGCACCTGCTGGTAACCATAATTCTTTACTCATATATAAATTAATATCTATTTCTTGCACTTCAACAGCATTAGCCATACGGACACCAAAATCTTCATCATCCTCGTCACCGAATCTAGCGGTGATAACGGGGGTAGAATTTTTTTTATCCGCAAAAGAAATGACAGCTGGGAAAGTTGAATTAGGCATTTTGAAGAAGAAAAAAAAAAAAAAAAAAAGAAAAAGAAAAATGTAGCATATTTGTTTTTTTCATTTTATAATTAAAAATAGTCACTAGGAAGAATAGTTTTACCATCCATCATCATATAATTCATTACAAACCTTTTTTTATTACTAAATAAACACTTTTAAATTTTCACATGTGGCTTTTAGCAGTATCAACCAGGTTTGATTTTATTATAAGACAACACTCTTTTTTTTTTATTAATCTTGGTGTAAATCTACTTTAGTTCTAATCAAAGAGTGACAATGATGAAATCATTAATAAAACTGAAGTTTCTATGGTACTATTAAGAAAAAAAAAGCATTATCAATAGAGTTCTAAATAAGTTTATACCTCTTATCGGCTCTCAGATGTAGTTGAGAAATATATCGTGAATCATGAATCGTTTTATAAAAAAGAATATTGGCCTTTAATCCTTTGGAATGCTTAGATGGTGATAATTTTGAAAATGTTATATAAATAATTTCGATCTTTATGCATCGAATAGAATGCATGGTACTTAGTTTTGACTCCATTGGGCATTAGCAGCTAGTGAGTAATCTTTATATTTTACAAACAAGTAACCTTTAAGATTAATGCTTTGCTCCAACAGAAATTACAAAGCAAACTTTCAACGACAAAAAAAAAAAGTTAGTTACATGCTCCTTATGGCAGTCATCTGACTTGCTTTTAGGAAGGACGAGTAGGTCCCAGGTTTGTCATTCTGTAAAGTACAAAGCCGTCTAGGTCTTCTTTTCCCTGTTGTCTCCATTTTTGTGTAGTATGATAATTTAAGTTAGCAGCCATGGCAGCCTCTTTAGGTTTCATACCTTTCTGTTTCAAGAAAAAGAAATACATTTATCGATCCTTGGCTGTGTATCTACTGTATTCAGTTTCTCTTTCTTTCTTAGGGCTCACTTTAGTCATATTTAAGTCAGGTTCCTCGACTAACTATAAATCAAAATCAGAGTCATTCTTAACCATCTTCTTCAGATCTTTTATTTATTTTTTAAGCGAAACGAAGGAGCTTCATCGTATTGAGTAGCTTCATTCCTTCTATCATCAAAGATACTTCCTCTTCCATCTTTATGGTAAAAAGGCATTTCAGAGTCCATTGCTAAGTTTGAAATTGTAGAAAGAAGAAAAGTGTTTAGATTTTGATCAACTCGTCGATTTGGAAAAAGTGACCAATTGACCAATTGGTCTTCAAAAAGCTGATCAATTGAGTTCAAAAACTTGACCGATTTTTTTTTTTTTGGTGAAGTGACCGAATACTGCATTGTTCTAGCTGCTTACTTTACGCCAAGCATATTCATCATATACAAAAAGTATTCATCTTTTTTTTTTTCTTTTTCTTTTTCTTTTTCTTTTTCTTTTTTCCTTTCTTTTCTTTTCTTTTCCTTTTTCAAAGAAATGAATAAAGTTTCTTTGAACTAATAAAGTATGTAAAATTCATCTTTGAAATTGTAAGAAAATAAAAAAAAAAGAATTTATACACTTGTTTGCAAATATCCACACATTAATAACTAAAGGAGTAAACAACATTTATACATGCGTGTGTAAAAAAAGATGAAATAAAGTTTAATACGTTCTCCTTAAAAAAAAAAGGAGAAAAAAGTACTTTTTCTTATCTTTTTTATCTTTTCTTTTCCTTTTCTTTTCTTTTCTTTTCTTCACAAATGTTGCCTTTTTTTTTCTTTTTTTTTCCCTAAAGTTAGAGAAAGTCAGGGTTATGAAGTGTGCTCAAGTCACATAGCTTGGCTTACTTGAGTTTGTAGAACTGTCCGTTTATAACATGGCTAAAGGAGAGGGCCTAGACTCTCTTTTGGTTACTACATGCATATCCGCCTTCACCTTGGGTTATTGCAACCTTAGATAATTGATGGGACCTTATCGAATTTTGACTGCTCAAGTTTGATTTATTTCCAAAGGAGGAGGGAAATAAAAAGGATACTTGGGGTTGGAAATTGTAAACCTGTTCCTTTTTTAGGGAGATTAGCGTACTCTTTGTCTGCACCATTGAAAGGGCTTATCTCAAGGTTTAGTTTTTCTGTTTTTCTTTTTGGAGGTTTTTCCTTCTTTTTATTTTTATCTAGTTGCTGTTTATAAAATAAAAATAGATAAGGATGCACAGCTTACGTTTCTGACCGTGGTTTTTTCATCTATTTATTTAGTTGAAGAATCCCAACTTGTATTTACTGTTAAGTCAAAAGTAGATGCTAGGGGTCAAAGAAGGGACATTCTCAGGTAAACAATAGTCAGGTCGTGCACTTTATATATCTGGATTCCTTCCACTTCGCCACGCTACAGGTCAGAATGTTTAGCCCGGCTTCCAATGAAACTTACATCCAACTGTATTTTTTATTGGGGTAGGAAGTGAGGAATCCTATCTTTTTCTTCTAGCAAGGCTTGGGCCAGGTTGGACTTTGCCAAGTGTCTACTAGTTGAAATTGGACGTTTATCTTTCAAGTAGAAGTTTAGAGGGAGAAGAAAAAATTACAGCCCGTATCAATTTGTGTATGGGTTGTAATATTATTTTTGGGATTAGATATGCTTTCACCTTCTCGTGGTTAATCCTGTTAGTATCAAGTCTCTTCTACTAAAGAGATTTGAGAACTAAGAAAAGCATCTTTTTTTTTATAAAATATTAATAAAAATGAAAAAGAAGTTTTTATAAAAAAACGTATTATAACAACCCTGTAAATTAATTACTTCACTTTAAAAATCGGATATTAATAGCTGTTAAATTGTTTACCAAAATGATATGTATTCTTGTCTTGTCTATAATATCTTACAAACCATTATATTTATTAGTATATAGTCTCAATCAAGGACACTGTATTAACTTTGTCTTGGCAAGGAATTGATAAATGAAGGAGAGTTCATCTTATAAAGAGAGAATAACAATTTGTCTTTCTCCTTAATCCTCTGCCATCTCTATAAGCTCATTCTATATCACTTTTATTGACTATAAGCTATTTCCTGCTCAATAAACTTATGGTAACTGTCGCTTGATAATCCTGGGACAATTGCTTCAACAAGTAAACATGATGTAATATGATATATATTTTATTTGTCTCCAAAAAAAAGAAAAGTTAACTATATGTGTATACCTGGATTCACTTCTGTTGGATTTAATCACCTCAATAAGAATCTACTCAGGCTTTCTAAATATTTCCCTTGTACATTGATGTATATGTATGTGTATGTTTTCCCTTTTGTCCCTGAGGAGTTTTTTTTTTTTTTTTTTTTTTTTTTTTTTTTTTTTTTCGTACTTAATACTACAAGTTAGACTGGTTTAAAGGGATTTTATTAGTGTTTAAAAACATTCTTGTTTAATTGGGGTATTATTAAAAATAAGAAACTTCCCACCCTGGATATCTAACTTTATCTAAATATATATGCATACATATACAAAACTATAGGGAATGGAGATAAGACCATGCCTCGTTCCTTTTCTCTCTTCCCAGTATAAAATGATTCTATTTATCATTATTATTATCTAATTTTGATACACGTATTATAAAAGAGTAACTAATAAATTGGTAAAGCTCTTTAGACAGATACTTTGAGTATTAAACGTTGGTGACACGCATACATCATCATTGTGAAAAAAAAAGAAAAAAAAATGCAGAGTTTTTATTTACAAATGGAAGAATTTACTATTATAGAGTCATTCCATGTATATCATCCTTCCCAATCTAGTGTTAATGATTTGAATCAGGGAATAAAGCATACCTTTATTAGGGAAGAAAAACAAAAAATAAAAGGAAAATATCAGTAAAATAAGAAATAAAATAAAGATTATATACAAATAAAGTGAGAATGATTAGATTTGATGGGTACTTTGTATAAGTAATATTGACATGCTGTTATTCCATCTTTACACATTGGTGTTACAGTATTTCATGATAATTACTATTTCGAGTGGCCTGTTGTAGAATGTGAATTATACTGATAGGGATTTTCATACTAAATCAATTATTATAAGTTTTGCAGATTTACTTTATATCTTATTGTTAGCCCAGCCTAAACTTTGTTTAAAGATATATTAAACAAACAAAAAAAGTCAGGAGTTATTTCTTCGAACGTTATAATAATATACAGATATATGAGACTTATTGTAAGTTTATTTATATTTATATTTTTCGTTATTATTATGTAAAAAAATGTCATCTTCATTACAAATTAGAACAAAGCTTGACCTTAGCTTGTGTTCAAATTGTGCATATATGAAAGCATCTGATAAAAGTTACAAAATAATATAAATTGCATAATAAAAAAAATAAATAAATAATGGAAGCGGGTAGCAGCAAAATTAAAAAAATAAAAAAAAAAATGGTATACTTATTAATCATTCTATCTTGCATATAATGAAATATCTATCATAAATAATTTCAACTAAATCCTATATTTTTTTTTTATTTTTTTCAATTATAGGCCAAGAATCTTAATGAAGGTTAGCTTATAAAATTTGGAAACAAATAGAAGGAGGAAAGGGGGAGAGAGAGAGGGAGACAGAGAGAGGAGAAGGAATAAATATTATGTCAATGCATGTAATACTTTATATGGGAAAAAAAAGATATAAATATACATTTATATAAAGGAGAAGATAAAGAAGAAGAAAAAAGTCCCTTTTTCTTCTTCTTTTTTTCTTTCTTTCTTTTTTTTTTTTTTTTTTTTTTTTTTTTTTTTTTTCATTTAAAATTATTATCATATGAAAAAATTATTTAATTTTTCTTCTACTTCAGCAAACTATGGGATGAGCAAAGAACGCTTAACTCCTTTATATCGTTCATTAACTCAAGATAGTCAATATACGAATGACGATTCACCTATAACAAAATTAGTATGCAAATTATTAGGTACATTTATATTCATAATAATGACAATAAATGATATACATATATAAACCTCTAAAACCAAATACAACTTGTTTAAATATTTATATATAAAGGTTTACCTAGTCCAGCAGTAAGACCTCGGTTACGGCATAAATCACGATCAACGACATCAATCACCAAAAGTTCAGTTATTTCTTCATATCAAAATACAACTTTAATAGACTCTAATACTTCCGAAGAAAAAGCTGTACGAAAGCCATCAGCTATCACCATTGTGACACCGTCATGTACAGCAGCATCGTCCATTATCATGGACTGGGACCAGATTGAAGTATCAACCACTAATAAAGAAAAAGACGATACAAGCTCAATTTCTTCCAGTTTATCATCTACAAGTTATATTTCAACTGTAAATAGTTCAATCTATTTTATTGATAGTTCGAATAATAAATGCATATCACCTGCGGTAGATGCGCTTGTTACAGCTAGTTTGATTCCCACAAAATATACAAAGTCAATTCTTGAATATATACCTTCAATAAAATTAATCCATCGAAAACAAGATACAGAACCTGTGTTAACTGAAGCAATAGCTGAACGAGTAAGCTCATCATGTCATGTTTGATTTATAATTTTTTTTGTCTGTAGTAATCATGTTTCTATAGATTCGACCGTATATTCCTAAAAGATATAAAATAGCAGAAAAATGGAATCTTCTATATAGTCTAGATCAGCATGGAGTTAGTCTTACCACATTATATTCACTTATGAAAAAATATGATGGACCTTGTGTTATAATTTTAAAAGATGCAGATGAACAAGTAATATATTCATATATAAATATATATATATACATATCTGTATATACTTTATACATATACATTTCATGAGATTGATTGTCATAATAATTGCATGTCTAGATATTCGGTGCATATTTAAGTAATACACTTTCTTTACAAAATTACTATTATGGAACTGGTGAATGGTAAACGTATATTTATACATACATACATAACATGATTTAGGTAATACTTAAACCTTTTTTTTTTCCTTTCCCCTTTTCCCTTTTTCCCCCCCCCCAAACCCCATTTAGTTTTTTATGGAAATTAAATGGAGAGACAATTAAAGTTTTTCCATGGACAGGAAAAAATGATTACATGATCCTGTCAGATTCTGATTTCATAGCTATAGGTGGAGGGTATGAATAAGTTATACGTTAAATTCCAGTTTCTTTATAAACGAATTTTTATTATATTAGGGATGGTACATTTGGATTATGGTTAAACTCAGAGCTCGAGAAAGGTTATAGTAATACGTGCCCTACTTTTGATAATGAAATTTTATCTCTTAGACATGAATTTCGATGTCTAGAATTGGAAGCTTGGGGATTGTACATATAAAGTATACCCTTTATCACTTTTGTGTATGTGTACGTGTGTAAATATAAATATTATATTCATTTATAATATTCAACATTAAAATCAAGTTTGTAAAATATTTATATGTATATATAGAATCAAAAAAAGAAGTTTTATGTACGTTTACGCAAAATGATATTCTACTAATTTTATATACATAATTACCTTTTTATTATTATTCAATATATTTGCATTCTATCTTATTTTAACGGTCAGCTTATAAAGTCATTATATTAATGATATATTATTTATTTATTTCTGCATGTGTAATAATAATCATGAATTATCATAGTTAATATTCAATGACTTTTTAATACTGAAGAGTATGATTATTTATCGTAAATGTATAAATCAAGTCTTTTGTGTATGTCTGTGTATTTATTTATTGAATATATTGTCTTTGTTCTTCTTGATTATTAAGAAAATACTCTAAACTTAAGATAGTCGTTAGAAGTGATATATCATGGTCATAAATATTTTTTTTTTTTTTTTTTTTTTTTTTTTTTTACTTTCTTAAAATGTACAATTTTAATTTAAACTGGACCACACATGTATATGATTGATTACATAATTTTTTTTATACCACTATTTGGGCGCCCCAAACAGATATCAGTTTAAAGTAGTTTTAGTAACCTTTTTGACACTAATGCAAATTTGAAAAGACAGTTTAAAAATGGAAGGAGGGGGGGGAGAAGAGGGAAGGTTCATGATTTATTGTAGATTACCAAGTAACTAGTAATTCATATCTATAATTAAGAATCCTTTTTTTTTGTGGTTATTATAGAATTTAGTCACTTTTAGTATCCATAAAATGGTTATTTTTTTAAGAGTTTTTTCTTTTATTGTTATGAAGCAAAAAAAAATATTAACAAAATGAAAGCAATACAAAATAAAACAATTTTTAAATACTTTCGTACGCCTCCTTTTCTTTTTTGGTAAAAGTATCATTATTTTTATCTATATATAGCCTGAGGATTTCAGTGTGTATATTTAAATATGTATATACATATATGTATATATAAGGAAGAGTCATTTAGTAATGGTAAATTTCGTTGGGTTCACGTCCACGAACTGAAGAAGGTTCAGAACCAGGAATATAAATATCAGTAAAGAATTCAGATGTAGATGGCTCAGGGGCTGCTTCTGCCTTCTTAAGTGCATCATCGACCAACTTACGTGCTTCCTTATCAATATTCTTGAGATCAGCTTCAGTAGCCAATCCATGTTCAATCAAGACATGCTTCATACCCATAATAGGATCAGAAGTAGAACGCATATGTTGAATTTCTTCACGTGTTCGGTATGTGGTGCCAGGATCAGACATAGAATGACCACCATAACGATAGGTAGACATTTCCATGACAAGGGGACCCTTTCCAGATGTTGTCCATTCCTTAGCATATTGACAAGCTTTATAAACTGAAAGAACATCCATGCCGTTCACCTTAAGGCCAGGGATATAATCACCACGTTTATAATATTCAGTGGATGCAGATGATCGATTAGCAGAGGTACCCATACCATATTTATTGTTTTCACAGACAAAGACACATGGGAGATCCCAAAGCTTAGCCATATTATAGGCTTCAAATACTTGACCTTGATTGGATGCACCATCACCATAAAGTGCAAAAGTGACTGAAGGGTTTTCAAGGTACTTTTGTGCAAAAGCAACACCAGCTCCTAAGGGTACTTGTGCGCCAACAATACCATTACCACCATAAAATGAGGGAGCAAACATGTGCATAGAACCACCTTTACCCTTTGAAATACCAGTACTACGACCCATTAACTCGGCTAAAATACTTTCAACTGATCCACCACGAAGATAAGTAAAACCATGGCATCGATAAGCAGTAATGACATGATCATTTTGAGTGATGGCAGCTTCCATACCAACAGAAACAGCTTCCTAAGAAATCCAAAAAAAAAAACAATTTAGTCTCCGAACGCAAACTTGTGACATCAAACGCGGGGTTCATTTACCCAGCATCCCCCGCGTTTGCCCGCTGCAATCCTTTTCCTCCCCACAAAAAAATAAAATAAAATAATTTTTTTTCTTTATTATACCTGTCCATTACATAAATGACAGAAACCACGAATTTTCTTGGCCTTGTAAAGACCATCAGCTGCTGTCTCCATACGTCTCATAGTAGCCATCTTAGTATACATATCAATTAATTGATCCTTAGTAATTTCAACTTCAAGACCGGGTTTCTCACAATTATAAGTTTCGAAAGAAGACTCAGGTAATGCAATTGTCAACTTTTCCTCCGAAAAACGAGGCATACTAGTAGACATAGCACGCTACAATATATAAATGATTTAATTATCTTCTCTAAAGCATATTTGATTTCTTTCTTGTGGAGGTTTTTTTTTTATTTTTACCATGGGATTTATAGCGACCATACGCTTAGTAGCAAATAATCGAGATGCTGAACGAAGCATTTTTGATGATTAAAGAGGAAAAAAAAAGAAAGAAAAGAAAAAAAAAGAAAAATAAAATAAAATAAACAAAAAGGCTTTTTCAAGTTTTTTTTTCTTTTTTTTTTTTTTTTTTTTTTTTTTTTTTTTTTTTTTTTTTTTTTTTACATAAACAAGGTCCCGCAAGATTACTAGAATGTTTTTTTTGGGGAATAATCGGGAGAAAATAGTTTGATTGGCTAAAATAGAATGTTTTTCAGGAGGGTATACAGGGATTTGCTAATGAATACTAAAATTTGTGATAGGCTTTGTAGAAATTATTATCGCTTAGGACAAATTTTATGCTAAGTGACTTTGTGCTATCATATTTTATTTTTATTTTTATTTTTATTTATTTTGTTTTATTTTTATTTTCATTTTTTTTTTTTTTTTTTTTTTGATGGAGAAAAAAAATATAAAAAGCTTTTAACTTTTTACAAAACCAGGTTTTAGCTGCTTGGATATCCTATTGTAAATTATTTAAAATAGGATACACCAGGTAAACATATGTATAAATATATGCAAAGCATTTTACATGAATACAGTAATTTTATTACTGGTAAAAAGAGGCATATATCCTTTTATTTATCAATAACATGCAGAAGAAAAGTCTTCTAAAATCTAAAACTAAAAAAGCAAACTGAGTATGAACTTCACAAGAAATAAAAAATTTTAAAGCATATTTTCTAACTGTATATAAAATAATCATAATTAAAAAGCCTTCTTTTTTTTTTTTTTTTTTTTTTTTTTTTTTTTTTTTTCTTATTTTTTTAATATAACTATATATATTCATATATATAAAAAAAACACACACACACATTTGCACATACTATAAGTTGAACTGGTTATAATATGGCCACAAGGTAATAAATTCATGTTAATCGTAATGCACAATTTATTTAAATTTTGTTTTACATTAGACTCGATCGGTTGGTTTTATTATTAGACACCGGCTCAACAACTGCCGTTCGACGTACAGCTGCTCAACAGCTCGGTGAAATTCAAAAACAACACCCAGGAGAACTTTATAATCTTTTATCAAGAGTAATGGACCATTTTTTCTATATTCACTACATTACACTAACTTGTTACTTAGGTTGTTGTACATTTAAAAAGTAAAGCATGGGATACTCGTTGGGCTGCAGGTCAGGCATTAGAAGCAATAGCTGCTAATGTTCCTGTTTGGGATCCGCCCATCGATAGTCCTGATGCAATTGAAGATAACGATGTTGACCAACACAAACTACAGTTTAACCAGTTTGATCTTGCATCCGTTCTTCAACATGGCAAGCTATTATTAGGTTCGGCTGGTAAAGAATATGATATTGATTTTTCAGATATGACACCACAAGAACGATTGGAACTTCAGAGACGTAATTTAAAAGAACGTTTAGGTCTAGCAAGTCAATTTATGGATGGTAAAATAAATTATATTATTGATCAGCATCAACCATAGATTCTTACATTATATAATTTGTAGTTGATTTGGTAGAAGACGCTGATTTAGAAACAAAACACAACAAAAAGACTGTATCTAAAAGTCCTTCACCTTCACCATCTACTACTACCACTACTACCACTACCACTACCACTACTACTAATACTACTACTATTTCACCTGCTATTGCTGAAATCAATATGGCTGGGTTATCAGCTCGTGAACGAAACATGTTAAAACGTAAAATGAAATTAGAGTCAAAGATGAAGAATAAAAAAGAAAAGTAATGATTTCATTAAATTTTTTGCAACATGCTTAAAATTAATCTCCTTTTGTTGATAGAGTCCGTGTACTGGATTTGAAAGGCAAATCACCAAAATCTATTAAAGTAGAGAGTAAAGAAGGTAAATCGTGCTAAATCTATTCTTCAAAAAAAAAAAAAAAAATATGTGTTGTAAGCTAAATAGTTAATATTAGAATTCGAATTCACTGCTCAACCTCAATCAGATAAATTTGTTGTAGAAGTAAAAAAACCTGTAAATGAAAATAATCCAGATGAGGTTCAAAGAGATTGGCCATTCAAAATGATTTGTGAGCATTTATGTTTAGATTTATTTGATCCTGCTTGGGAAATTCGTCATGGAGCTGGTATAGGTTTACGTAGTATTTTAAAGGCTCATGGTAACGGTGCTGGCAAAAGACGTAAGTTTTTGTTTTTGTAATACTACTTTCTTCTTGCAACATATTACTAAATTATTAGAGTATAGTGGTAAAGGATAAAAATAAAAATGATGAACTACATAATGCATGGTTAGAGGATGTGGCAATTCGTTTACTATGTGTCTTTGCATTAGATCGATTTGCCGATTTTGTATCTGATCAAGTCGTTTGTCCTGTCCGTGAGACATGTTCACAAACATTAGGCGTTGTATTGCAATATATGACACCCAATTCTGTACAAAAAGTTCATGAAAATTTATTAAAACTCATTAACCAAGATGATCCTGCTTTTGGCGGACGCTCGATTTGGGAAGTACGACATGCAGGTTTATTAGGACTCAAATATACAGTAGCCGTCAGAAAGGATTTAGTAGAACTGTTAGTAGAAGGTACTACAGGCGCTATCATTTTAGGTTTAAGAGATCATGATGACGATGTAAGAGCCGTCAGCGCTGCTACATTATTGCCTATTACAGCTGAATTTGTACGTATGAGTTCAAAGGATCGTATTCAGATTGTCATGTCAACTTTATGGGACTGTCTTATCGATCTAAAAGATGATCTAACAGCTTCTACTGGAGCTGTCATGGATCTAATCGCAAAGATGTTTGAACAGCCGGGTGTAATGGATATGGTTCGTGAACACTGCAGTTTATCAGAACTTGTACCCCGTCTTCATCCATTTTTTAGACATACCATTGCTAGTGTTCGCATGGCCGTTTTGAATACTTTACTAACATTTATTGACTGTGGTACAGCCTCTGAATGGATTGATGAACGCGTTTATCGTCTTACGTTTCAAAACTTGATTGTGGAAGAAAAGTTAGATATTATCGAAAAGACATTAGCAGTTTGGAAAGGTCTGACGATTAGTGGTAAAGTAGAAACAGCGCTTGTATTACAGGGAACACAAAATTGGCTTGGTAGTTGGTTTGAGATTACCATGACACCTATTGGCCAGCCACTTGACACTGCATCTTACTTTTATAAACCTCCTGGAGCTTTTGGTAATGGTGGAACATTAGCCAAAACAACGTCAGCGCCTATTATCGATAGAGCTAGTAAGAGGAATAAAAGGGCAAATACAAATGTGAATGTTGGGGATGCAGAAACTCTATCTAAGGACATAGATAGAGAAGATGGACACAATTTAGATGCAGGTATGATTGCTCAAGATTTCTCATTGATTACTACCGAACAAGTGATGCGCTGTCGTGTTGCCTGTACAACTGCATTAGGTATGGCAATGAGCACCTGGCCGGACGATTCGATGGAAATGTCATATCAGGAAGTTTTATTAAACCTCTTAACTTCTCAGTGGGCGCTTAAACGACAATTAGGAGCAATGGCAGTCGAAGAATGGGCTAAAGCTGTCTTAAAAGCCCGTTACAATGTTGATCGTATCAGTCATGCTCCTCCAGATGCTATCTTAGCCACAACTCATAACTTCCCTAAATCACTCTCAAACGCCATGATTGCCAACTTGGAGAATGCTGCATCTAACACAACTGCGTTTTATTTTGAGCTTGTTCATGTCTTAAAACGTATTCGAAATGAATGTCAAAATCTTATGAATGCGTTCAATATTGAAGCAAAAGTACCAATCGAACATATTCCTACTCTTCCAATTTTAGTGCCTGGAGAGGGGCTACCAGAACAAGGACCATTATTTACAATTGAAACTGCAACTAAGGTAGTAAGTGAGACTTTTGGAGCGCTATTGGCTAAGGTGCCTCGTGCAAAAGGTCGAGCAGCCCTTATAACTGCTCTGGAAGAACGTCAACGACGTATAGTTGCTTCTATTGGCTATTTCGAAGAACTCAAACAAAAAATTGAAATCAACGTTTACGCAAGTACAGCAGGGGCAGTAGTTGAATTGGGTGTCTTACCTACGAAACTAAATCCAATTATTCGCAGCATTATGAATAGTATAAAGTATGATGAAAGCTTAGAATTACAACGACGATCAGCAGCTACTTTAACAGATTTAATTGCCTTATGCGAGCGATTTAAGGCACGTACAAACCCTAACGACAAAATAATTAAAAACCTATGTACCTTCTTATGTTCTGATACAACTGTAACACCTATTCTTCAAGAAAATCAAACGAAATTAGGTATTCTATCAGTTATTAAAGAAGATTCTGGAAAGAACTTGGTTAAGGAAGAACTCACACAAGAACAAAAGGATGCTCAACTGATGAAGCGTGGTGCTGAACTTGCTCTTAGTGAACTTTGTGATACATTTGGTGATCGTGTTTTCGATATTGTACCTAAATTAAAGGAATGTATTAGTCAGAGAATTATGGAAATTTTCCCTGAAAGTATGAGTGGTGTAGATGGTGTTGAAAAATCAGATGAAATGATTGCCAAAGATTTACAAGCAGGACAGGACGTTGTTGATTCTCTTACTATTTTAACAAACATCATTCCTTACCTTTCAGAAGGGCTTTGGGAACAAATTGTTGAAATTGTGCCTTATATATGTCGATCACTTCAGTCTTGTTATGCTGTCATTCGTAATATTAGTGCCCGCTGTCTTGCTGCCATTGCCAACGTTATAACGTCCAAGACAATGCAAATGATTGTTGACAATGTTGTGCCACAATTAGGCAACTCTTTGAACTCCTATTATCGTCAAGGTGCCTCTGAATTGGTCTATCATCTTGTTCAGCTCCTAGATACTAAGATTTTACCCTACACAATTTTCTTAATCGTGCCAATTCTAGGTCGCATGAGTGATCCTGATGAATCAGTCCGTCTTGTCTGTACTAATTGTTTTGCACTCTTGATTAAACTCGTGCCATTAGAGGCTGGTATTCCTGATCCACCAGGAATGTCTCTTGAAATGCTAGCTCATCGTGATGAAGAACGTCGTTTCTTGTCTCAATTATTGGATAGTTCCAAGGTTGAAAATTATGAAATCCCAGTTAAGATCAATGCAGAACTTCGAAAGTATCAGCAAGAAGGTGTTAATTGGTTAGCTTTCTTAAATAAATTCCATCTTCATGGTATTCTTTGTGATGGTAAATTTGTGTATTTAGCGGTTTTTTTTTCAATTAATTAAATACTAATCTGTTCATTTAGATATGGGTCTTGGTAAAACTCTTCAATCAATTTGTATACTTGCTGGAGATCATTTCCATCGAGCACAAAAGTATGCAGAAACCAATAGTCCAGAATTTATAGCTGTCCCTTCACTTGTAATTTGTCCACCTACCCTTACAGGCCATTGGTATCATGAAATTAAAAACTATTGTGATAATTTAAGACCATTATTATATACAGGCGGGCCTGCGGAAAGAAAAAAGTAAGTCTCTAATATAAACCTGAAAATCATTTAATAATGTTCCCCCCCCTTATTTTTTTTTGTAATAGATTGCGCTCTATAATTCCTAAACATGATGTAATAATTATGTCTTATGATATTATTCGTAATGATATTGACGAACTAGCACGTATTACATGGAATTATTGTATTCTGGATGAAGGACATATTATCAAGAATGGAAAAACAAAAATTACAAGAGCTATTAAGTCACTTCAATCTAATCATCGCCTTATTCTTTCTGGTACACCTATCCAAGTAAGTAAAGCTCTATTTTATAAATTTCGACTATACTCATTTTTTTTTTTTTTAGAATAATGTATTGGAATTATGGTCTTTATTTGACTTTTTAATGCCAGGATTCTTAGGCTCTGAAAAGATATTCAATGAAAGGTTTGGAAAACCTATTCTAGCGAGTAGAGATAGTAAATCATCATCTAAAGAACAAGAAGCAGGTGCACTTGCGTTAGAAGCATTACATAAACAAGTGCTTCCATTCTTATTACGTAGATTGAAAGAAGACGTATTACATGATCTTCCTCCAAAAATTATCCAAGATTATTACTGTGAGCTTAGTGATTTGCAGGTAAATAACAAATACACACAGATATGGTACAAATATGTATATACATGTATATTCATCGTTTTTTTTAGAAATCATTGTATGAAGAGTTTGCTAGATCACAAGCTAGAACATCAGTTGAGCAAGATCTTGGAGAAAAGACTAAAGGAGCTACACACATTTTCCAAGCATTACAATATCTTCGTAGATTATGTAATCATCCTTCATTAGTTGTAAGCGATAAATATCCTTACTATAAAAAAGTACAAGCATTTCTGGAAAGGACAAACACAAGTATACATAGTATTTCAAACGCACCCAAACTACAGGCTTTGAGGTAAATATATATATAGATAGATAGATATGGATATAGATATATATAAAAAAAGACTTTACTAAACTAATATTGTGTTAATAGACAACTATTAGGTGAATGTGGTATTGGTGCAACTCCATCTGCAGAATCTGAGTCTGACCCTTCAGCTATGGCTATTGGCGCAGTGAGTCAGCATCGAGCCTTAATCTTCTGTCAACTCAAGCCTATGTTAGATATTATTGAAAATGACCTATTCAAAGAACTTATGCCAACTGTGAGCTATTTGCGTTTAGATGGTTCAGTTGAAGCCAATAAACGACATGAACTTGTACAAAAATTCAATGCTGATCCATCTATTGATGTCTTATTACTTACAACCCATGTAGGTGGTTTAGGTCTAAACTTGACAGGAGCTGATACCGTCATTTTTGTGGAGCATGATTGGAATCCAATGAAGGACTTACAGGCCATGGACCGTGCCCATCGTATAGGTCAAAAAAAGGTAGTCAATGTTTATCGATTAATCACGCGTGGTACCTTAGAAGAAAAGATTATGGGCTTACAAAAGTTCAAGTTGAATATTGCTAACTCTGTTGTGAATCAACAAAATTCTGGCTTACAAAGTATGGATACAGATCAAATACTAGATCTCTTTACAGTTGGTGATGAACAGCCCAAAAAGAAGTCTAAGAATAGCGATGTGGCTACAGAAGGATTGGGATCTGCAAAAGCTATTTTGGAAGATCTTGAAGCATTATGGGATGACAAAGAATATAAAGAAGAATATAATATTGATAGTTTCATAAATAGCTTAAATTAACACACTATAATGTGTATATATAGACAATAAAAATAAAATAAAAATAAGAAAGTAAAAGTAAATAATACATAAGTATGTATAGTACTCATAAATAAAATTTATACATGTATAATAGTATGCTTATTAGTAAAGTACATTTATGATTACAGTGTTATTCAAGCTAATATGGGCGAGTATAAATTAAGCCGAATAATATGAAAAGCAGCCACTGCATATGACAAGTCTTTTTTTTTCTTCAAGTAAGGAAGTAGTAGCTCGATATTAAATACTGAAATCTCTGTCTATAATTATTTATTTATGGTGAAATCACAACTTTGTCGCACCTACTAAGCTTTAGTTTTATTTATAAAGGACTGTATGTCCCCCTTATCTACTAAAACAAATAAATTATTAATATACACTATAATAAAATAAGGAAAGGATCATAAAGAGAGAAAGAGAGAAAGAATGGTGGTGGTTAGGGTATCAAATAATTGACTTATAAACATAATAATAAATAAATTCATAAATAAATAAATAAATAAACATATAATAGCTTAATTTAAAAACTCCATTTTGGCTTTTCAATATCCTGTTGGCGTAAATGTCGAGGTGAAGAAGACCTTCTTTGTGGAGATGTAATCATAACAGGTGGAGAGGATCGTCGATATGAGTTTTTAGTTACTAATTTTATACTTGATGAACAAATATCTGAGCCACGCCTTCTTAACGTCGATGCTATGTTAGCGCCTATCAATCATCACAAGTGAGTAAGTAAATATAAAACATCGTTCATATTTATTTCCACCTAACAATAAACACTAACCTTCACTTTTATGATTATATTCATTTAGTACTCTTCCTCCTGTTTGCTTTGATTTTTGAATTAATGCAGTTTGTGCTTGTAAAATAAGATTTTCTAGCATTAGTTTTATACGTTGAAATACTTGGTCATTTGCAATCTCCTTTTCTTCTTCTGTTTGAAAATTTGAGTCATTTTTATTAAATAATAAAAGCTAAAAAAAAAAGAAAAAAAGAAAAAAAATCAAACAATATTCATTAATAATGAAGTATATATTTATGCATACTATATACCTCATCTACTTGATTGTCTGATACAGGTGTAAGAGGTCTATCATTTCTATATACATACATACATATTATATATTACAAAGAAAAAAGTAATGAAAAGAATAAGTATATTCAATAGACTTTTATCAAGAAGTTTTTTTTTTTTTTTTTTTTTTTTTTTTTTTTTTTTTTTTTTTTTTTTTTTTGTCTTTACCTTTGTTGTAATTGCTTTTGTAGTTCAGCAATTTGTACTTCTTGTTGTTTTAACTTGGCTTCCAATGTACTATTCAAAACTAATAACGATGATTTCTCTATCTCAAGATCTGCAATCTATTTATATAATAAGCACTCATATATATACACAAACAAGCCAAATATATAAATATATATGTATATACATATACACATATAAACCTACTTTACGATTTGCTCTGGCTTCATCTAACCATGCACTTTGTTCTTCAGATATTCTTCCTTTATTCACAAATTCTCCTTTACCATTCATGATGATTCCATCCTTTACTTTAGCTACAATCTTTTTAGTAGTAGTAGTCGTAGTACTAGGCATTTCATTTTCACTATCTGACGATGATAGACCATCGATACTATCATCTAAATTTTCATTATCGCTCACAATATCAGAAAATAAAGGTATAGATTTTGAAAGACTCGAATTACTTCTCGGTCTTTGTAAAAACCGATGTACACCTATAAGTGAGCCTACTGCTGCTGCTGTTGTTGTTGTTGGTTTATTATTTGAGTAGTAGTAGTAGTGGTAGCTATTTTGAAAATCAGAAGAATTTATCATCGTTGTTGGTTGTTGCACTCGAATATTATAATTACTACTGCTATTAGATAAAGTAGAGACAGTAGAAGGTGATGATGAAGAATAAGTGCTTGATGAAGAATAATCGTGTCGTTGAATTAATGGTGAAGAAGGCCTGATAATATTTAATGCCTTGGGAAATGAAATCTGCTCTTTAATAGTGGTAGACATAAAGTAGATGTGTATATATAAAAAAAAGGAAAAAAAAAAAAAAAAAAAAAAAAAGAGAGAGAGAGAGAGAGAAAGAGAGAGATTAAAAAGGAATATTTAAGTTTAATTTTCATTCGTGACACATAAGAGGATAAATAATAAAATGGCTTTCTTTTTATTTTCGCCTTTTTTCTCTTATTCCACTTGAAGATCCTGCATTGCTGCCTGCTCGTTTCTATTTACAATAATAATCAATATTTATATTCGAATATAAATATTCACTAAAATACTTACTCTTCCTGCTGTTGGTGTGCCATCTCTTGCTTTTTGTACCTTAACTTTGTACTCAACTTCAGTCTTATCAACTACTTTCTTTAGGTCAAACATATTCAAGATTGAATTTTGTAAATTTTCAAATTTTTGACAGATTTGACTTGTAGGCATTATAGGTCTAGGTCCTAATAAGTTGTATAAGTTAGAAATGTATCTGTGTACTCTAATCATTTATTCATTCATTTTACCTATGCCCATCTCATCTAATACTTTAATCACTTTAGCTTGCATAGTAGGTTTGACAATTGGTAACTTCTGACTTCTAATATAAACTCCTGGTGTAAGTTTCTCTTTCTTATTTTCATGAATTTCGGCTACCAAAAAAAAAAAAAAAAAAAAAAAAAAAAAAAAAAGAAAAAATTATGCATTTGTATTCTATCTATAAATCATATGACTTACGTGCTTTTTTACTGTCATCATGAATACTATTTGACTTCTTCTTTTTCTATTCAAAAAAAAAATGGTTCGATGTACAACAATGTAAGGTGATATATCCTCTTCCCTTTCTCTTTTACACTATTATAATCATGTATTACCTTTAATTCTGACGAAATACTAGTTGTGCCACCCGTAATTCCGATGCCTCCGGGTGATGCCAAAATTCCACCACTAGTAGGGCTGTTCAATGACGCATTTAATGGTGTACTGGGTGTAGAAGGAATTTGTTCCAACTGAAGTGAATTTAATAAACTCTCTCTTTCCTTAGAAAGTCTTGCTTCATTCATTTCAATACGTTTTGCTTCCACAAATAAGGCTTCTTCTTCTTCAATTTGTTCCTTTGTACGATTAAATAACATAATGAGGGCATTCTTTCGTTCTACTTCTTTTGATTTATCATAAGCATATTGTTGTGCTAATGAGTGTCGATCTGGTATATAATCGCCTGAAATAGGACCTTTCCCTTGTAATATTAATTTACGATTAACTGAATAAAATCGATCTTTTAGGTCTTCCATCGTTCTAGTCTTTGATTCAAAGCTATAGCGATCTTCAATCACTGGAAATCGTAAATCGTATTTGCGGCATAAATCGAATAAATAATCAGTTTCTTCTTTACTCCAATCCGTATCTATAATAGATGACTAATAAATTTTCCATATGACACGATTTTAAACACTAGCCATCTGACCTGTTAAATACTTTTCATAATCCTCATCTGTGTAATCAATAATGTCAATTACTTTATTAAATTTGGCAAAATGATAATCTACTTTGATCCATTTATTAGTATAACTTGCTAATCTGTCATATCTAACATACCATGGTTGTCTACTTCACTCGCTTTAATCCAGTGTTTTAATTCTAAATCATCAGCTCTAGCTGGATTTGTGAATGGTTGTAATATCCTATTGCAATTAAATTAGATTCACAACACATGTACTTTCATAATTACCTACCATGGCGTAGCTTTCTTCTTTGTCTGATATTTAGCTTTAAATGTTGGTTTAATGAACGCAATAGGTGGTGCACCACCAATTAATGAATATAATTCCCGACTAATGCCTTCTATAAACTTAATATTAACAATAGTTATGATCATCTTTTTTTTTTTTTTTTTTCTAAGAAAAAAAAAAGATAGAGCTACAAGTATTTACCAGGTCTTTTTTCAGCAGTAGGCTTTGGTTTCCTTTGAGATGTCTCTGTAGGAGCATCAATTTGTAAGATATCCCTAATATCGGAACTACTCATCTTGATGAATAAAAATAATAAAAAGGAAACAATTTATTTATGTAAAAAAGACCATTTTTTGTATAGTTGCAAACGATAGTCACAATCTCATGCTTAAATGTAATTATTGGTTTTATTTAAGCTGCTACTATTTTTTATTTTTATTTTTATTTTATTTTATTTTATTTTTTTTTTTTTTTTTTTTTTTGATATTTTACAATAATAATGGAACAACCAACACATCGAGATTTCCTTATTCATTTAAATCAGGGCAATTTTCAGGCTGCCGTTGATTTAGCCAACGAATTAAAACTAGATAAGGACTTGATTTATAAAACTCAATGGACAAAACGAAAAGAAGAACGCGGACCTCAGCTTCAACTTGCAGATATAGAACTTCTTAAGCTTGTGACTGATGATGTTTGGGTAGCTGGACAATGTCTTGATGTATGTCTTGATGAACCAGATGCACAAAAGGAATTGTTAACCCTGGGACACTCACGCATCTACACTCTTACTGAACCCATCTTGAAACAACTCGAAACAACTACACAACTATCAGCAAAAGAAAGGACATTCTTACGAACTCATCTTTACTTTCTTCAGTACTCTGATCGCTTGCAAACATTTACCAAGATATGGCCAAGTTTATCCCATGCCAACTCCTTTGCTAATGAATTCGCTCAGTTTCGTGATTGTAATCTGATTGCTCAAGCTATTGAATTTGCTCGATCAGAAAATAATGTGGCATTAGATGCCATCTTTATGCATCACGGTCAAACTGTCTTACCCTATCGTCTCTTCATTCTCTCTCAAATCCCTGAAACGGTTGACCCAAGTCGATTTGATCTACCCCACGTCACACACGACCACGAAGATAAATGGTTAGAAGAATCATGGCGAACTCATCAGGATATAGTAGAACAAGATTGGGTGCAACGAATGATCGAACTCGACGTGCAAGAGCAAATAGATTATTTATCAAGATTAAAGGCAGGCATTGAAGCCACTGAGTATCCAAGTTCAGCACATGTGATCGCGGACTGGTATCTTGAACGAGCTAGAGCTGCTGATAAGATAGGACTTTGTAGCACAGCTTTAGAAATATGTCGATATGCTCAAGTGATGGGTATTACGGAGATTGAATCTATTACGGTTGATTATGAATGGTTATGCAAATATGTTTATGCCTCTACCTCAGTAACCAACGACGATGAGGAAAATTATGTGGATTTAGAAAAGTTCAGAGAATTATCTAGCTATGATGTTTTAGAAGGCTTATTAAGGAATACAAATGCATCGACTATTCTGGATGATATGACGAGGTTAGCATTGCCTTGGATTGAAGTATCTAAAAGGAAAATAAAAGAGGACGACGAAGAAGAAGAAAAGGGAGAGATTTTATTATATCGTTGGTTACTTGCGCCCACCATTGTGAATAACCATCTAGATTGGCTATGCAGTATCTTTGAGATGTCAAAACCGACCATTCCAGTAGAGGATCGGATCATTAAAGACGATCTTGATTTATCTCGACTTATCTTGGCTATTGTTTATTCAAGTGGTGAGTTGATGGACTATCTTATTCGACTATTTGAATGCTTGCCCATCTTTGAACAAGTGGATGATGATGAGCCCTTGGTAGAAATGGCTCAGATTTTTCCTAAGGCTGATTCACCCTTTAATCTCTTTCTTGAGCTTCAATCGATAGGCTCTTATGGATTAACACGTATGATGGATACATTACAAAATCATTTAGGGTCAGCAGAGGTATTGGCAAGATATCATGCGAGTGTTCCACTTCGTTGGTTTCTAGAAGATCAATCATTAGAGGCACAACGACATCTTTGTATTCGTATGGCATCTCGAGCTTCTGGAGGTGTAGAATCAGGAGGTGTACAATTTGATCGAGATGATGATTGGCGTGAACTTTTAGATGATATGCTTCGTTTATGTGATCATGGACAAGGTATCTTTGGAAAATTAGATTCTACTGAAATTATAGAGATTTTCTTTAGTACCTTATTACGGTGTGGACGTAAGTTGATATCAACATATACCATAAAATTGTTAATGTGTAGTCTTAAAAAATAATTAATGGTGGGCCTTTTTATTTATTTTATTTTATTTTATTTATTTTTTTTTTTTTTTGCTTAGGTTTCCGTCTTGCTAAAGAGCTTATTTTGGGATCTAGACGAATCATTGATGTTACAAAAGCTGAAAGATTGGTTATTGATGCAGAGAGAGAATTTTTTGATAATGCAACATCTGGTAATAAACATTCAGGAAGTATGAAGCAAGCTTGGGAATGTTTGAGTATTTTACCACCTACTACAGAAATTAAAAAGGAGATGGCCTTAATTGAGGCTACACATACGTTAATATCAGAATATAAAACACAAGATCGTCCGGGTATGATCTTGATGCCAATTCAGATCCGACAGTCTAAAAACCGTCTAGAGTTGATCTCTAAATTAATCCATACTAAACAGGATATTTATCTTCGTCACGAAAAGGTCCTAGAGTTAGTACAACAACTAGGTCTAGTAGATGTATTAGCAAAAGTAAAGACCTTAAGTCTATTAGCAAGTGCGGCTTTAGTAGAGGAGGATTATCTTGAATCGTATAAACTCTGTCAACTCGCTGTAGATGCTGCTCGATCGAAACCAGCAGCCAATTCAAAAAGTTATAATGACGAGGTCAATCAGACAGCCTGGCAAATTTGTTTAAGTTTGGGTAAAGTAGATGCATTTAATGATACAAGTAGACGATTGGACGTACTATCGATGGCCATGACATTAAGCCCTGTAGAAAACATTCGTGATGTATTGGCAATTTGGAGAAAATTAGATCAACAGAAACCAAGTCAAATAGCTTTAGCTCAATTGGGTACAATTCATCATGAGAATCCTGAGGCTAAAAAGGGATGGCAAGGATTATTACAAAATGCAACGAAACAATGGAACTTGACGGATCTTTTAACAAGGGGAGGAGAACAGGAAAGCTCAGAAACTCATAATAAGAGGAAAAGAGATATTATTCGTGATGCCGTAGGTGGTTGGCTTTTTCAATAAATTCAATAGTAAACTATTAATATAAGGGAATTATAATACACATGCGAAAAAAAAAAAAAAAAAAAAAAAGGAAGGTGGCGTATCCTCTTTTCAGGGACCAGAATAAAGTTTATTCTTGTTGGTTTATATAAACAAGTCTTCGTCTAGAATAATAACTTGCTTGGAGCATTTGTATTAATAATGCGTCTTGAAGATTGATAAAGGCAATGTATATACACATACAAATATAGACATTTTTTTTTTCAAGAGTATGCTTTAATTATCATGACAACATTCTAAAATAATAATAATGAATGGTTGCTTAGTAATAGATTAGTTAATCTTTTTTTTTTATTTTTGATCAGAAAGTTATAAATGAAAAATGATGAGCTCTTTACTGCTGACAAGATTCTTAAAAGTTTTAGTCATCCTCTCCATTAAATATTTGAGTAACGTGCTTACGTAATCAACACTGATCTTGATAATAGTCGATATTTTCTTATTTATTATCTTTTCTTTTTTTTTTTTTTTTTTTCCTTCTTCGCCGAAAGAATCAAAAAAATAAAATAAAATAAAATAAAAAATAAAATGGACCCCATCGAGGAAATGCGTCAACAAGTTTGTAAAGAGCTTCATGGTTCTGTTACTATTATTGGTAAGATTGTAATGCATAGTCAGTATTTGTCTCTTACTATAAAAAATAAAAATAAAAATGTGTAGTCTTGGGCGCTTCAGGAGATTTAGCAAAGAAAAAGACTTTCCCAGCCTTATTTGGTTTATTCAAGAATGGATTTTTACCAGCCAGTACACGCATCTTTGGTTACGCACGTACTAAGATGGATCACGATCAATTTATCGAGCGTGTTACTCAATATATAAAAAGAACAAAGACAGTTGATGAAGGAGAAAGAAAATTGGAAGAATTTAAAAAGATTTTAACTTATTTACCAGGACACTATGATGAAGATGCTTCGTTTATCAAGTTGGATGAGGCTATTCATGAAAGTGAAGAAGAACGAGGGATTGAGATGGGCAAGAGGCATCGTGTCTTCTATATGGCCCTACCTCCATCTGTCTTTATTCCTGTTGCAAAAGGTTTAAAGAAAAACGTCTATGCTAAAGAAGGTCTTAATCGTATTGTGATTGAAAAGCCATTTGGTCAAGATAGTGCATCCTCTGCTCATCTTGCAAAGGAATTAGCCACTTGTTTTACAGAAGAAGAAGTAAGTGACCACAAGACTTTCTCACAAAACACACAAAAAAAGGCTAACCTGTTCTATTGTTATTATAGACTTTCCGTATTGATCATTACCTTGGGAAAGAAATGGTGAAAAATGTCATGATGGTTCGATTTGCAAATATTTTCTTTTCTCAAATTTGGAATCGTATGAATATTGATAACATTCAAATTACGTTTAAAGAACCTTTCGGAACAGAAGGACGTGGTGGTTATTTTGATGAATTTGGCATCATTCGTGATGTGATTCAAAATCATTTATTACAAGTATTATCTTTGATTGCAATGGAACGACCTGTTGGTACAGATGCTGAATCCATACGTGATGAAAAAGTAAAGGTGCTCAAGTGTATTTCACCCATTTCGATTGATGATGTACTTCTTGGACAATATGTAGGTGCTAATGGGAAGCCTGGTTATCTTGAAGATGATACAATCAAAAATAAAGATAGTTTAACACCTACATTTGCTGCTTTAGTCTTACATGTTCAAAATGAACGTTGGGAGGGTGTTCCGTTTATCTTAAAGGCAGGCAAGGCTTTAAATGAAGCAAAAGTCGAGGTTCGTATTCAATTCCGTAATGTGGCTGGTAATCTCTACAAGAACGCTGCTCGTAATGAGCTTGTTATGAGAGTTCAACCGGATGAAGCAGTTTACATCAAGTTTAACAACAAACAACCTGGCCTTTCATATCAAACTATTCAAACTGAACTTGATTTGACCTATCATAGTCGATACTCTGATTTATCTATTCCTGATGCTTATGAATCTTTAATTTTAGATGTCTTGAGAAATGATCATAGTAACTTTGTTCGAGATGATGAATTAGAAGCTGCCTGGAAGATTTTCACACCACTACTGCATAAAATCGATGCACACGATAAAGATATTCATATCACAAACTATGAATATGGTTCAAGAGGTCCAATGGAATTAGATGCATTTGTAAAAAAGTATGGATATGATCGTTCTAACATTAATTATAATTGGCCAATTCAAAGTGTTGCACCTCAAAAGAATTAAATAAAGACTATATCTATTTAATTATTTTAAAACATTCAAAAAAAAAAAAAAAAAAAAAAAAAAAAAAAAAAAAAAAAAGCCTTCAAAATTTATTAGGTAGATAATGCGAATGTAATTGGTGTAAATAAATAAATAAAAAAAAAAAAAAAAAAAAAAATTTACAACAAAATTCTTTTTTATTTCATTTTATTTTACTTTTTAATTCTTTTTTAATTTTTTTTTTTTTAAGGGGAGGGGAAATGTCTGATAGCATTGCAAAGACATACCCTTATGCAAATACAAATAAGCCAAAAGAATACTATGATTATGAATCACTTCAAGTAACTTGGGGGTAATATACTTGATCTTTTAAAAAGAAAAAAAAAAAAAAAAAAAAAAAAAAAAAAAAAAAAAAAAAAGAGAGAGAGAGAGAGAGAGAAAGAGAGAGAAAAAAGAGAGAAAAAGAGAGAAAGAGGGAATAGATTACAATAATTAAACAATCTATTCTATTAAATTCTCAGATCTCAAGACTATTACGAAATTACTAAAAAGATTGGTCGAGGCAAATATTCAGAAGTATTTCTAGGGGTCAATGCTTTAAATCAACAAAAATGTGTCATCAAAGTTTTAAAGCCTGTTAAAAAGAAGAAGATTAAGAGAGAGATTAAGATTTTACAAAACTTGACAGGTGGGCCTAATATTGTTAGTTTATTAGATGTCGTTCGTGACCCTGAGGTATATTTATATATTTATTTAAAAAAAAAAAAAAAATTAAGGGGAGAGATGATTACTAAACTTTGATTTTTTATTTATTTATTAGTCTAGAGTGCCTTGTTTGATTTTTGAAAGTGTTAACAATATTGACTTTAGAGTATTATATCCTACTTTTACTGATTATGATATTCGATTTTATATGTATGAACTTTTAAAAGCACTTGACTATTGTCATTCCATGGGCATTATGCATCGTGATGTTAAACCACATAATGTGATGATTGATCATGAAAAGAAACAGGTACGAGAGAGAGAATAAATAAATTGTACTCACTCACTCATTTATATGTTCTAGATCCGATTAATTGATTGGGGTTTGGCTGATTTCTATCATCCAGGAGAGAAATATAATGTTAGAGTAGCTTCTCGTTGCTTTAAAGGACCTGAATTATTAGTTGACTTTCACTATTATGATTATAGTTTAGATTTATGGAGTTTTGGATGCATGCTTGCTGGCATGGTAATAAATATAAAATAGATATATGCATGTATATGTATTTCTTATCATTCATTCATTATAGATATTCCGTAAGGAACCTTTCTTTTGTGGTGCTGATAACTATGATCAGTTAGTCAAGATTGCAAAAGTACTCGGTACAGATAAATTACATGAATATTTAAAGAAGTATGATTTGAAATTACATCCACATATTCAAAAAGTATTGGGAAAGTAAGTTGGTTATAAAAGAGAAAAGATGTGATTATATAAAATTAAATTAAATTAAATTACTCTTCATAGATATCCTGTCAAGCCTTGGAACAAGTTTATTACAAATGAAAATCAAAAATATATGTCAAATGAAGTATTTGATTTATTAGATAATTTGTTATGCTATGATCATCAAGATAGACTTACTGCAAAAGAAGCAATGAATCATCCTTATTTTGGTAAATGAACTATATTTTTTTTTTTTTTTGATAGGAAGGTCGAACTAACTAAGTTGTATATAAAATATGTGTAGCTCCTATTCATCAACAAAAATAATAAACATAGTAAATAAAATAATAATGAAAAAGGAAAAGAGGTTAAATAACGATGTACAAATTATATGAGGACCCCCCCCTTTTTTTTTATTATTATTATTTGATTCTTTTTTTTTAATCTTTTTGTTCGAAAAAGGGCTTTGATCTTCTTCGAACTTTCTTCATTCTCATTCCAATCCAAGCTTTTTTTCTTCTTCTTCCTGGATGAGGTGCGCCTTCTACTATCTTTCTTTCTAATACAAATGCGCCTTCAGAAGAGACAACAATACCTTTTGTATGGTATGGTATGGTATGTTATGTTAGGAATGTACACAGTCGTGATAAATAGATAAAAGCATACGATTACCTTGAACCATATCAGCCATACAATATCCACCAAGATTAGCTTGCCAAAAATAAAAATCAGCAATAGCAGAACCTACATTAAATGAATTCTCTAAATCACGTTGATGTTTAAGGGTTAAAGGATGAAAATTTTGATCTCTGATAACACCCCATTCTGGATGATATTGTTTTGTAGGGTCCAAGATAGGTGGAGGAGGAGCTATAGCAGGATTAGTAGTATTGATGGTAGGTAATAGTGTTGAACTTATAGAAGAAGTTGTATTTATCTTGTTGGATGGATTAGTAGTAGTAGTAGACGTAGAAGATTCAACTGCCTGCAGTGGCATCTCTACAGTTAAAGATGAAGAAGTCACTGTTGTATTTGTATTAGTGTTAGATTGATGATAGTCCAAGACTGTAGAATGTTGTGTTGACCAACGTAGCATATCATTGTTGAATATCATATGTTCCTCATTTTCACCTCTATCATCGTATGTCATTTTTTTTTCTTTTTACTTTATTTTTTTTTTAAGTAAGAAAGAAGGAAAGAAAGAAAAAAAAAAGAAAGGAAGAAAGGAAGAAAGGAAGGAAAAAAAAAAAAAAAAGTAAATGTATTTCTTTCTTCTTTTTTTAGACATATAAAAAAAAAAAAAAAAAAAAGAGCCGTATTATATGTTGAGAAAGACAAGTTTTAAATTGCTTATGTTTAGTATAATGAAGGGAGGGAAGAAAGGGACAATAAGGAGCTATATAATAAAAGGCGCACGTTGCTGTATACTTTACAAAGTAAATCCTATATCCTCACTCACACTCACTCACTCACCCCTTTTTATGTATATTAAAATTAATAAACTGCATGCATGCATATATAACTTGTTTTAAACATGTACAATCACTTTTATATTTAACCCTTAAAATTCATGCTATTTTTGAAACAAAGAATCCCTTAACATCCTTTCTTTCTTGAAAGGTTATTAAAACACGTAATAATTTTATTTTATTTTTTTTGAAACGGTAAGTTGGATGTATCATTACTTTTTTTTTTTTTGGCTTGTGTCTATCTTGTCCAACGAAAGAAAGAAAAAAAAAGGCATCAATGATGGATAAGTTGAAGTTTATATGATTAAATCATAGACTGAATAAAAGTAATTAAAAAGGAGAAGAGAGAGGGAGGAAAGCATAAAAATACTTATTGTGTACAGTAATTATCAAGGAAATGTTTCCAAATACAGTAAAATAGGAATTTCGTTTTTGATGAATTACTATCTTTAAAAAATGTGTCATACCTGTGAACCCTCCATTAAGAAATAGTATAGTAAACACTATACACTGTGCTACAATGTGCTAGACATAAAGTCAAACTTTGATTTTATTTTATTCAAGGATTCCGTTTTCCGAGAATATATTTGCAAGCATCTTCACTCACTTACTGGGAGAAGGACTAAAGAGATTTATTCTAACTACCATCTTTACATTAAAATCAACTGTTGATTCCATTCATTTTGCTATAAACTTCAGTCCAAAGTTATGTTATTGTTTGATTTTTTATAACGCCTCACCTAAATCATTCGACCTTTTTTTTATTTATTTATTTATTTTTTGTTGTTTTAGAACAGAGTTTAGCTTAATTCTTACTGCTCAATTAAGTCATTGCTTCTATCATAAAAAAAAGAAACTCATGTTGAACAAAAACTCTCTTTCTATACAACAGTAAAAAGGAGATAGTTAACAAGATTATATTCTTTGAATGCCTTGCAAATCTTCCCTGGTATAGAAATAGATCTATATTTATGCGTTATACAAAGCCAATTATGGATCAGCAACAACAAGATTGATTTTATCGCGTACCTTGGAGGAGTTTTTTTTTTTTTTTTCTATAATTATCTTTCAATTAAAGGAAAAAGATAATTCTGGAAGTATTCCCAAGTCTAAAATAGAATCTTAAAAAAAAACAAAATTACCTTGACCAAAAAAAATAAAAATAAAATACCAAGTCCCTCAATAACTTTATTGTATCTGTTTGAATAGATGGAAACTACCTATTTCACAAAATAGACGGAACTCTTTTAAATATAGAACACAAAGCTCCTCACGGGACCAAAAAAAAAAAAAAATAAATAAATAAAAATAAAAATAAAATAAAACATAAAATTTGATAGGTTACAAAACTTTAGAATTGACATTTGGATCGGCCAACCAACAGATGAATAATAATAACAAACATCTTTTATGAGGCAAAAAAAAAAATCCTGCTTTATTGAAGAAAATAAAAAAAAAAAATCAACAACAAAGTATCTAAAATAATAATGTCTTTTTTTTTTTTTCTTTAATTTGTTTGTTATTGTGAACATAATATTTACATGAACTTTTTTTTTTTTTTTTTTGTTATTAAATGGTAAAGAAATGGGTATTATAGAGCTTTTTTTTTTTTTTTTCTTTTGGTTGAATTTGTTTCAGTGTTTCTTTTTTGATGATTATGTACAAATAAAATAAAATAAAAATTCACGAAAAGGAGACTTTTCTGTTACTTGAGTAAAGGGCAAGTAGGTCGTTTGTGGCCATATTTACCACACCAAGAGCTATATTTTAATTAATAAAAGGATGAGTATATATATATAAAAAAAAGGTTGAAATTAAAATACCAAATCATTTTTTACCATTGACCACCTTGCAAGTTTAATGGTTTAATATATTGAGACATGATAAAGTATTTGGCTTGAAATATATGTATATATATAAAAAGAAAGGGAAGAAGAAGAAAATAGGATGAAAGAAAAGAAATTAAATCCTCTTCTTTATTTATACACGTTGTATAAGTATTTTTTTTTTCAAGTCTCGGTGTAATCAGAAAAATTAGTAAAAACTTTGAGTTATCGGATTACCATTTAACCCCTAGTTTCTTCCTTGATTATAAAAAAAAAAAAAAAAAAAAAAAAAAAAAAAAAAAAAAGGCATAATCTAGAATTCCTTATTTATTACTGCTTGTAGATATCGATTTTCAAAGAATTTGGAAGTAATACTTGTACACACTCGATTCATTTCTCTTTCCTTCTCTCGATTTTTAATAGTTTAGTGTTTATTATGTTGACATTTGCCTAACAGTGACACTTTTAGGCTAGAATAGATAATATAGTCCTACCTCATTTTTTACTTCTATTTTTGTAAAAAGAGAGAATAAATAACAATGCTGATAATTGTATCATGATAACCCGGATATAGGAAAAAAAAAAAAAAGAGAGAGAGGGTGAAATCTTTTTACATTAATAAAGATGCAATATTATTTTTTTTTCAATAAAAAAAAAGCGTATAATAATTGAAAAAGGAAGACACATTTTTATAAATACAATATACATTGCAGATTTAACGCCATGATAAGTCTTGTTAATAATAATAAGGGAAAGAAAGGACCATTTCAAATATTGACTTGACCTATTAATACGCACATCGTACATGAATATACAAAGAATCTTTAATTACAAGTGATTCCAACATATAAATTATTTGGCTGTATTATATAATCCTTTGGAAAATAAAATAATATTTTATTTAATCAAGTAGTAGCAGTAATAATAATAAGGGTATCTTTCTCTCTTTATAATAGACTTTCTCTTTTCTGGTTTTTTTTTTCTTTTTAAAGACAAAATCTATTTAAGATACCCATAATAATTAAAAAGGCAAAAGACTTGATCCAATAATTGTTCATAAAGAAATGAAATAATCGTCTGTACCAGCAACGGCTTTTCTTTTCCATATTATATTCCCAATCATTAACTTCTTCTTCTTCTTCTGTTTCAAGATCAGATATATCGCATTGTGATTCTTTACTTGTAGTGGTTTCCTTCTTTTCGATAAAGGGCTGTAACACATTCTCCTCTGTTTGATGAGTTGTAGGTAACAAAGGAACTGAATCCATCATTTTGGCTGAAGACGTAGTTTTGTTTTCTGATTTACAACATTTTTGAGCACCAGAGAGGATGGATCGTGTAATGAGATTTGTTGCTTGACCAAGGTAATAACAGATAAATAGAAAGAAAGTAGTAGATATCATCATATTGACCCACCAGCCTATTCTGGATTGAATAACCCAATTTGCATTAGGTAAAACAATCAAGATACCACGCGTATCAGCAGCGAGCCACATATGAAATTGTCCAATAAATGTCTCCAACGAGATCTTCCCGATGAATGCAAAGAAACGAGAATACGTATTTTGACTCCAGCTGGTAAAGTTACGAATGATAACGAAGGAAAGGATAGGGATCCAAGAGATATAAGGATGATAGATGACATAGGATGACTTGGTTTGTTTCAACTCAAACCAAAGGAACCAAGCCAGACCGATGATAGAGGCAATAAGAGAGATGAATTTAGAAAGAGACGATAGACGCGGATAAGTGATGAGAAGACGGTGGTCAGATAGTTTAATCGTAATAAAGGCACAAAGCATACCTATGTAAACGATCCATGCATCAAGGGATAATCTAAATCGCCATTCTGTCACATTCCATTGAATATGAAATAAAAATTGAAGCACATTAAAAATAGATTCAAGTACACCAGGACAATGAATCACGATCCCTGTTATCACTGACATCGTCGCCATCTTGGTCAAGATAAACCAACTTTGATCATTATAACCCGACATCACTCTCATCGTGATCCAAATGATGATAAACCAAAAGCTAACTAAAGGAGAAAAGTAATAAAACAAGTAATTGGTCTTCATGACATAGGCAAGTACAAGCGTCAATAAATTTAAACGCACCAAGACATTCAAGATACGTGTGATACTAAAATCTGCCTTCTTGTAAAAGAAATAAAAATGTCCATATCCAGTCTGAAAAAGATAAGCTGCAACGAGGACTCGAACTGGATTATAGATACCAGGGATTTGAGAGGCACCTACGAAATGATAAACCAAGATAACAAGTTGCATCCAACCTTTCCATTCATTCGTTTGGTCACGATTTAAAAAGTTGCTATTAATAGCGGTTGAAGTAGTAGTAGTAGTATTACTTGCTTCTTTCTTATCATTTGTTTTCAATGTCACGATACCAAGGGTAAATAGGATAAAGATCAATACGATAAATGTAAGACTATCAAACTGTTTAAACATTTTTCCAAATAATTGACTACGATCACAGATGTACATATAGAGGACAGCTAAACCAAAAATAAACAATGAAGCAAGTGTTTGCATGTTTGAAGGAAATAAGATACGAATCATATTCATCATTGGTCCTGAATAAAATATATAAATAAATATTCAGAGGAAAAAAAAAGAAAAAAAATTAAAAGTAAAGCCTCTTACCACTACTAGAAGAAATAGACACTACTAAAAGGACAATAATCGGAATGATACATAAAAAGTAAATGAAAAAGAAAGTTTGATACCAAGCAGGTCTTGAATAGCTGGAACAACATGTTGTATCCAAGGGGGAGAAAAGAGTTGATGTTGTTGTCGATTTTAGATGTCTTTGGTCACTATTGCAACGATAATTTAAAGCTAATTGTGCCTGAGCTTTAGTCACTGGCTCTTTAAAATGGAGACCATCTAAAGTTTGGTTCCTTGAAGAGGTTACTATTTTATTCCATACAAATGGTACTACTAAAGGTGTGACAAGATGTTCAGGAAGAGAACTCGATCTTTCTCGAAGATAATTATTCATGATTGTGATTTTATCAAATGTTAAGGTGGCCTTCCTTTCTGGTATAAGTAAATCATATTCTACTATTTCCACTGGGGATAACATTAAATTGTCAGCTATTTTATAGACTTGAACACTATCAAAGATTCGGTCCATAGCTGTCTTCCAACCACTTAGATAATTAGAACCTAAACGTCTCATGTACCAAACACCAGAACCCATAATTAGTAAACTTGGTTTCTCCGACTCTTTCCCTTGTAAAAGATGTAGCGTTCTTGAAGTATTCAAGAAGGGATCCCACCACATCTCTATCGTTATATTTTCAGATTTAGAATAAGCTTGTTGATTAGCATGTATGGCTTCTTGATTTGGCTTCTTTAAATGTAAAAATTGCGTCATAGCGTAATACTGTTCTCTCATGATTGAATCTCCAATATAAATTATACGTCTATGACCTAAACAACTTTTCATTTCTGAACTTCCATATGTTTTCGACATACAACCTGAAGGTTGCCATTGTTTATATTCCTCAGTCAACCATTTACCTTCAGTTAGCATACCATGGCACCGAGTATTATCCTTAGGATCTAAAGCAGAATAATAATAATAATAATAAAAAGGAGGGGGGTAGTGATGGTGGTGAAGGAGAAATAATTAGATTATTAAAATTTTCTGTAATAAATGACGATCTTACTTTCTATATATCTTGTTATTGACAAAATGAAGATCACTAATAATAGACTTGAAATCAATCCTCGTACAATAACACTACCTATTGATGTCTTTTCTTTTACAGTCATTGATACTCTTTTATTCGCAAATCAAACTAAATAAGAAAATAAAATGAAGGAAAAGTAAAAAAAAGAAAAAGTAAAGTAAAAAAAAAGAAACAAAAAAAAAAGTAGAATGTGGAGAAGACTATTATTTAAGTACATTTAGCTAGGCTAGACTAGATTTAGTTTCTTTAGTGGAAAAAAAAAAAAGTTTGAGCTTATTTGGTATTTAAAGCGCCTACTAAATTAAAACGTCGATCTTTTTTTTTTTTTACTTTTATTATTTCTTTTAGAATTTATTACATAAATAAAAAGGGCAAGTATAAATAGAAAAGAAGAATATACACTAGAAATGATATCCTTTTAGTAAATTAGGTTTATTTTTTCTCTACAAGTAAGTTAGTATTACATATATAAAGTAGTAGCACTATATGATATGATATAATTCCTTTTTATCATATATTAAAAATGAAGTAATAGTAAGATGGTATATGTTGCACTAATTGAATCTGTAAACATTGTAACCTGACAATAATTAACTTGTATATTAAATAAATAGAACTACTGTTCTTCTATTTCTTATATAAAAGACGTATGTATTATGTATTCCTTTAATCTCTCTTTTATATTGAAATTAGTTGAAATACAACAAATTTATATTTAATAGATGACTATATTCTTTGATAAAATATAATCGTGTTTTTATTGCACTATGTTGTCAATTATAGATAAGAGTAATAAAGACCTATTTCTTTTACACTATTGACTTTTACTTGTTTGAAAAAAAAAAAAAAAAAAAAAAAAAAAAAAAAAAAAAGTTGCTATGAGTGGATAATAATTAATTTCCTTTTTTGTATATATATCGAAGTAATCCTCTTCTTTGCTGTTTAATATATACTGAAATGAATTTAAAAAGTTTTTTTTTTTTTTTTTTTTTGTTCGTTGGATATTATAAATTACCAAAATTAGTAAATTAATATCGCGTTAAATTGACTTATAAATAAAAATGACACATCCTACACACACACACATATATATATCATATTTCATCTTTATATTCCTTTTAACAAAAAAATTGAATCTTGTTTAATTTTAATAGCATTTTATGTCATCAAGTGTTAATAACAAAATCAAAATAAAAAAAACAAGTAATAAAGAAGTAGGCTTAAATGACAGACCAAGTAATGTCACCAACACCAATATTCAAATCACCTACAACTTTTTTAAAGAGAACAGGAGTAAGATCTAGACTGCCCTGCTTACATCCAGGACAGGCATCGTTAATAGTAGCAGTGGCAGTACCAGCAGGACCTGTGATTGAAATCTTTTTACCACACCATGGAGAGACTTTATTCATGTTACCATATTGATGAGCATTCAAGGCAACAATAAGACTCTTGTTATTTTCTTTAGGACCACAAGCTCCTGTAGAACCACCTTCAGTAGCAGGTGTGAACCAAGTAGCAATACCAGAATATTTTCCATGGCCTGAATGAGAAGACGACGATGATGATGATGTTTTCTTGGTGTTTTTGGTTCTTCTAGATCTAGATTTTTGAGATTTTTTAGATGTTGATTTCTTACTAGTTGATGACTTGTGGTGTTTTGACTCTCTATGCTTTTTATGCTTTTTATGCTTTTTGTGCTTCTTATGCTTCTTTTTATGTTTGTTTAAATTGATCATATTAGAAACAGCACTACTATTTTCAATTGGAGAAATAGAAGTATTGCTAACAGGAGCTGCAGCAACCAAGCAGCTGAAAGCAAGAAGAGCAATTATAAGTAAAGGGAATGTACGGGGCATATTTTAAACGAATGTGAATAAACGACCAGCGTTAAAAAAAGAAAAAGAAGTTGAATAGAAGTTTGATAAAAAAAAAAAAAATTAAAAAATGAAAAAAAATACAAAAAAAAAATTTTTTTATTATTATATTTATATAATTTTTTTTTTTTTCTTCTTTAATAATATCAGGAAGTAAGTAATAAGGAAGAAGGTACTCCGGTCACTCCGATTTTGTATTTTATTAGAAGGACATGAACCCACACTTTTTTTTTAACGGAGAATAATCTCTCTTTTTTTTTTGAGGTACAACAACAAAAATATCAGTCTTCTATGTCCCAGTTACCGAAGTCGGGAAGAAGAAGACTGCAATCATATTCTAGACTCAAAAATGACCGTTTATTATTTACTTTAGTGAACAACAATAACAATAAATTATTATGAGTAATTCATTGCTTGACAACATACAATTCGTGCTACTTGCTTTAATAAAAACTGTCATTTTTTTTCCTCAACATGTGAGCTAAACCTTTTTTTTTTTAAGTTAAATTAAATAATAGTTTGACTCACCAATAATAAATTCGTTAGTAACAAATATTATAATAAATTAATCCATTTATTGTAATTATTATATCATAAAAATTATATATATATGCATTAAAAGCACTCTTTCTTACTGTATGGCATTAACTGCTTATTGATCTATACAAAATAATGTTCCATAAAAGGGAAATTAATTTTTAATTTTTTTTTTAAAGAAAACAATAGGATTTATATGAGATAAATAAACATAGTTTTTGGAAATAATTAAGTATCACTTTTTTTTTTTTTATTTTGAAATAGATTAAAAAAAAAACCTAATGAATCTACTACATTGGTAATAAAAAAGAAGAGTCCTTAAAGAGTTGTATTGTATTATTACAGCTTTGTAGTAACATTATCATAATGTATTCATTTGATTATATACTTTATTTTACAGGGCCATATCTTCTTCTATAATTAACATTTAAAGGTCAGGTTATTAAGAGAAGGGTTGTAAATGTTTTCTCTTGTTAATAGGCTTTCAATAATAGATACATAGGTTTAAGTAAATAACTAAAACTATTATTATTAGCACCAATCATTTTATGGCAAGCTATGATTTGTATATCTACAATAATTACACGAGTTCCTTTTTCAACATTGAAAGATTGCTATTCAAGTAACTTCTTTGTTAGCTATCTTCAAACTCATTCTATTTAATATTTTAAATACGGAAGGGGGTTTTTTTTTAATGAGTATAATAAGCAATGAATACTCTTTATATTTACTCTTAAAAAACTATTATGCTTATCATTTTGACTCTTGTTATGGTTTATTTAAAGCATTTGTTCATGGTTAAAGTCCTATATTTCAATATTGGCTTTCTTTTATGCGAGATACTTTTGATATTGAATTTTACTCGCTCTAAATGGTTTCAGAAAAAATAAGTTTATAGACGTCATATTTCTCTACCTACGATAATTGCTTATTAAATGAATAAAACCAATTTAGTAAATAATGATATGTTTGCTATTTTTATTTTAATAGTTTTATTATGGAAGGAATAAGTAAATAGCATTTTTGTAATCCTTTAAGTAGTTGTTTGTTTCTAAACTAAAACGACTTGGCTTATTGTTTATGTTGGCTTATATCAACTCTGTAGCTACAATATGACATAACCCTTTTATACTCTATCAACGTAGAACATCGGATAAAAAATTAGAAAAAAAAAAAAAAAAAAAAAAAACACTATCCTAAGAAAATCAGAAACATTGAAACAGTAAATAAGACATAGAGTAACTCGATCCGTGTGAGTACCTATAAAGATCTTTTTTAGATGTAAAAATATGATTTATAATGTAAATTTCTACTTTTAATTTACATTCACGGTACATGTTTACTAATTTTGTTAAATGTTTCAAATTATATTAATGAGTAGTATAATAATGTCTTATCCAGCAATAAATATCGTAATCATATTATTATAAGTCTCTCTATTCCTTATAGTAAACAATCGCTTTTTTTGGTTTTTTTTTTCTATTTTTTTTTTTTTTCTGTATTCTTTTTGTTTGACTAGTTTTCTAAGAATTTCTTTTTTTATGCCAGTAACCAGTTCTATATCAAAACCAAAAAAAAATAGAATAAATGCGAAAACACGTATATATTCTTCCCCTCTTGTGTCTGTCTATCATTCCATGGTATTATTTCTTTAATTATAAAAGACATGTAGGGTTATTTTATTTAACAAGTTAGCAACTTTAAAATATGATCCTTTTTTTTATTATTATTATAAAGGTCATGTTCCGTCTTTTTTTTTTTTTTTTTTTTTTTTTAAATGGGGCCTGACCCTGACAAAATAGAACAATTAAGCAGATCATGTAGGAATAAAAAAAAAAATAAAATAAAAAGAATCGGGCACATCACTTAAAATAAATTTCTCCTGGTCCTTTTTTTATTTTATTTTTTTTATCTTTTTTATTTTTATTTTTTATCTTTTTTATTTTTTGTTTCAATCAAGTTCAATTTTATAACAATAGCTTATATATTATACTACATGTAACATTATTATATATGATAATATAAAAGGAATAGAATATCGTTTCTACTTCACTTCCTTCTCTTTTTTTTTTTTGACTAATTTAGTTATAATAAAAGCTGGCACAGATTCTCGTTGGAATTGTAAATCCATAACACAAGATCAAACATAGATACTTTTAACGTATGCTTTTTTTTTATGATGCTAACATCAAATGCTGTCTAATTCTCGAGCCCTTTTTTTTTTTTTGAAACAAATGTTTACTAATACATGTTTAATTCATAAACGAGCGAGGATCAACAAGTTTTATTTCCGCAAAAAAAAAAAGATATGATATAGTTTTTTTTTTTAGCATGTAAACACAAAAAAACTTTATTAGACTATCTATTTTTTTTTTTTACAAGAAAACTGAGTTGTTATTATTATATAATACATGTTGATGCAAAATATAAATTATTATTATTATTATTATGCAAATTTAAAATAAGAATGCAAGTTTGTCTCTTGCTTTTTCACGATCTTCAGGTCTCATCTGTAATAGTAATTTTCTAAAACCTTCAATAATAGCCGAGTTATCTTCGAGTCCAAGTTGAATAACTTTTTCTTTTAATGTCTCGCTCTTTAACTCAGAGACACGATGTTGAATGTGTTCCTTATAACGATCAAACCATTCAGATACACATTTTTCATCATTTTCGTCGCCTGTAGTAATGTCGGCCTTGAACCATACTTGAATAAGGTTCATCATTTCTGTACGGCTTAATCGTCCATCTGTCGCAGCTTGGATGTCACGAATTAAATATTCTTCGTTTAGTCTTCTACGGACACGCCAGTAGAAATAGGTACGAGCGTGACGCCATTCAAGAGCTTTACGAATCACACCTTTAGCCTTCATACGGCCCGTGCGGTCATGAAGATCAGCAAATTGAATAGCTACCTGTTGATAGACAGGTAATAGCTCTTGTTCACGGACTTCGAGTTGACGTTTAAGCTCAGCTTTTTCTTCAGCAGGGAGATCAGTTGCGGATTCTAAACGCTTCTTTAAATCACTGTAACGTTCATCTAAGCGAGCCATCGTTGCCAATAATTGAGGTTTACGGTACTTGATTTCAACAATACCTTCAGGCTCAAGGACACCACCACGAGCTTGTCTATCAGCATACATCTCCATCATGTCCTTATTGATGGTAGGATCGACAACGACCCAGGCACCGCCACGAAGCTCACCATTAGGAATGATATAGACAAAGACAGGTTGTTTATAATTTCTAAGGGCATCTACGATTTGAGCACCGTATTTCAATACTTCGTTATACATATCACGTTGTCCACCCGAGAAACCTCGCCAGTTGGCAAAGATCATCAATGGTAATTCTTCTCCCTTGTTGAAATCGTTAATCGCTTGAGCCGTCTTGTAAGCAGAGTTGGGGAACCAAACACCACCAGCTTCCATAAAGACTTGTTCAGTAGAATCAGCATTAGCAGGATCTGCAGGTACAATGTTCTCAACCGTACGTGTCTCGACAGCGATCACACCCATCGGGATACCACCTAAGCGTGCACGACCCACCACAACCGTACGAGCCCATCCACATAAGGTCTCCGTAAATGATCCTTCATCAAAGAACCCGCTTATCCATGTATCATCATTATTATATTTACCAGCTAAAAACAGACGAGGATCACTAGGTCCCTTGGGTGGCATATATTCAATCTCACGATCTACGGGGTCAAAGCCCAGGGACATCGAAAGAGGTCCCCCACGAATAGCTGGGACATAGGAGAGCCATTGAATGATCTTATCAATACCTTCAAGATCATTCTCTGCTGTCAAATGAGAGACACCGTTTTTATACATAATTTGAGTACCACCCAATTGTAAGTTAGAGGTGTAAACTTCACGACCTAATACCTTATTTAAGGCGGGGGCACCGGTTAAGATGATCGGTTGTCCCTCGTTTTGAATTGTACGTTGGCCTAGACGGACAAGGTAAGCACCAATACCTACTGAACGGCAGGTAACTAGCGTGATTGTAAAGATATCATCATAGGCACGAGAGGTTTCACCCGCAATCAATCCAGATCCCTTCAAATTTTCAACACCCAAGCCATCCGTCAAACCAATAATATCCGTAATACGATATCTCTTTTCTCCCTCATCTTCAATCTCTTCAGCAATGAAGCTTTGCTTTTCACTATTATCGGTCGAATTTAAAAGTTGATAATCTTCAGGCGTGACATAGAGATATTTGAAACCTGAGGCAGGGTTACCGGCTTCATTCCAGGCAACATTAAATTTATTCATCAATTCTTCAGCAAGACCAATACGAGCACCCGAATTAGCAGAGAGATAAATACGAGGGATACCCAACTTGCGAGCTAATTCGGAGGCCTTAAAGAAGACGTTATCTTCCGCGACACCAAAGGAACCGATCTTGAAGGTAATGTCATTAGCAATCACAATCAGACGACGGCCATTGGGGTACTCCGGGGTACGAAGGGTTACGATCCAGGCTACCATACCTACAGTATTTGTACCATGGGGTTGATTTAATTCGTGAAGTTCATTGGTTTCTTCATTCAAGACAAGTTCTACAGCTTCCATGATTTGAGAGGGCATAGTTAATTTGAGTTTGTTACCTAATTTCTTTTGATGACGCAAATATTGACTCCAATGGTTTTGAGTGGCCTGACGGAAAAGCTCGGGGAAATCATAAACATAGGTGGTACCCATAAGATGAGCCTTGTATCGACGAGGTTGAAGCCATTCTTTCGTAGGGTAAGGTGTAGAGACAGGTAGCATGTTCATGGTGCCAGTAACACGGCCCAGGGACTTGAGTACCCATTCGTTCTTTTCTGACTTGACCTCTTGATAGATGTCTACCTTCAGGACAAACCCAGAGACATTATCGACAACGAAACGAATCGGGATAGGGGCCTGATTAGGATGCTTGGGTTGAATGTTGAAACGAATTTCAGCACCTGTCACACGAAGTTTCCATAAACGTTTACCATGACGATCCACAAAATCAGTTAATGCCTGTTCGACTTCATTGATTTCGATAGCAAAAGTAGGAATAAAGTTGATGAAAAGATGGTTACAATCTGAATTCTTGTATTCGTGAGAGACAATCTCAAGTGTATCCAAGATTTCCTTCAATAAACGATCACTCTCAGAGATAAGATAGTCGGCGGTACGCATTGAGTCCTTGACACGACCAGGACGAACTAAAGCACGAATAAAGAATCGACAGTCTGAGGGGTTTTCTTTAGCAACAGCATAGTAAACATACAATTGTCTTGTTTCGATCGTCACTGGCTTAATATTGAAGTTAGAGAGTCGTGCCAACTCAAGTTGGTAGGCCATAGCAGGCTCAATATGACGAATTGTTTCATCCTCTTCATAATTTTGACTTTCTCTAAAGGTGAAATAGTCAGGCCATTGATCAGGACGACATACGATAATTGACAAACGACGCAAATGGGCTTGACGGAACTTCTCTACATGAGACTTGACAACTTCCTTAATCTTGGGTTGCCAATAAGCATTGTCGTATTCAGTGCTACTTTGAATAGCTATATTCAAGATATTTTCCATACGTCCATCCTTTTTATCTTCTATAAAGGCAGTCAAGATACGAGGCAACTCGGTAGCTAATTCTTCCAGGGAGCGGACAGCGGTCATAGCACCTGTACGAATAGGTTCGGCCTCTGTCTTGTTCAACAAGAAAGTCAAGTCAGAGTAAGAGGCAATACGCTTATCATCTGAGCCATAGGAGGCATTACCCAAAAGGAATTTCCAAGCAAAGATATAAGGGCGTTCGGCAAGATTGTAAGCAACGTCTAAAATCTTATATGCATGATAAGAACGACGACAATAGACTTCGATAGCAGCGAGTGCAATATAAGGATCTTCATTATAAAAGAAGCTGGGTAACACGTCAAAGACATTAAATTTGGTATCAATCAAGTCCTTGTAAGCCTCAAGGTTAGGGGTACGGCTTTCAATACCTCCACCATAAACACGTTCAGTAACTGAATTCTTGAGGATTTGATACATCTGAGCTTGACGTTCCTCATATGAGGGCATTTGGCAGAGGATTAAGAGTTCACGAGCCTTAAGAGTCACCTTTTGAGTAGCACGACTATCAATTTCAGATAACTGTTTGAGGATTGACAAAAAGTATTTATCAAGTGTACCACCAACAGATGATGGATAGATAATGTCAAGCATCATTAAAACCAAATTGTTTTTGCTAGCGATCTTGGAATGAGAAAGAATTATCTCGACTACTTTGTCTAAATTATCCTTGTATTGATCACGAAGATGAAGAGCCACCTCTTCCTCACGGAACTGACCACTAAACAAAATTTCAACATCATAGTATTGTTCTAATAATTGAACATATACTGAGTATTCATGATATTTAAGTCCATTCTTGTATTGTTCTAATACAGTTGTGATAGGTATGACGGAATTTTTGTAGGCAATGAGATCTGATTGAGAGTGAATATTAGTGTTGGCAAATTCTTCAATCAAATCATTGAGTTCAGCTACAGGGAAAGGCTTTTCCTCTTGTTGATATTTGTTAATGAGATTGTGTAAGGCATTTTCAAGACGAGTAGGGATACGACCAGATAGAACAGACATTTCAGAATTCATTTCAGAATAAGGAAGTTGAGGGTCTCGAAGAATCTCTGTCATTTCTTTTAATGCAGTCTGTGCAAGCGCTTGATTATCATAACCTTGCATAATATTTTCAAGAGAGGCCTTGACGGCTTGAAGTCTTTGATGAGGCTTTTCACCATAATTGTAAGGTGAGTTGAAAACAGGTATTTGACCAGTAAAAGGAAGAGCATGCTTCACACGACTAGGATCATCCAATGCTAAAATACCAATGATATCACCAGCTTCAAGGGTAGCGCCAACTTGTTTAATATATTGAACATGACCATCCTCTGTTGCGATCAAGGGCATATACATTTTCATGACCTCGATTTCAGCATATGCCTGACCTGCCTTTACATGATCTCCATTTTCTAAAAGCAGATTGACCAATTTACCAGGGGAGGGGCTTCTTAATTGAGTAGGATCACTTTCTTTCTCCAAAAGGCAAGTCTTACCATCAATCATCAAACGTGTTGCTTGTACCTCTTCCCTTGAATAAGTAGTATGAGATTTGCCGTCAAGAGAGATCAAGAGACCCCCATCTGAGAGATCACGGACACCAACTTGAGTTTTAGTACCATTGAGGTATAATGTATAAAGTCCAGGAGCTGAGCGAGTGACAGTAAAGTTGTAACGTATATTTTCATAAATAAAATCAATAGTGAAAACAGTTTTGAGTACATCTTTACTAGGAACTTGACCTCTCTCTAAATGTTGTTTACATGCATTCCAGCTTTCAATGGAAAGAGAATGGGCCTTGGTGACAGCACCACAAAAGACAGCCAACATAGTATCGGGACGTTCGGCAGTTAATTTTTTAGAGATCAGCATATCGAGCCAGCCTGTATTAATCGTATTATCGGCAAATTCTTCTGTTTCTAAAAGACGGATAATATATTCTACAGTTGTTCTAAAATCACCACGAATAGAGAGCTCCTTTAATGCAATGACCATATTCTTACGTGCCTGTTGACGATTCTCACCGTATGCAAAAATGTGACCAAATTGAGAATCAGCATATTCATGGAGGCCACCTGAAGTAACAACAGAGAAATAGCCCCATACATTTGTACTAGAACGGAAGTTAAGTTCATGCATAATACCAGATGAGGGCTTAAAGCCAGCATCAGGGTTCTCTGCAGTAATACGGACAGCGATAACATGGCCCTTAGGAGTAGGGCGACGAAGACTTTGAAGGGAGGCAGGATTAACAAAATCAAAATCGATTTCAGAAGCACTATTAGGCTGAACTCCATAGAGAACACGAATATCACGAATACGATAAAGAGGAATACCCATAGCAATTTGAAGTTGAGCAGCAGGTAAATTAACACCAGAAACCATTTCAGTAGTAGGATGTTCAACTTGTAATCTAGGATTCAATTCCAAGAAATAGAATTTTTCGTCATAATGGCTATAAAGATATTCAACAGTACCAGCGGAGACATATCCGACTAATTTGGCAAGACGAACTGCAGCTTTCTCCATTTGTTCAAAAACATCAGTTTTAGCAATCGTAACTGGAGCTTCTTCAATAATTTTTTGGTGACGACGTTGAACAGAACAATCTCTGCCAAACAAACTGATTGCATTACCATATTCATCAGCTAAAAGTTGAACCTCTAAATGTCTTGCGTTACCTGCTAATTTCATAATAAAAATAGGGGAGCCAGGAATTTCACCTTGGACTTGAGAGAAGCAACTAGTAAATTGTTCAGGACTATCTACTTTACGAATACCTTTACCACCACCACCTTCTGATGCCTTGATCATAACAGGGAAACCAATCTTCTTTGCAGCAGCTAAACCCTCTTCAGCTGAATTCACACAAGCTTTCTTATATGCTGAATCTGGTACAACTACATGTCCTTCCTTATCTTTTATTGTTTCAGTAATACCATCACCACTCCAACCCATTGTAGGCACATCAGCACTTTGTGCAACAATTGTAGATGAAATTTTATCACCAAGCGAGTGCATAGCTGATGCTGGAGGACCAATAAAAAGACATTTGTACTTGGATTTTGCAAGCATTTCTGGTAAACGAGGATTTTCTGAAGCATGACCCCTATTGTAATAATAAGTGAATAAACTTACTCCTTTAATTTTTTTTTCTTTCTTTCTCTCTTTCTTTCTTTCTCTCTCTCTCTCTTTCTTTCTTACCAACCAGCCCAAACGGCATGTACAGCTGTTCTTTCGGCAATGTCAACAATTAATTCAACATTAGCATAGTTATTATTATTAGATCCACCAGGGACTTCAACATAATTATCTGCCATACGAATATATTCAGCATTAGCTTTTAAATCTTCAGGTGTAGCCATAACGGTGAATTCAATGGCACGTTCATTGCCAAAAGTCTCATATGCCCATTTACGTACTGATCTAATCTCTTTCATAGCAGCCATACCATTGTTAGCAATCAATATTTTTGTAATCACTGTATGACCTTCATTGGCAACTACAAAATCTCTAACTGGCCCTTGAGGAGCTACATCAATAGAGTTTCCACCTAAATTAAAAAAGTTGAGTGTAACATTATAATATTTGATTTATGTGTGTGTGTGTGTTACCGATAAAATGAGGTGGTAGTTTACTATGATCCGCAACCATTTTTTATTTAATTTATGGTTGTCTTCCTCCCTTTCTATTTTAAAACAAAACAAAAAAAAAATGAAAAAAAGTTGAAAAAAATAACTCTTCTCGATTTGTTTAACGCGTATAACCTACAGCTGTCCCCAACCGACTGTCAGTCTCGTAGGAAAAGAAAGCAAGTGTAAAGTTTTTTTCCTTAGCAAATCATAATAGTTTATTTACTATAGCCGAAACATTTAATAAAATTCATCCAATCATCAATACATCTGGGTTTGATTCTTCAAGACTGCATCAATTGCCTCAAAGTTTATACCCCAACCGGGAGTATTTGGATGGGGAGAAATTCCCTATTTTGCAAAAGGATAATAAATAAGCACATATTTTATGCTTAATGTTTCATTGTTGTATAAAATAAGGTTTTCTTCTTTTTTTTTTTTACCTGAAATAGAATCGATATTTCTTCATATATTTTAAGCTCTTATTATATATGACAATTCATTAAGTTTATTATTATTTTTTGAATAATGTAGTAGTAGTAGTAGTATCTAGATTATATGAATAATATATTCATCATATGCCCCGCATAATTCTTTATTTGACTTTTTTTTTTTTTATTCCCTCTTAGAAGAAGTAAAGCAAATTATTTTATGCTATTTTGACAGCAAGTCTTTTATACAAACATGCTTGTATAAACCATCTTTATATAAAGAGATTCGATTTAAACTAATAGTGATTGGTTGCTATTTGTCCCTTTTTACATGTACAAAATCATCCTCGGAGTTATTTATGCCAAATTTTATGCTTTATAGTTTAATTTCAAGCATTATAATTTTCAAATTATATATAATATAATGTATATATTTATATATATATTGCATACATATTGTAAAAGTAGGAAAGGAACGATTTCAAAGGATGGGTTTTATTTTCCGAAAAGATGGCTTTCTAAATCATAATAAGCGGGAGTTGTCAATGGTCGAGTACTTTTCAACTGTATTTATTAAATACTGTACAAATGTCTTAAAATGCCTGCAAGAAACGAGATTACAAGTCTGGATCCTTATTTTTCTTTTTGATGAATGCTCTTATGAAAATTGCATTAGTATTAAAAGCAGTCACGATAGTGAATGTATCCTTTACTGTAGAGCATCCTCTTGAAGGTTTTATGCTGATATCAAAACATGATTCATTGATAAAATTGTATTTTTTTTTTCACGATAGTTTGTATTCATTTTATTTCATATTTTAATATATGTTATACAATATCTGCAATTTTAGTTGAATTGTTTATTTCTGCTAGTGGGAGACAGGTGAATTTCCTTCTATGAAAGGTTATATGCATCTTTCAGGAAGCCTTTAACACTAAATCTCTTTTAATGTAAGGTCCTCCAGGTTGTTGTTTTTTTTTGTAATTAACACAAGAGAAAGGATTATAATATGTTATAATCCATATTTGTACTTGGTAATTAAGCTGTCTAGCAGTTGTCGTCATTTTAAATGAATAAACTATAGTCATGTCAAGACAAACATTCTATTGTTACATGGTAGATCAAATAAGTTTAACCGTTTTGTAAAATGCCTAGTAAATCTCTTTGATCTGTCAGTTAATGACGTAAAAATTATTTGCCAAAGTGCTTTTATCTGATCTAATATTTTTTTTCCAAATAAACTGAATAAGTACTTATTTAATTTTGTGAATAAGAGACATTAGTGTATCTGCACCTTACCAACAGTAGGTACACTCAAGCTTAAATATAATATCACTGCCCTGCAACTGAGAAAGTATTAATTTTTTTTTGTCTCTAAAGAAATCAAATAGAATCTTATTGAAATTTATAACAACACACTTGCTGATATCTTAAGATTCTCCAATATCAAGCACATTAAATTAACAAAAAAAAAAAAAAAAAAAAAAAAAAAAAAAAAAAAAAAACGATACGGAGCAATAAAACTAATTTGTTTAGAGAAGAATGATGGACTTTTTTTTTTAGCATGATAAGCGTAGCATCAATATGTAAATAAAAATCAAACCTTGAAATATTGAGTACTTGTCTATTATCATTATTCTTATTTTTATCTTGAATCAATGTAATTGAGATTCTATGTTTTTTAGACTGTTTTTTTTATGAATTAGATCAGCGCATGGAACTATAAGTCATGAATTTGCTACCTATTTGAGATGTTGTAAGTCAACTCTTTAAACGTTTTTCTTCTCTGCCCTTTGACGTTGTTTTTACAGTAAATATGCAACATTTTTTTTAATGAGTTGTGCGACAGTTTTTTTTTTTTTTTTTTTGTACATTATTTTGGCAGCAGAAGGTGTATAAATTCTATCATATAATCCAATAAGGTTTTTTATTGAATAAAATAAATAAATTTATCGTTTTACGCATTTTTTGTTTTTTTTTTCTTTTATTAAGCATCTATAAAAATATAAATAAAAAAAAAATGGATTCAAGCATTGCGCAAAAAAATTGGGAATTAGAAAATAATATAATAACAATTGATCCAGCTCAAGATCAAATCTATTATTATGATTCTGAACAAGATAAAGAAATTGTTTCCCAAAAACCTTGGACAAATGAGTAAGCATGTTGTATATAATTATAATGAATTTTGATCTCTGATAATGCTTAGTCCTCATTACTTCAAACATGTAAAAGTTTCAGCTATTGCACTCATAAAAATGGTATGAAAAATATATATATGTTAGTTTTGAATGGAAAACTAATAATGATAATAAGGTCATGCATGCTCGTTCTGGCGGTAACATTGAAGTTATGGGTTTGATGCAAGGTAAAATTCAAGGTGATACTATGTATGTTATGGATAGTTTTGCTCTTCCAGTAGAAGGAACTGAGACAAGAGTAAATGCACAGAATGAAGCTTATGAATATATGGTATCATATATTGAGAAGTCAAAAGAAGTAATGTTGCAGTATTATTGTTCGATTAATACATCATTTAACAGTTATTATTAGGTTGGTAGACTAGAGAATGTCATAGGATGGTATCATTCTCACCCAGGCTATGGCTGTTGGTTATCAGGAATTGATGTTAGTACACAAATGCTCAATCAGCAATATCAAGAACCATTTGTAGCTGTCGTGGTAATAATAACTCGCGTTAATAGGAAAAGATAAAAGATGATGACATTAATATTCTTTATTTAGATCGACCCTAACCGTACTATGTCTGCAGGTAAAGTAGAGATTGGCGCATTTAGGACTTATCCAGAAGGTTATAAAGCTCCAGATGAAGCACCTTCTGAATATCAAACTATACCCCTTAATAAGATTGAAGATTTTGGTGTTCACGCCAAGTCGTAAGTGTAAAATATACAAATGAATGAATGGTTAATAATTGATATTTTCATTAGTTATTATTCACTTGAGGTTTCTCATTTCAAATCCACATTGGATACTCAACTCTTAGAAGTTTTATGGAATAAATATTGGGTAAACACTTTATCGCAATCACCTCTCTTAACTGTATGTATACCCAAACCCAATTCTATTATGTGTATAATAATATGCTATGCTATGCTAATTATATATTTAGAATAGAGAATATACAACTAGACAAATGTCAGATCTTGCTCAAAAATTGAGTAAAACAAACGATAGTATGATAGGTAGAATGGGAGGTTATTATGGTGATAGAAAAAAGAATGACGAAAGTCAGCTTAGCAAAGTGACAAAGGATAGCTCTAAAATAACAGTAGAAGTTGTTCATGGCTTACTCTCACAAATATTAAAGAATGAAGTATTTAATAATCCCAGAGAAGAAGAAAAAACTTCTTGAACAAAGTGCATCTTAATACAATAAATAAAGTATGATTAGTATACATATAATTACTGTTAACAGAAAGTAGATATGTGCTACATAGATAAAAATACCTTTTTTTTTTCTAACATCTGAAAACACATAACGATTAGAACCTATTCTGTATGTTTTAGTATGGTTTCTTCTATTGTTGTTTTAAAATCGACGAATTTCAAAAGCTCATTTGAACAAATAATGTGAATAATCTTCCTATGATACATCAATTGGTGTTTATATCATTTCTTTATTACTGTCAATGCCAACACTAGGCTCAAAAAGACGTGTATTTTTTAACTCAAGCTTAGTAAACTATGATAATGGAGTTATATATTCTAAGGATAATATCTATTCATTTTTTTTTTTTTAGCACTAGATAACCTTTTTGATAAGGAAGGATATTGTAATTTACTACTGCTGTTGTTTACCTATTAGACAATAACAAATGCAAGTCTATTTCTACCGCTAATTATGTATATAACGTACAGGCTATAGTTAAAATAAATATCGTTGTAAACAGATAAAACTTTAAACACATTGCTATTTTAATCGTTTTACAAATAATTAGATTGTAATGCATCGTAAGAAAGTTTTTTTTAATCTTGGCCCTCAAACAACCAAGTATTTTCCGAAAAAGTTAATATAGAAATTTACTGAATCCTTTCGACTTTTCTCTTTAGAACTTCTATTAAAAAAAAATCATAAATTGCATAGGAATTATCATTGAATCATTAAATAAAAAATGCTGCTTTCCCTCTCCCCTTCCTATGGATAGTTATAATAGTTTGCTCTATTATATTATTTTCGGCATAACAATATGCGTTGCAATAAAAGTATTATGATATAACTAGACAGCTCGTCTATAATGTTATAAATACAAATATAATGTAAAACAAAAAGAGCAAGACACCTCTTTCTCTTTTCCATTTTTAAGAATTAATGAAGAACAAAAACATAATTCATATAATTATTAGCATCTATTATATTTTTATAATAATTAGCTGGAACCATGATTGTCTTGTCGTAAAGAGCACGATAAAAGAACAACAAATATAAGTTTATAATTTGATAACATATCTAAAAGAAAAAAAGAGACTTTCGTCGTAAGTCTGACGATCAGATAAGCAATATTATTTAATGGGGTTATATTTATTTGTGAAATCAATAAGGTATGAATTTATATAGATTTTTTTATTTATGTAAGAGGAGAAGACAGTCTACAATGATTATTATATTGTTGTGCAATCAAGAAATAGTAATCATACCTTTGTTTGACATCAAAAGAACTATATAAATTATAGATACTAACATGAAATAAAAGTGAATCTTCTTTCTTCTCCTTATTAAATATTTATATACATCATCATATCATTAATATTAAGTAAAACTCTAACATTAGACATCAAGCAGGATAATACAAAGAAGTGCTGATCGAAATTAGTTAGGTATTTTATATTAGATCCATCTAAAAATGTTATATTTGGACTATCTTGTAATGATATGACAAGAGGTTAATCCTAATGTTAAACAAAGTGTCTAATTAAAAATAAAATGAAATAGAGAGAAAAAAAAAGTTAAGCCCAACGGGGGGGTCGAACCCCCAACCTTGAGATTAAGAGTCTCACGCTCTACCGATTGAGCTAGCTAGGCTTTGTTAATTTTGTCGTTTCTTGACTTCTTGAGATACAAAAGAGTAAAACTTTAGACCACTGCAAAAAATTTGTCCGTTGTACGTATGGAGTATTATATGGCGTACGCGAGTACGACGTATAGTACGCTGGTATATGCAGTACGAACGTACTACATATATACGTCGTACTATACGTCGTATTCACGTACTGCATATATGTTGTACTATATGGCGTACTCGCGTACTACATATATGTTGTACTATATGGCGTACTCGCGTACGACGTATAGTACTCCATACATACAACGTATAACTTTTTACATTTGATTGGTTATTTCTTTGAAAACCATGAACCATCATTGGTATTTTGCAGAATAAATAACGTTTATTTACGTTTGATCTTTATTACTTATTGGCTTATAAAATACATTTAATACATATTAGGCTTTTATTATTGCCTTGTTTATTGGACGTTATTTAAAAATAAATATATCGTTTGTTTAGATAAAATGTGGCTTTATTTACATTTAGAATAGTAATAATAATAATAATGGAAATATATAGCAAATGAATTATTACAAATAATAAATAGCTTTTGAAATAATAATAAAAAAAAGGGTATTTCTTGCAATTGATAATAGAAAATACGATTGTACTTACCTTTGCATCTTTAAGAAGAAACAGTACAGATACGCTGCAAATAGTGACAAATGGATAAGAGAAAAGGATAGAGATAATAATGACAGGGGGTCCAGGAAGCTAAATTATAGCAGTTAAACAGAAGCAAAATAAACAATCTATAATAAACAAAACTGATTAGTTAGTAAATAAAGAATATTGGTATTCAAAAGAATAAAATGCTTACCGAAAACAAAGAAAAAAGGGGTTTTCAAAAAGGACAAAAGCTATTTGAAAAAAAAAAAGTAAAAAGTCCTAAAAAAGAGAATAAAAGATAAGATTGGTATATCTTATATTAGACAAAGAAAGTATACTTTTGGAATTAACAGATAAATGTTATATTTTATTTTACCTTTTTATATACATTTGTTTATCTGTTTAAAAAGCGTTTGATTAACGATAATAGACAAGTCAGTATATGTGTTAATATAAAGAACAAGAGTTATATACAATAGTTATTATCTTACCTTTAACATATCATTGAAAAATGCTCTGTATAAAAAGAAGAAAACGCTACTACCAATATAAACAAGACTCTTTTGCTATAAAACTATTATTTTTTTTTAAAAAAAAAAGAAATAAACCTAGTTAGTTTAAACTCGTTGATAAGAATGTTTTTATGTTTTTGTACTACGTTGAATATAACCAAAATAAACATCTATAGATAGAAAATATGATAATTGTAAGTAAATAAACATTAATCTAAAGTAAAGAAAAAAAATGATAAAAGAAAAGAAAAGAAAAAGAAAAGATAAGAGAAAAACAATAAAAGAAAAGAAAAGAAAAAAAAAGATAAAAGAAAAACGGTAAATGAAAAGAAAAAAAAAGGAAGCGACTCTGACGTAGAAATATAGTAGTTTCTTTTTATTTAGTCCGAAAAAGGAAATTTTCTGGCAGTAATGGATAATGCTAGACGGCTAACATATAAATACCTTTACCAACAAATAATTTATTCTTCAATTACTTACTTTTTATTTTATTCAATCAATTTTTTTACCAGTAAAATCCCTTTTTAACATGTCTCGCTCACAGTATCCTCCTATTGTTCTTAACACTTCTTCCACTGCTCGTTTGCATCCTTCTAGACAAACAGCATCTATTGGTGGCAACAATATTAATGCTGATAATAGAATAAATCAGCTTGAAGAGCAGATCGGTTCTCAAAGCCAAAGAATCTCTCAGTTGGAAGAAGAGATTACAAACTTAAAAAATCAAAATCTGTATCATCAG